TAAATCAATTCACATGAAGTATTAACTATAGTACAAGGCCAACCAAGTTATGCAATCTAAGTAAAATACAATCTAAAGAACAAGAACGAAACAGTTAAAACATGCAATGAAATATAATGTAATGTTCAACCACAACAAAAAAGTTGCAAACTGCCAGTGCCAAAATGCTGCAGCAATAAACAAGCAGCGCCGACGTCTTTCTCGCTGTTAACAATCTACTGTTATAAACTGTTGTTTTGCGATTTTGTGATAGACAGTGGTTTTTTTTTTTTTGAAATCTTAGTTTATCTACTTATTTTTCACAACAAGAAGAAGAAATACTAACATGATCATCAGAGAAGTAGAATTTTTTCCACAAACAATGAAAGACAATATAAAATGGTGACATTTGTAGTGCAAGTAACTACAGGCCTATGGACTTTTCCCCGACCTTTGAACCCCGGAAAATTCTTCCTATACTTTACCATTGCCAAATTTTTGGGGCTATTTTAAGAGTGCTTTTGCGAGTTGGCGCCTGTAAAATGGGGTATGTGTTTCAAACCATCATTATGATTCATCGCATACAACAATCTGTTTTTTAAAAGTACCGGTAAAGAATTTCAGGATAGTCTATCACAGCTATTTCTACACTATTTTTCATCACTGCAATTAAATTAAAACTCCTAGGAAGACAGAGTAATCATTGAATTATCTGATTTTTATTTTTAAGTTTCCGCAACACAACTGAAAACTAACGAATAGAGTTCAAAAACGAGGTAATGTTTACAACCACGCTTGAAAATCTGTCTGAGTGAGAAAAGTGTCTGAGCGGATGCGAAAAGGGGGCATTGTTACGTCGCTTTTTACATCTTGCTGATTGGCTAATGTCACGAGGTAAACAAGGAAGTCGATGCTCGGGGAAAGGTCCATTGCAGTGGCCTCTGTCTTATCTAAGATTTTTGAAAAACATATTTCAAATAACATTGGGTCTTACTTAACTACATCTCACAACCAGTTTGGTTTCAAGCTTGGTCACAGGACTGACATGTGCTTTTTTACAATAAAGCAGCTAGCTACTTATTATTCCAAAAAATCATCACCAGTTTTCATAGCTTTTTTGAATGCTACTAAAGCTTTTGATAAAGTTAATCACTGGACTCTATTTCGTAAATTAATCAACAGAAGAATCCCCAAAATATTTTTATCGCTGATTGTACACATGTATCGTAATCAATCCATGTTTGTTAGATGGGGTAGCAGTGTGTCAGATTCTTTCTCTGTTCATAATGGTACCAAGCAAGCGTATGTCCGCAAGAAAGGTAGTATATTAAGTTCATATTTATATGCTGTTTTCATGGATGACTTTTCTGTTAGGTTGAATCAAGAGACCATTGGATGTGTAGCAAATAACAATATTATCTGTTTGTATGTTTATCCAGAATAAAAAGTTCAGGCTGAATAATTTGCCCGATATCAAACTTTGTAATTCTGTATTGACTTATGTTTCGTCCACTAAATATTTTGGTGTTTTCCTATCCAGTAATTTTAGAGATGACCTTGACTTGAAACGTCAGTATAAATCAATTTATTTTATAGCCCGTACAATTTTGAAAAAATTTGTCGATTGTTCCACTACTGTGAAAAATCTTTTATTTAGGACGTATTGTTGTAGCATTTATAACTGCCAGCTCTGGTTGTTTTTCAACAATTATAATTATAAAAAAGTTAAAATTTCATATAATAATGCTTATCGCGTAATTTACTGTGTCTATAGATCTGAGAGTGTCCGTCACAAAATGGTATCTGGGAACATTCCCTCTTTTGAAGCACTCCATAGAAAAAATCTGTGATTGTTCATGACGAGATGCAGGAACTCCAATAACATTCTATTACAATCATTATTTGATTCCCAGATACTGTTTGTTACGGGCTATCTTAGATTCTATACCTCACTTTTGGTCTCTTAAATTGCTATAGTATAATTCTTTTTTTAGACTTACTGTGAATCTGATTGTCATATCAGGTATTTTATGTATTTATTGTGTTATTTTTGTTTTGCTTATGTTTATTTGTTGTGTTGTTTTCATATGGACCACAGCGGTCTGGAGTAACAAACGAATTGAAAATAAAACAATATATACAATTATCTCTGAATTACATATCGTATCCAATTTACACATTGTTTTGTGTAGGTCAGCATGCAAAACCGTTGAAGGTCATCAAGTCTCCTGGCCATTTTCACACTGTAATCAGAATTGGTTCCTACAATATGGATATAACAAAGGGACAGAATGACTCAGCAGATAATTTAGCTCCATAATTAGACACTTAGTCTAGCTAGGGTGTCTAGGGGACATGTGTAAAATTATATAGGTTACTATATATAAAAATCAAGAACAAAAAAATAACAAAACGATCCATAGGTTCATTTCGTTTTCAACAACAAAAATACCAAAACGATCCATAGGGGACTTCGTTTCCAACGACAAAATAATTCATAGGTCCATTTCGTTTTCAACAACAAAACAATATATTTGTGCATTTCGTGTACAATAACGACATATAATAACGTGTTACCTCACCTGTACACCTATCATAGCTCTTGTCTGCTACTTCTCCATTTTGGCAAATTTGCACGTGGGGTGTTGGTATTCATTGTGATGTCAGAAAAAAATATATGAAGCGTGAAACCTTGCGCAAAGGAAAAGTACGGATAACAGCTGAGGCGAAAACCGTCGAAATCTCATGCGGGCTATCTTCCTGGTGCGCACGCCTTTCCTTTGTAAGATTTACTGGCGTCAGAATGAAATATTCTCGTCAGTATATGCGCTAAAATGACTCGACTAATATGGTGCTCCTACAATTCAGCAATTTCTGAATTTGCATACCGGTATGTCACTACCGTACCGGTATTTTTTCAGCATATAAAATTGATTGATTGATTGATAAGTTAAACCTAACTACATGAGACCCGACTGCTATATGCCTATTTCAGTATTTTGAGTTTCTTACAAGTTTAGGCGCGTTAACCTGCTGTCTGATTGTGTTAAATTCCATGGGTTTGCTTTTAAGGCGGAAATACGCTTGTCGTCGGGGAACACATAATCCAGTAATCACAGTATTTTGTCTGTTTGTGTGGAATCATGGCAGCATGGGTTGAAATCTAGTGCTTTAATTAGTGAGAATGGGCTGGTGGCAAAGAGAAGGGCGATAGGCCCACTTGTACAGTTGTAACTTGCAGATTTATGGTACCTTATTTCAGTATTAACTCAACAGAAGTCATATCACAGTATCAGGAATTAGGCTATAGATAAGATAATTCAGAAATTAGTGCACTTTCAGAATTTGCTGATTTTAGCTTAATTTTTTTCGGGTGGTCATGAACTTCTGAACTTGGTTTAATAGCAAATTCCATAGAAAATATCTGGTTTGCTGTACTTCTAAAAATACCAGTTAAAAATAACTCCCACTGTCTGACTTTGTCACTTGTACTTACCTGTCTACCACATTTAGTAATTGATTTTATATGCAGTTATTCAAGTTGGGCCTTGAAACATAGTTTTTTATTTATGAATACGGTACCTCACCTGCTTTTAATATTCTTATTGCATTACCAGTATGCCTTGTGTTTTTAGATAAGAGTTAGTGAAATATTTTTAATTATTCGCTGTTCCAATATCAATCGTTAATCTTGTTAGTCATTTCAATATTGAAAATTAATTTCAATTAATTCAATGTATTAACAATATATATTAAAGTACTTATTCAAATTTGTATTTTGAATAAAAAAACTATCTTAAAATATAACTGAGTTGCAAAAATATAATTTGCAAATTGTTTATCAGTGGATAAATAATTTTATACAATTTGTTTATGGCGAAAATAGTGGGAGATATCCGCTAGTCTTTATATTTAGATTCATTGTTATGATATGTCAATTTAATCATCAGATGTTTTTGCGGTATGAATAAATTAGGGTTAGATTGTAAATTGATAACAAATAAGAATTTTTGTTGTTATAATCATGATTTTAAAATATCAAAAATAATTAATTTGGTAGCAATTTGAATATTTGGGTGGTTTTAGACATCCCGTTTTATAAACGTAAGTTTGGAATGCTTTTTAGTGAGGGTGCAAATGGTTGCCTAAACTTCAGTTTTGGAAAACTATTTTTTTGTCTGATATTTTCTTATGAGTTCTAAGTTAAGATATAAATTTTATAGGCTCTTACATTTCATTTCATTTGAAATGAGACACATTTGTTTATGTGTATTTTTGATTTATACTACGTATATATAGACAGACAGACATATTTTTATTTATTAACATTTGGCCATGTGATGTGGCTTGACTGTCATCACTCATCCAATACCCAGGAGATTGCATTTGGGCTATAAATACATATATTTAAACACATCAACTTTCAATTTTTCTTGCAATCTCTCATGGTAATATGTCGCTCAGTTTGGAATTTTCAATATTTCAATGCCTCACATTTTAATGGTCTTTTCATTCTTGTTTTTATTGTTCACGTATCAGTTCAATGCAAATTATGAATTCAAAATAAACTCACTTACAAATTACTTATAATAATTTAATAAGTAGTTTATTGATGGATATGGTTCAATGCAATGATTTTTCACAGCATAGATAATGTTTTTTCAGATTAGGCTTGAGGTTAACCAACAGCCTAAGATTTACGGGTGTTTATTATTCAACTGCAGGATTTTTAACAGCTCAATTTTCTTTGTTTATTCTGTACCCTCATGCCTAATCTGAAAAAACATTATCTATACTGAGAAAAATTATGTTAATCAAGTCTGATGATCAACTGAAATTTTTATTTTTTCAAAATCTCCCCTCTAATTTCTTCAGCATATTCCAATTTCTGCGATCTCAACAGTTCTGTCAATAATTTTTTATTTTATTGGAAGAGTTCTACATCTATTTTGCTTCATACATGCTACAGTATTTCATAATTAATAGCAATCAAATTAATTTTACTGTTAACTAATATATAATTTATTAAAAATTTCATAGGAGATGGTTGTCAAGTTGTTGTTAAACTTACCGATTAGGCCTTAAAGTTCCGAATTTAACTCTGCGTCATATCTGATCAATAGAAGAGCAATTAAATTGATAAGCCAGTAGGTTTTTCATCAATAATTTCAAAATGCCTACCAAACAGCCATTGCCACCCAAGGAAAAGACGCTATTTAACAGGATATTGGTGAGTAGTCCGATATCTCCTGAGAATTATTTTATAGTAAATCTTCAATTTCAAAGTATGTAATTCATATTATAACGGTATATATAATTCTAAATGTCTTATTGGTGATTCAATTCAAGAGTCTTGCTGCACACGAACACAAATGTATTTCTGTAACGTTTCGTCTGACCAAGGTCAGACTTCTTCAGACAAGCATTTTATAGTTGTAAAATGCTTGTCTGAAGAAGTCTGACCTTGGTCAGACGAAACGTTACAGAAATACATTTGTGTTCGTGTGCAGCAAGACTCTTGAATTGAATTGAATAGCCATTTACACTCTTGCCACAGCATCCTTGCGTAATACGCATACGGATCCACCTGCGCTAAGGCATAGAGAGCAAGGAAATGTAGTTAGTTTCACGCAACCTCAACTCTTAGTCACTTATTGGTGAAATAGTAATTTTATTTATGTTTATGCTTTTGCCATTCGCCTGTTTATTATTACGAATTAGCTAAATATGAAAAATTGATTCATTGCTAAGTTGAAATAAAACAGCATTTCTTTGCCTTAAGCACAAAGCTTCGAATTTGGGGGTTTTCCAATTTTTACTATCATTACTGAAAACACTATTTTTGTTGTCTGACTGAATATTGTTTTGCATGGTTTATTCCTTTCCTTATGGAAACAAATTTTATATTTATTTTATATGAATAACATCATGTTCCTATATTATTAGAAATGTTACGAACAGAAACAGTACAGAAATGGACTGAAATTTGCAAAACAGATTCTTTCTAATCCAAAATTTGCAGAACATGGAGGTTTGTTTGAATTTTATCATTTCTATTTTGAATATATCCATTTAGGTCCCAAACAGTCAACGAGAGAAAGAATACTAGAATTCGGCATAATTCATGCAATTTGTAGACCTTGACTGGCTGATTACTAGTATAACGGGAATATTGGTCAGAGACCGAAGACTTACGGTATCGATCGAAAGTTAGGGGATCCCCCAAAACAGCGCTCTTACTTCGTAGTGACACCTTGTGTCCCATTACTAATTAATTAATAACTCGCTGATTATACACATAATTCATCCAAAATCAATAGGCTTCTGGTCCGAAATATGATGAATGCACATGCAAAATCTGGAGCAGATTCAATCTCCCTTTCGTGAGATATTGCGTGCATCTAACAGACAGACATACAGACAAATAGCTATCAACATACTTACCGGTTAAAATCGATAAGTAACTAGAACACAAAGTGAGCTAATCTGTAACGCAGTATGACAAGAGCTTTTTTTGTTAATATCATTGTTAACATATAATTTAGTATAGGTTCAATAATAGTAATAACATTATACAAGAATTATCCCATCTTTTAAATCATAACAGAAAACATTGTTCAGAAATGTGATCGTTACAATCCTCACCTTAATCCCCCATTTGACTACTATGAACATTTGCCTTATCTTGTAGATCGTAGGATTATTGATAGGATGTCAAACTTTTCGTGTTTGAGAAATTGTACTTCATGCTCTTGAATTATCATAATTCATAATTAATTACAGAAACATTGGCGATGAAAGGGCTCACGCTCAACTGTCTAAATAGAAAGGAAGAAGCATATGAACTTGTGAAACGCGGATTAAAAAATGATTTAACATCTCATGTCTGTTGGCACGTCTACGGTCTGCTGCAAAGATCTGATAAAAAATATGATGAGGCAATAAAATGTTACAGAAACGCTCTCAGATGGGAAAAGGTATATATATATATATGTATATGTTTTTATTGTTTATTAAAGTTGATTTAGTCAAGAGTTTCTTTTGTCAGCGAATGTGAGTCTTTTCACATTATTTTCAAATATTTCAAAATGAAGTCTATAATTATGCATTTTGTTGCAATAGGGTGATTGTGCAGAATATACAAATATATCACTTCAAGATTAACATCAGAGAATAGGTTTCTAATCTTGATACATAATATATTTTCATGGGGTAATATGGAGATCCTAATCAATTACAAATATATGGTATATAATTTTTTATTGTTTTTCAGGACAATCTTCACATTCTGAGGGATTTATCTATGTTGCAAGTTCATATGAGAGATTTGGAAGGATATAAGGTTTGTATATAACAGTTTTTTGAATTTTCTGGGAGGCAGTTGTTAGGGAAATCGATTACTGGTAAGTTTTAAACTAGAAATTCGGGACTCCCGAAATATGTGAACCAAGATGGCGGACACCAGAACATAGCATGTGTACCAGGTTCGGGTTAGGCCTTATTTTTTTCAATTTTCCCCGTTTTGGTTCTATTACGAGTTCGGGGACTAGTCAAGTGACACGCGTTATATTTGTACCTGAAATTATGGCCTAACCCTAACCTGGAGTACCAGAAATTCTGAGTTACCTAGTCTGGGTCTAGTTTGGAATGGAATATTTTGTAAATTCAGCAATCTAAATTTTACTTTTAGAAATTCAGTTAAGTTAACTTATTTTGTTATCTAAGACGGTGCCAAACTGAAAAAGAAAAATTCCTGCTACTAACTATTCCTACTGCTAACAGAAGCTTCTAACATAACGTCTTGTACAAATCCTTGCTATTATCTTTATCTAAATTATGATCGAAACAATGGATTTCTTGCTAATGATTTGAAAGTTTACAAGCATATGAGTCAAGTATTGTTAACTTGTTGTTTCACTATACCAGGAAACAAGGTACAATCTACTGCAGTTGAAGTCTGGTCAAAGAGCATCTTGGATTGGTTATGCAGTTGCAAATCATCTTGTGAAAGATTTTGACATGGCTTTTAAAGTTTTAGAGGAGTTCAGAAAGACACAACAGGTGATATGATGGTTTTTTACTCAGTTCGGTTGATATTGTAAATTAAAATATTATTTTGTTTTGTATGTAACGTTTTGCCAGAAATAATTTTGAGAAGTTTTGAGTGAAATAAGTTTTTTTATGTGTTTCGAGTCTTGTTAGGAGGAAAACTACTCTAATGATTGCCAGTGACTTTCTATTATTAAGAGCTTTTACTGAGCCTTGTGGTTAGTGTATTGGCATTGATCGTTCATCTGCTTTTGTTGATACATAATGCACCACTGTGTATCTTTTATTAGCTTTTAGCATTTCAGTCGTGCCCACAGTGTTGTGCTTCTAAGTAGGGCTGGGAATTTTTGAATATCTATTGATTTCAGAATCGAATCGAATCTCGAATACTTGGTAAATATGTAATTGTATTGTTTTATTGTAATAGGTCTTCCAGACAAATATAAGTGAAAACGCGTAATCTATTACCCAGACAGTTCGCTGAGTTCTCACACATAATTAGGAACATGTTTCATTGATAACTCACTCGGAATGAAAAGAGACACATATGGCTTGAATGGAAAAAAATGAGGAATTCACCTCGACCCCAACATTACTTTTTAGTGAGCTGAGAAAAAAATCTTGTTGAAGTTTGGTGTACTGAAAACCTTGTCTGTCAATTCACTCAAGTGTGATAAATTGATTAGGCAATGTGGGCTCAGAAAATTGTATATCAGCGTTAGTTGTTAAAAGTATTGTGCGGTTAAATATTTTTTCAAATTTCTTATTTCTACTTGGAACAGGGTCAAAATGGTGACTATGAATACAGCGAGTTGCTTCTATATCAAATTACAATTTTGATAGAAGCTGGAATGCAAGGACGAGCACTTGAACATCTCAATAAACATAAAGCTCAAGTAGCAGACAAGAATGCATTGATGGAGTTAAACGGTATGCAAAAATAAAACGATTATAAATTTACTGCAGACCTGGCAGCTGATGTATGAGACTATTTTGGTATGGAGTTACTTTCACCACAGAGAAGATAGTTTTATAATTGGTATAAGAGTCGTGCCTGTCACAGTGTCACTCCAACTATTTTGCATTGGTGTTGGTGTGCGGTTAGACTCTTGTATTGTTACTATATCAGCCTTGCAGGTACATTGATCCACAAATAGAAGCTGGATAAGTAGATTGCCCTGTGGAAACCCTTTCGGTAACACGAAAAACATGTTAAGTTCCTTTTATTTTCTTTCAGCTGAGATATTCTTGAGCCTGGAAAAATATGACAAAGCGGAAAAGTTATGCACAGAACTAATGTATAGAAATCCTGAAAATCATAGGTGAGTTACATTATTAAATACCTCAAGTATATGGGCAAAAATTAAGTTCTAAGAACATTTAAGAGTTGACGTCATAATATGAGCTAGTATGTTTCCACGAAGAATAGGAGTTGATCAAAACCAGGGGTGTACAACATTTTTTTTCGTTGGGACATATAACTAGCCTGGCCACATAATCCTTCTAGTAATAAAGGCCCTGGGCTGAGTGGCGAAAAGATCCAAAAAACTTTGTCATTTTACCCATGTGATCAACTTGTCCAACATAAACTGTCGGAACAGGATTTTATGCTTGATGCGGGAAAAATTTGTGTGTTGACAAGGGCCACGCTGAAAATGCACGGGCAGAAAATTCGAGCGTTGACAAAGGCCACACTAAGAGGGCACGGGCTGGAAAGGATTTTTTTTTAATTCTGGTGATTAGAGTTTCCTAATTATCGTAGATATGGGTTTTACGCTTTTCGGCTAAAGCCAACATTATGTCATGTTTTCACGATCTACTTAACAAATTGGAAAAAGTGAAAAGATAAGGTTTCAATATATCTTAATATATCAATGTATATAATCTACACATGCGGCTAAAGGTTATGATGATGCATTTAAAGTAGTTTATTAAAATGTCATTTGATAAATTTATAGTCTAATAAGAGACAACCAGATTATCAATATCAGCAAATAAATAGCTATTTTATTGATTTATATTACATTTTCTGAAATAATATCGCAACAAGTCCAGATTTTGACCTATTAGCTCATGTAATATTCATACCTCATGTTTAGATAAATATTTTTATAAAGTATTGAGTATAATGTACAAGTATATTAAGTATTCATAAGTATAAGATTATACCCTTATGTCTATTATTTCCACCAACTGATTTCAGTGTTAGTGGAATGTTATCTTGGAAAAATATGGTTGAATTTTGAAAATTTGACTGTAATTTCAATTCATCGTTTTCTGTAGTCAAGTTATGGTACAGACTGTATTTCAAATTATTGGATTATTGAACTAATATTCTATATTAGTCTAATATTGTTTTATTAGTCTTTTATCTAAACCATCGCCGTGTCGCTGATGCTGAATAAATTTGGACTTTTGGGTCAGACTCTGTATTCTCCACCTCACTACGAGTATAATAAGATAACAGGAAATATGCTGGGTTGCTTTCAAAAATCTTGATAGCTCTTGACTTATAAGTTGGTGCTTTAAAAATATCATAAAATTGAAAAGTATTCATGGACTTGTGTTTGACAGGTTTCAAGAAGTATTAACTTGGTCTTTTTCGTTTATATCTACAGATATTATGAAATGCTTGAAAGAGCTATCAGGCCTTCCAATAATGATGAAAGACTACAAATTTACGACGCAGCTGCTAAAATATTCCCGAAAACTGACTCGCCAAAAATTATTCCTTTGTCACTTGTATCAGGTATGTATTATTAATATGATCAATTAACTGTTCTCAGGTTATTTGATTTTGAATATGATGCTTTTAGGTAAATAGACAAAGCTGATTGTTATATAAAAACTAGCGATGTTCAAAACGAATTGAATATTCAAAATTCGTTATATTTGATATAATATATTCTTAATAATTTTAGAAATAATTTGGAATATTTACTTCGACTTTTTGAGCATTCAAGGCCTGGCAGTCAAACCAAAAATTTATCTTCTGATTGCAGTAGGAAATATAAAACTAATACAATGTTTATCTTTCGTCTACTGTAATATGATATTCATATGAATTTAGAATGTTTTTTATAGTGTATAGTAAATTATTCGCTTTAGCCACCCTTGTATATAGCTAAAGGCAGGAGTTGGATTAAGCATATGAAAATAGATTCCAAAAAATTTGATGGTTCATGTAAATTGTTTTCTCGCAAAAACATCAGATTATATGCTGTTATCAAAATCAACATATAAAACTATTCGGTACTCCTGAAGTATGCGCACCAAGATGTCGAATAACCTGGACCCTACCCTGGTACACAACCTGAGTTCAGGTTGTGCGCCATCTTGGTGCTCATACTTCAGGAGATTCAACCTTTCTTTGTTTGCCCAAGTCATGCTTTTTATTGCACATTTTTTTGAAGGTCTAGGATATAATCAAATTTAAGTGATTTAACATTTCGAATACATCATAAAATCATATTTTCAAATATTTTGTGAACGTCTTGTAGAAGTTTATCCTCATTCAATGAGCTTGAATTTGAAATTACATCAACTTGATTGGTTTTCTATTTTTTTTCTATAGTTTTCCAAAATTTGCCTAAATTAAATTTTTGGTCTTACTGCGAGACTTCAATTACTGTGAATAAAATTTTCAAATGACATTATTCGGAATTACTTCTAAAATTGAGATCTTTTAATGCTGAATATGAGTTATTCAGAACACGGTCATGTATGTATGTCTATTATTGCTTTAGTTTTCAATGATCTACCGACACCGTATATGCTCGCGAATAGGCCGAGTTTAAAACTCAAAAAAAAAATTGCCAAACTAAGGGACCGTTTTATTCGCGCATAACTCAGATTGCACCAAAAATTCGGCTCATTCGCGCATTAGAATTTGATCACGCAACGAGATGATATTATGCTGACTTGCCGGTAATTCCAAAAGCTTCAAACCATACCAAGTTCTCACAATAAAAGCGTGCCCACACACACACAATCGCTTGTGAAGGTGGATTGTCTTATCATACAGCTGATGGCTTGTACAGTCTGTGATTGGTTTGTTTTCGCTCGCTTGTGCAACAGTGTCGATTTACGGCCAGTTGTTTCGTGGTGAAACTGTTATTATTTGGTGAGCTATCGCCGTAGAGGCAATTAACGACTCGCAACTTTCAATCACCTTTACGATTGGTTATCCATTAAGGGGCGGTGATAAGGACTCTTATCGAAATTAACCGCGTTGTGGACGATCAAAGGAAATTGTTTTAGGCTGACTCAGGGACTCTCTTAAACTCCCGACACAATCACGGCGCACTGAAAAGCAATATAGACTTTATTGAACATAAATTAACAAGTAAGAGTTACGGGTAATGATCCACCTACGGCCCTCGCTAACATGCAATAACGATAAACGTGAGAAATGTTTGCGTTACAGTAATTTTGTTCTCTTCCTACGTTTTTCTTGAGGCGTCCGGCGTGTCATGATTCGTATGACCGGCTTATGTGCGATTTTTTATAAAATCGCCGTTTTAATGCCGTTTTTAGGAAGTCGGCCTATTTGCTATATAGGCGTAATTTCGAGTAAATACATTACTTCTTTTCAGGTGATAAATTCAGGATTAGAGTTGATCAGTTCTTACGCAGTGGTTTGGAAAGAGGGGTTCCACCTTTATTCGTCAACTTGAAACCTTTATACGAAGATAAAGAAAAAGTTTTAATCATTGAAGAACTAGTGCTCAATTATTTGATTGCACTCGAGAACTGTGAAAAATTTGCTCCCTCAGGTAATTCTGGGTTTCTGCTACATCATTCTCGAGGTTCAAATTTTGTATTCTGTATTTGCTGATGATGAGTAAAAGTTTTAAAAATAAAGATTTAATGAAGATAGGAATTATGTATTAATTCAAAGTTTATTTAGAAAAATGTATTAGTATTTTTCCACTATATATTTTACATTAAAATCTGTATAGGGTTTATAAAACCAATTGTTGTGGAAGTGAAGATCAATGAAGTTACAGAAGTCGCATAGTTTAATGACTTGAAACATCGAAACAATGATGTTCCAATTCATTGTTCATATGAGAGTTTCAGAAATTCAAATTTTGCGTTTTTGCATGTATGGATCGCAGTGTATTTGAAATGGAACCTCTGGCGTATATGGAAACTCCAGTTCATCTCCAATGTTTTGCATAGGTTTCCAAATCCAAATGAGTATACGCGCTCTGGGAAGATTCCGTTCTCTTCAGTTTTTCACAGCTTTGATAAAGACTCCTTAGTTATTGAACTTGTACTACATTTCCCACTTGGTTATAAAATGATTCTTTTTTGACATATTTCATGTATTTCTTCATTATTCATTTCAGACATGATAAAACAAGCACCTACGTCAACACTGTGGTCTTGGTATTTTCTTGCTCAACATTATGACATCTTGGAAAATACAGACAAAGCATTGGAATATATCAATAAAGCTATTGAACATACACCAACCCTGATTGAGGCTCATACATTAAAAGCAAAAATCTTACTGGTATGTTTAAGTTTTGGTTTTCAAATTTATAGGAGAGAATAATTAGTTGGTTATGCTTTTGGAGCAAATTCTAAAATATGCAAATGTTTCACTAGTTTCTCTCCAAACTGTCGTAAGACTGCCCAGTTTACGAATAATCGCAATCTTTAAAATGCTTCTACACTGCTAATACATTTTTTTACTATTATCAAATGTATCTGAATGTTTACAAATTGTCAAAGGGTAAGTCTTCTAGGACAGGAGTGTGCCATCTGCCGCCCATGGGCCAAATGCGGCCCCCAAAAGAAAAATTGTGCCGCCTGCAAAGAAGTGCCAATTTTAAATGTGCGGCTCACGAAACGAGGTTTTAAATTAATCTCTTCGCACTGCGAAGCCTATCCTTGGGTCCACATTATTATCTATGCTCTTGACGTTACAATACCCTAACAGCTAGCTTGTGCGAAGCGAACAGTTCATGTCATATGATCAAAAATCATCCCACTCATATCTATCTGGTCCTCCTGTATCAAAGGTTGCACACTTCTGTTCCAAGATGATTAGTGATTATTTCAAATTTATTGTTGTACCTATTCATGTGGCCCATTCATGAGATTTCCGTAAATAATAGTGTATCAAAAATGAATTGTACCCACAATATAATTTTTTATGGTTTTTGTATTTTTTCTAGCATGCGGGAGATATGCCTTCTTCAGTTAAATGTATGGACGAGGCTCAATCACTTGATACAGCTGATAGATTTGTTAATTATAAATGTGCTTGTTACATGATCAGAAATAATCAAATAGAAGAAGCTGAAAATATGGCATCGAAATTCACAAGGGTAGGTATTGGCTGGTATGTTGATATATATATAAGACGGCGGTCTCAAACATATTTTTTGTGACGCTCTTGGTAGAGTTTTCTGGGAGTGCGTTGCACTAGTGAGAATATAATTCCGCATAAAATGCTGATGACTTGTACAATTTATTTTTATTCGATCAATATTACTTCGAAACTTGAATTTTTGAAACTGCTTCCTTTTTTTCCTTTTTTGTAATTTATAGGTACTCATAAACTCAGTTTTTATTTTGATACATGGCTGATTCTGAGTTCATTTTGATAATTACATTATGGAATATGATAATAAAAAATAAAAATAAATTTTCTGTGTTCAATTTCATTTTTGAATCTAATAAACTGGTCTTCCATATTGCAAATCTCCACTCTGCCTGTTCGTTTATTGATTATATAAGTATAGAAAAATAATAGATAAGAAAATCTGGATGTTAGCGTCCTAGCAAGTTTAATTTAATTTCTTCTTTGTTTAGGAGACCATTAGTGTTCAGGAATATTTGAGAGAAATGCAATGCATGTGGTTTGAAGCTGAATGTGCAAATGCTCATTTCAGAGGAAAAAAATACGGAGAAGCTTTGAAGAAATGTCATGAAATTGACAGGGTAAGTTAAAGGACTCAAACATGAAAAACATTGAAAAATGAAAACTTGGACAACAAGGCAAGAGGACTTTGTTGTTAAAGAACTAGGCTTACCATGTTGGCATCTCAGGCTAACGAATAACAATTCCAACCCTATTCCCACCACCTAACGTAGGGTGTATTAACTTTAAGTTATGTATGCAATTGTGAAACGAAAATATTGTTATTACTTCCAAAAATAATAACTTCTTACGAAAATGTGATAGCTTGTAAATGTGAGCCTTGATCAAAGTAGAGACGTGAAAATCGTCATATCAAAAAATTGTAAAACTTGATGCATCATTACTCATTTTGTTTGCTGACATATATCCATACTGTGCGACTGACTGGTTTTCCAATTTTTTTTTGTTTCATTGTAGTTATCCTGACTCCTGATATATTTTAATTTTACAGCATTTCAGAGAGATTCTCGAAGATCAGTTTGATTTTCATCAATACTGTATGAGGAAAATGACTTTACGTTCTTATGTTCAAATGCTCAGACTTGAGGATCAGCTACGTTTGCACAAATTTTATTTCGATGCTGCTCTGGTTGCCATAAAAGTAAGAAATTTTGTAATTTTGAAGGAGTAGTAGTTTTGCTAGATTTTTGTTACTGTTGGGGTTGTTGTGAAAAATCACCTCACTCAACAACGGATCAATTTAAAATTTTTAATACATAAAGATTGAAGAATTCGTTACACTTTTACACAAAGTGTAGTTTTGCTAGAAGAAGTTGCTACATGCCTTTTTTACCGTATATTCTCGCGTCTGAGAGTAGTTGCCAAACTAAGGGGTCTACTCATACCCGCATAACTCTGATCGCACTAAAGGGTCGGGTTATATGCAAGAATATATGGTATTTTTAAATTTTGGTCACGTCCTGAGGGGTCAAATATAGCCAACCCCAAATTTTGACATTCTTAACTTCTTCGATATTGGTAGTTTGGCGCTGATATCCAAAGTAATCAGGCATTACTTTCTTATTGCCATTTAAATAGGTGTTTTGAATTAAAATAAGCTTATTTTTTTATTCAAAGGTTTATCTCCGTTTGCATGACAAACCACAACAATTGAACGGAGACCAATCACAATTGGAAGAAAACTCGATGAGCAAAAGTGAGCTGAAAAAATTACGTAACAAGCAAAGAAAACAAAAACGTAAACAGGCGGAAGAAGAGAGGAAAAAACAAGAGCAAGAAAAAGCAAATAAGAACAGGTTTGTGACTTGCTTTTCCAATTTTTATCGAAATTCAACTTTTCACTGACTAAATCACTTTGAGTTCTGATTGCTGGTATTTATATAAAACAGTATTGTTGTGATGAAATTTTATGACAATCTCTTTTTTTGTTGGATAGGCAACAAAGAAATAAAGTTGATGAAGATAACGAAGGAATTAAGAAAGATGAATTTGATGCTGATAAATTAGTTAGTGTGAGTACATGGATATCTATTGTTATACCTTATGCAAGCCTTTTTTTTATAAACTGTTCGGTAAACGAGACTTTTTTTTTTCAAGTTTCTGTGGGGAAATTTCTATTTTATTCACCACTATTGGAAATCTGAAAATTTTGACTTTGTCTTCATGATTCTGATTCTGAGGAGTTTGAAATATATATAACTCTGTGCTTCAATGAAAATTTCCCAAACTCTGATTTCACAGTCTCATCGACATATATATATTGTTTAAGAAAAATGCTATAGTATTGTAAAATGGGGTCATACGTTAGAATTTCATTCAAAAAGTGTAAAATATTAATTTCTGATTTGATATTTTTCAGGTTGAGAACCCAATTCAGGAAGCGAGATCGTTTTTGACGTCATTGTTGCTTCATCATGCTAGCAAATTAGACACTCATGTACTCGCATTTGAGATTTACGAAAGAGAGAAGAAGTTTCTACTCATGATTCGAGCACTATTGAAAGCGAAAAAATTAGTAGATGGTGGCGCCAGACATCCTTCTGTTCATTTACGACTGATGAAATTTGTTAAAGCAGGTTGTTAGACTTTTTATTTGCTTCCGAAACTTGTTTAGTTGGAAAATGTCTGTGATGAAAAGTCCATGTGTACGATCACTATGTACTGAACACCATTGTTATTATTTTTTCTTTCAGTGTCCAATGCTTCATCCGAGATTAATGATGCTGTGAAAACCGTCATCGATTCAATGCTCGATGAATTTTTGTCGACATCTGATTATGAAACATACAACATGGAATATATTGAAGAAAACAAGACTTCCATTTCGCACCTATTTGCAGGTATGTTGTCATCATCATGTTTATTCCTATTGCCAATGTATTACGCTCCATCATAATATTAGCAGGGAACTACAGGATGGTCGTTAGAAAAGCAGAAAATTTGGAGGTCAGACGAGATCACGAATAAAATGCTTACTCATTTCTTTTCCGATACGTTTTGATTTCTTTTTGGATCCAAGTTGTATCAGGTTGATACCTTTTAGGTTCTATTTGATTTCTGTGATATTCTGTGTAAGATAACATATGCCTTCAAAAACTTTGTAAAAGTTATTGTAAAAAAATAAATAGCAAATTTTCTGTTTTACTAGCACCACCCTGTAGTTAAACTTGATCAATTGGTTGCTCCTTGTGTATCAGTGGCTGCTTGTACAGAGCCTTTCGCTGAGAGAATGTGTGAAAACAACTCATAAATACGAGGATAAATGGATCTGACTTCTTGATTTATTATTCTCCAGGTTGTCAGTCAATGTATATTCTCGATCCTTCAAAGAATTTGGAAGCTGCAAAACGGTTTATTTCGAGTTGGAAAGAATATTTACCGTCCGTTGATCTTCAAGTGAGTTCTTTGTGTTTTGCCAAGTTTTCATAATATTCTTTCTTTGCGTTGTTTAAAGAGTCATATTTCGAAAAAATCGATATTTTTCTGGGCTGGCCATCTGCAATTGAAATTGTTTGAGACTTAGGAGCTTCATTGTTTGCAATACTCCTGTAAAACATGGTTTGTATACAATGCAGTCCATTCTTGTGGTATACTATTTGTTATGAAGGAAACTATGGATCATATTTTTAAATTGTTGTTGACTTGGAGTCTAATAAAAAATTATGAACTATTTACAATTCTTAGTAACTGAAAATGGATGGAGTCACTAGAATGCTATTACTTCAATTTTTTTCATGACATGATATTTCACCCAAAATTCTGCTGTGTGATGTGAACCGTTTTTATGACAAAAGGGGAATGTTTCTCGCCGGACTTTTCCACTCAGTTCTTAGCTAGGCACTAAATGGTGCAGATATGTGATCTTCGTTTTTATATATTTAATCATTACTTTAGTGTTAATTCATTATCAACATGGTAATATTACAGACTTGCACTGATATCCTCGAATCGTTTCGCGAAGGAGACTTCGGAGCTCTACCGAAGGATTTAATTCAGGAATTTCAACTCAACTGTTCTGAAAAATACTCACATGCAACTGCTTTTAAAACAGCAACTCTGGCTACTCCGGAATCCGACACAAAACCAGTCGCGGAAAACGGGACTAATTCCGACAATCATGTCAACGAGCAAACAGACATCGCTGTTTCATGCAACTAGATTAAGTTTTTTTATTCTTAGATATAAAACTGATATTGGAATGCTGGTAGTATTCACAATCAATATAACTCTGTTGCTAAAAGTGAGAAAAAATAATCACCGGCCGTTTGGTTTAGATATCTTGTCTATATGTTTTAGCAAGTTTTAGGCCTGCTAACCGCTTCGGTTTTTGGTCGATCTTCCACTTTTATAATTCCGTACTCAATTGTAAAAAAAAACGCAACTGGTAAGAAACAAACAAAATGTTACAGAAATACATTTGTGTGCAGCAAGACTCTTAAATCAAATATGATAAGGGTTTTGCAGACATTTCGAATAAAAATAAACAGGCTCAATATGAATATACAGTTCTATTTATCCCTATTCATGAAATATAACTAAAAGCATCAAGATCAGAGCGTGAGGATGATTGACATGGGAGAGATGATGTTTATAAATAAGCTACCAGGGATGTAATATAATCGGTTCTAAAGCAAAAAATATGGTACCCCCGAAGTATGTGTACCAAGATGGCGCACAACCTGAACGTAATATGTGTACCAGGTTAGGGTTCAGGTTGTGTGTCATCTTGGTACGAATACTTCCGGAGTGCCAAAAGTATTATGAAATATAGAGAGAAATACGCTCGTATAGAACTGCAGTTTTTTTTATCACATCATAGTGTATTTATAGATGTGGAAAGACTGATTTGCTTGTTTGCTTATTACCAGTTGTGTATTTACTTCGAATAAGCATGAAAGAAAGGCACTAGCTATTTCAGTACTTTTTGGTCGAAATCGTCTTACTAGAACAATTTCTGCTTATGAAATCTGCATACACACGAGACAAGACATGTTTTTATGAGACTATATTGTCGTTGTGCCATCTTCACCAAACTTAGTTATGCTTATCCGTGGTGGGTACTATAAGAGTTGGACAAACCATGAACAATGGTATTCCTAAGAAAATCCTGACACAAGCTACTTTTGACTGTAGCATATCTCATAAAAAAAGGCTTGATTATGTCCTTTGTTTTTATTTTTTCCCCTTTGTAATATACCCCGAATTGGTTAAAGTACTTCTTCATTACGATTTTCTACTGGGATTATATGAGTGAAATTTTTCAAAATGATTTGCAATCTTCATGTATAATGAGTTGTTAAATTTTTCACCAGATTTGCGATTATGTCTTGTAAGGAAATGATTGGTAAGTATGAACAAAAAAAATACTTCGATGTCAGGTCCTAAGCATTTCAATCAGGGGTGTGCAACAGGCCGCCTGCACGTCACAACTCGGCCCGCCAAGCCATTCGGTGTGGCCCTTGTCAGATTTTTGTGACAATATTGTTGTCGCTAATTTTTCAATTTGTTTTGTACATGAAAAAAGAAAATTTTTGTGGCCCTGCTAGATGTCTGAAGTTATATGGCCCACCGACAAAAAATGTTGCACACCCCTGGTTTAAATCAACCTAGATTTAAATTCTGTTGCAACAATACAATTTTAGTCCAGGAGAGCGAAGTCCGAAAGTTCATTGTGTCTTTTCTTTTGAGCATTTTTCTTCATTGCATCAACATGTCTAGGTTTGATACCATATAAACTTGTCATTTTGTCTCGTATTGTTTTACTTCGTGTGAGAAATCACAGAATTGAAATTTATACAAACAGAATTAATTCGAGGTTACAAATTTTTACTTAAGATTTGTGTTGAAACACTTGAAAATTTTAATATTTCATAGGAGAGGAAGAGTCATTTTTAATTGACTAGTGCAGTGGGTTGGATATGTGTCCTCGTCCCAAAGACTCGACAATTGTGGTCTTCTGCTCTTCTATAAACATGTCTGGTTTAGCTTTTATGGCATTTTGGTCAAATATTTTATGTACCATGTAATAAAAAGCTAACGAATCAAAGTCTGAAAATAAATGCATTTCAGTCAAAGAAACATACAAATCCAGGTCAATTTACAAATAATAATTTGGCAATTTTGACTAGTACTTGTTGAAGGCCTTTGGTCGTGGCCCCCCAGGATGGTAGAGTGGGACCCATTTTTAGAAAACCTGGACTAGTGTTATGCAAGGGAATATGTCACACTGAGATCTTTTTTTAGTATTCATTAGTGCTCTACATTGGTTAAAAAACTTTGTTGCAAATCAGTTTGTTTAATCCTAATCCTGTGTTTTTCCTGATTTCATTATAATGACAACGAAATGAAAAATTGGCTAGGTATTTTTCACTATCATCTATATTTAGATTGTCAATTTGAATCATGCACAAAAAAAAAACTAATAATGCTGCTAAAGTTATGAAGGAAGAACTTGGGGGTGCATTTGAAATTTTTTTATACCGTAGTGAACACATATTGAAGTACAGAGTCATCCTATAAACATGTACACAATAATATATGACCTTTTTGGATTCTCATATGTCAAGTTATTTTATATTTTGTGTGTTTTGAATTTTTCAATCTCTTTAATTGGAAATGTAGACGTTATGTTTCGATTTGAAAAATTATTTTAATTTACCAAATTCAGGCTCCGTTTTGTGTTTTTTTGTGTTACCATGGATAACGTTTTTCCTGGGTGAATGTTACTACACCATTTTTAGGAATGCAATCTAATAAAATTTTTGGCAAAAATTGTTAATATCTAAATTCGGGTAATTGATCTTATTGGGTTTGCAATAAAAAATAAACCAAAAGTGTACCAGCCACAATACTTTGTGAAAATTTTGTAATGCAAAATTTTTTTCACATACTGGTAATAGTTAATTTAGTTTGGCAAAGTGATATAATATATGGATTATAGTCGATAGAACTATTTGACTATAGTCATTTACACTATTCCGGCTTTAATCAATGTATTTTTGCATATTATTTCTTTCTCAATTCTTAACAGGAGATAAAATAAAGCCAGTCGATTGACTTTCTGTAATTTTGAAAATTTTTACCTTCAGCTTCCTGTAGACTAGCACATTGAGGGAATTTCATCCATTAAATTGAATGGAACCAATATCAAGACTGGAAAAGTTTAAATTTTTATCTGGCCTGTCATTGCATTGGCTGGTTACTATGATAATTTCATAAATTCTCCATTGTTTTAGTTCTACTTGTCTCTTGTTTTTAATCCATTTTGGGACATCTACTTTATTCCCTAAATAAATTTGGACAGCGAATGTCTGAAAAATGTACTATTTCCCCATTTGTTTCATCCTTCCATGAGGATTCAATCTGTTTTTTTTTTTTGACAATGATTTTCCACATGGATAATATGTGTGTGCTTTGTGCTTCAAACAGCTTTGCATTTTGCAATATGATTGATTATTTATAAAAAAAAATAATAATAAAATCGATTGAACATAAGATTACTTTATTACGAATTTATGGAGATTTGTCATATATATGTATGTTGGTTTTGCGATAACACGGTAAGATTATTATTTCCGTAACGGCGCCTACCCTACCGCCTGGCTAGTGCTTTTTGCTATGTTGGAAGGTTGCAGCATCGCTGAGGATGGATACCGGCAAAAATAGAGATTCTTTATTGTCGCAAACGAGTTCAAGTTGTACTCTGATAGGAAATTTACCCTCTCACTCCCTCGATATGAAAATAATTATCGGGAATACGTTTGTCATCCCATCGTTGATTTCCTTGCATGACTTGGCAGGTTCTAAATGTACACACTTTTGCGTGGTAGTTCACGCATGTAAGCGCATTTCCAAGTACATGTACTGGTATCTGGAACAATAAACTGGCTACGTATGCCGTGATTCTCTGCGTGATTTAGCAGTCTCGTTTATTTAATTCTCCCTTTGGATAAATATTAAAATGCTATCATATTTGGACTGACTGACGCGCCACTATTTTTGGTTTTCGTGATCAAATTTAAAACGTACACGGTCTTGTTATTCTAGAATAGACATCTTACATGAAAAATTGATTTCACGGATAAACGAATCGAATACATTTTATCTTGCTTTCGAATTTAAATTCCTGTATAGGGAGAACTGGAGCAAGTCTTAGACTGATCACCCTAGTATTTATTGACACGCGTTATGGAATGTGACTCCAATCTGGATTTCTTGTTGAATGTCGAATTGTTGTATATTATTGAAAAGATGCATCGAGCTCGGAGTTTTTCTATTATTATTTCCCCATGAACAACAACTCAGTATTGGAATATGAAAATTAGTGCATGGCAAGGTTTCGAATAAGTATCTATGCTGAGGTATTGCGTGACATTTATATAATCGTAAATATCACAAAACTTAATATAAATCAGTGTGTCAACTTGTAATTACCGATAATTGTTGATAGGCAAAAAGTGAGTACGTATCACGAAATGTTGGAACCCCTGGTCAGGTATTTCTAGTTTAAAAGTCTCATAAACGCCTCTTCGTATAAGATGGAGTGCATTGGTTGGGCAATAATTCTGGTCCTTTTGTAACATGTATATTGGGCCTGCATATCACTGGCAGTTTGCTTTGTTTGGAGCGAATATTGTGAACTCGGTAACGATGTTTCGATTTTCCATTTCCAGTAAAAAATAATCTAAACTTGCAGTAGGGCGCTTACTACATACACAAGCCCCAAAGTACAAATTTTGGACCAGTCCAAATTATAACTTCGGGCAACAAATTACTTCATATTTCTACCTGTTTATCGTATATATGTCGTTATAACTATAGTTAAAAACTTTATTAAACATATGAGACAAAATGACTTCACTTCCACCAGCATGAATCATCAGCTTTCGAAAGTTTAAACGTTTTGTGGTTTTTACCTATCACATCACAACACGCTTTTTGTGTTAACCGTCTGTATTTTAATAAAAGTTGAAACATAACAAGAAAATATTCTAGTTTATGAAAAAAATTTACGTAATTTTTTGTTTACGTAATGGGGATGTCGTGGAATCTGGAGAAAACGATAGTCGAAAAAAAGACTTCTCTCGAGCAAGGTTACGATTTCACGAAATACCTACACCGAACGAAGCTCGAAACAAAAAGCATGTTATAGGCCTACGTAGGAAACTGATATGTCGTAATAATGACTGGATTTTTTTTGCGAATTTAGATGCGAATATTTGAACGATCGTTGTATGTGAGTTCATGATATTTAAGCATGTTATTTGTAATGTTTTAAATACGTAATTCGGAATACTGAAAAATAATTCCAGGCCCATCAAATTTTGGTGGTTCTTTACTCAAATCTCAAATTGATAGTACGATTCAGAGACTGGTGCTTTCTCACTTGTCCAGACTGTAATAAGTAAAAACTTACTTAGTCACACTTTTTGTTTTTGTACATGGACTACATTATGATATACCGTATATATTAAATTCTAATTATAACTTTAGAAAGTTAATATGCAAATAAGATATTTATTCATCTCACTAACGGTCTAGTCGAAATGATAAATGCTGAGACATCAAGAAATTGACTTCCGAGGAGTTCAGATCGAAGTTATACTCAATTAAACGTGTGTTAAATAACATTTGAGTACAGGTCGTTCCCTCTGTAGCATAACAATGACAAATGATAATACAAAAGCGGAATTACCTATTTTGCATTCCTAACGTGTATTATTTTTTGAGTGACTACCAATTGACGAATTTCACATTTGTTATTTTCAAATTCAAAAAGTTGAATCGAAATATTTCTAAATCTAAGTGTAACATAATAAAGTGGAAATAAAATAGTTTTGAGTGACTACCAATTGACGGATTTCACAATTGTTATTTTCGAATTCAAAAAGTTGAATCGAAATATTTCTAAATCTAAGTTTAACATATTGAAGTGGAAATAAACTAGTTAAAAAAACTAAGAAAATTATGTCAATAGGACTTGCTCCCATGTTTTCGAACCCTCAAAGCCACAACTTTTTTTACGTCTTTCCCTTCGAATAAAGCCTTGTACAAGCAATGATGTAAAAAGGGAGCACTAAATTTTGAAGGGCTGCATTCCCCAGATAATATATTATCACATTGTTCTATTTTCACAAATTTGAGTCATCTAAAGATTCTAAACGGAAAGACTCCATTACCTGTCATAGACACTCGAAGATGTATTTGATAAGCCTTCAAAACACGGTGCGCCATTTTTAATTACGATGACGTCATCTCATAAAAATTTATAGTGAAAAACGAATCCCATAGAGCCCACAGAAATTTTTGTAAAAAATCATAGAACCAGCATTATTGGGGCAACAATCATTAACCACTGAAAAAGCAATTGGTCTTGTAATTTGAAGACACCCAGAACAAGAATACCAACAACAGCGACATAATAACAAAACGATCCACAGGTCTACGTCGTTTCCAATAACAAAGGAATGCCGGACTGGTATCTCGGATACCGCTATGGGAGATATATTGTAAAATTCGATGCCATTGCCAAATATACTATATCCCAAACCTTTGCCAGAACGCTAACCACTCCAGTCTTATACAAAAACACCTAGTTTGATTCATTGCGAATGGTACCTCATGAAAGCCTTCGCTCGTGGCCCCAACAGGAACCGCAACTGGGTGCCCTGGACCCAGTTTGAAAAACCCTGAGCTAAACCATGACTCAAGCTCGAACTGTCACCCCCTAAAATAGCAAGTCGGTTGGATGATGCATTCTTTCTTTTTATTAAACAACATATAATAGTAATTAATATATTTGTATTGATATACTGCATGACAAAATACATTATTCAAAATAAAAATAATTTTACTATCTAATTTTTGTAAAAAAGTTTTTTTATCGAGGTTTGAAGAATAAAATAGAGGGTTTACACTTGTATTATAAGTTGTAAAAGGTATAAAATAGTATTCCCAGACTTCTGACGCTATTATCATTAAAATACGTCCGTTTAAGTATGTATCGCTAATAATATTAGGATCAGCCAAGGGGAGTAAAATCAGCCACACATAAGGCAAAGAAATAGATTAAAATTATTCTTTCGAGTTTTTCTATACAGTACTGTTCCAGCTAAAGCTAAAACTGGAATAACACTTTCATAACAATTATCCACTAAAACACTATAAAGTAACATAACCTCTTAGTAAAATATAAGTCACTAGTAATATAATAAGTGGTACAGTATGTTATAACGAGCTAGCAGTAAAAGAATAATATTAATAAAAATGAATCTTCAATAAAAGCAGCAATACCAATATATGATATGATTTTTCATAATGGTCGTTCAATCATAATTAAGCAGAAATTACCACTATATTTTTTAAACGTTCTGCACAAATAAAAGACCAAAATATAAATATGACTGAAATTTAGGTTTTGAAATAATTTGCATTTTCAAAATATAGAGCATTAAAACTGCTTAATATACCAATTCCATAATCAATTTTGCTCCCAAATAAAAATAAAATATACCATTTTTAAAGTCCTAAAAAGCATATCCAGTTATCATCTATAAAACTCCGATTATACAAGACCATTTGTTGTGTAATATAGATAATTTCTAAAAATAAATAGAGATCGCAGGCTATTTCTATATTGCTATGTTTGCCTTACTAATAATTCTACAACATAAGGAAGTTGAGCCAGTTTGTCTTTCACATATTCCGGTAGTCGAACAGTCTGACCAAACCTGTAAAATTGAAACACAAATTTATACAAAGCTAGAAAACTGTATTGAAAGAAAATTGAAAATAAAATGTTTGACTTAATTTACTTATAAATTAGATAGAAGATAGAATTGATAGTAGAAGATAAAATTGATATTACCAGTTACCACCCCATGGGCCGTTCCACTCTCATCCACTTGAATCTACACACATTGTTAATGTGTTACAAATTGATCTAAAATATATACTGGGGGTTTCTGATGGGTACCGCATCACAAGAGTTGAAGTATTTTGAGAAAAGTTGCTTTTAAATTTAATCGCGTGTATTTTAATTTTTTTATTTCAATATCTTGGTACACAAATTGAAAAAAAAATAGGTGTTCCCGAGGTATGCGAACCAAGAAGCCAAGAGCATCCTGTAGTATTTATACCAAAAATTATGGCCTAACCCTAACCTAGTACACATGTTACATTACGATGTCCGCCATCTTGGTTCGCATACTTCGGGAGCCCCAAAAAATATATATATAAAATAGTTGGCCACATTTTTGCTAAATTACATTGTATTGCAACAAAACAGATAATTTATTACATTACTCAAATGCCGATTTACACCAATACCAACACAACTCTCGAGTGTTGTTCATCGCCTCTAGTCACAGAGTAGAAATTAATCCACCATATAAAACCAATTTACCTCTCGACTTTTCCATTAGGATGAGAATATAAAACTTTAGTAGCAGATGACTGAACCATTATTTGTGATTGGTCATGATATTGAACCCATATATCACCAGATCTTAGATGAGATGCAAATCCAATGTTCGGTATATTTACTGATTTAACGACATCGTTTTCATTTGCAAGCGGTACAAAAGATAACTGTCTTTGTGCTAAAATAAATAAAAATATAATATATATATGTAAGATAACTAATCAACCTTGTTAAATTTCATGTTATGACACAAGTCTTAAAAATTAGGTACGTACAGTACAGATGTGTGTTCATGAGCTCCCAACAAATGCAGTGAAAAATATATTATAAATGGCCTATTCAAACTATGCACCCCACTTGATTAAGTTGTTTTAAGTTATTTTCTCAACTCGAGTTCATATTCACGGGCCCTGCTTAACTTCATTGTTTTGGATAGATAACTTTGGCTCAAAACCCAATAAATCCAGAAGCTGTGCACAGTGAGTAAGATATGTTATTCCAACTTTGTAGACTTCAGGGTATTTACTTAGCAAGAGCTTTGTTGTGAGCAGAAGAGCAAATGAATGCCTGATATAGCACATGAATTGCTTTTGCTATTTTTCAATAGGGAATTGCAATCATAGCCTAGTGGTGAAAGTGTTGGTGTCGCAAGTTACACCTATCAGGTTCAAATCCCATGCTCATCACCCTCACTTACCCACAATGTAATAAATTAGATAGGCAATGCAGAACTGGAAAAATTCTGATATTTCTAAATTCAGTTGCTCAGTAGAACTACAAATTAGTATATGTTGCACACCTAGTTCAGAATGAATAATCTTAATGAAAAATTTTACAAAAAACTAACCTGGCCTCATCCCATCTGATAATGTAGATTTAGCTGATGTTCTAGAATTCGGTGTCACAGGCAGACTTCTTCCTGTTTTCGGACCTAATTTCGAACTTACGCCAGTAGCTACTGTATTATAAGACAGTACGGATTCTGTGATTCGAATAGGAGGAGCAATACTTGGTGATGTTGTGAGTGCTACAGAAGGTGATGGAAGACTGTTGGGGGAGAGACAATCTGGTGGTACAGAGGATTGTGTGGGACCTCTGTCTTTCTTGGGAGGAGTTGTTGGACGAGTATTGGATGATTGTGACGATGACCCACTTGCTTTGTTAGCATTCGTGTTGGCGACATGGGCTGGTCTCCTGTGTGAAAAATATAAATTAAATTTTAAAATATAATAAATATATAAAATCAAATTAGGACATTTAAACATTAATAAACTAAATGATTTTTATATTCATCCAAGCAGTATATATTATTTTACAGAATTCTGGAGTAGATTTCAATTTCTACGAGTCGTCCAAGACACACATATTCAAGGCTCTGTCAAGCACTGCAATGCAGCATAATATTTTCCTTTACAGTTGCTGAATACGAAAATACATATATCAGTCATATTGGCAATATCAAAATGATATCAAAAACAATTAAAGCTTATATTATTGTATTATCCCAACAACGAAGAAAATTACCTTGACACTGTGATTGGAAAATAAGATGACTTTTTATCTGTAGATTCCATAATATTAATCGCAGATTCCAGATTTAGACATTTTTGTCGCACTTGCATTGCATGTCGTACCATATCTTGTAACTCAATTGGAAGTTTACCGACATCGCAATCACTATAAATGCTGGAAAGAAATTTGAATGAATTTAATGGAGAATAACTAGGAAACGAATAGGATTTTTATTTTAAAAGAGAGAGAAAGGAAAGCAGATAACATAATTTAATAAAAGTCAGACATGAAATATCTGGATTGGAGAATGCTGTAATAGGAAACTAGAGGTTAGGTATTGTAAACCAATCTGCGATGGCATGGGGCGATGGAGGTGTCCTTTACCACATTGAGCATGCCCATCCGAATTCGAATCTTCGAATATATACTCGGTTATTAGAGGTGCAATGGCAGGTATGTTCCTTATAGTTCCTAGCATAATCAATATCAATATCTGTTGAGTGCAATCGAATTTAAATTTTTTACAAAAAATCCCATTTTTTCTCGATGTATTTGTGTCAGCATAATGCACTATAATACATTAATTAATCAATAGGGCACCAAATTATAAACAAGAGAGAATAGCAATCTTAAATTAGGACATTCAAAAAAATTTAAAATACCTTGAACTTGATGCTGTACTTTGAGAATCTAATGTCATAAGTCTTCCTGTTGAGTCAATAATTTTTGTTTTTCCTTTTGTCTGATGAATCTTAGACCCTGTTGTAAAATTTCAACAAATGCTAAAATATATAGACTAGAAATAAACCAAACACAATACTAAACTATAAAAAAATATTAGGAGCACAGAATGTCAATAAAGACTTACCATCATAAAAACAAACTTCCAAATCAGCATTTGGATCATTTTCCATCAACATGCATTTTGCTTTACTTGTGAATAAAGTAACTTTTGGAGTTTTGGAACGAACGAGGGTGACAAACCTTAATACAAAGAATTACAAATCAGAAAAGCGTTTACTGGCAAATACAACATCTTCAGAAATGCAACATCTACAGAACATGTTCATACATTAGATGTCATTATTCAATTTCAATTCAATCAATAATTATAAAGAGCAATTATGCCGAAGAATGATATATCATGAAACCAGATAATTATTGTTTAATTCAGATTCAGATATTTATTTTTTGTCGTGCAAAAACATTGTACTATTTAAACAAATACTAAAAATTAAATGACTTCATTGAAAAAGAAACGTAAAATATTTGAACTGCAATGGACGAGGGGTCGCAAAGAGACTATTAAAAGTCATCATGTCAGCAACACCATAATTATAATTTAATTTCAATTATCAATTGCAGAATTTTTATCTAGTACTTACTTTGCGAGATATCGATATTTATTCATATATCGACTTGGAACATTTTCTGGAGTGAAGTCTGAACATTCGGGAGTTGGTGATGGCACTCGGTCATTACCATTATCATCGGTTTTCAATTTTGGAGTGTATATCTAAAAACAAAGAGAGTATTGCTGAAATAAATGGACACGAATTCCCAACAACTAACCCAAACTTACACTCAAATGTGGCTGAGCATTGAATTTGAAAAAAAATCTTAGGACAGTCATGATGTAGGCGGTCATGCTTGATGGAATAAGAATAGTTCCCATTAGGTAAAATGAAATCAAATTTTGGGTAAAATAAGACACACAGGTAATTCCAACAAATTATAAGCAAAAGGATTCTTTCAAGGGCTGAAAACTTTAAATTGATTGGCCCATGGGTCCATGAGTTGGAGGAGTCGCCTGAACAATAAAACTAACAACAACAACGATTTAGCAAAACAGTCCAAAGGCCCACTTCAAGTCCCATGAATAATATTTAGTGACAACATTGGGTCGCAATATTTTTATTCAATAAAAATTGAAATAAATTTTTATGAACCTTGATGTTTTTCCCATCTTCAGAAATCCTCAAAACCTCAGTGGTAACTTCTTTTCCACTCCGGATTTTAACTGTCTCAAGACAAACTTCTCCACTATCAAGGATGCTCAACTGAAAAAAAATATTTTAAATGCTAAAATTGGTTTGCAATCTTTGTTGTTTTCCTGGCATTGGTCCATCAATGGGTTAAAACTCAATATTTCTACCAGATGTGAATAGATTATTATTGCAAAATTTGTACCTTTTTTACCGATATATAAATAGAACTAGTGCACAGTAATTACAAAGAATCATTATATTTTGGGCTGCAAGTCAAGACTATTGTTTGACCCATGCATGGTATAAATATTGAGCAGATATTACCAAACTACAAGAATTTTTGAGTCTAAAATCTAGTGACTGAGTACTTGTTTGTGCAGAGATAGATTTAGTTGCTAGTGTGGAACACCTCTTTGAAAATAAAACAAACTTACAACAGAATTTTTTGTCTTTTGTCGAATTGCCCGTAATCTTTTTGAGTTGATTGTAGGAAGAGGTTCTTTCTTACCATTACGACTTGAGTCGGATTTTACAGACGGTGGTTTGCTCGTTTTCATATTAGAATCTGTAAAAAGGTGCAAAGATTTAAAACATTAGAAAATATTTGAAAAAAGGGACCTCCAGAAGTATGCGCACCAAGATGGCGCCCAACCTGAACATAGTATTGTGTACCGGTTAGGATTAAGGTTGTGCAACATCTTGGTGCGCATACTTCTGAAGCACTGAAAAAAGTAATAATTCTGGTATCGCAAGTTACAGATCCCCTGTTTTTATTCTCCAGAACCTCTCTTCTACACCGCACATTTTATTTATCCAAACATTAAAATGAATGGGAATTTACTCTTCAGGTTCATTGATTTCTGTCATTTAAAAAACATTTCAAATTTGTAGATATAGCTTCTATTCTACCTTTTCATTTAAAACCTATTTAAACGTGACAATATGATTATATTATGTACACAATTGCTTGAAGAAAGAATATTGTGAAGTAAAAAATATATTAGTATTGACTATTGAATATGATTACCTGTCGTAGAATGAGATGGATTATGGTGCGATCTTGTAATTTCAGGTTTTGCAATATTTTCTTTATTGTTCCCGTTTCGACAATGTGAAATGGCATTTTCATCCCGGTTTCTATGTTCCTGATATCTTCCTTCATTTCTGCCAGAAGCAGATTCCAATTTTTGCGGAATTTTTTGAAGAGAACAAGTACTAGAATAAGGGTCGCTGTATGCTTTTTCATTACGCCTTGACCCAACTTGAGAAAGACTCTCACAACTTTTATACTTATTTAAACCTTCCATACCACGATGAGAAAAGCAATATGAGCCGGAGTTACAACAACTACAGTTACCGCCTTTACGATCGCTTTGTAAATGATTATTATTGTCCATTGATATTAAAGAAGGACTACTACCATGCCAGTGGTTTGAGTTCGATTTATAGAAATGTGGTTCGTATTTAGCAGTCCTTTGTGTAAATTTAGTGTTTTCGGTAGTACTGCTCATATCTGAACATGTACGCTGAGTGTTGAGTTGTGAGTGAGAATTTTCGGATTTCCACTCATCTGAGTTGAGATGAAATTGAGGATTAGAGTAACTTTTTCCTCTCTCATAATTTAAATTACGGGGTTGGAGAACTCTACCGGGTGAATTTTCTCGCACTTTCTTAGGGGGGTTGAGTTTAGAAGGCAAAAGATGTTCCGAGCTAAGATATGATTTACATGAGTCATTTTCTCGAGCATTCTCTTGCTTTTGGTGAGAGTTATTTTTTCCTCGGCATGATTCGGAAACCTGAGTGCAATATTTGCCACTGTTTTTATGACATGGTGTTGATGACGAATGATATCCAGAACAATTTTCACATTCACACATATTATTACATGAAGAAGAGTCTGATTGTTTTCGTGTTGGGCACATTTCGGCTCTGTTGGGATGAGGTACAATGAATGGTCTTGTACGAGGGGGAAGCCTCGATGCTGTGTTGGGTGTTGACTTACTACCAGTTACTCTGCTGCACCAATTTGTTGAATTAGTTGTCATTGTAGCGAGACCACTATCAATAGAATCTTCATGATCTTTACCTTCCCATTCATTTGTCTGTAATGCATGAAAACTCATGATTGAAAAGACTCAAATGTATAAGAGTGACTTTGAATAACAGATCAACTTGAATATGTTAAGCTAGGATCTCCTTATTATTAAATGTTTTGTTTTAAAAAGTTTGAATTGACTTGCTATTGAGCAGAATCTTCAGAACTTAAACGCAGATGATGATTTCATACAAATGGGACAATTTTATAAACAAGCTTTGAACTTTTGTATATGACATATTAATATGCTTTTTGCTGTGAACAAGGGTCCACATGAGCAGCCACTGCTAGCTAGGCAAGAAGCTACTATAAGTCTGAAATCTTTCTGTTTCAAGATTGCCTACCCAAGTTATTACACCCCAGATAATGTGGTGGGCATGGGATTCGAACCCGAGATTTTAACATAAGGCGACATCATAATCAAGTCTAAGGCTTCAACTACTAGAAAACAGAATTTACATTAACCAAACAACTCAAATTCCTCATCAGTCCATAAAGTTTATTTTTTTACATTAATTATTGTCATGATTGGTTTTCATACTCAGATTGAAGAACTATACTTGATAGCATATGATGTACTAGACAAGCACCACTTAATATAAATGATTTCAATTGCTACAATTACAATAATAAACCATTCAAAAACAAATTATTGAATCTGGATACAATATTCAAACTTACCATGAAAGAATGATCCAATACTGCTGACAATGTAATCCTATCGCTTGGATTTTTTCTAAGCAATCTCTGAATTAAATCACGAGCATTTTCACCTAGATCTGGTGGAAATTGATAATCACCTAAAACCACTTTGTTTAGTGTTGATTTCACAGCATCAGTCTGAGAGAAGAGGGAATAGAATTTGAAGAATAAAATCATAGATGCCACATTGAAGTCTTGAAAAATAAAAATTTATAAAAGCATACTGCCATAAAATGCAAAAACTGTGCTATCTTTTTAATTACTTCACATGAAATCTCAATAAGACATTTTAAAAATATATATAGTACATATTCATTACTAAACTTACATCAAATGGTGGACTCCCCACCAAGAAAGTATAAAGCATACATCCCAGTGACCAAACATCAGATTGAAGACCATGCGCACTCCTTGTAGCAATCTCACTGAAATATAACAGAACAAGGTTAGAAAGTGTTTTAAATTAAAAATTGTTTCATTTTCAGTAAATATATTGTGACTATTTTCAAAATTATCTGAATTTTTGAAATTTTGCAATGATGTCGAAATATAAACAAATATTATGATTAAAACGTGTTCAATCCTAAAAATTTTCTATCCAGAAAATACAACCAAATTATAGGCATGAAGTTCATAAAAGGCTGTAATAAAGTTTGATAAAGTTCAAAGTTCACTTTACACCGAATTCAAGTATAAATTGGCAAAACTAATAGAATATGTTAATTAAAATTAAATAAACACATACGGTGAGATAAAATTAGGTGTTCCACACATCGTAAAATGTTTGTCCGTTGGCATCGAAAGTTTTGTTGCAAGTCCAAAATCTGCAATTTTTATGTTTAATGAATCATCAAGTAGCATGTTGGATAATGTTAAATCCCGATGTATTATGCCGTGTGCATGAAGATGTAGCATTCCATCGACAATTTGATGCATGAATATCCTTGCTGTTAATATGAGAAAACAGTTCAAGTAAGAAGTTATATTCAGCTCCAAAGGAGAACCACATAGTTGAAAATTGTCAAACTCAAATAAATTTGAAAATGGGAATATTGGACAAGTCGTTATTTCATTTATATTGTAAATTAGGAATAATCTTTTCATCATAGCAGACGGCAATGCAACTAGCTTCAATTCAACCACTAAAAAATGAATAATAACACCATACAATATTTTCATGGCTTCGGTGTCGAAAATTTTTGATATGGTGAAATTAGGAATATATCGCATATCTTAAACATAGTTGAAATATTTTTATAATGTATTTTAATCAGTAAATTATCAGAATTGTCAGAGACCTTGCAAATAATTGTTGTCTGGAACAGATTATGAAATATGAATACGTTGTGCAGTATATTATGTCTATGTTTGGAGGAATGTATATAAGTACCGGTAAGTAAGTATCAAAATTTTTATACTCTCCAGGGTATATAAAAAGTAGACAATGAATACTAAAACTGTAAAATCAAAAGAAAAACTTTTCCAACCTTGATCTTCCGACATCTTTCCCTTAGTTTTTACATAGCGACTGAGTTCTCCACTGAGACATAATTCCAAGACTAGATAAACATAAACAGTGTCTTCAAAACAATGATATAACTCCAATATAGAAGAATGTTTCAATTGTGCTTGTATTTCAACTTCATTTCTCACTCGAACAACCATGCCAGATTTACGCATTGTTTTTTTATCGATAACTTTTATGGCAACTTCTCTATTCGTCAGTCGACATTTCGCTCGATATACACAAGCGAAAGCTCCTCTTCCAAGTAAGTTTGTGACCTCATAGTCTGAAATTTTGTTGCCCATCTGTGATTGGTCAACTTGATGGGGAGACATATCGTTGCCAATGTTATTGTTGTGTTTGAAATTGTTCATACAAGTTGCCATCATAACTGCTGGGAATCGTACAGTAGATCGAAAGCAAAAATCTAGAAAAAAAATTAATGTTAATAAAAAATGTATGTAAGAGTGGTTTTAAATAACTCGGCTCAAATTTAGCATTGTTATAAACTCAGATGATTAGTAATTGCTTTATAACAGTATTAAACAACTATCTTTCTCTGAAACAAATTTATGATTCAGTTTAAATTAGTATTCACAATGAATCATATGATACAATTTTACAATATAACAGATAAATCCAGGTATAAAAGACTATGAACCAATTCATTTGAATATACCCACAATCTTTGGCATACATGATAGAGTACTAAAGTACAAATATATTCATATTTAAAATGGACAAAAGTATCAAATGTACATGGAGTGCATTATGAAAAGCAAAAAAAAAAATTTGAACCTGAAACGTAGATCATTGAAGAAAGAAAGAAAATTGTGAAAAAGTATTAAGTATAACAAACAATGCAAAGATACATATTTATATTACGATAACGCAGAATGGATTATCGATATAATTCAACTGATAAGGCATGAATACTCACCAGATAATTTCCAAGTTACTGATATTAAATTTTGTAAAAAACACCATAATCGCATTCTTCACAAACACTGGAATTATTCGCAACTTTCATACCCCAATTCAAAATTAGTTATCAGCTTGGAAAATCATAAATTCTACTGAATATCGGCCAAATGAGTCAATATCAATCACTGTCTAGCAAATTGCATCGAAGATGAAAAGAAACTGGGGAATTGCAGCAGGATATCGAGCTAATCTGTGGCTTGAATTCACAACCTGACTTGAATCTGTAATAGCGTTTGAAGTTATGTTGCCAAACGTCTAACGGCAGAAAATACTCTTGACATACCTTAACACAAATTTTCAGCACAGTCCATGCAATGTCGGTTGCAGTTTAAAAGTCTTCATTCAGTGAAAGTTCTTCAGAGATGTCGATTAACAGCCGTTTGCTGCAAGCCTAGGCTGGTTACGGGCAAGTCCTATATTAGCAGTGTTCCCAATAACTTTTAAAATCCATCGTATATTACAATATTCGTGCATTTCATTACCAAAACATAATGATACAACATTTCAAATGCATAAAAATATGTTTTTATTTCACTAATTAAGTTAGAATCAACCAAATCATTATTAATATTACATCAGTAATATCGTATGGGAACACTAACTGTCATTTGACAAAGTGTCTGTTGCCTCGGCAAACAATCAAATTTCCCTCCGTTTGATCATCAGATAGGTGGCGCTAAATCGAGAGAGTGCGTTGATTATGCGTAAAAAAGTATATCAACCACACAAACTGCCGTTTCCCCTGTTGGGTAAATAGGCAAATATAAGTATTTAATATTTGTAGTGACATCATAATAAATTCCACAAGAAACATGTTCTGTCTCGCTATGTTTACATATTCTAAAGCCGTTGCCGAAAAGGTCACACACATAGCCAGGTCGTCGCATCATAGGCAGGATTTCATACAGAAATTTCTCAATAAGTCAGCGACGTTTATAAATTTAAATACCCATTCTGGAATAAGAGGTAGTATATGATAATGAGAATTAACTCATGCTTCACGAAGAATTGGAATATTACGAAGCTCAGTGCAGAAGAAATTCGATAAGATTTCCCAGTCATGGAATGATCCATCGTCCTTCTTTCCAATCTCTATGTTGATATTTTCGAAAAAGCATATTTTAATTAAACCATCATAATACTCGTTAAAGTTTCCATGTGCATATTTAAATAAACTAAAATAAGTAATAATTCATAAAACTATGGAATTGACGCCACCTTGTGGATGTAAACTTCGAATATACACACGTGAGATTTCGTTGACCGCAAGCCCACATGAGAAAAAAAAAATGAGAAATATTTTGACCTTATTTTTGAAGCGTAGAAATTTTCCATTTAGAAGAGTTTATTTTTTTTTATCTGACAATTACCTATTTAAAAAAAAAATTCGGCAAAAGCTCTGCTGTTTGCTGTATACACAGCACGGGTGAGAATCTATTATTGGCACGAAGCAAACATGCAAAAAGATAATTCTTTTCAGAAGTCTGGTGTTTTCAGTTCAGCATTGCCTGCCCAATTTTATTATACCATTACTATATAAGCAATTTTATTTGAGGTTTGCGACGCATCTTTATTGAAGTTTTTGTGTTAATTATTCAACATCACATACGGCCATACCTTCTCTTTGAATGTCGTTTGTACAACATGAGTTACTACAAATGTTTCACCGACATAAAGCTTACTCGAATTATTACATGATGAGCAAGATCATTGGCGATAACAATAAAGCAGAAACTATGACCGAACGACTCGATAGTCGATAATCAAAATTGCTGCGCTACTCGAACTGAAATTCGGTTGACCGTACATTTGAACCCACGTACATTTGTGTATATCCGCGGGTTCAATCTATATGCGGGTGCTAAAACCCATGGGTTAGGGTTAGTATAGGTTCAAATATACGCAAAACAAAACAAAAATTCCATAGGTGCAATTGTCGTGGGTTAAAATGTACGGAAACCGAAATTCGGTGTGCCGCCGAGTGAGATGACGTTACCCGAACGCGCGTCTCGGTTGCCCCTGGACCATTCAACAAGAAAGCGATGCCGTGAATGATTCCATTACATTTGAACCCACGACAATTGCACCTGCATATCTACTATTGCACCTATGTAATTTGTTTTTACTAATATTTGAGCCCATACTAACCCTAAGCCATGGATTTTAGCACTCTCATATAGATTAAACCCGCGGATATACGGGTGCAAATATATGGGTTCAAATGAACGTGGGTTCAAATCAACGGTCACCCCGTGATAACACACAAAACCGAATCTCATAGTGGCCACAGAAATTTGCTCAACTGATACATAATTTCTATATTTTTACCTTTATTATGTTTAATTTTTGATAGGTACACATTTAAATAATAATTATTATTGTTGTTTAGTTACACGTTTTGGTAATATATTGGAATGTGTAAAAACGAATCAAAATGATTAACCATTGTTCGTTATTGAAAGAAATTTTGGTGCTTGAACCAATCAATAGTCGAACACCAATCCTGAACGAATAGCCTATGCTAGACTGCCGAGGTATCTTGGTATCAAAATTTACGGGATTTGGTAATCCCGGTTGACAGTATCCTCACCTTTTTCACCAATTTAAAAAAGGCGTGATTGAATTCAAAGTGGAAGAAAGAAATTTTTTAATTTTGAAATATAGAACGTGTACCACACAACCAACCGTCGTATCAAAGGTATTCAAGAATTTCACTTTTCAGGGTCTTACCAAGGCTTTTCTGTATATATGCCTCAAGCAGATGTCATTCGTAAAAATTTGGCAAATAGATATACTCTAACAGCACATTTTTGGGTACTCCCGTAGTATGTGAACCAAGCTGACGAACACCGGAACGTAGTATGTGTTAGGCTAGGCTTAGGCCTAAGTTTCAGGTACAAACACTACGGGAGTCACTCGGCTAGTCCCCGAACTGATTCTAAAATTATAAAAAGGAAAATTGGAATAAAATTATGAGCTAACCTTAACCTGGAATGAAATTATGACCTAACCCTAACCTGGTACCCATACTACGTTCCAGTGACCGCCATCTTGGTTCACATACTACGGGAGTACCCATTTTTGTATATTTCAGGCAAACAAGAATTGATAATTCTTAATTGAAAATCGAAGCTATGATGCTATTTTTTAAAATCTTTTTTGAAATGAAAATTTTTTTGAAAGGAAATCTTATCCATGGCGATTGCATACATGCTCAGTGAAGAAGCGACTGTCGAATAAATGATTCAATTGTATAATAAAACGTAAAACAATTAATCAATCCACTTTTATAAAAAATATAATTTATTAGAAAATTTACAAAAATTAAATAAGATAAAATCGGGTAAAATCTGTAACAAAAATAAATTTTGAACAGTATCTAGAAAATAAAACAGTGACGATAAATATAAAGAACAGAATAAATATAATCCAAGATATAGCATTGATACCGTTTTGGAGAAAAATAATTTGATTGAAATTTCCAAATATATGCAAAACGTAGATACCATTTCAATAGTTTTGTTTTGACAAAATACGCCATGTTGTAAATGCACAGGTATTTGACATTAATTTCGAAATGATTAGTAGATCAAAATGTTTAACCGAGAAGGGCGAGTTTTGGAGTAAAAAGAGTATAAATATGACGATAATTTTGTATGACATAAAATAAAGGTCAATTACCACAGTGCGTGCAAAAAACAAGCAAAGACTCTTTTGAAATCAAATGGATTGATCTATGTTGCATTATTTCGACAGATAGTTGTTTCAATTTTATTCTAGAAATTCGTATGATAACATATATAATAATATATATATATACATTGTATGATGCTATATATAATATAATTAATACACCTACAGTCTCGAAACGTACAATAGAGCAAAATTTTTGTTCAAGTAAAAATAAATCATCAATTATTTATAATTTGATCATGTGAAATACTCAAAACGTATTTTGATTATTATATGGTGCGATTTGGTTGTATCAATTTTGAATTAATACCAACAAAATAATACTAAATATTTTGACGCTAAATGAACATTTTGAAACATTGGAAATATTAACTCTAATTTTTTTCTATAAATTTTGCATTTGATTAATTTTTACGTAAGTGAACAATAATCAGTTAAAGATACAAATCAACTTAGCTAAGGGTGTGGAGTAAGATACTGGTCAGAGACAAAATTGTAATTTGAAACCAATATTTATGTATTTTAAGTCATATTTACACACGGTCTAAAGTCGGAATTTTTAAGCTATAATTTCGTTTTTCATGAGTTTGGAAATAGGGTCAGTTTTTATGAACTTTAAATCAAGAGTAAAATATTTATCAATCCGGAATCACATGAGTAATAGTGAACTTCTTAGCTGACGAATAAAACTACAAGGAAATAAAAATAACGTTATTTGAAAAATGAATGCTCCTGAAGTATGCGCACCAAAATGTCGCATAACCTGAACCCTAATCTGGTACACAACCTGAGTTCTGTTGTGCGCCATCTTGGTGCGAATACTCCGGGATGTCCGAAAAATGTCAACTAGGTAAATCTGTGTGCTTTTCCATTAAACAGATTCTGGTTGAGACACAGAAGCTAATGATTCTTCTTCGTCGTCGCTTCCCGTTTCTTCGTATTCACTAGAGTGGTATCCATCGGAACCGCCGGATATTTCATCATCCTGGTCATGGACTCTTATTCCAATACGCTTCTTCTTTTTTACCTTTATTCCTTTTGAAATTTTTCCTTGCGGACTCTTCTTCCGGGGTTTCATTTCATTCATTACTTTTCTAATTGGGACAAGGTGGGTTTGAAATTGGGTTTGTACGTTCCCGTTTGGAATTTTATCTTTTTCCGTAGATGTCAAGTTTGATTCCATCCTCACTCCGTCTGTCTCATCTACGGAGCGGAAAGTTGGTACGTCCATTCTACTTTCTTGGTGATTAAATGAAATTAGCGGCTTTCTTTGTCTCTTTTTCCGAAAGTTTTTTGTATATTTAAAACTGAGTTGCACAAATTCAATCACTGATAAAAGAAAGCAAATTGCGCTCAATATATTCATATAGCACATAAATATAGTTTTCTCCCAAGGTCGGGATACCCAGCACGGAACATATCCTGATTGATCTCCCAAAGACATATGCTGACCGCAAGCCCATTCAACATTTTCACCATCGCATCTGAATACTTGAGGAACTCTGATCAAAATTATTTCGAATGGATTGTAATCATTTTTCACTGTGTAATCGGTAAAATGGAAGAGACTGTAAGCGCAATACAGTGATAATGCTTCAAGAACAATTCGCATGCATACATTTGTAAGGTAGGCAATTCTGATATTCCTCGTTATTGTGAGATCAACTAAAGCGTTATTCGCATGTGTTGCAAATACTTTCTTCTGCTTGAATGCACCCACGCTTTTTCTTCGCCTCAGCAACTTCTTGCGGTCTCTTTGATTGAGTCCGGCTTTCACACTACCAAAAACGCTGTTGTCTTCAAGGCCAACGTTTGAATCATCATCGGCGGCATTTTCCGCCATTCGTATTTTTTCAATGCGTGCACCGACATTGAGGCTGTAGAAATGAAAAACCACAGAAGGTGCCGTTACAGCAAGAAGTTGGAAAGCCCAGAATCTGATGTGCGATATTTTTGAAAATCTGTCATAGCAAACATTATCACAGCCGATTACTTTTGTACTGCACCGAAATGCGGACTGTTCATCACTATAAACAGACTGTCCGACTGTTACTACGACAATCAAACGAAACACAAAAACGAGAAGATACCACAGTTTTCCGGCATTGCTGCTGTAGCTGCTGACATGTTCTAAAATCTTTTCAATTCCAGACCACATCTTTGGATGCTCAGTTTTTTTCTAATACAGCGAAAGCAGAATTTATAATAAGCCCTTGGTGCATAACGCTCAATTCATATAACATTTTTATGCGTGCAATATATACGCAACATTAGTTTGCGCCATTTGCTTGACACTGCGAAGGGCAAACCGATGTTGTGGACCTGTAAACAATAAGGTCGCCATGAATGTTTATTATTGAAACATTTATTTTTCTGACGTGACCCTTTTCTCATGCGTCATCATGTTGAAATCATAAAGATGTCGTGTCAAACAATAGATTTCCTATATGTACCCAACAGGATATAGTTTCATAAACACGAATTATGAAATGGAAAACTAAAACACTGTGTGATAAATATGCGCGGGTAGGAAACAAAAAACTTACGGACGAGTCTGAGACAATCGTCGGCTTCTCGTTTCAAGTTATTTGGTCAGTTGTGGCAGATTGCGCGGGTAAAGGTTCAGTTGCTTTGTTACCACAATTGAAGTGAGGCTAATTTTTAATTCGCCGTCATATAGTTTGGATAGCAAGGTAGAATGCGCTTTGGGCACGTTTGGCTGTGCTTTTTCCTTGTGACTCTGAGTTTTACTGCTGAATTGATTAGCTGTCAAAATGAAGAATTTGATGTGAGCAGCCATGATCACGAAAGTGGTAACGCTCACCTTCATCGTCAACGAAACCCCAAAATTAAAGCCACAAAATATGAAAACGAGTTTGACATTCACGAAAACGCCACAATGCATCACTCGGGCACAAAAAATTCTGAAAGTCGCAAAACAGAATCATCTGGTCACAAAAGCGAAAAGAAACTTGGCAAAAAAGATTCAAAACGTAGCCATAAACTACCCAGACGCAAAGGTAATCGTAAAGTTCAACGGGAAAGGCAGGAAGAGCAGGAAAGAGATTGGCATTATTGTTCGGACGGACGGAGGCCTAAGCAAGTGGAAGATCTGGAGATTGATGACCACGCAGTTGGCCATATGTGCAGGGAGCTCTACCCTACTTCGACTTGTTGCTTCGATCATGACTTGACAATGGAATTAGTCGGAGACAAGGTTTGAAAATGAGCTGTTGAAATTTCCAATAGTTATCAGTAAATATTCCTATTAATACGACGCAAAATTTGGATGGTTGGAATGCAAATAACATTTCATTTTGATATCAAAATCGTAATTTTTGAACTTGACAGAAATAATTCGGTCGTTTTGTATCGAAACAACTTTTTTGAATGAATTTTGATCACGAGGGGTGGGGTAAAACAAGCTTCGATGTCTTGAATAATTTAGGATCAAACTTGTTTAGTTTACCCAAGAAATGCGTGTATATATAGGTAAATGCTGTGACATGGATAATGGGAGTGATATTTGCGGCTTCTACAAATGCTAATTAGTTGGTAATTTCAACATTATTTTGGATAGTGATTTGTTTTTCGTATCTGGCCTACGCACAATCAAAATAATTTACCGATTTGTATTATTTTATTTTTGGCATTCAAACAAAAACAGTTTTGTTTTTGGGGTGTCATCTTACCATTAGTGAGGTATTTAACACAATATCCTGTTTCATGGGACATTATTAATAACAAAGGAAAGAGGAAATCGACCTCTGAGTTTGTAAAATATTATCTGATATGAAAGGAAACCAACTCGTCATGGATTGTGAAATTCTTATTTCAATTTGCCGACATGGGATGAATATGGATTGGGTGTAAGATACTACGTAAGTGTACCAGAGGCAGGTACAAAACATGGCGCTCCGGAAGTATTCGTACCAAGATGACACACAACCTGAACAACCAGGTTGTGCGCCATTTTGGTACGAATACTTCGAGAGCACCCAAAATATTACGTTAGTAGCTTGCTAACACTTACAAATTATCAACTGTAGTGAAATGAAATTTAAATTTAAAAAATAGCATAAACAGTTAGATAGCATAAACGATAGCATAAAGTTATCGCAAAAGGGCGGCATCGTAGTTACGTGCCCAATCAAAAAACGCTCATCGCCCCCAAGATAAACATATAGAATTCTATACTAACCTAGTTAACTACCATCAGCAACGCCGAAAGAAAATCGCACCAACCCGTGGTTTACAACCATTTCGAATTTTCCTTTTTAGGGACTAAATATATATGGTATATTACAATGATATGATTTAACTTCTCAGATTTTGGAGCAAGTTCCAGAGATGCAATGTGCTAGAATGTTGATGAAACTACGATGTGCTCACTGTTCACCAAGGTCATGGTGGCTTTTCCATGCACCAGACATGGTTCGATATCCACATAAGCGAGTATTGCCGATAATGTGTCCAAGCTTCTGTAGGAGATTTCATCGCCTTTGTCGGGATTCTGTGGCTGGTAAGTTGAGGTTACAAAGCAAGTATATACTGTATGTATTTTTGATCGGGTTTATTGGAAAGTCACCTCTCCGAAGTTAACTGTTTCGGCAATATGAAGTTAAATTGATTTCACCACTAAGAATATCAACCGTTCATACACAACATTTTTCCAAAAATATTATGCCGTTTTGTATAAAACTGATGCATAACGATCCAGTTTATCGAAACGGGCACAAGTCGAGGTTACTCTCACCTTGTCCAACAAATCTTGTAATATCTTGGTCGGGTTCACTTTGGACTCTTTCTTGTCATTTTTTCAGTAATGGAAATCCTCCCGATTTCTTCGCGATAGATAATCATGTCGCCCGTTTTCGATTTTTGTCGCGATCCGTAACATTAGGTAAGGGTATTTTGAACTACTTTTATTTAACTACACATTTTCTGGTATTCACGTGTACTGTCCTATATCATACTACCAATACAGTTGGGTTAGCTGAGTATTTCTGTGAGGATTTATAGCCGAGACAAAGCGTATTTATTTTATCAGGACTGGAAGGAGATAACTTTTGTCAATATCACACAACAAATGAAGAAGGTCCTTGCTTCCCTGATTCGTTCGTCAAGCGCGGAACGATTGACTGACCTGGATAAAGTTATCTTGCATGCATCAATTGCCACCAACTTTCATATTTCTTGGGGGTTGAAAAGAAGAATTGTACATATAACCGTAGTTGACTATTATGTTTTTGCTCCAAACTACCTTATATAACTATAATTAGCAATGTGGGTTGATTTTGCGGAACTTTTGAGTATCTACGACAAATTACTAAGTGCATACAATGCATTGCTATTTTTGTTAATGATTAGAGCAAGGGTGCAGGGGTTCTCAACCCGGGCTTCGCAAACCCCCATGGGTTCACGAGAAGATTTCCAGGGGTGCTTGGATGACAGTCGAGTTTTTGCATGTTGCTGTTTTTTAATATCGTTTATTACTACCATGGGAAAATGCGTGCCCATTAAAACTAGACGCCAATTAAAACGTAGATTTTCCCCGATCTTGCATTGTTGTGATTGTGACGGAACAATGTGAAGTTCAAGACTTTGCGTACAAAATGTGAAATCTCTAAAGACAGCGTGCTGCGAGCTTTGGAGAATTGATTATGCTTATTGAAACTTTGGAGAGTTTTTAAGAATTCATTAGTTAGGCAGACAACAAGGGCAATAATATCAACAAGACCATTTAATTTAGTTGCATATGGTCAATAAATTAGTGTTGCAACAAATTGTTAGTCAATATATATCAGTAGATCACAACTTTGTTCGGTGTCTGATTACCGGGGGTTCGCGTTGATTGTTTTGTGATTTGGGGGGTACTTGACAGAAAAAAGGTTGAGAACCCCTGGATTAGTGCATTCACGCCTATATCCAAACGACAATAAACATTTGTTCAGTTAAAATACAAGGTTAAATTCCAATATCTAGTAGCCACATCAAGCTATACCAAAGAACTCTTTAATTTTTTTGCAAGAGTTACACCAGAGAAATGCAACTAGCAGAAACTCCTCTTGAATTGCCATTGAAACATTTTACCTAAACTGCTCTGCCGATTGAATTTGTGCCACCCTTGTATAATCAGTAAAAAAAAGAAGCAAAATCTCTGAAACATTTTATAATTTATTTCAATAATAAACATATTCTTGTTAATATAATATTTCTAGAAATATTACCAGCAACAGATAAACAGAATGTTATCGCTAGGTCGCGCTATCATAACTCTTTGGAATAACGAACATTACAGTAAATTTTTCCGCATGAGACAACTTCACACATGCATACAGTACTTTCTCCATCAGCATTGAATATATAACAATAAATATATACATTCAAGAACAAGTGAGACAAAAAAAGATGCAGCTATTCATGTAGCCATTTATGACATTGATAACAGGCTAATCAGTTATGAAAAATATGATGTCTAGTTTGGTCAGACTGTGGGATGAGAGCTCCTAAAGATCAAATTCAAAGAATGAACGGTGAAAGGTATTATAGTATATGCTAGTATAATAGCTTAATCGTAGCATAGCAGAAATAAAAGTTGTTGGCCGCCCCATTATTCTGAGTACGTGGACTTGGATGATGGTGGAAGCCGTAACCGACCAGCAATAACGAAACCGCCATACATTAGAGGCAAATAGGTTTGGAGTATTCAATCAATTTAGGGAGTAGGTATCCAATTTAAAGTACAGAAAAACCCAATATTGCATGCCTTTTTTTTATTACCTTGGTTCAAAACATATTAATTTTTAACTGATTTTACCACAGTTATGTTACAGATATCAATACAATCTTTCCCAAAAGAACTTAGTTAATATATAATTTCCTAACGAATCTCCAAATGGACCTAATTCCAAGATATTGTGTAATACAGCTTTCGAAATCGAATTTTGAAAAGAAAGCATTTTTGTAACATGATACTATTTCATTTACCAATATAAAGAATTTACCAAATTAACAAACGAAACCACCAACACCAGCCAATAATACATTGTTTTTGTCATGGTTATTATACAGTGTGATCATGTAATTGTAAAAATATATACTTTGTTTCAATTTCAGCAGTTTTATGCAATACCCAAAATTTTGAAAAGAAAAGCGGTTATCCACTTCAATTTGCTAAGGTCCAGTGGATATATACGGTATATCTTGACAGTTCAGCATTCAAGTGTGTAAAGGGTTAAATTTTATATTTGACGTGACTTCAGTATGAGATTTCATTTAATCCATGAGAATTTAACCAAAATAATGGTTTTATTCGTAAAAATTGCCAAACGTTGGTTGTGAAAATCAGATTAAGACGCTGTTTAGACTGCACGGAATTTCTATGAGACTTCCTAATTTAGATTATACAAAGTAAATGGGATAAAATTTAGTTTTGAAAAGTGCATGCTATGGACTAGCACCATTAATACTTTTGATTATGATTGCATCATGTTTAGAGGCATGAATTGGTTGGATAATTTTGCGTCGACAACCGAAGACAGCAGTGAATATGAGAAACCAGTAACTGGAGATGTACGGTATGTGTTTAAGATTTAATAGACATAGAAATACATCTCGGACCTAATATAGGTGAAATAACGTTAAAAATAAAAGATATCTCAGACCAAATAAGTAGAGGTAATACATTGGTTTGTTTCTGACAAATGCAAAAATACTCAGTGAATTCAAGGTCCAGTCTACCCTAGAAGAACATCCATCACCCTGACGTTCTTGAAAAAAAAAACTGCGTAACACTAAAAATTGATCCACTAGACAGAAAAAACTAGATTACGATATCCAACTTTTTGTGTTCATGTTTGTATATGATTTTGAAGTTTGTAAAATTTTATTTTCTCGTAGCTTTTTTTGGTGCTAGATTTCACTAATAAGTAGAAGACTGAGGAAATCAACGATTGAAAAATGGTTTGAATAAATGGTAACTATCTGAAACAATTCCACATATGCCATATGAAGAGAATTTCAACAGTTAATAATACATACTTAGATGGTTAAGATGATCTGAATCTTATCGCAGTATTCAAAAAAGATGAATAGATTTTATTTTCAATATCCTATCATAAAATAAGATTCAGCTAAAGCTAGTTATTCACAGCATTATCTTAATTTTAATCAGATTTTTTTTTAATTTTAGAAACAGCTTTCACTGTTGATCCACATTTGAGGTTGCTTACAAAGTAGTAATTGGAAGAAAGATATTCACTGATTGTTATCAATTCCGTAATGTATGATCATATTTTAATCATAACGAAGCAGCAAATGAACTGCAAAACATTGGGTGTTTGAATGCAATACACCAGTAACAGTTGACTTTGGGTGAGAACTATAACAATAGATAAATATATATAGCAGTGAAATGAAGCAATCAATAAAAAAAGATTTTGTTAATTTTATATTGCTTCAGTATAAAATATTTTATCAAGTTAATGTTTTAGTTATTCGCATCAAAATACGAATCATCAATAAATAAACAATAGTTAAACTAAAGATTTTCTCATTCAGGTACAAGAAATACACTTTGTTAGTATTACAGAACTGCTTAGTGTTCAGGAAATTTAATACCAGTAAAAATATCGAGACAGTCATACTCATCTTGCTAGTGTCAATTATTTTCATTTAGCACACTCGGCACCTCGGATATATTAATAAATTATTTAAAATAAGATTCAATATTCAACCTTAATTAAGATGATGAAAATCAAAGGATCTAAGAGTATCGTGAACAATGCAATAGCCCAAGTACACCGAATTCAGTTGGTGAAGCCATAACCAACTGTACTGATAAACTGCCCAAGATGGAAAGGGTGATTCAGCATTCAAATTTTTCGAAAAATATCCAATAAATATAGAAAGCAAGCGGATTGAAACAAAAGTGTCCTGTCATTAATAGCTATTCTGGATGGATATGTTGGAAAGACGATACTAAGCTTTAACCATGTTTACGGAGAGTATAATATTGTAACATCAAAATACATTCTTTCACATAGAACAGGGAATTAATACAATCAGATACAGATAAGAGAAAATATTCAAAAAGCAACCCTTAGCACATTAGAAGCACGAAATGAACGTACACTGCTGCAAAGAATTGCACAAACATAGTGAGCATAACACATTCAGCATGAATATTAGAGTAGCAGAAAAATCAAAAAGTTTAACCTATTTTGTAAGAATTGAACAGCAGCATACACCCTTCATTTTTAATATTCTAAATTGTTCGACCACTCAGGGAATACAGTTAGGTCAACTACAGAAAATACTGCAGGGAAAAACAATCAAATAAGTTGGATGATCACACATATGAAAAAGAAGCTAAAATTTTTACCCCTTGAATCTCTATTAGTTATTATTATTATTGGGCGCAAATTTGGTTAACTACAATATAGAACCTGAAAAAAATTACTTGGTTTTAATGTAAAAACAGGATGGTGAATGGTAGACTGTCGTCATTCCTAAGTGTTTTCAACCCCTATACATCAACATTAGATTAATCTATACATTCATGCATTTTATATCCGAAATCCAGGAGTCTTTTCTAACCCAATTACGGGGTGAATTATATTTTCCAATGGCTCAAATGTTCACTTCGACCCAAAACATTTGTTCAACTTGGGTGAGGCTTTCGTAAACTCATTCGATTGAGGAAAACTGATACAGACCCAATGAGTTTTTACCCATCGGACCTCATTCTACTGATGATTTACCAAAGGGAATCACCATAGAATTTATTCAGTTAAGAACGTTTATTTCACTTTTGTTTCTTTTTATAAAACGCACGTTTAAAAATATTCGACTTTCTTACTTTTTCAACAGATTGTGGTGATTTGCTAAGAGGTGAAGAACTCTTTGTAAGATTTTTAGTTCCATTGTTGTTGATAGCTTCGTCAATAATTAGTGTCGAAAAACTTGTCGGTGACAAATCGTTGTCTGAAGTTTCTTTCGATTTGCAATTTTGAAGGGACACAGTGCTTGCAGATCTCTTTGATGGCGAAAGAGTCACAGATTTTATTAACTCAGATGTTTTTGATCTCGGAATATTTGCACTCGGACTCGAGCTGAGAGAGTCGGTTGATACAGTTGTTACAGAGTCGTTATTTTCTAACAACATGGAGGCAGGCAATTTTTCACGTTTTCTGATGTTATGTGGGGATCGTTTTGGAAAAGTTTGATTACCGGTTTCAGGAATGGTTAGCTGTATCGAAGAGGATTCGAGCTGACCTGTACTTTCAGAATGCGGCAATTTTTTGGGATCTTTGTGACCATGCGCTGCCACACCATTGACTTTAGTTGTGAGAGCAGGAGAACTCATATGACTAGGCATAGTTCCAAACTTTTTCGTTGAAGTCGGGCTGAAAAGACAAATTTGTATTTTTAGGTGTGAGGCATTGAAAGAGTCGGAACAATTTAATGTTATTTGATCTCTTCATATTTACCTTTTCTTTTGATGGAGCGATGAAAAATCTTTCAAACTGACAACATCTCTTTCTTCATCATCAGTTGTAGAGCTGAAAAAAGAAAAGCGACAATTAGAAATGTTAAAATTTTCATTTTCACAAAATTTTGACTCGGATCATACTTTCATGACGTCATATGCTAGAGAAGCTGTCCCATCCTTCCATCTTTACTTACAAGGCTTTAGAAAAGTAACCAATGATATATATGGCTACCATGTTTTTGGAAAGCACTGTTATCTTTGAGATAGGCTGTATGCTTAAAACTTTTACCAACAATGAATCACTAGGTGAGTAGGCTTGCACGTAATTGACAAAAATCAATTCCGTAATTACGGCCAAATCGATTACGTAATGACCCCGTAATTGCGATATTTTTTTCACACATTTAAACCTAGCATACCAACCAATTTAATCCACTTCTATTCCGAATGGGACATCGAAGTTTGGTTCTCATATTCCCGGCAGTACCACACGCCGGAGACAGATGTTAAAGACAAATATCAAGGAGTGAATTCAAAATAATTTTATTCTGATTTTTATCTTTTGTATTAGCTTTGATTTTCCTTTATCAACTTTATCACCAAATTTTATGCGATCAATTTTATCATTACCAACATTGGTAATATATTTAAGAAACGATAGTTCACTTTTTTAAAATCGTATTGACGTATTAATACGACTTTCGTATTGAATAAAAATTCCGGGTTGCTAATTTATTAATCAACTACAAGCGTATTCTCTCGTTTGATTATACTTTCGCTTGCCTCGCGACGAAGACTTGTTATTTCACCGTTTTTTACAATATCCGACTTTACTACTTAGTTAGCATTTTATAATAATTATTGATGCCGACTTATTGACGATATTCCGAATTCCATGCTTCATTTTACATTAAATCATTTCGCGGCCTAAATGTTATAACATTATTTACGATAAATTTAGATGAAATATTAATTATTTGCGCATTATTTAAAATACCGTACTTATATGACATGCCTTCTCCGAAAATACAAAGTTATATCGCAAAACAATGCATTTTGTGACATTTATTTTGCACTCATGAAAATATTAATTTATTTTTCTAACTCAAGTCGACAATCCTATTTGCCAAGATTGACACAAGTTTGGTCGAGTGCCGGTGGTATTCAGGTCGACGATAAATCAAAATAAGTTGCCGCATTTGGTAAAGACAGGTAATCATATTTGGCCGACATATTGCGATTTGCGAGGCATTGTGAAAAACATATTGAGCAATGCCAAGTCCGGACAGATATATAACGATAAAACCGGTAACAGAACATCAAGATTTTGTAATAGAAAATGGATTTCGCGCAGAATAAACACGGGAAATCCCGTCGTAATGTTGTTTCTCTGCCGTCTCAATCGCTTTAACCGATGCCGAAAAGACTAAGTTGCGTTGGTTCATTACGCAATTTCTCTTCCGTCTCTTGCTGTTTGATAAGCGCGACATTAATTATCACGACATTTACAAATAGACCATGTTTTATAAGTTGATCTCTTACATTCTTCACTCATTTCACCCGAAGAAGTTGAAACCAGGTGTGTTGGCGTCCATCGGTCTCGACACAATTCTATTCCTTATTTACGGTTAATATGTACATTGGCCATCTTAGATAAGTTGATAATAGGTTAGTAAATGACGCGTTATGCCCTCCCCATCTGCCCAACAAGAGAGAGAAAAACGGCTGCGAATACCGGAACTCTAACTTCTTTTACTTAAACTTTAATTTTTTACAATCGACGGAATTGACTGCTCTGAAGAGAGCTCGTTTCAATCGCGAAAGCGCTCGACCAATAATTACGACTTTACGTAATTCGTGACTTCGCTTGCGTAATTCGAAATAATTCCGTAATTCCGTAAATTTGTAAATTACGTGCAAGCCTATAGGTGAGAACTCTAGATTGCAAATACTCACGGAAGAGAAGTTCTTTTTGTTTTATTTGTTCTTTGTTTTTGCATCATTGATAAACTCTTGTCAATCTGTGAAGAAGCTGATATCACACTCATTGAATCTAAATCTGAAATGATCAATGTCAGTCAATGGTGACATGGACAAAGTTACACTTAATCAGACACATCTAAGCGAAGTCGACAGATTCTCATGTACTACTACTATAGGCAAGTGAATGCTGATTGATGCAAGATGTGAGTACTTCAAGACGATACAGTCAAAATATAGCCGTGGGCAGCGAATCGACATTAGAAATCGACTCAGAAATAACGTTTGGCATAAAACTGTTTAAGTGGTGCACTGGCAGTAAAGAGATGCGACCTCACAATCAGCTGAGAACCGATTATGATGGCTCAAAATCTTCTGCTTGAGATCAGTGATAAAAGAGTGCCTACTTATTACCATTATGACAGATCATTAAATAGCTTGACAGGCAATTTCTTAATACAAGTGAATCAATAACTCTTATCAGCAGTAGTCAATACTGAATTTTCATTGTCATGATTTTGGACTTGAACCAAATAGTATAAACCTATTGAAAAACTTGTCAAAATAGAAAGGAAATTAAAAATGAAAGAAAAAAATGTTTTGTTATAAAATAAAAAATATTCAATCATATTAGGCATAAAAATTGGTTTGTGCTAATTTTTTCATTTTTGTCATTTTCTGTCTATTATTATACATTATCAGTCTATGATCATTTTATAGAATCATCACATTTGATTACAAACTTTCCACATTTGCGTATAGATCACTGTCATTGTCATGAAGTTTTTCAGTTTCCTGGGAAAGCCTTTATTCTTTTTAATATTCAAAATTTCCAACCGAAACTGAAAAAGCACCAACTTATCTGAGCATTCTCAATAGACAATCCGAGAAGCTTGAACGTACCAAAGAGAAATTTTTGGTGGTCAAAATTTGATTCTCTCTACAAGCTGGATTCACTGCCAAATTTTATTTCAAATCACAGTCGAGAGCAGGAGTTGGGGGCCATAATTCTTGTCAGAAGTTTGTTAATGGCTCAAAGTTAAGAGTCTGGTTTTCATTTTCCCCAACTCTAACAGCTCTTGTATTTTCTTATTATGGTGTTGTTATTATTATTCTTGTTGCCTTATGAAAAAAATCGCTTTTCTCATTCACTAATGGACCAATTTTCAGTGGTCAAAGATTGTATTGTATTTTTCTCTAAAACGCTATTAATTTTATTTATTCCTAAATTTTCTATTAATCCTATGAGATCTGATATTTTATCGAAAATTTCGTTATATTTTTATTTTTCATGGGAATACGTTTTTTAATCCGCCAAGCGCGACGACTGACGACTGTTTCCGATTTTACGTGACATGGGGCTAAACGTCGTTTTGGACTTCGAGTCTATATATTTAAGCACCACTCTCTTGTTTCACATGATACTAATCACCCACTTATTTGAAACAAGATTAATAACAACCACAAAACATTTCTTACTTAATAATATATCTTGATCAACTGTCATCTTCGATGAACGGCCTTTCGCAGGGTTCCCTCTTGAATTGGAAGCTTTGATACGAAAATTACATAATTGTTCGATACTTGCCCAACGTTTTCTACGCTCTTCCATTATTGTTTGGAGTTCTCGAAATTCATCTCTGAAACAACAAAAGAGCAATTTCGTATGTATGGACACAGGAAAGTAAAATGACTAATATGGCTACCATAATGTCAGCAAAATTTCAGTCGTTTGTTACAATAATTGTATCTAATGTCATATGACAGGGTGGTCCAAACCCTGGCACGCTGACGTCACGTCCCGACTTGTGCATCTTGGGCCTGGCCTGAGATAAGTCAAGCTTTTTATCCCAACTTCGCACCGTAAACCCGCGTCAAGTCACTCCTTACTCTGACAAACGTTTTGTGCCTTTATTTTAGTAAAATACACTTTGATCACTTTTGGGTTTTCCCTGACTGTGGCTCGCAAAGCTTCCCAAAATTTTTTTGCAGCCTTTTAATCTCGCAACCTTGGACCACCCTGTCATAAGATATCTGTCAATTATGAAGACAGCAACATTTGGATGAAATATCGGGCTTAGAAAAACAGAGAAAATTATAAAAATAATTAATGTGATAGACTGATAGCGACAGCCAAACGGTGAAACATATTACCATGAATAATGAATATATTGAATTCCAAACTCCATAAATTATCGCTCAATAATAGGTTAAACAGATGCAAAGACTAATGGCGTCATATTCAACTTGATATAATGCCAAGTACTTCGCTATTGAATACCAAGCAACTTTGTGCAAATAGCATCAGGAAATGGTTGTCTGCTTACGTTTGATTTATTAATAATTGCATGTTTACATATACATAGAAATCTGTGCCTTTGAAAATTGATGTTTTATCGGCCGAATGGGACAATTGAAATGAAAAAATGCCTGATGTTCTTGAAGCAAGTTCGAAACATTCCCAATCAAGCATAAACTCTGATGAAATTCTACCTAAATTTTTTGAAAAAAGTAAATGAATGAGCTTTTCTGAGCCCTTTTTATAACGACATGCCCCAATAACATTTCTTTTTCAATTTTCAAAATTGCATACTCCGTTAGATGCCGATCTACATCACCAATTTAACAGATTTGTCTTCGGGAATAGGACACAAAATTGCCAGTGTTAAGCGCTAGAGTACATGAAAATATTTCAAATTTTCTACATCAACATAGTTCAGTACTGTAGTTTATTTTTACACAATGCCGAAAATATACATAGTATATACAGAATGAGGAAAAATAAAAAAAAATGCATTTCAGTGTGAAGGGAGACGCGATAAACCAGTAATGGTTTTCGAGCAGCGTCACCTATGACATGACACCATAGCCAACATTCTTCGTACAATATTAAATTTTTTATATGCATATCTGCGAAGATTGGGGATAGATATACTTGCAGTGAATAAAATGCTATATCAAATTCCCCAACATATTAGAATATTGGGATAAGGTAAAATCTCTTACCTGGTTTGTTGAACTTGGAAATCGAAAGTATCCATTTGTCTTCCATGAACAACTTGAAGAATACCAAATAATGAAGAACGATTTCGTTCAATTTTTTGAAACTGAAAATAAACAACAATGAATGAATTATATATATTTCAAGTTTACTCGCTTGCGAAGACAAAAAAAATTGTACTATCATAGGTGGACAATTATTCTCCACATCAATAATATAAAAAAAAGATTATATCACCCCAATTAAATGGAGTAACCAGAATAATACTTGTATATTGTAGTGTTTGTTTACATACTGTAATGAAGAAGAGGCAGTAACAGACCAAACATGTTCTAACACATAACTTGAAAATGAACATCATTTTTAGACGCGAGGGATCACGTTGCTAAATTGTTCTTGTTCTAAGATGTTCTTGTCAAGGATATGAAAAGAATAGCGTTTCTCTGCAACCAGAGGACCAATCAATTTCAAATTTTTAGCACTTAAGGATTGATGAAGACAAAAGGCCATTTTTACTTTTATAATTTTCTACCCAAATTCAGTAGGTTTCCATAAGTTACAGACATAAAATTCATATTACATTCGGTGCAATTCTTTCAACATCTGAACAAACTTCAGCTCACATTTGTGTACATGTATTTGACTTTGGAATAGGAATGTATATAGGTCAAAATCATCATTGAAATGGCATATTCACTGCATTTTTGTTAAATATACACAATTCACTTTGTTTTAGACATCACTTGCAATACCACAACTTGCAGCAATGTATATTATACAACAACTTGATGAATTATCAAATAATACAACTTAATGAATTAGCAACTATACTAGACCCAGTTTATAGCTTTACAAATAAAAATTAATAATTACCTGGGACTTTGTTTGTTCAACGTCTTTATAAACTTTATCCTTTTTCATTTGAAATAATTTGGATTCAACTTGGTGTGTCGTCTGCAAAATAAACGAATGTTAGAGGAATGAAAACTATAAAATGAATGACAATATTATACAATAATCAGACCATAAGTATACACCTATGGCCGCATTTTATAGTGCATTATGAAGAACAACTTTTATTATAGATGTTCATAAATGATGATAAAAACAGATCAGAAAAAAGATCATACTCTTTGCAGACTAGGCATGCCCAGAACCTCATAATAGACTTTAGTATTTTAATAAAACTACGTTTGTGTAACATGTCTGTTTAAAAACTTATTTTTGATCCAAGTTTACCTCAAATGTCTACTCTCCAGCATATAACTTAAACTTGAAAACTGATGGAACAGAAAACAGCACTTCAGAAGTATGTGTACCAATATGGAGGTAACTAATATTGTTCGCCCGAACATAGCACAAGCTGAACATAGTATGTGTACCAGGTTAGGGTTCAGGTTGTGCACCATCTTGGTGCACATACTACGGGAGCACCCAAAAAACTACTGATAAACACCACACTAAGAGCTGTTATGAAGATGAATCTTTATGACAAGGCATACATATCAAATTTTTTTTCTAAAGCTTTCAATTCAATGATAATGTTTTTTAAATATTACATGGTTAATTATTACATCAACTGAAAATTGTGGAACATGAAATACGGTTAATGAGTATTGGAACTCGTTTATAATCAAATCGCATCTTAGAAGAACATTATGTCCACAATGGGTCAAAAGGGTTATTTGTATTCAGTATACAATTTACTTACATTTACTTAATATTTGGATGTTTATTCTAGCCAAGATAATTACTGTCCCTTAAGACCATCATTGGCGGATTTCACAGAAAAAATATTTTCACAGGGGCTATATTAACTTCATAAATTATGCAGAGGGTAAAAATTGTGAATTTAAACAAAAAGTCCAAATGACAACTAAGAACTGACTATACCATCTCAATAATTAATAAAGCTAAGTTGTAAAGGTACAATAAAACAGTGTTAAAAAGTATGTTCAAATGATTTTTGTGTCACAACTACCGGTAGATAAATACCAGTTTTCATTTCCAAATCAAAAACTAACATTACCTTCAGTAATTTAACAAGTTCATTTGGCATTTTTCCTGCATTTCTTAATGCTTCTTTGGTGGCATCGAGTTCCCGCATTACTTCAGCTAATTTGGTATTTGCAATGGTTCCATCAATCATAGAAGCACTGGTTAAGGAATCCTCACTCTGTTGAAGAAAAATAGGGTAGCTAATCTCTAAATTATTCTGAATACAAAGTGATAATTTTTGTCAAAACTTTTTTCAAAAACGTTTTTGGTCAACAGCGTTTAGATACGAATACATGTATTTATGAATCTATATAAAGTCGACAAACTTGTGCATATTTAAATTGTTGTACAATGGATCTGAAGGACACATGCATATACAGTTTTATTATTCAGTATCTGCTTTCGAGACCATAATATGCAAAAGAGCTTTCGCTCTATGAATCTATATATGACATGGGCAAACTACGGCCCGTGGGCCAAATTCGGCCCATTGGGTACTTCAATCTGGTCTGCTCGATGTGGTCACAACCAAACTAAAACCAAATTTTGATGTTTAAGCTAAAAAATAGCTCAAGGAATTTGTTGAGATTGCAACTGAATTTAGTTTTGGCAGAAAGCTTACTGCTTTCCACTTTTGCTTTTTTAACCTTGTAAATTATGTTCATAAAATGTCACTTTTTATGTCACACTTACATGTCCGCCATTCTAGGTGGGCAAAATTTTTGGCTCCTGCTCCCAAATCCTTGCCCACCCCTGCTCTATATGATGTTAAATTTGGTATTATAAAGAATAAATCCCCCAAAACAGTTGAAAGACATCAAGAATAGTTTTTCAAGAGCAATGTATCGATTGCGTGAATGTAGAGCATTTATCTACGACAATATGTATAGCCTGCAGAATCATATTTAAATCTTAGCAACATGTCCTTTTAAGAGATACCCAGCACCAATAGTAAAGCCAATCTTTATTTCATTACTGATTTCTACATATTATGCTACAGTGTATCTGTTTGTATTAAGTAAGGAATCAAAACGTTTATGAAAAAGTCAGTCTCACTAACTTTATAGTGTGAACTCGTAGGCAGCAAAATTTCAGCACAAAATCATTCATGATTTATCTTGCTATATAAATAAATAGCAAACCTCAAAAATGGATTGAAATATCAAATTTTAAAATGTTCACTCAGTAAAAAAACATCAGACGCTCATGTTATACTAGGCCCAATGATATTTTCACTTTTACACCAATCTGGACCTGCCCAATGGAATTCTTTGACATTATAGATCAGATTATGATGGACTATTAATTTACCGAGTCGAACATAGGTCCCAAGAGGTCAAAAAGATCTATGTGTTGAAAAATTATGCGAACAAATTATAATACCACAGATAACCAAGGTACAATTTTCTGTAATTTATCATAAGCACAAGCTTGGAAAAAACAAATTATTTTGTCCATGTGCATGATCAATTTTACTTTTTAGAAATTTAATCCCCTGTGGACATAAAGTTACAACTAAAAATAATCAGTTGGTTTTATACAATCTTTCAATACAAAAATAAAAAATCGACTCTATGTTTAGATCTATTGATCAAGTGGACGGAAAATAATTGGGAAGGGATGCCCAATTGAATGGGATTTAAACAAAATTAAGCCAGATACCACAAAGAAAAAAAACTTACTTTGATTATTGATTACTAATATTACTGATTTATCAAGAAACAATTTCAAACATATCCAAATAAAAGGATAAACCGGATTATTGCACCACAAAATCAATGTTTCAATTGTTACAAAAGTATGGAATCATTACTATTTATTCATTGGTAATAAAAGTGAACAAACGAGTTTGCCAATGGTGATTGTTCTTTTTACTCTGGAAGCTAAAGCTAAGATTTGACTTCAGACTAAAAAAGTGATGATTTTTTATCAACAGCTCTTTCATAATGTAAAGAAAAGTAGTGTGGAGTATGAACTTTTTTGTTATATCTACCTCACCACTGTTGCTTCCACCACTTCTTTCATCCATTTCTTGAGGTCTGCTGAAAACAAAAAATAGAGTCAGGAACAATTCAGTATGAGATTCCATAAACAGATAATTTAACAAGTCCGGCTACAAAATAGTACCAAGCTAATAAAGATAATGCAAATGAAGTTTTTCCAAACGAAAAATAATATGAAACATACATTGGACCAACTGGTATCATATCAATAGCACTTTCTTCTTCCATATGATCCATAGTTCTTTGTAATGCCAGCATTTTCTCCTCAATATTTTCAATTGTGTCCCGTGCTTTACGTTGTACATGCATTCCAAAAGCAATTCCGCCGAGTGCAAGTGCGAGTGAAAAAGTGAGCAATGCATCTTTGACTAAATTTCCTTTTTCTGTACAGTGAAAAATAAGAACATTTCTACTTATAAAAGCCAAGCATATAGCATTGCAACAAGGCCGCAGGATTACATAACAAATCAGGGCTGTGGAGTGGGTAAAATCGTCGACAACGTGCTCAGACTCATGGTAAAAAAAACTTTCGACTCATTCCAGCTCTTAGATGACCCAATTTTGACCACAAAAACCTTGTCAGACACAACTTTTCTTTAATCGTTGTCTGAGAATACTTAGTCAACTTGATTCTTTCTATTATGTGTTTTAAATTTAGATTCATCAAAAATTCTAACCACCGACTCCGAGGAGTTTATAAATACAACTCCAGCTTCACAGCCTTTGATTGAATAGAATAGTTTCTCTGGTTTCTAACATGGCAAATTTATAGAACAGTAGCTTAATGTAAGACATCAAAAATTTCAAGTTAATTGGTGAACGTGATTATCTTGATGAATTGGTATATGGGTGATTCTATGCCATGCAGCGGTACATTGCAGGGTGCTCCCGAAGTATGCGAACCAAGATGACGGACATCGGAACGTAACATGGGTAACAGGTTAGGGTTAGGCCATAATTTTTTTCCAATTTTCCTTATTTTAGTCCTATTATGAGTTCGAAGACTAGCCAAGAGCCTCCCGTAGTATTTATACCTAAAATTATGGCCTAACCCTAACCTAGTACACATATTACATTCCGATGTCCGCCATCTTGGTTCGCATACTTCGGGAGCCCCCATTGCAGCTTCAATTCAGTGTGCGATCTCAATTGAGTCAGCTTCTCAATTTTAATCAACGATCAAGAAATCAAATTCAGGCTATCAGATCCTTGAATCATTTTTATAAATAGGATAATATGTTTTATGTCAGTTATACGTTTACGCAAACTAAATATGTGCAAATTGTGTTCAATGTTAAATTTGCAAAAAAAATTAACATAAACACTCAACGAGATGCATATTTACTGACAGCAATACTTAATAAACAACACTCCGGATGTAAATAACACAACACATAAAGAAGAAACAAAACTTCATCATTAGTACGACGTGTCATAGAATCATTGGAGCATAATATATAACATTATTTTAAATGTGTTTTTGATGAATATTGATATTATTAAACCGACTTCCTATTGGTGGTGGACTTTGACCAGCTATTGATGTTGCGTATAGCGGTATAGGTTTCGTAAATCTCAAGAAATGTGATTTAAGACAAATATTCCGAGTTGCAGTAATTCCATATAATCATATGTGTGTATGAATAGTGGATTTTGAGGGTATTTCAATACCACAGCAAGCTCATTGAAAAATAAATATTATGTAATATATAATAATATAATAAATATTACGGCGCGGCGGTGTGGCTCAACGGGCTAAGCGTTAGGAATACGCTCGCCACCGCACCTCTAACTACTCTGCGTGGGTTCGCAGGTTCGAATCACATGCAGGGATGGTTATGTGCGAGAGGATTGCTGGACTCCTCGCCGTCGTTGGGTGGTTCACGTAACCGCTGGTCGGTACCGGCTTCCTCCACCACCAAGTCCATGATTCCGAAAACAAACAATACAGTAAATCTAATCCCATGGACCTTTCCCCGAGCATCGATTTCCTTGTTTACTTCGTGACCTTGGCCAATCAGCAAGATGTAAAAAGTGACGTAACAATGCTCCCTTTTGGCATCCGCTCAGACACTTTTATCACTCAGACAGATTTTCAAGCGTGGACGTAAACATTACCCCGTTTTCGCATTTTTGAATTATTTTCGTTAGTTTTCAGTTGTGTTTCGGAAATTTAAATATAAATCAGATAATTCAATGGTCACCCTGTCTTCCTAGGAGTTTTAATTTAATTGCAGTCATATAAATTAGTGTAGAAATAGCTGTGATAGATTAGGCTAAAATTCTTTACCAGTACATTTAAAAAACAGAATGTTGTATGCGATGAATCATAATGATGATTTGAAACACATACCCCATTTCACAGGCGCCAACTCGCAAAAGCACTCTTAAAATAGCCCCGAAAATTTTGCAATGGTAAAGGATAGGAAGAATTTTTCGGGGGTCAAAGGTCGGGGAAAGGTCCATACCCGACTTGGAATGGTAACCGGACGAGAGGCCGTGGTTCGCCTTATGGATAAGCCGTCTTATCGGCTTTCCTTTCCCCCGGGATAAATATGTAAATCCTATCCTATTTAGTATCAGTTTTGGTTTTGCCAGCCTTAAAAATTGTTTCTATTTAATAAAAAAAACACAGCATCGCGATGCATAATATCAAGTAGTTAAATGGTAAACAAAAGTGAATGTTTTTGATGTTTCCAAGCACAATCAAGAAAATGAATATTGGTCCAAATTCATTGAAAAGTCATGACTATTTACTCCTTCCATTTTTGTGTTCTTGCATTAGAAAATATACCAAAAAAATTGGTAGAAAACTTGATGTAATCAATTAATTAAAATCTTAATGAATTTCCAGATATTTAATACAATACGAGATTTTGAATAAAACAAGATCCGATCTGCTGAATGAAAAATTTGAATCTCACACATACCAAACCACCTTTTTTCTACACCTAGTGTGATGAACGATGCCCTATGAAACATTTTATATTACGACCATTGTCTAACGACACACATCACAGGTTAGTATTTGAGTAAAGATGCCAGGTTGTCATGCACGTTTTATGTTTGATTTTGTCCGTTTCTTGATCATAAATAACAATCAATCAATGATTGGAAAAACTATAAAAATCGGCAGATGATTATTTGAAATCATTGTATATTGTTTATCTATCCGACAATAATTTCAAGCAAATAACATTAAAATACAACAAATTACATTTATGATTGTATTTACGATAGTAAATTACAGGAATATACAAATGTGAACATACGTTTCGGGGGTCCAAACAATACGACCTCTTTCGCTTTCAGCATTAATTTTATCCTGTTCTCCTTCGAACCATCAACAAGTATAGATACAATGCTGCTGTTGCTGGCAAGACTGAAAAACAAAATTAAAAAATGAGGAAATATGATAGGATATTTTCGACATTTTCCATGAGGTTTCTTACACATTCACATTGGAAGCTCTGTGAGACAGGCAACACACAGAAAAGGAATTGACATTCTTTCTTGTTGTATTGAATATAAACATAGATTAAGTGATAGGTATATTTTGAATAATGCATTTAATATAGTTCAATTCAGAGACTCCTTAATCTGAGATACCGATATGCTTGTGGTAATACTATCATAATTCAAGAACATATTACGGTAAATATGAAACGTTTCAAAAGTAAAATTATATTCAAATGAATATTATGGCTAAAATTTGCATACAGCATCAAATGTCCCAAAATTGGTGAACCAACCCTAGAGTAAACATAAGGCAATTATTCCTGTCAACCGCATTGATCTTGGCCGTGGATATAAATATAAACAGCAATTCAACAATATTGTGGTAGAGATATATTTCAGGAGTGTGAATTGAAACTACAATCAATTACTTACATAGGGAATGCAGCACCGGTAACATTAACAGTCTGAAAATTCAAAGAATACTGCGGTAGTTCACATTCATACTTCAACCAAGATAACATTTCAGCATTCGTCCAGTTGTGAACTGAAGAGAAATTAACAATAATGATAAATAAAAAATTGCCATTTTTGACAACACAATTGGTATTGAACAAGCATATTTAAATATACTGTCTGCTAGAAATTGAAAAAATTTCTCAAACGATAATGCGTATATATCTCAAAATAGTTTCTTGTGAACATATAGCATAGGTTTTTTTTTCATTTTAAACTCTGCCGCATATAGAATACATTTGGTATTCAGAATTCAACAATATTTCTGAGAAGCTATTGAAATAGCAAATTATTTGGTCCACGCAAAATTGAATGAAGAAATAATCTTGTAAGAAAGTTGCTAATATTAATAAAGGCTGAATAAATACTTTTCTTTTGAAAACAACCCAAACATTAAATGATAAGATCAATCTGAAATGCAAAATTTTCGTCATGGATTACGAGTATATAAGAGTTTAATCTGAAATTATTCCAAACAAAAAGAATTCCCGAAATGTCAATGATACTATTTAAATATAATCTTTGATTTCTTATTCCCAACTGTCAAACACAATATTCAATCCCAAGAATTTATTACGAAGAAGATTTATTCAATACCTCCACTATTTCGATTGCTCGTTACCAAGAAAAGTGGTTGTCAGATGCATACAATGCCCTTACAATTTATACAACTTCAGATTATGTCTATGTTGCATTTTATTAAACTATACATACCTGATGCTAAAACTGCTATAACAGCAAAAACCAACTATCAAAAATTCCGCAGTTTGTGTAACCTTATTTATAGCACCCTATAGCTAGGGAAATTAATATTCTAATAACAGTTATTAGACAGACATTTTCAAATTCTAATGTTCTGTATTTATCCATTAAGCAGCGGATTATAGTGTAGATATGTGAATTATGATTTTGATTATTTTGTGATAAATTCTGTATGCCTCAAATAAATGATTCAATAATTTCTAATGGCGAATTTTGTTTGAATTAATAAGCCTTGTTGTACATGCCTACCTACCATTACCATGACATTTTACAAAATCAAGAAAAGTATTATGCAATTGATGTAACACATTGAATCTACAGACTCAAATAAACAGAATATCTGAATATGCATGATTATACAGGGGTGTCTGAAAGAGTAATCGAATGAAATCAAAATTGGTTGAATTTGATTTACCGGTAGTAGAATCTTGATTTTAGGGTTGAATAATTTAGAATATTTTCATTTCAAATTTGGTCATCTTGAACATTTGACATCAGACGATCAGATAAACTGCATCTACATTGCCAAATTAAGTTTTATCGAATTAGGATGGTTTGCGTAAAATTTTCTGTTGAAAATGAACTGAAAAATAAGATTCATTAGATATTCCATATTTGAAAATAAGATTTCAGAATGTAATGGTAATATTAAATTTTTGACCTTTGTTCATCCAATAAATCCGATTTGTGTTTTATGTATAGTTACGTTTATCAAAACAAGCCACATGTAACCTGTTACACGTGCATAAAATGAAGCCAATGTTGATAATCCAATGTCAGTAATGCATTAAAAATTAATGCTTCATATAATATTAATTTACGTTTGTATTAGGAACTACTGAGCGACAGTAACGTGTGAGCATGTAGGTTTTTTGACACCAAAGTGGGAAATAGTAAAGCTTAATTTGGCAGCGACAGGATATGGATGGAAATGAAACAGTGTTAATGACTAACTGTCATTCTTGAAAATTGAGCGACAAGTCAATTTATAAAACTCAATTCTATATATTATTGATATGCAGTTGATTATATTTTTTATTTTTTTTGTTAAGGATAATTTTAAACAGTACAAAAAGTCAAAAGCGTATAGGATACAAGTACAATATTATATTATTAAGCATTTACAGTAAACAAATTATGGATGGTTCGAAAATTTATATTAAAATATCAATAATGACGTCATAAAAACTAAAAACATTGATCAAGAATTCAAGTGATCGAAAATAATTGTTATTATACTATTATCTATATTATTTTACAAACTAAAATTTTCCATCCGTTGTAGTATTTCAATTGTGAATATTGACAGCAGTGAGTGACAAGTGTCAATCATATGATGAATCCATTAACACAGAGATTAAGAGGAAGTACTTTGATGTAAAATATTCAAATTGGCCATATATAATATCTATACCTATTTGAATATTATCAAGACAATAATAGTGAACTTATAATGATCTTGACAAATGAACCTTGTGAAAATATGCTATTTCTGAAAATATGCCAAAATTATCTGTCATGCTAAATTTTATCAAGATGGCACAATATTTTTAGAGTATAGATGGCTGAAATTGAATAACTCGCTATTTTGTATGGATTACGAAATAATATTCCTGAATATGGAATTCTATATTGAGTCATATTCATAAAAGACCTATGCAAAAATCATTGAATATTCATTTCTTTCGCATTTGGTAATGCAGAATTTTTAAGATATACATCGTTTTGATTGATTTTCTAATTTTTACAGTGTCAGAAGTTGAATGAAGACCATTTCACGTGTAACCCATCAAATCAAATGTTCAAAATGATAAATTTACAATAAAAATATTCTGAATAACTTACAATATCAAGATCCACCGAATATATTTAGACATTCTATTTGTTTTGAAAAAAGCCCTGTTTATGAGTCCAGCACAGTGCAAAATTGAAAAGATTCTATTAGTTTTGGGCTTTTCAACACTACAAATATTTGCGGTGAATTTTGCATATTGCATGACCAAAAACGACTGAATGCATTGAAACATTCAAATCATAATGGTAACACAGACAAAAAGGTATGCAAATCTTAATTGAAAAATCTAAACGAGCGGTACGATGTTTGCCAACAATTCTAAAGACATATGCCAGACAAGATCATTATTGTTGGAAAATCTTGCAACACGCCAATTATGAACGTCTGTTGGGAATAGAATAAGCTGGTTAATACCCAGAAGTATACCGGAATGATTGCAAATAATCAATAAAGATATTTTCTTATGCTTAGCCTAACATTTAATGAGGAATAGGAATAATAATTAAGGTAGGAGTATCTATCTATCAAAGCAAAAAATGACAGAGAATTAGCTACAAATCAGGTATCGGCCAAAATGAATAATCTGCTATTTCGAATACATAAAAAAAAAAAAAAAATTTGAAATTTGGTTATGCTTAACGAAGATTGAATGAAAATGATTGATAATAAATTGCATAATTAAAAAATTCTTTCAAAAATTATGAAATTCAAGATATTGAATATTTCGAATTTTGAATCAATCTAGACATTCGCTTATTCTCAGACCTTCTGTATACCGTCTGTATAAAGAGAGCAGACATGTCGATTTTCCTACAGAAAGACTAAATAATCTAGTTTCATTTGTAGCATTTTTGTGATTAATTATACATTTCATTTATATTTATTATGCCATTATCGCAAGACATTTTTACAAAATAAAGTTATCATAGTAAAATCCTTTCGACAGCAAAAACAGGCCTATTTCAACAGTCGTTACAAGCAGACTAGTCAGTAGTCATTACAATAAATTGTGTGACAGAGAGACATATCACTGACACAGCGAACAGCCATCTTCGGCCAAACATATAAAATTCCCATCATCTGAAGAGCTTACGTACCATAATCTTACTCATTCAAAACAATGATAGTTAGTATGACTAAGATTAGGTATCAGTTGCATTAGTTCTAACTCTTAGCCAAATAATGTATATCAAGAAGAAATCTAATGCAACTAGCCAACTGAATCAGTTATTAACATTGTGATCCAAGTTAGCATTCTATGATTGGTGGTAAATATTGAAATGTTGTTCTCTTTACATAAACAATATTTGCATTCGAACAAACAAAATTTGGTTAAAAATGAGAATACTGTCTACATAGAGCCTATGATTGGCTTGGCAGTATACATTTCTTGCAGCTGCATAGTAATAAATTGCTGTCAAAATGACAGTCCATTAAGAATGGAGAAAATCAAACAGTGATTAGGGACATGGTTTAGCCATCACTACTTTTCATTGATATGTAATATTTGTAACCAGTTAAACTAAGTATGTATGTCTGTATCTATGTATGCGTATTTGAACTATTAAAATGAAACTGTATCTGTATGATAAACAAACAAAAAATAATAGATGGGATATATGTACAAAATCCAGTTTGGCCTAAGACGTGATGACCAATGAATTCATTATTTGTCCTATGGTAAGATGGTAAGCATGGGAATTGAATTTGACATGAGCACCCTATGTAGCTAAATCTAACGTTTTAACCAATTATACATTCACAAACTTAGGATTTGTTTGAACAAAACTAAAACCATTTACCTCAAGAATTCAGATATATTTAAGTATTTCTCCCCGTAAAATTGGACATTTTTACTGTAGAACTACATTAGTCATATTGTAACTCACACACATTTTCCCAATAGTATCTGACAATATTATAGTAAAATTATGATTTGCATTATATTTTAACACTTACTGTCTTCATTTTTTTATAAAAGATCCAATAATGTCAATTTCAAGATTCTACAATACTACACTATTTAAATACAACTAGTTGAAAGATACTCATTTATATGATAGTTCCTAACTTTTCTTTGTACCTTCGACAAATTTAAAACCAAAACCGCAGCGAAAATAATGAAAAGAAATAAAATAATAAAAAGAACATAAAAGAAGTTCAATTGAATTCAGGAATTTAAAGTGAAACTGTAAATGGATTTCAACAAGTTCGCCAAAAAAGTCTGTTATATTCAAGCTATCAATTTGAGCATATACCAATCTGATATGGTAGCTTATTATGAATATTCCTCCCAAAATAGGGCTGTCAAGAACATTCATACATAGATACATTCGCATTTACCATTTGATTGAATCCAGCTGTCCCAAAATTCAGCTTCAGTTATTCTTCCATCAATATCTGTCACAAATCCAGGCAGGTTTGCATTTGCTCCAGTGTTTTCTAACAGATCCTTATGACCTGCAAAGAACTGAATAGAAAAAGAGATTAGTACCGGTAATATAATTAGTCTTTACATAAAAAAAAGAATGGCCTTCAGGTAAACTTGCCACCCTTCATTCATTAGAAGTGCACCAGGCTTATTTGAAACCTTCTCCCATTCAAATATAAACCCTCAAATTCAAGCTGATTATTACATCATAGTTATTTCTATAGAATCTTCAATGACAGCAAATATGGTATTTTGAACCAATAATAACCCTGTTTCAGGATATTACTTGCTGGCAGATCATGAACTACCGGTAGTTGACAGGGATCGAGCATATTTTGTGAATATGCTAATTGACATGTAGGTGTAAAACTACTTCAAATTTGGGGATAAAATCCGAATTGCAACAGCAGTTAAATTTTATATTATTGTTGTATATTGGGGTGAATGCATTGGCAACGAGATAACTAATCTTTCATTAAGTTACTTCCCAATCATGATCATGTGTGTTCATGTAGAAAATTTCATAATTTTACTGCACAAATGGCAAATTTTAAAGATAAAAGTAAAATTTCTGAATATTTTAAACTTATAAGGAAACCATATAGAATATATGAATTTCATCAATTTGTTTGACATTCCTGGTTCCAATGCATAATAATTTTATTCAACAAAAATCCTATTTCGTCTGTAATTCAACTTGGACATAAATTACTATTTAATTCGATTATAAAATGACATTAAATTGCACGAAAGATACCAAAAAAATATCAAATAAATGACCAAAAAAATATCAAATAAATGGTAAAATAACAGTCTAAAAAATATAAAAAAAAATATATTATTGATCCAATTTTAATACCAATTAGCAAGGGATAAAGAACTGCTGTGAGTCGAACCTATAATCCCCCCAGGGGATGGCAATAATGGATAATCTCAAATCACAACAGAATTGAGAGCTACACATATCAATTTATGCTGAAATATCAACAACCACTTAAAATGTATATGCTTCCATTTAAAATGTATGGTCCATGCAAGCCCATGTTTTGAAATGAGAATTACTGATAAAAAAAAGTTTCCATATTCATGGAATTGTAAAATCGAATAGAACCATTATGCATGTAAAACAACTGTTTTTAAAAATAAAATTTTTAATGATATTTACTTTTACTCCTTCACTGATTGAAACATTACCATCGTCATCATTATCAAGTTCATCATGCATTCGTCGCATCGCACTTCTTGATAATAAGTCCATGTATGTGATATCTGAGAATAAACATAAATCTCAGGAAGAAATATTTGTCTTGTACTTTCAAGTATAGCATGTTCAGCGTGACCAAAAAAACAGTATCTAATAATTTCTTAATTACTTCTGAGAAACTTTATCCAATACTAAAACTTTTGTTTGTGTATTATTGTTCCCTGGAAGTTTTAGTAATCCAGTACCCTTTGCATAAAGTTATGCTCTCTGTAAAATATATCTTAAACGACTTGGTTTCTGTTTTTTAGGGTCACCCTGTATATACATTTGTTTGCAAGAACAAAAATGATGAAATATTCACCAAACTAGCAAGTAAGACTTCACTTATTTTCTAAAAAAAGCCTTATTTGGTAAATTTTATTTGATATGTCCCAAAAGATTCACTATCACCCTAAAATACAGTGTGACTCAGTGTACTGTAAAGTGCTTTATTGTGCTAATATTGTGTACAGTGTTTTAATATTATTTTATATGGACAGTAACACATAATTTCATTTCAATCTTCTTTTCCAACATGTATCCTTTCAGTAACACAACATTATGGCACTTGTGCCATGCCTTGACCTTTGCACCCCTCCACCTGTACATGGCAATGAGCTTCCTGTCTGCCGGTACTCTGGTACTAGACTAGTCTTGTGCACTGAACAATCTGCTTTAACTATTAACCTGTAAATTACAGATAAAACAGTAGTTTACTGCAGTTAGGATTATATTCTTTGTTACTGATAATAAAAGCTCAGTTCTACATCTGTTGGTCTGTTCTTAGTCAAGCCAGGCTATCTGTCAGGAAGCAATCAAGCAAGCACAGCCCTGAACTTATTAATGGCGACGAGGTGAAACGGAGGAACAGACACTATAGTAACCCATCTCAGACATCACAACAGATAATCCTGACTGTAGTTTTGAATTGGAACAATGGCTACTGAACAATTTGAATCACCATCCAGGTCAATCGGAAAGTTTGACCCAGAGATGCACACCACGAATGTGCATGACGCATTCTGTGACTTTGTCAACCAGTTTCATTATGAATATGAGGCTATTGCGAGGGATCCCCCTCAAGGCACGGAGGACACAAATGCATGGGTCCAGATCAACAAAAGAAAAATATTTCTTGGCCGATTCGCATCTCGCAACTTTCAAAAAGACTTTGAAGACACTGTCACAGAGACTGATCGCTCGCTTCTCACATTCACAAACCTCATTGCAAGAATGAAGGCCAGATATGAGCCCACTCGCAACTATACCTTGGCCAATCATGAGTTTCATCGCTTAAATCAAGATCAGGACGAGAGCTTCAATAACTTTGTCCATCGTTTGCAGCATGAAGCTCGATCTTGCAAATTCAGCTGCGGCAATGAAGGCTGCGACATCCCAGATATCATGGTACGCGACCAAATTATAGTTGGAACGAGACATGATGACATTAGAAGGAATGCTCTAAAAAATCAGTGGGGGCTTAAGGACCTGATAGAAAATGGGCGCAAGATAGAGGCTGCATCCCACACAGCACAACGCCTCCTGGAAAACTCGACAACCGAGGAAGACTTCACCAGCATATCCAGGATGAGACCAGGGAAATACTCTCGTAAAACAAAGAAATCCAAAGCTGATTCAGGACCAAAACATCCTCTTTCCCAGTGCACCACATGTTCTCCGAAGACATGTCAGGGTGGAAAAACATGTCAGGCACGCCATTCAAACTGCTTCGCTTGTGGTAGAAAAGGCCACTTCAAAGGGTCAAAAATATGTAGAGGGAAACCAGCAGCAAGAGCACACAGGGTAAAGCCAAGAACTAGATCCTCAGAGCCACATTCGGAAACTGACAGCTCCTCTGAGAATGAAACAGAGGAAGAAAGCAGTCCACCCAGCTCCAAAGAAGGAGTGCGCAGAATGAGACGCATACATAGAGTCCAATGTAAGAAGGGAGTATCAAAGAACAGCCGTTCGAAGAAGCCTGCCTTCACCCCAGCCAATTCGCACGAAACAGGATCTACTATTCGCAACATAGCAAAACCTCGATACAGAGTGGAGATAATTGTAGCCGAGAGACGCATCAAAGGTTTCGCGGACACGGGAGCAGACATCAATGTGATGTCAGAGACTTCTGCATCCAAACTGAAACTGCCTCTGTGCAAAACAAAGATAAAGCTCAGACCGTATGGCTCCAAGCCAATCAGATGTGCTGGATATTATGAAGGTAGTATCATGTTCAAAAACGCAGTGACCACAGCTCGATTTTACATAGTCCCAGGTGATTCAGAAACACTACTCAGTGGCCAGCTTTGTGAAGAACTTGGAATCATCAAATTCAACAACTGCACAAAGGAATGTTCAGGCAAATTACGAGCTGTAAGAAAGCTCCATTCCTCTGAATCAGACATTTTTGCAAAATACCCAGAGGTCTTCATGGGTGTGGGAACACTGATCGATCATGAAGTGCATTTCTATATGAACAATAAAATACCTCCTGTTGCTCAGGCAGCGCGTCCAATTCCATTTCATCTCCGGGAGAGATTCCAACAGGCTATTGTACAAATGGAAGAACAAGGAGTCATCGAAGAGCACAGCGGTCCAGCACCTTGGGTCTCAAACCCGGTGCTCACACCAAAAGACAATGGTAATATCAGAGTAACCATAGATCTTAGAGCTGTAAACAAAGCAATCAAAGCGACAAACATCCCAATTCCGCGGGTGGAAGACATCAAAGCAAAGCTGTCTGGGTGTGCAGTTTTCAGTAAACTAGACTTCAAATCAGCCTTCCACCAACTTCTCCTAGATGAGAGTTCACGCATTGCAACAGTGTTCCATGCTGGACAGCGTCTGATGCGATACAGAAAACTAACAATGGGAGCTAAACCGGCATCAGGCGAATTAACTAAAGCGCTGATCCCAGTCTTCGCTAACATCAAGGGTGTACATATCATTCATGACGATGTTATAGTGGCAGGCAAAGATAAAATAGAGCACGACAAATCCTTGCACGAAGCGCTCAATAAAATACATCAAGTTGGCATGACACTCAACCCAGACAAATGCATTTTTCGCAAATCAGAAATCCCGTTCTGGGGCATGATCGTTACAAAAAATGGGGTTCGGCCAGACCCAATCAAAGTGGAGTCACTTAAAAAAGCAACAAAACCCCAGTCAAAAGATGAAGTCATGTCCTTCTTGTGCTTTGTACAATCATTTGGTGACTTCATTCCACACTTGTCAAGCAAGACCACACATCTGCGCAGCCTAACAAAGAAACACAAAGAATTTAGGTGGTCATCACAATGCAACAAAGAATTCAAAGCTCTAAAACAATCTTTGCAAGCAGACACAGAGCTAAGATATTTTGACATAAATTCCTTAACCTTCGTGTTCGTGGATGCCCATACATCTGGCATCTCAGCTATCCTCGCCCAAGGAAAAAGCATCCAGGAATCCAAAGCAGTGGCGTTTGCAAGCCGTGCAACTAAGCCGGAAGAACAACGCTACCCTCAACTCGATCTCGAAGCACTAGCTGTTGATTTTGCTTTGCGACGATTCCGCAACTATATCGCTGGAGGCCCACCAGTGAAAATCATCACAGACCATAAGCCACTGGTCAGCATTTTTAGCAATTCGCGCAAAGGCTCAATCAGAACCGACAGAATCAAAATGAGACATCAAGACATACTGTACGAAGTTCAATGGGAGCCAGGCAAGCACAATCCAGCAGATTATCTCTCACGACACTCAACTCCCTTCCATGAAACACCCGAAGAGTGGCAGAAAGAGGCTGGAGAGCTTGAAAGGACTGTATACTGGCTTCAGTACGGGCCTTACATCGAAGCAATATCTATGTCAACCATCGCACAAGAGACGAGCAAAGATAGAGTTTTGCGGAAGCTAAAAAAATACATTGTCAAAGGACAGATTCCTGAGCACAAATCGAGCTTTAACGAGTACCGGAAATTCCAGGATCAGCTAACACTCGTTGATGGACTCATTATGAAGCAAGACAAGATAGTGTTGCCAGAGACACTCTGGGAAAAAGCCATTGAAAAAGCACATCAAGGAGGTCACCCAGGGATTAATATTCTCAAGCGACGAATTCGCAGCCATTTCTGGATTCCAGGCTTAAACAAGCTTGCAGAAAACAAGGTAAAAAATTGTGAAATGTGCCAACAATTCACTAATAAGACAACCAAACAGCCACTGAAGTCAATCATTCCATCCAGATCAGCATGGGAAGAAGTCAGCATAGACCTTTTTGGTCCTATGCCAGATCACAAACATGTGGTGGTAATACAAGACATGAAGACGCGATTCCCAAATGCAAAAATCGTGAATTCCACAGCAGCACGTCATGTCATACCAGCTATAGAGGAAACATACACCTACTATGGGCAACCTAACACACATAGAACGGACAATGGACCACCATTCAACTCCAGAGAGTTCAAGGAATTTTCAGATAGACGTGGCATTACTCATCAGACATCCTACCCTTATCACCCTCAAGCTAACCCGGTGGAAACACTGATGAAACCTCTCGGTAAAGCAATGAAAATCGCACATGCTGAGGGCAGGGACAAGAACCAAAGCCCTAAACAACTTTCTGACAGGAATTTCGATCTACCCTCACATTGCCACGGGGCAATCACCAGGAAAACCTTATGTTCAGAGGTGGCTACCAACAAGATTTTCCCCGCAAAGTACTCACTCCACAAGAAGTTCAAGATGCGGAATCTCTGGACATACAGCAGAAATTGGAGCGTCAAAGTTCCATCAACAGCTCTATCAAAAGAGCACCTTCACAGTTCAGATATGGCGATATGGTACTGATGCGAAACAATAACGCTAAGAAATTCGACCCAATCTTCGGTCCAGATGTTCTCAAAGTCATCAACATTGGCTGTAATGGACTGGCACTAGAGCGTCAGTCTGATGGCAAAAGATTTCGAAGACATTTCGACGATGTGAAGCCATATTTCTCCGCACCACAACGTTCACGACTTTCTGCCCAAAACCAGACACAACCTCCTAGCTGGTGGCAATGGGATGATATGGCTCAGACTGACAGCAATCCCATTTCATTGGATACCCAATACCAGAATACCAGGTGGATCACAGGCCACAGTCACACCCTGCGGTGCCACGAGCACTGAGTCGCTTAGCTGACTTCAACAATCCAGGGTACACAGAAATGTATGACTATTGAAACGAGTATAAAAGAGGGGAGTAGTGATATGTCCCAAAAGATTCACTATCACCCTAAAATACAGTGTGACTCAGTGTACTGTAAAGTGCTTTATTGTGCTAATATTGTGTACAGTGTTTTAATATTATTTTATATGGACAGTAACACATAATTTCATTTCAATCTTCTTTTCCAACATGTATCCTTTCAGTAACACAACATTATGGCACTTGTGCCATGCCTTGACCTTTGCACCCCTCCACCTGTACATGGCAATGAGCTTCCTGTCTGCCGGTACTCTGGTACTAGACTAGTCTTGTGCACTGAACAATCTGCTTTAACTATTAACCTGTAAATTACAGATAAAACAGTAGTTTACTGCAGTTAGGATTATATTCTTTGTTACTGATAATAAAAGCTCAGTTCTACATCTGTTGGTCTGTTCTTAGTCAAGCCAGGCTATCTGTCAGGAAGCAATCAAGCAAGCACAGCCCTGAACTTATTATTATTGAAAGTGATTGATTGGACGCTTGGAAACAGAATGCTTAAAATAATATGCAGCCAAAAATTGTTGTTGGGAAGCTATAAAAAGGAAGTGTATGAATAGGAATGACGCCACAATTGGCTTGAATTACATTGTCAAGTTTACAGTGACACATCTCAAAGAGAATCGCAACCAATTCGAATTCCTGATTACTATCTATATCTTTACTGAAAAATAATATGACGTTACGTTACGGTTTGTTGAAAAGAATGTACACAGGAAAGCGGTGATGACGTCAAAGATCTAAATATAGTATGGCTGTTGAATAAGATTGCTCTTTTATTTTTAGTGATATCGATCTAAAGAACTAGAATACCGTAATAAATACCAACGGAAAATGAATTCAAAGTAAACAAAATTCACAAAATATTAATATTCAAAGAAGTAAATTATTAAAACCAGCTGAAATAATTGTGATTATAATATTATGAATTGCAACAAAACATTTGCATTAGGTAGGAAAATCAAGAAAATTATTGCAATAACTGACATGTATCAATCTCTATATGAATAATTTCACTTTAATATTTTTAGTTTAAATGTTTTATTGAAAATGAATACAAAATTAAAACAAATTAAATTTCACAACCAAATTTCTCGTAGTTATTAATTGCTTGTCTGAGAAAATCTGGCTTTAGGCAGATAAAATCTTACAGATTATTATTCGTGAAACTGTAAACTGTTTTGACAAACCGGTTCTGCATCTATATCATGATTTGATTTTCTATTTATGCAAGCCATATAATAATATTATTCAAAAAGGAAAACATCAAAAAATCATACAAATGGAAAAAAATTAAAAGAAACTTACTATCAAACTGCATGTCTAGTTTTCTGATTCCATTTGTATGTAATGAAACATTCCGAGCATTGGTTATCCATAAAAATATCACCAGAAAGTGTCGAACTTGCAACATTGCGACAAATAATATTATTAACCTAATAGACAAATACTTTAAATAAAATACTGGTAATAAACTATATATTATCTGAAGCAAAAGAATTGCAAAATATGTTTATCTACAAATGATGGTGAATTTAGTAAATTTATAAAAATAATTGTGTTGGAAAACAAAGACTTATAAGGTCTGAATTAGAAAATTATGACATAAGATTGTTGGTTGCAATAAATATTGCTTTTTACCTGTGTCTATCTTAGTGTTAGTAATATTTGGATGATAAAAAATAAGTTTTACATTATTTCATGATGCATAATTTAAACTATCAGACATATGGATGAGCAAGCAAGAATATTTCTGCATGTATCACAGTTTTTTATCAGTTATGTTTAGCTAGTATCCCTTGTAATCCTAGTTTTAAAAAAAGAAAAATAGCCTATAGATTGTCTTCAAACTCAATCTGTGATGTATCATTGTGATTACATCAAGGTTTTCATCATATGAAACTATGATTGACTATCAACAACTGATGCTTATGCAATATTATGACAAAATGTCCATGATTCCTATCTTATAAGAAGATAAGATTATAGACTAGAGGCAAATTTATTAAGGACAAAAAAGCATTCTCTATTACCATTACCCTAAGAAGCATAAACTAGCCCTATATAACTTCTGAGCAATATGCTGACTTCTTAATAATGAATTCCCATAGTTCAGGTTAGGAGCATAACATTACCTAATGATGTACTAATTGACAACACAATTAGTCATGTCATACTATGAACAACTTTTAATCAGTAGTAGTAGACTAGTAGGTATGACAGCAATTTCCGCATAAATTTCCATATTTCCATTCTAAGATTTACATAAAAATGTAAATTAAGTTCAATTTTGAGGTAATAACCTGATAAAATTGATGACATATTATGGCAAGCATATTGTTTGGAGGACGAATAAATTTGCTATTAGACATAAAATACCCGAATAATCACGGTTTTCTCGAGATATTGGGTTGCTGGGTATATAGGTAGATATATAAACATTCTATATCAGGAGAAATGCTCTAACATTACTCAGAAATAAGTAATCACAACGACCTAAAAATTAAAAAAGAATCCTAATGTTTTACTATAACTTACTGCCTGAGATTTTCGGACTTGCATGCGATTAGAAGAACAAGGATACGTAAATAAAACAGTAGAAGTATATATAAAAATAACAAAAATGCAAACAATATACTTTAACATGTCTAGTTTGGCAAATACTGTCCCGAACAAATTCAAATACGCATCCATAATTTGAATTTTCATAATTAAAAAATGAACCTTTCATTTCAATTAAACCACTGTAAGCGATTATGATTTGTAAAGAAAGTTTATGTTATATAATATAGCAGAGTTCCCTTTTACTCTCTCATTAACAGTTTAAATACAGATACTCATATTTACTATAATTATTATATTACAGAAATCTTTCAAATGAAGACCTACTTACTTGACAAAGAATAAAAAATACAGCTATCAAACTACCATCATTGACCTACATTATTTTGAATTGATTCTTTCTTATCAGATTAATTCAATTGACATTCTTTTTTGATTTAGTCAATTTCAGTTTCAATGACAATAATAATGGTTGTAAAATTTATAATTACATAAAAAGGGTTATACTATAGTATGGCACTTTCAGTTGCTAGAAGCCAATAAACACTGAGTTAATATATCCATAACATCTCCATTGCTATAAATAAACCTAGTGTATATAAAGGTATAAAACACAATATGGATAACAGATGATTATATAAGCCTCTGTATATTGACATCCAATCCAAATTTTATAATCTACAATCTTTAAAAATATAGTGCATTAGATAAGGATTTCTGCAATTTTACAATATATCATTGGGCTTTTATAACTCATATGACAATCTTGTTTGTATTAAACTTACCTATAACATCTTCATTGCTATAAACAGACTTAGTATATATGAGACTAAGAGCATAAGTCATAATAAAAATAACAGTAAGGCACAGTTCTCTGATTCCAAGATGTCCCGACATTAGGTTCAATAAAGCAAAAACTCTATTTGTTTGTCTCTGAAATGAGGGCGGCCGGCACGACGGCAGATGCGTTAGATCTCACCATGCTTGTCTCGCTATTTATTTAAATCAATCGTGACATGCATAGACGATCACATGATCAATTTTTGGCTGAAATCTCTGAAATGCTACGGTTAAATTTTTTTTCTTTAGTGAACCGGAATATTTTTTTCATATCAATCTAATGGTGGTGTTTTTAGATTGCACTCCCCTTCAGTTTATTACGTAGTGCCAGTTTGCCGATATGTACGCGGCTATTCATGGAATATGAGAACTGTGCCAGTTTGCCGATATGTACGCGGCTATTCATGGAATATGAGAACTGTGCCATTCTGCAGTTAATCATACACTGATATCAGGATATAGGCTGGTACAGTGGTTCTATAACTTTTGGCTCCCTAGCTCTACAGGGGTGGTAGCACAAAAGTCATATTGGGGGTGTCAAAATAGGGCTGACGAAATGCGGTCGTTGCGTGTCAAATTGGGGGTGACGAAGAAGTCATCCTAATTCAAGTTTTATAATATTTGTATGTTGGGAACAAATGATAATTCCTTGTCAAACATGGCCGAACAGGAATTTCACATCAAAATTATTAAATATAGGTATTACACCCTCAACTTCTGTACTTTGTCGATTACCGGTACGTGCTCCACTTTTAGATAAGATATCCCGAAAGAACATACTGTGAGGTCATATCTAAGCAAGTTTCGGAAAAATTGTATAACGGGAACATATAATAATATTTATTTAATTTTACATTAAAATTAATAAATATCGGTATTTTAACCCAAAGGTCTGTACTTTTCGATTATGTGTCCCACTTTTAGATAACAAAAAATCATTTAGCAGGCTACACATACTGATATAGTAAATAAAGTAGAAACACTCCTCCAAGACGCGCAGACGATCATCCGAAATCGAGCAAGCTATTTTTCTCGTTTTCTTGTCGCAACGATTCGGCGATCCTGATATCAAGGAGATCGCTGCTGTTCTGCTGTTAGTGAATGCTTTATAGTTGGCGCAGATGCCATTTCGGCAATCGTAGGTATACTTTGGCAAGCTCTACAGCTCTATGACGTGTTTGTGACGCTCACGTCGTAGTGACGTAACGTTTGGGGTTAGGATTGACATGTGGGAAAATCGTTATGCTACGCCCACCAGAAGTATTTTAGGTACGAAACTACACGAGACCCCAATATCCAACTATATCGAGATATATAATTTATACACATACAGACATGCTGTAATATCTCAAAAACATACGGTAGGTTACTTAATTTAAGATTCCACATTCTGGATTCATGAGTTTGTGGAAATAAAATCTCTCTCTTTCATTAAAAAATAAGAAAATAAAGGCAATAAAGATAAATAAATACAGAAATAATCAATCAATTTTCATATTGTCCCTACAATATTATTTTCCTCACGACATGAATCCAATAAAATACCATTGAGTTAACTAGCTTATTCATGCTGCAACAAACATGAGCATATCTAGCATATTGCAGTAGAAATGAATTTCAACGCAACGCAGACACGAAAACTTTCTTTTTTATGCCAGTTCTTTTTTACACGAAACGTTCTCGACAAAGATAATTTTGTTTACTCAATAGCGCCATAACGCGGTACCGTAACATGTCAAATTACTGTGGGCAGTGTTTCCTTCCCGACGTCGTTGTTCCAGACTACTTACCGTAATTATTTATTATTTAAAAGGGAGTTTCAGCGGTTTTATAAAGCAGCTATGTAATTTCTTAGTTTTCTGATTAGAATCTTTGATAGCTATAATTCAACTTAGATGTTTAGGTAGGGTTACCTTATTTTTGTGACTTCAAAGCGGGACGCCTCCAAAGACAACGACCCCTTAGCTAAGTAGCTGTGATTTTGTAACTTTACATTTTCCGATTTTATTACATAGGCCTACATTTGAAGCCATCCCGGCTGTCTTCATCGATCATATTGTCATCGAGAGTTCATGAGCATATTCTCTGTCCAAATATCGGGTTCAGTTGGAAAAATAGAAAGGAATTGACGTTAACAATACCGGTACAGTGGTACAAATAATTCGAAATCAGATTAATTAGTATTGGTTTTACATGCAATACGTTTGCTAACAATGGTTGCAAGAAACAAACGCGATGACGCATTCACATTCAGTAAGTAGGCTAGTGCTGTGCTACACAGAAACAAGAGTAACGAGAACCTGTTCGTGTATTACCGTATGCTGGATTGCTGAACGCTAAAACGGGACTTTCAGACTTTTAACTGACTTTTCGGAATGGCGGGACAAGTCGCTAAAATGCGGGACTGTCTCGCCTAAAACAGGACGTATAGTAAGTTTAGGTAGGCTTACCATATACCTGTATACCTGAGACAAAAAACCGTGGTTCTATCCCCAATCTGCCAATGCTTCATTTGTTTGTTCGTAGTTGTGTTGTGATCATTGAGGTTTTTTTTTATCACCAAAAATTAGACGTAGACAATTAGGGCCTCGTGTAGTTTCGTACCGGTACCTAACGTACTTCTAGTAGGCGTAGCATAACAATTTTTTGACATGCCAATCCTAACCCTCACCTGACTACGCCATCCAAAAATTACGCCTCTACGATCATGCGATCATCAATTATATCTACTTAAACCCTAACCCTAACCCGAAATCCATCAAAACTGTATCCATGAGTAGAACGTTCCAACTTACTCAATATTTGTCACCATCACCATAGGGGACAGCCCTGTCTTTACGGCCCACCTGCCGTGGTTACGGCAGCAAAATTTTACCTGCCATTGGTTTTCAATTTGCTGCCGCGGTAACGGCAGCTCGTCATGGTTCGTGGCAGCTAAAAAGTCAGTCGCCATAGGTTTGGCCGTAGCGGCCATGGTATGGAAATATCGCCATGGTTTTGCGGCAGCTGCAGACGCAACAGAATACTTAAAACTGCACTTGAAAATCCTTCCATGTCGACTGTAATTTGTTGCCGTGATGCACGATTGCGATAAATCACAAAGTAAAATAATTGTAACTAACAGCGTTACAGAAATACATTTGTGTTAGTGTGCAGCAAGACTTTTTGAATTGAATAAAATAATTGTATGGTAAATATTGTATGTCTTCAATCAAAAACGTGGATGGCGGCGGCTAGGATGCGTGCATGTTTTCCTTATTCCTATAAAACACTAAAAACGATATTCGAAGGTCACGATATTCGAATGGGACATATCTGAATTAAGCTGACCCTTTAGTGCGATCAGACATGTATAAGCCAATTTTTTGTGCAATCAGAGTTATTCGCGTATAAGCCGACCCCCTAGCATTTTTTTTTAGTTTTATACTCGGCTTATATGCGGGGATATACAGTAATTCCCTTCTAAACTTCTTCAATTTGCTCAGTCATATAAAAATGCAATTATTTTATTCTTCTGTAGTTAATTACATGAATAGCAAGCAACATGTTTGTTACATTGATTAGCCTATTGCTATGTATTTCATCTGCAATGTGTGCTACACAAGATTCTGCTGTTCGTTCTCTGGTATACACAGACATCAATGTAAATTCTTACGACAAATGTGCTCGACTGATGAATGGTACTAGTCAAATTGGATGCCAGTCAACACTAGAGGGCGATGTCGGAGTTCTTTTTCATGTTAATCAATCTGACGACATAAGCAAAGTTATTACTGGAAAGCATCCTCCATATATTGTGCTTATACACGCAGATTATTTCAGTAAAGCAAGTGTTAAATTGTATCAAAGTTCTGGGAAAGTACGAGGAATACTTGTTTACTCAAATGAAAATTATACTGGGAGACTCAGTGGTTGGTCACCAGAATTAAAATGCCCTCGACAACATTATGGATTATATAATTCGACATATGGAAGTAATTATGCAAAATGTGAAAATAATCCTTGGAATCCAATTGGTGATGGTCTGACGGAAGAAGATATTAATTTTCCTATTTTTATCATGAAAAACGATACTGCATCACAGATGATGATCGATTGTCATGACCAACATAACCTTGATGGTGATTATCCATTATGTGCCGCCCAAATGAAGTCTAGAATGGATGGAGCACAAAGCACGGAAACATGTATTCGCAGAAATAATCTACAAAATAACCTTTCTCCTGCACAATATTGTGATGTGATTGGAGGCCATACGATTGTCGGAACTTTGCAAGCCACAAATAGTTCAACAGAAAATCCGAAACCTGTAATTCTAATCACATCTGCTCTTGATAGCAGATCATTTGAAATGACATCTTCCTCTCCCGGAGCGAACTCATTAACAGGTTTTGTGTCACTTCTAGCTGTTGCGCAAGCACTGGGAAGCCTAAATAATACAGTGAAAGAAAACATGCCATATGATATTATATTTGTTTTATTTGATGGTGAAGCGTTTGACAACATGGGAAGTGTGAGAATGGTGTACGACATGTCAAAAGATTCCTTTCCATTTAAAAAGAAAGAAGGCAAATGGCAGCCGAGGAGAATTAACATTTCACAAATTAAATACATCATTGAAATTGGACAGGTCGGCCATATTAATAAGACTGCTTATTTGCATTTTGATCCACTTTCGGCTAGCAATTCAAGTATTAGAACAGATGTCAGTGCGATTATTGGAGCCTTGAAAACTTCTGGTGCCTCAGCATCTATCAAATTCAGAAATCAGTCTGGAGATAACGGATTGATACCCTCATCTTTGCAATCTATATTGAAAGCTGGAAACGTATCAGGCATCGTTATTACGGATTTCGATAAAAAATACACAAATCGATATTACAATAGCAGGTTTGACACTCCAGATAAATTGGGCATAAAGCTGGATGGGAACACCACTGAATCGTATGCTCTACCACTTATTCAACCTCTGGCACAAAAAATTGTCAACCTCTCGAATGCTATTGCCAAAGCTGTTTACCGCCTTGCCACAAATCAAGCTTTAAGCACTATACATAGAAATGAAGATGAGATTACTAAAATTTTGTACTGTTATTATTACAATCCTAAATGTGGTTTGGTGCGAAGTCTGTTGGATAGCAATATAAAAAAGTACTCTTATGTCTTCAATCAATATGTTGGGGTTTATTCCTCAAATATGAGAAATAATGCCTATATTGCTAGAAATCTTCTTGCCTATTTCCTGAGGACAGAAGAAACCACAATTGTCAACAAGACTGACCAGTGCAAATCTCAATATGCACAAGATGAAATTTACAAATATTTAGCATTCAAACGTAACACAACATATGAATGCCTTCGTTTTACTGTATATGACACTGATGGAAGATCGCCATCGGCTGCTATATCCAATTATAATTATGCTGGTGGGGCGTACAGTGCTTGGTCTGAAAGCAGGTGGCAAAAAACTGCATTTCACCTCAGCATTTTTCTTGTTCAAGATTCTGTATCACAAGGGATGATTCTTTTTTGCGGCTTGCTTATGTTTTTTTCATCTTTTATAATTATGTATATCATTCATAAAAAATCTCATATTTTATTTCAGCATAGTCAGATATGAGATGAAAATTTAAAATGGTATAAATGATTTTTGTCCTATTTATTATGCACAGCATTATTAACAATGATTTTCCAGAAATGAATAGAAAATTTATACTATTCCTTGTCACAGTATTGACAACAATGTGAAAACCTAGAATTGTCACATTGCTTGATTACAGGAAATAAATTTCATTCATCATTATCATACTACTAATTATGAATATTACTTATCGATCTCGATCGGTAAGTATGTTGATAGGTATTTGTCTGTTTGTTTGTTTCACTTTCGTGATATCTCGCGCTAGTGATGTTGAATCTGCTCCAAATTTTTGCATGTACATTCATCATATCTCGGACCAGAAGCCAATTGATTTTGGATAAATTATGTTGTATAATTACCATAGCGAGTTATCACTTAATTAGTGATGGGACACGCTGCCGAGTTAGAGCGAAGGAATCGAAACCGATAAGTCGGCGGTCTCCGATGGCTATCTCGTTAATGTATTAATGCTGGTTTAAATTTTTTCATATAATTTTTTTTATCAACATGACTATTTTTATGATGATATTAATAGCATTCGCACTAAATTAAAGGCGACGATGTAACCCTTTTACTGGACTCCAGAATAGTGTGTACCAATAAGGAGGTAACTAATTTTGTTCACCTACTCCACATAAAGTTGTGTAAAGGGACTGAAATCTATGGGCAGGGGCCTGGGGGTATATTCACTTGGCTTACACAGACAGTCCCAGAAGACGTAATAGAACTAAAACAAGGAAGATTAGAATAAAATTATGCCGTAACCCTAATCTGGTACACACACTACAGGGGGAACCCTTTTAGTTATGCAAAACAAGTGGCCAAATCATGGCCATCAGTCAGCACTTAGCAGTATGTGTGTATAAAAAACTAATTCTGCATGTGGCTAGTCGTGATCATTCCTTAGTGTTAACTTTGAGATCACAGTTATTTAATCTGTGTTGGAACATTTTTTACTCTTAAATTCATCTTCTGTACCAACTACCAAGCACTATATGGAACAGTCAGTTATTTCAAGTGCCTATTCCATTATATAGTTACTTACAGTAAAGTTGTTCTTTGCCAAAAAAAATTTGGATTGTATTTAGGCAAACGATTAATATATGAAGTGTATAGACAAATGGCAAACTGCATTTCGGCAGGTGTTTCAAAGTCCTCATTACTGTTTCTTGATGGCCTTCTGAGCTAAAAGATTGTATTACTTATTAAAGGCTTCAGATCGAATCGTTTGCATTTTTTCACATGATTATACTATGCCCTCATGTTGTGATTTCATATCTTTGAATTTAGGATCTTTTCCTTAGAATAAGGATACTGTCATCTACAGACAAGCCATTTATTGTGCTATTGCCCAAATGGTTTTGGGTTAATGTTGTCCTATTGTTTCTCTATATATTATGTTATGTCATTTTTATTATCATTGTAGTAATATTTTATTTTGTATTACATTTCTATTACTGATTAAGTGTCTTGACTAGAGAGGAACTTTTTTGTGATATTCATTCTGTAGCATCAATTACTTATGCCATATGATGCCGGACTGCCTGAATTGAAATGTATTATGGCTTGATGTTCCATTTCAAGTCCCTTTTAAGGCTTATTTTTGATAATTTAATAGTAACGAGATTTTCGTTACATATTTCTATTCTATTCGCCCGAGTATCTCTTTGAGAATATATGGTATACAGTCCCATCTAGTTGAATATAACTGAAAATGGACACAAAGCGTTATTTGGGGCCATATGTACTTTCAAAAATTTGATATTGATTTCTGGCATTCCGATGATGATTCTGTGTTGAGAACTTGAGAAATAAACTGGTTGCATGATCGAAAATTCCTTTTTTGCTTACATAAATATTCAGTTTCTTCATCTCAGTGAAGATTAGCTCACTTTTTCCTATTGTATCACTGTTTGTTTATTCTTGTTATAATAGACCAGACCAATAAATCATGAAATGCTCATGTTGTGGTTGAAGTACGACAGTGGCATTTAAGTTTATTTATTGTGCTATATAATTTGCATAACAGGGAATAAAATACTGTTTTTGTCCCCAGTGTATGTCGGAATTGCCCACTGCCTTTTGAGATAGTGTTGATAAGCATGAAGGGGGTTGGGTATGTGTGGTAAATGTACGATCGCTTAGCATAGCGTTTCCCAACAGGGGAATTAGCTGTTTTCGAGGCAGACATTTTATTTTGTATTTGCGCGTGCTATTACCAATATGAATGCATTTTTATTAGTATTGCAATACAAATTATGCACATATTACATACTATCCAAAACGCCAAGTTCAAGTTGTGGGATGATCATGTGCGAGAGGATTGCTGGACTCCTCGCCGCCGTAGGGTGGTTCAAGTAACCGCTGGTCGGTTATGGCTTCCTCCACCAATCCACCATCAAGTCCATGCTTCCGAAAACAAATACCTGGCTAACTAATCCCATACCCGACCTGGACTGGTTACCGGATGAGAGGCCGTGGTTCGCCATATGATTAAGCCATCTTATCGGCTCTCCTCTCCCTCTGGATAAATATGTAAATCCCATCCTAAGTTGCGCATGTGACCAGCTAATGATTGGATTGGACTGCAAATAGAAACAGAGTTCTCAATGCATAGTGAGGGCGAATAACGACTTACGGAATAGGTGAAGGGATGAATGTATCAAAAATATTGAATTAGCAGTTTGAAGCAACAACAATTCTAGCCTGGAAAAGGTGTCAATCGGACTCCGGTAGTCTTTTGTGGCTAGCGGTTTGCGTGAGAGGGTCAAATTCATACGTGATATAGCAATTTTGATCTTATCGAATATTGAAAATGTTATGATTGGCAAGAAAGAAAATTTTGAACAGTTAATAGCGAGGATTTTGTTAATACTCTTTCTTAAAATCAAGCCTTGTGGATATTGGATAAAACTTAGACGAATCTGCGCTGTTTCAGCAAATGAATGCGAATAAAAGCAATATCTCAGATATCTTGACTCATATGCACCGCGGGAAACATGCTTGGTTATTGTTTTGTCTGACTGCCACTTGGTTTAGGTATTTTTATTATTAATTGTTGGTATGCTTTTATAGTTTTATAGCATGTTTGACACTCTGAGATTGGTCCTACGATAGATTTATATATAGTATCTGTTTATCTCTTTTTTGTGTGTTGTAGTTGAACAGTAAACTGCAAATAAGTATAAAATTATTACGGTACCAGGGTACCGGTATTCATTGCTGTAAAGTAACTTTAAATTTTAGTAATTCCAGAATTCGGCAGTCTAGTTCTGTAGTATGGCCGTTAGCATTCATCAAACTTTCAGTAAAATCAGTAAATATAGATTACCCGTTTTTCAGTATCTTTGCAAATCATTAGACTAGACTATGTTATTTTTCGATACTTATAAACTTTGAACCTAAATATTGACTGAATTAATCCAGATTCTAATGTCTGAATGTTCTATGTTAACCCATTCCATGCGATTTTTATTTTTTATTAAATAATCGTAGTTGCTTCGCCGATTTTATGCATTTGTACCCCACAACTAATCGATCGACTAACAAAAAACTAATGATCCTCTGTTACCCACTGACGGCTGGTTGAAAAGCTTATTTAAAGAGCTTGCAATTGGCGATTAAAAAAAAATGTTTTTTTGAAAGTGTTGGGCTGAGTCACAAACCGGATAGAAAAAAAGGGATTTTTTTTCTTGGGAGTTGAAACTTTAAACCGTGATAAAATATAGAAATATTTGCTAAATCCTTTACTGTTACCGCTTCGTGGTTGGCAAAAAATAGCATAATATTGCTGTAGCAATTTCGTGAGCTGACTCAAAATACTTTGGTAGATGGAAGGGATAATATGTCTTCTATTACCACCCAAAAAACACAGAAATTTGCATAGATTTCGAAAACACTCCTTTGTTCAGTGGCAAATAAAATTCCAGTCGTAAACGAAAGCGAGATTTACCGTCGCTTATGTTATTCTCGAAGAAGACTTCTTATCAATAAACTAAAACCCGGAAAAACTAGACCAACAGTTTGCGACCGATTGCTAAATAAAACAGTGGAGTACATCAACGTACCCGCCGCAATCTAGCGATTTTTGTCGTTGGTACGTATACGTGCCCACCGCACGGAAAGGGTTATATGGACTATTGCAGTATTCACTGAAAATTTTCATAGTACAGTAGTATCTGAGTCCAGTTTCGATTTCATGGCCTTTTTGACAGAGAAATCGGCGTACAATCAAAAATTCCCGCATGCAAATAAGAATTTCTGGCGTGCAATTATGGCTCACGGCCAGTGGCGCAACCAGCGGGGGGGTTACGGGGGTCGTGTCCCCCCCGTTTGAAATTCGTTCTTTTTATATTATTGTTCTACGTTCAAACAACGTCGTTCTACAGTCATAACCATCCGGTGAAAACTACTTTTTTTCAGTGCTTTATCACCTCGACGTAATTTAACACCGCCCGACTTCAATCATACCTTTTAGCTGTTAGTTACGTAATAATCGATATCCCCGCGTATATGTTTGTATTCGAAAATGAGATATGTTACCTCAAAAAAGTAGAAATCGCGCGCTGTCGATGCGAATTGAAAGCGACAATAGCACAATGCTATCTCTCTCTCTCTCTTGTGACGAATACTCTCGTGCTTCATCATCTTGACGCAATGAAACGCCGCCAGTCTTCATGTTATAATAATGCAGTAGAAACTATGAAAATCTGGATACGAAAATTATTTTCGGAAAAATATTGCTCCGATTAACCTAAGATTTTCTACATATGAAAGGCCGAAAGCCGTACAAATCCTACCGCCCCCGTTCTGATTTAAAAACATTTCACAATTATTTCATTTTTTATCGCAATCGAAAGCAGCCATGTGTGGCACGGCAATAACTTACAGTCGTCATGAAAGGTTTTCAATAAACTCCGACTTAAAGTGCTTATAAGACGTCGATTCCGGTCGGACCCCCCCCCCCCCCCCGTTGAAAAGGGCCTGGTTGCCGTTGACGGCCTGCGCCCGCGTGCAACTGACTTCGACATTAGATACCTTTCAATACATCCACGTAAAATTACTGGTATTGGATAAAAAAAATACGATAAATCATAGCAAAAATAGACGTTTGACCTTTAACCCCAAAAATTATTTCCACAGTTTGTCGCTAATTTTGAGAGTGTTTGTGCGACTTCGGATACCGGTACTGTTCAGTACATCTGCGTAAATATATTGGATAAAAAATACGAATCGGAGCATAAATGGACGTTTGACCTTTGACCACAAACATTATTTCTATACTTTGTCACTAATTTGAAGAGTGTTTGTGCGACTTTAGATACCAGTACTGTTCAGTACATCTGTGTGAAATTATTGTATAAAAAATTCGCTGAATCAGAGCCGTAACTGGCAGCGTCAGTGAGGAGGCAATCTTTTCTCCCATAACTATTCTCACAGGATTCCTATCATTCAACACGATGTGGTCTTTTTTGCTTCACATTTTTCTATCAGGCCTAATCTTGCAAGCTACTATTAGTCAACAATTGTGGAGTTATAATTTTTTGGCATATTTATATTACTGGATTATTGATTTAAAAACCCTTCAAACCGATTTACATTGGTGAGCAATTGCAAATTTTCGGCGTGCAAAATTGAATTCGCTCGCATGCATTTTTGCGGAGCGCTAGCGCCCTCAGGCGTCCACCTGCCATGGAATTCAGTCTGGATCTAAGTATAGAGTGAATATGGATAATATTTAATATACACATTTCTGCATTTGGCGATGGTAGTTCTATAGACTGGTGAACACTACAAATAACTTAGCCAAACCAATAGACCTACCAAAAATTCCCCATTCTGCCATTTGATAAATTCCCTTATAGTTATACCTATTTGTGGACAATCCTCACAAAATTAGTCTAGATTAAACTACCTAATTCTAATTTCTGAATTCTATGTAGAGCGTTTTACATTATTATAGAATGTCAGAAGAATTACTTTCATGGTGTCAAACATTAGTTGAAAAACTTTTGAAGCAAAAAGATGATTTGCTACAAAACAGCAAGAAGGAAAAACCAAAAGAATGTAATTTACCACACTACAAAACAATGCTTGAAGTTTATAAATCGATAGAAGAAAAAGAACTATTACTTCTTGAAATCAATCGGAGAATTAAAGAAACAGAGAGAGAAAACGACATTAAGCAAATTAAAAATTCTTTCTCATCTTTTCGTTTATGTGAAAGTGTTGCCGTTGAACGACAAACTTCATATATCCGAGTATGGCTTCATCAAATCTTAATGCATAATAAGAACTTAAAAACTGAAACTGAACTGTCAGAAAATGTAATGTTTTATGATGTAGACTTTGTTGAATCAAATGGTAAAGAAAGTTTGACATGGTCAACAAGGTATAAAGGAAGGTGTTTGAGGGTTTGTATAAATGCGTCATCCACATGTCCTATTACCGCCCTGGAAAGCTATGATTTTTCTGCATCTTTTTATGTTACTGGCTTAGTCGATGAAGGGAAACGAATGATCACTTCTGCTGAAAATGTTACAGAATATGTTAAATTATTGTGGAGTGGACTGCAAGAACTTATTGATATTTTTTAGTTGCTGTTTTATGTAATCATCTTGCAATATTATTATTATTAAATTGGTATTATTTATATTTGAAAATATGAGATGTCAAAAAATTTGGTATGAGGAATGATGGCCTTATATTCAATTGTAGAATATCAACTTTTTGTGGACATGCATTTTCAGTTTATTACAGCATATACAATCATTTCTGAAGGGCAGTTTGTGAACTGGAAATATATTAAATGTCCTGTCTAATCTGAATTCTTGAACTAAAGATTTTGGGTACTCCCATAGGATGTGTACCAGGCCATAATTTCATTCTGAATTTCCTTATTTTAGTTCTATTTGTTTGTGTTAGCCAAGTGAATATGCCCCCTGCCCATCCCCATAGGCTTCCGTCCCTTTACGCAACTTGATATAAAGTAGGCAAACAAAATTAGTTACCTCCACATGTATACTTCTGGAGCACCAAATTTTGTATTACATGTTTTATTATATTTATAATATGCCAATATTAATATAGTATTAATATTATTTATTTACTATGACGGTCTTTTTGACAGTGTCTAGTATGTGCATGAGCACCCTATTTTGTAGGACGAAGCATATACAAAAGGCTATTTCTAACACAAAAAATTTGTAAGTCAGTAATGATGGGTACACTCTTGTATTTATTTGGTTATAGTAGCACATAATATGGTCTAATTGTTAGCCAAACTAAACAAAAATTCACATCAGGAGAATTCTTTGTCTTGGTCTCAGATTGTGTATGAAAAAATCATGTATTGGTGCTAGGAATTCATTATTATTTCTCTGTAATATTTGTTTGCTCTTTTACAGAAAAATGTCTTCTGTGCTAAAATCCTTAGTTGAAATATTACAAAGTGATGAAAAAACAAAATGTGAAAAAGTTTATGGAAAATTGACTTCTTTGATTCCAAAACTAGACGAAGATGTGATAAAGGAATTTTTGCCTAGCATTATTGAATGCTTGAGGAGAGATTTGAAAAGCAAGGACGCTAATATAGCATCATCATCAGTCACATTATTCTCAACTCTAATCGGCAACATGGAATTACCAAAAAATTTTGTTGATGATTCAATTGCGGAATTATTTCCAGAATTTATTCTCACCAACGCAGACAAAGATTCTGTTCAGCGGTGCTTTGAAGTGATGTTCAATGATTTCCCTTGTCAAAAATGCGTATCATTGATTCACGATGCTATATTCAAAGATTCCAAGAATTTAATTTCAGACGCAATGAAAATTGAAATTTTGAAATATATATCTCAGCTATTCTCTGATTCTGAATGGATGAAAACTGAACTGAAAAGGGTATATGTTAAGCTTCTACAAATATTGCTTGTTTTTGCTGTTGCGGACAATTGTACTGTTCGAAAAACTGCTATTGATACTGCCCACTCACTCCTCTCAATATCTTCTGTTCAACCAGCTCATATAGCCCCGATCGCAAGCTGCCTTAAAACTAATGTGATGCCGAAAATCAAATCTATATACACCAAGAATGTTACTCAATTAGATGAAGTCCTTACCAGTCATTGCCCATTGTTTTTAAAAATAATGGGTGTCAGCCTTCGAAAAAGCAGTAGCATAATTAATGCTATACTGGCTGTTGTTGAGCAAGGGTTCCGTAATGCAAGTTCTGATATAAAAACCGCTGCATTTAAAGCATGGGATTGTCTTATTAATTGTTTCTCTGAAGATCTAGAAGTTTTGTCATCTTCTCGTTATATGAAGTTACTTATGCAACCTTTGACATCAACACAAACAACTGATGCTTTGAATATCACAAGAATTGAGACATTATGGGGTCTTGCTATAAAACTCTCATCTAAGCTTCCAGCTCTGTTTTCAACTGTTTGTTTACCTATAATACATTGCTGTTTGGGAAATTTGGATCCAGATAGATTATCAAGAAAAAGTCTTGACCAATCTGGAGGTCTCATAAAATCAAGACATTCAGGCGTAGGGGTACCAGGTTCTAACAATGGCGATGGGTTCTATTCAGTGTTGCAAGCGAGTGGCTACAGGGCAACACCAAAAAAAGCATCACAAAGTCCAAAATTACATATTATTGGAGTTGAATTGCTGATCCATATGCTTCAACCTCAAGTAGAAGATGAACAAGTGCAAATAATTAAAAAATTCAGAATGCCACCTTTAAATAGTGCATTGTTATCAGCGCCTGCTACTTTTGTCAGTCATGGTCAACTTTTTATAACTGTTGTCTCTGAAGTTTTATGTCATATGAATGGCCTTGCAGAAGATTTATGTTGGCTCTTATGGAAAAGACTTCATCAACATGTGAAGTTTCATTTGGAATCTAATTTAAAGAAGAAAAAGCGAGAGACAGAATTATTTAACGCATATTTGTTAGCAATGCAGAACATTATAAATGCTGAATTGTTATCAGAAAAATTAATTTTCAATATGATAACAAGCTTTCTTGATTTTCCAGATGGTATTCTGTCATCTACTTTTTACGGAGGATCATTGAATGGAATGCATGGTGTTCCAGCACTTTGCCTTTTGCGTCTGTTATTTTCTAAACAATTAATTGTGAAATTGGTGCCATCAATTTCAGAAGATATTTCAGACTGTGCAAATAAGTTGGTGCTATGCGGATTTGAAAACAATGTAAGGATATTACTGTTTTGTCAATCTGTTATTGAAATATTGCAAAATTCAATACTTACCATTCAGATTACGAAATATGAAGACCCAGTAGATATGGAAGCTATATCAACATTTGTTATTGTAATATGGGAAAAACTAGGCTATCAACTTAACCAACATATTTTAAAATCTCAGGAATGTAATCAAGGCGATAGTTTGGACCATGATTTCTCCGCTATGTATTCTTACCTGCTATTTCCAACATGCCTCATTGCCACAAATAATGATTTTACAAAAATGTGGAATCAAGTGTATAAATCATTCTTATGGTGCGCTAGTTTTGTAACCACTTGCAAACCAAATGAAATATGTAATCGGATTTCATCCAATATCCTAAGCCAATACAATGAAAAGTGGTCAAAATCTATCATGCTGGCATTAGCAACAATAAGCCAATGCTTGGTATCTAATGCGGAATTCAATCATGATAAATTAAAAAAGTCGAATCGATTTTCAGCTTTAGAAGGAACGGCGTCACCAGCAAGTGGTTCCAACAATCTACCATCTCTCCAAAAACATACTAATTTAGCAAAGGTCGCTGCACTCCTTGAGATTTGTCTAAGTTATGCTTGTGAGCATTCTTTTTCGGAAATGCTGGATGTATTACTCCAGTCTATTGCCAAGATGTTTTCATTGATCCATTGTAACTATGATATTTGTAACTTGTTCGAATACTTTCTCAAATCGCTGACAAAGGCAATAATAGTGAAAATTGAAGACAAAAAGTTTATGAGAGAACCATTAAAAGAAATTTTGCTTGCTTCAGGGAAAAGTTTTGCAGAAGATTCTGCTGGAAATATAGCTGCTTTTTCAGGAGAAAATCTTAGAAATTTTCTTCTTGAATGCTTTACACAAAAAGATCGCAAGATTAAAAATTCTGCGGTTGAATTTTGGAATCTTGTTGTTGTCAGTACAGATCAACATGATTCAGTGTGCAAAACATTACCTAGCGATTTCAAATCTGCACTTTTTCCGATTTATAAACAAATGGGTTGGACTTGTCCATGGAAAGACGTTGAACTCCCAAGTTCAATTGCAGTTGCGGGTCCAAGTCAGGATGATAATTTTACACAATCCTCTTTACCCCCAGCCCAAGGCTATGGGGCTTTTGGGTCACCACTGAAAAAACATAGTTTTTTGTCACCAAAGAAATCACCACTTCGATATTCGTCACCATCAAAAGTGCAAATCAAGACTCCAACAAGTATAAAAAGAAAACTGGCTGGTGTGTCCGAACAGGTCAATTTTGTGAAATGTGATTCACCAGTGAGAAAAGCCAGTACCCCTCTGACTGAACATCAGAAAGAAAAAATGAGGGAAAGAGGGTTCATTCCACCGATGTATAATGATTTGGATGAAAAGCAGGAAAAAGAAATGGTGGTAGACACCCAGGAAAGTATTGATGAAATCAAAGCAGAAAACAAAGAAAATACTTCAGATAATAACGCTGACAAAGACATCATTAAAACAAGCCAAAATTTAGAAGAGAGCACACCGAAAAAGCGTAAAACTGGGAAACCAAAGGGCCAACATAAAATAAGTTTGAAAAGTATGGTTTCAATTCAAGAGGAAGAAGAAATTTCATCAGTTTCTGAAAGTCCAGTTCGCAGAAGCACACGATCAAGGAGTAAGCCATCAGACACTAGTGATATTGAAAAAGAAAAAGGCAACAAAAAAGCAGACTACATATCTGAAAACGAGAATAAAATTGAAAAGGAAGAGATTATCACTGCGGAAAGTGCTAGTGACGATGATTCTCTTTTTGGCAGATCGAAGATAGTTGCAAAGGTGAATGAAGTGTCTGAAACCGATCATGATGCAATGGAACAAACTGATGAAGACGCAAGCTATGAATATATTGAAATCGCTGATGCTTCAACAAATCAAACTCAAGGAAATATCAGTATAGATGAAGAAGTAGAAGCAGATGATGTGAAAGATCTTGGTGTGCGTCCATTAGATGATAGTTATGAGTATGTTGCTGTAGCTGATATGTCGGTAAATGTAACTGCGGCTAATCAGTCTCTTTGTGCTGCAAAGTATGAGTCTCCATTAACAAGTGTGAATAATGAAACAGAAACAAGTGAGAACTCTGATCATGATGATGATATACCAAAAGATAATGGGATGTCAATCAGTATAAATAGTACTGAAGACGAATCCGAATATGAGGAAATTGCTGTGGCAGACATGTCGACTGCTCCCTCTAACATGACAATGGATGTCTCAGAGGAAAAGGATAAAACAGATGATAAACCCAATCCCGATATAAAAAACGCTGAAATACCATCAGAGCCCAACACTACTAATGAGAAGATTACTGAGAATGAAAAGCAAGGGGAAGAAGTGCGGCGGAGATCATTGAGACTCCAGAAAACAGCTTTCATAGAGGAAGAAGATGATGAACAATATATGTCCTCAGATGGGGAAAGTGAAGACATTGAATCAGATCAAAAATCATTGAATGAAACTGAATACGAGTATGTGGAAGTCGCTGATATGTCTGCTGTTGTCGATAACAACGTTACAGCGATTGATGTTGATGATACCGACAATGAAAAAGGCGAAAAAATTGACGAAGCCAATTTGTCAGAAAAACATGATGAATCTAAATGTGAGGGTGAAAGTGTCTGCGTAGTTTCTGATGACGACTTCGATGAAACTGTTGCAGACGATGAGGATGAATTCATAGATGCCAGATCTTCACTTGATGCAAATTCCTCACAGTTACGAGGTGATAAAGTAGCACAGGGTGAGGTTATTGATGTATCTGGGTCTTCTGCGTCAGATATGTTCGAAACTTCAGTGGAAAGTACTGATGATACCAAATCTGTTGCAGAGTGTTCCGCCATTACCATTGAGACTTCTGAGAGTGATGATGAGGAAGAAAAAATTGATGAGTCATCAAAAGATGACTCTGCAAAATTTACTACAGAAACTATTGTGAATAATGAGAAACCTGAAGAAAATAAAGAAATTAAGGAGTTTAATGAAACAAGCCCTTTGAAGAAAACAAAAATTCCAATTGTAAAATTACCAAAGTTAGATTCCCCTGTAAAAGACGATGACAAATCATCAGCACATGACAATGAAAACACTCCAGCTGCAGATGAATCCCCCGTTCAATCTTCCAAAAGTCTTTTCAAAGTACCTGCAATAGCAATGTTGCAAGAAGATGCGGCATTACCACCTGGTCAATCGCCGAGTGCAAAAGGAATTTTGAAGCGCAGAATAACTATCGGTCCAGTTACATTACCATCTCCATCACCAAATAGTAGTAAATCTCGAAGAGTGTCATTTGCAGAGCCTATTTCGAAGAGCAAGCATATGAATACAATGGGCGATGCACATTTGCAACAAAGTCCGCGATCTTCGCTCGTACATCGCAAAAAGCATTCACCAAGAACAGTCAACAGGCGTCTGAGTCTGCAGCCAGAAAAAAAAGCTGCTCTTGCGGATGAAATTCCTGTATCGCCTCTGAGTTTGAGAAGCGTTCGAGTTGCAGAAGCGATTGCAAACATAAGAGCAAAAGATCCTTCTTCGCCTTCGCGTTTATCTAAACTGGAATCTGGAAAACGATCGGTTTTGGCCGAACCAAGTGCTGGTATTGAGAATAATGCGGATTTCAAAAACATTTCCTTAAAGGATCTTGAGAATTCTGATTTTGTTAATAATTTGTCTAAATCACAGCTTAAAAAAGTTATTTCATTTCTATTAAAAACAACACCTGTTTTGCATGAAGCACTAATGGAAGCGTTTGATACTTAATTTAATTACAGACTAACGAAACATTATTTGTAATAAAGGTCATTGCTTATGATGTTTGAAGAAGTTGAATGTAAATTTGTAATAGAGTTGATAATCAGAGTTACTGGCTAAAATTGGAAATTTTCACAATAAAATCATGAGTTGTGGTCAAATTTATACAGAAAAATTATGTATATCTCTATACTTCTGCCAAATATATTATCCCTCATTCAGTGCTGATCAATGATGTTATTGCTGTCTAACAATTTCTGTATATTTTATGTATGAACAAAATGCTCAATTGGTTCCCAGTAAGTAGTTTGAAATTATTCAGATTTCTGCCAGATCGGAATTTTTGCTTACTAATTTACCCTATGTGACCAAAACGTACTTCCTTTGCCTCTTTAAGTGTATAGCTGAGCAAGTTGAAGCTGGTATACTCTCGTTTATATGAAACCTCCACCTTTATTTGAATTCTAGTGGATCGAAATGTAAGCTTCAATTCCAAATATCTGATATTATATATTAACCGTGATCTTTTCAATGTCTATTTGCTAAATTTCATTGGTGTGTGACGGCTATGGTACGTCTACTACTGACTGAATTTGATGTCCTAAATCAGCAGACTACTTACAAAGTTTCAAATGTTTTTTGTCTCTGCCTTGTGCTGAAATTGCATGCGTTCCAGAATGTAATTTATTTGTTTTCTTCTAATCTGAAGTTTGTTATATTTCAATCAATTCTTTCTCCCAATGCTTCTTTTTGCGGTATAACGGCATTGTTTATTCATGGTAACAGTTTGTGTAAATGTTGATTGATATTCAAAAAAGTCTAAAATTATGAGTTTGTATTTTAGATAGTTACATAGCGTTTTAGGGCATCGGTATCTCATTGACTTTATTTTCATTGTTGAGCTGATGCGCAAATTTTTCAGCTTACGTAAGTGTAAGTTCATTTCGACTCCATAATAAGCATAGCAGGCATAAAATAGTTGTTGGATACAATTAAATAAAACAGATTACGAAATTAGGAGAGCAAACCTAAAGGTAAGGTTCAAATCAAATTTAGTTACAGAGCTGTTGTCGAAAGAAATTGTAGGTGGTCACTCAAAAGTATTAAATTATTCGACCTGCGCATACATACAACCACAGAGATTAAATAAAATCAGAAAAAAAAAACCGAAGACGGAGATACATCACTTGGAAAACAAACAACATTACTTAGCAAATAAAAAATTTGTACAAAGAAATAAAAATTTTCCACGAAATATCAATAATTTTGTTCAGATTGCCAAACTTAATACCGAATTAGCGAAATATTCATTGGAAGATATCGCCAAGCTGATTATAGTTGGGAGTCGCCTCATGCCAAATTGCCCAACCAGAACTGCGAGTTATGGAAAACATAAATCAGGAATTGATATTTATACTGTGATCTGGAAAGATTCCGCGAGTTCTGGACTTTATTCATGTTTCTATGGATCATTGTCAAGCGGTGCAATAAATTTACAGCCAGGGCTGGCCATTTCGTCCGCGATTAACTCACCGACGTTTCTTTCATTAAAATGGCAGGCTGGATGTTGGGGCGGTTTGTCCGTTCGGGGGTGAAAAAATCCGAACAATGGAACGAGTATTCGCTCGCCGATAGCGTGTTTATAGTTTTTATGATAACTTTTAATAATAATGTTATTATGAAGAAATATAAAGCAAATGTCTTGAAGTCTCGATGTAAAATATTAGGCTGTCTTTGTTACAAAATAAACTGTGTTGTGGGAACCTGCAAAACTTCTTTTTGCAATCTTGTCAATAAAAGGAAATTACGTGAACCAACCCGCATCATAAAATGAAGCTGATAATGCATTTGTTGAATATTCCTCAAATCGACATTTCCTTTTAGTAATACTCGGACTAAGAGCCGTTGTTAGCTGTTATAAAGAAAGTTTTCCGCAAGTTACCGCTCTTTTCCCCGTATGCGCCCTTTGTTACACATAAACAATCTCTCTCTATATATATGTGTTATAGACAGTCGTGGGATTCAAATTTTTTCTTAGCCGGTTCCTTCACAAAAGTCATATTTATCAGCCGGTTCTGTTGCAAACAGAACATTGACAGTAACCAGTAATGCTAACCGGTTCGCTGATCTCATGAAATCCCGTGAGACGGTTCTATAGAACCGGCTGAATCCCACCACTGGTTATAGGCCTTGTCCGTAATTATGTGCGAGAGGATTTCTGAACTCCTCGCCACCGTAGGGTGGTTAACGGTTACGGCTTCCCCCACCATCAAGTCCATACATTTGAAAAAAAGTAAATGGCTAACTAATTTCATACCCCACAGGGACCAACGAGAGGTCGTGTTTCGCCATATGATTAAGTCATCTTATCGGTTTTCCTCTCCCCCGGATAACTATGTAAATCCTATATTATCCTATCACCACGAACCATTTTAGGGTAACTTCGAGTCGTAACTCAAGTCTTTGATAATTGGGGCTTCCAAAACACTGATAATTTGTACAATCTTTAATAATCCATTTCTCTTTCTTTTTCCCCAACATCTTTGGATCTGTACATACTACGGACACAAGGATGCCTGAATGAGACAATAACAATAATAAAAACAAAAATATATTCGCACTCCACGAAAATGGACCCTCAAGGACATTTTTTGACCAATTAACATAATCCATTCACTATAGAGACCTGTCACACTGGATCCAATTGAATCGCCACTGGATCCAATTTTCGTTCTTCTGATTTTGGTAATCCCGTAGTATTTGCACCAAGATGTCGGACACCGGACCGTAGCATATGTGTACCAGGTTAGAGTCAGGCCACAATTTCAGGTACAAATACTGCGGAAATCACTCGGCTATTCCTCAAACTCGTAGTAGAACCAAAATAAGAAAAATTGTAATAAAATTTTGGCTTAACCCTAACCTGGTACACATACTACGTTCCGGTGTCCGCCATCTTGGTTTACACACTACGGGAGCGCGCCCTAATTTTTACCAGTATTTTTTTTCACCTCTAGCTGTTATGAATAAGTCGCTTATAAAATGCGAAACCAGACCGTTATCACACATTTTAAATAGATTGCAACCGTTTTAGTCATGAATATACGAAAATGATATGAAGGGTCATAACCCATAGACGTACGACTCGTACAAAAATATGAAATTATTTTCCTGATAATGCAGGCCGTCTGTACCAAAACAGAAGAATTTTAAGATTCTGATACTTTCGTGTTTCCACGAAAATAAGACCCAGCATGAATTTAAAAATGATTTCAATATAATCCATTCTCCTAAAATAACCCCTATTCGATTGCGCCATTTTTTGACCTAATCGATAGCAAGAAATCTTTCCTACTCGTTTTAAAGGATTAATAATATATGTTTAGCAGTTATTTTAAATAAAAACGTGTTATTTACCTACTCTGAAAATAAGACATAGTATGAATTAAAAAATGATTTTAATATAAGCCCTTTTCTTAAAATAACACCTAGTCGATAGAGCCAATTTTTTTGACCTAATCGATAGCGAGAAATATTTCCTACTCGTTTTAAAGGGTTATTAATATATGTTTAGCAGTTATTTCAATTAAAAACGTGCTATTTATAAGTAAATGGATATAGGTTTTCATATTTTGTATATTTGAAAATCTCGTAATTCTCCTAATAAAAATAAAAGACATCCCCCCAAAATAAGCCCTAGTGTTATTTTTCGGAAGAAAATTGAAATAAGACACTGTCTTATTTTCGGGGAAACGCGGTATATGGATGGTGGAGTAAATATTGCACGATTAAACAGGATCAAAATTGACATCGCGAGTTCAGTTTAAAACCCAAATGGCAGGCGGTGTAGTGGCGGGTAGTTCCGTGGAAGCTTAAGTTATTAAATTTTGGGGTAAAAAAGGACTAAACTAATTCATATTAATATAGTGTTTGAAGTCAAGTATATCTTGCTTTTACTCGACGTGTGCCATATGATCATTACGTTCTTAATCATTAGAAATTAATAAACTTCAAACAAGATAACGCAATAAACGGCGTCAAAAAACAACGTGTTGTCCGTTTAAATGCGATTTGAAATATCATGAAAAAATGGCCTTCAGCGCTCCCGCAAATATATTCTCCTTAGATTGGTGTGTGCGAATGATCAATGAAGCGTGACCTACACAGTATGGCGCAGGCGTGATACTGGCGTCGATGCCGACGTCTGTGCGTACAGCAATTGACGTCAATTTGCAAGCTATATCTGTAACGTCTCTCAAACACAACAAGATATATTCGACATGATTTGTCTGCGTTGAGGTGTAGGATGAAAACATCTAGTTGTTTTAACTACAGCTGAACAGCGACAACCCAATTCCAACTTTTGTCAATTCAAATTTATTATGACACTATATTTCACGTTAATTTTATTTTAAACTTTGAAGTGTGCCTGAATGTTCTTCCTTTTCTTCGCTTTAATTGCTAAAAATACTATTACATAGATGCTTATCTTTTGTTTGTTGAAAAACGACATACACTTTGGAAAATTTATACAATTAAAATTGTGCGGGTACTCCTCTTATTGTTTACGCATTTGCGTAGCGAAATTTCATCTGTTTTCACGCACGGCGTCAGTCTGCTAATCAGAAGTGCGGATTGCGGTAAGCAGGCTCGCTGTAGAAGTCGCTATTTGATGGCCGAATTGTAACGTCTTACCCGCAGAACATGTAGGCTTTTTATTGGGACTATATTATCAAGACGATATGCGGGATAATAGAAAATATGGACATACAAAAGTCGAAAAGCCCTAGTTAGTATCCCGCCAACAAGCAAGAATTTGAGACAACATTTTTAAAGCTTGAAAGAGTGGAATTTTGAATCTTCACAAGAAATGACTTCATTGAATAGTATATTGGAAAATAGGGCACTCATTCGGACGAGGATTGGACCACCAGATGTTTATCCGCAGGTTTGTTATGAAATATATTTTAATCATATATTCAGATTACATTTATAGATATGTTTTCTAATTCATCAATTTTAGTCAACAGGCAGGTAACCAATTTCTCTGAAATAGACAATAAAAAAATGGGAGTTAATTAGTTATAGGTGTATGTCTGTAATACTGGGTTGTTGAGTCTATAGGACAAAAGTTTGTTAACTATTTCAAAAAATTTGTTTATTAGAAATAACACATACCGGTAGGGCTACATTAATAATAATAATATCATAAGAATTATGTTGATTGGGATTTTGGGTTTATTATTGTGTGCTCCAGTCAAAAGCTTATAGATTCGGTTATTATAAAAAATATTGAGGCTTGATTAGTCAGATCATCTCGACTTATTGGTGGTGTGGCGCATCGTGCTAAATGTTAGAAATACGCTTGCCACCACACCTCTGTTTACACTGTAAGACCGTGTGGATTTGCGGGTTTGAATCTAATGTGGGATAATTATGTGCGAAAGGATTGCTAGACTACCTGGTGTCAGAGGGTGGTCCGCAAAACCGATGGTCGGTTGCAGCTTCATCATCCACCTTCAACATCAAGTCCATGCATATGAAACGAATAACTGGCTGACTGATCCCATACCCGACATGGACTGGAAACCCGATGAGAGGATGGGGTTCACCATGTGATCAGGCCGTCTTTTTGGCTTTCCCCTCCTTTGGGATAAATACATTTTTCTTATCCTATTGTAAAATTTGCCAATGCTGTTATTCTTTTTTCACGCGGGTTCGTTTCCGTCGTATCGCATCGAAATTGACTTGATCTAAGATAACTAGCGAGAATTTGGCGACATTTAATATTCTGATATCTGTATGCCATTTGAAAATGAATTTTCCAATTATTTACCATCAATCGTATATTTTTCGTTCTTGCGGTTTCTAGTCCGGTAGAGTCCAGTAAATGGGAATGGGTTGTGACTGCCTTGTGGATTCGAGTTTAATTTTTATTTTTTTTATATATTTAGGACCTTCATATTCTGCTTTACTCAATGTACTTATGTAGGCTACTGAACTCAATACTAAAGACTTTAGTTCGGTCAAGACTATTTTATCCCCTAGCACCTTGGGTTCCCAAGCACATATTCTAGTATGAGGTACAAGAGCAGAATATATAATATTTGGTATAAATATGGTCTGGCACAATGACAACTTATTATAAGCCTAAGTTTCGAGTTTAATAAAAAATGACTCTGGAGCAATTCCTTCTTCTAGTTTGTTTTATTCAAAATTATTATGCTCAATTTTTTCATATCGGAGTAGTCGTGTTCTACGATATACTCAACTTCATAGTCAAGCTATTCGATTTATGTGCAGGGGGTGCAGGATTGAGATGTGATTCATTATTTTACTATATACCGGTAGTTGTATTTTACCAGGTTATTGTTAAAACTTTTACTTGCTACTTATCTGTAGATTTGTTTTCAAAAATCAATACTTTCAAATAAATTATTTGTACTGCAAACTCAAAACATACAATATCTGTACTGGTGAGGGACGAGTAGTCGTCCATCCACGTTATGATTAAGATCTTTCTTCTCCCCATGAGGTCATTTTACCAAGATTGTTTATATGCATATACTATGTATTTATTTACAATCATTCTTCTTTTTGAGGATTTCTATGCAGCATACTATGTAGAATAAAAGGTGCATAAAACAAACATAATAGATAATATAGTGGGTAGCTCGGAATGAAAGTGGGTGTTCTGACGAGCAAGTTTATAACCTGACTTTAGTCCTGTTTCTGACTCCAAGTATCTAGCTACTTTAAATACTACACTAATTTTACTGAATAAATGATACAAACACTACTTTATGTATAAATTTACATTGTTCCGATATAGTGGTATTTATTTGTATATATAGTTGTCACTATCTGTATCAGCAATATTGATTGCAGGTGTTACTGATATTGTAGAATATCGCGGAATTGGCATTGAAAGCAAAATAGTTTATAAACAATTGAAATGAGTGAATAAAAATAAACTTGGATAGCTGGGAGAGCTAATCAAATTACCGTTTTTCTTATATTTTTTAATAACATCATAATAAATGAATACTGCAGTTTGAGGAGGGCAAGTTTACATTTTGTGTGGCACTGCAAAAATGAAAAAAAAATCTCGTAACTGATATGAAAATGTAAAGTAAATTATTGCTTCTTGTCATTTTATTAACTGCTGTTTTAGTTGAAGGTCATTGTAAATAAAAAGCTTTCAAATTTTAATATTAATTTGTTATAACTCAAATTCATAACTATTTAGTTTTATGATTTATAGCTCATTGGTATTGACGAATAAGATGTTTATTAAGATTCATTTAAATGTTACGTCTGAGTTGATGTATATTTATGAACATAGCAGGATCATTATTTACTGCTAATTTTCATTAGATACATGGTTGATTTATTATTGGCCTGTGAATCAAGTTGTTGTTCTTGTGGAAAAATTTCCATCGCAACTTCTGGACCAATCAATATTAAATTGGTAGTAATTGAAGATGGAAGAAAGCATATTGCATTTACTTTTTTAAAATTCCCATGGTTTTATGGTGTCTGATACAAAATTTTGCTTTTTTATTTTAATTGATAGGAACACTTTTATATAACATATGGGAACACTGTTATACGTTCCTTGACTTTTATGTCCAGGTATTTAAGCATTGTCCTCTAGTTATTGAGAAATCTCAAAACAACCAATTTGCTGAACTTGCAAGTTTCTTGTTCATCTATTTATTTATTTTATTGAGTATTGAAACATTCGTTTGTTAAAATTTTTCCATCAACGTTATGTTGTTGATTACAATCTATCTATTAATACTCAATATCTGTAAACCAAAATGATGAACAAGTTCATAAAACTAACTTTAGCATCAAAATGACCAGAGATTGATCAATAAGTTTTAAAGCTTTTATCGAGTAAGCGCTCCCTTATCTTCTTATACATAACGCTATACATGCAAGGTGACGGCATAATAAATGCTGCATTTAATAACTTGATTGTTTTCCCACTTCCTAAATCGATTCCTTATGACACTTGAATTCTAGTTTTCTAAAATAGCTTGTTACTGTCTATCGTATAATACACATTAAATGATATTACCATAAATATTTCATAATAAAGTTACAAAAAAACTTAATTCTATATGTACTGTTTCAAATTATAAAATTTTCTACTATAAAAATGGATCGGTATTGCAACTAAACTTTTCAAGTTATAGAATTAAAATGAGCTAATTTGCAAAAGTAATTAGAATCAATTGTTTTCATAGATGCAGGCTTTCTCTCTATTTGTTTCCAAACCAATACAAGTGAGAATATAGTTAACAGTATTTTAAGTACCGGTATATTTTTTTTATGTTAGTATGTATCACTTGGAATTGCAAAATGTTTTATGGCCCATAGTTTATGTAATATGTAGTTAGTGAAGAATTTGAAATTTTTTAGATACTTTCATGAAATTTCATTACTAGCTTTAAGTTGATTTTTTAATTCTGCAGAAAGTATTGTAATTTGTCAAGTATGCTGCTCTTTATATTTGATCAATCATGGTTTAGTATTAAGATTTCTTCCTGTATAGTATAGTTTATCAAGTCCCTGTGTTTTAGTTGATTTCAGTACATTGACGCTTAAGAGTACGCTTAAGAACCAGCATTTATCAATACAATTATTTTTTTTCATTTGCTGTATAAGTTACAATTCTTATGGTTTGGCCATTTCTGATCCTGCATTAAATATGAATGTACCAGACCACGATCAAATGAAAGTTTTGGTTACAGATTAGAGGTTACTTATCAAAAATTTTTTTTTTTTGGTTTGCAATCCCAATTGTTTTTATATGCTCATCAAATTCTTATATTAAACTGTATAAACCTTTCCAAGACAGTAAACATGTTATGATTTAGTCATGGATTTTAGACTGTTGTAATGTATACCAATTCTGTGTACTATACTGTAGTAGTAAGCACACACAATGTATTGATTTTACATTATAATATATGAGATTATCAAAATCATGGATCCTTGTTTTGAGGAATACTTGTCCAATTTTTCAATATGGTGTTTGCTTAGAAGTAATTTAATTATTTTAAATTTGTTGTATCAGATATTGTATGTGGCCAAAGATAGTCCATAGATAAACAATGCCTGAATGCACATTGATTGTATTATAGGCCAATACTTAATATGAATATCTTATATCGTTTATAAATTATTTTTTTGAAGATACTATTGTGTGATCAACTTGCTCGCGGAAATGACCTGTTATTTTGAGCATCTATTTATAAACACATATAATCAATGTTCAATAGTATCAAAACTGCATTGTTCTTATTAATAAGCTATTTTTAGTTTAGTTGGTGAACCAATAGGAAATCTAATTGGTTGCTTTAGATTCACATTCCTGAAAGATGCTTCAAATAGGTACAGTCTATAGTTTAATAAGGTTTCATTTCACAGTGCGCGTGTGTTTGCATACACATTTAGGTAGTAAAAGACAAACAGTATTATAAGTATTTGAGGTTCTAAACGCTTGTCCAGACGATAGCAATCGCTGCCGTTCTTTTGTATTCAACCAACCATGTCTGACTATATTCTCTCTCTTTTCAGTGAGTTCTCTCATTTTGTGGTAAAGCCATAAATGAGAGAATAATCAGTGAAGTGATAGATACTCAATGATCGGATTACATAGTTCCTAATTCTCTCCTTTTTGTATATTTTGCAGGATCCAAAACAGAAAGAAGATGAGCTTACCTCAGTCAATGTGAAGCAAGGTTTCATCAACCAGACTCCGTATTTTTGTGATAGTGGAGAAACTGGCTCTGCACAGCATTATCCAATTGATATCACAAAGGTGAGACTAATATATTTTTATGATATAGTTTATTTTTATCATTTTTAGTGTATTTGATATCAGATATTCTGTCAAAATTGTATATGTCGATTTGAATGTTGACGGTCGTATATGCAAGAAACTTTTACGGCATTGAAGACGCTCCTTATTTTATTTAATGTATTTAGGTCATTGTTAGCAAAAACAAACATTGAATTTTATTGTTTGTTTGTCAGCACCCTAAGATTTGAATTATGATCAAATTGGAAGTGTGTATGCATGCAATGCAGTCTGTATGCAATTCACATACTCATTGAACCGATGTTATCTTTTGAGTTTCTTTTCAATTTTTGTTTTAATACTGCTATATATTTTCTGCCAATTTTTCCTTCAATATCATTCTCACTTAGAATTTGAGTTATTTTTGTTCTTGTCTAGTTGATGAAAATTTATAAATATGTGACTTTTACTTGTTTTAGATTTTTTAATTTTTTGTGTGTGAGATATTCTGAAAAACATTGCAAATTTTAAGAATGTTAATTTTTTTAGGATTTAAATTCATTTGTTTTTATATCAAATGTTCAATAAATTTAAATAAAATGGATTTCAAAATAGAAGATAATTAAAACCATAACAAATTATCCAACATTTGCCGTAGTAAATTATTGAATGATCATTTTTTTATTCCAAATCTAATTTTTACCAAATCCAATTTTTATTCCAAATTCTACTATTTATCTAATTTATATCTGAAAAGATGTGATTCCGGGTTTAACATTTTAAAGTTATTTTTAAAATATCAACATTTTTTTGTTTTTTTAGTTGAATCGGAGTTTCAATGACATTGTGAGACAGAAACAGATCAACAATACGTTCAATGACACAGTGAAGAAGAGACCTGCGTTAACCAAAGACAATTTCTGGCTGGTATGTTTTTAAATTGTTGTGACGATTTGTCTCAGATGTATGTATGGCTATAATAATATAAGAATACATTGATTATTTTACTTTATTTTGATCAATAATTATAAATTATGATTAAGTTGAGTTTTTGGATATTTTGTAGAATTAGGTATTTTTGGGTGTTATCATGATAAAATGAAAAAAAAATAAAAAAATGAAACAAAAGCCTAGACCTAAAAATTCAAATTGGACAGTCCATTAGTTTCGAACAAAAGATTTTTTTTATCAACAACAACTCAACAACAATTTAGCACTTCATGTCCAAAAAATGAATCATAGCTAATCAAGCTTGATCCATTAATAAAGACAAACCTTAGGTATTGTCTATACTAAGTCCATACTATGCCTATATGAGTTTTAACTATGTCTGTATAAGCAAATTATTTTTAAGTTAATTTCTACATATACGTTCAACATGTTGGTTGGAAAATTTAAATAGACACTAGTGTAATTTAACTAAGATTTATATTAAATATTAAGCCAGTTTGTCGAATATTTGTGTTTTTGATTAGTTTCGATATTCAGGATATTCCTAATCTGAAAGGTAAAATGTGTTATTAAACAATGTATTTGAGATGATTTTATTTATTTAACTTACATGACATTGCCTTTAGTTAGTAATCAAATTATAATTTAAATTAGGATTTCCATATCGCATTATGTACAATGACTCAGGCATGATCCCATTTTAGGTCAAGGGTTATAAGAAACTTGCAGCTTGTCCAAAGCCTCGATAATAGACGTTCAAACGCTCAATCTTAATACTCTTGACAGTGAGCTAACTGAAATTAGTGGGAATATTTTTACAAGTTATTAGGCTGCTTATAAGTTGACAGTAAAGAATCATTGCCATTGTCCTGTAAGGAACATAGCTCCTCTTTGTTATTGTAGGGTGAATTTTTTTTTTATAGAATTCAGCAAAAATATGTAGTCTACCCAACAGTATTGTGACTAGAGCTGACCATAGGTTAATGAATAGTTTGATTTTATGGACTTCTCAAATTCTTGAAATCGGTTACCCTTCTCTAAAGGCGTAACACTGGTGACCCCTGCTTCTTTATAAACATATCTTGCTTTTAATGCATTCCAACAATAATTCCACGACCCACATTCAATAATAAAAAAAGCCAAGAAAAATGAAAAAAAAAAAGGATTATCGTCAAAGACTAACCAATCCCAGTTAAGTCATCACGGATTATGTATAGACCATTGCTTGCGTCCCCTGGCGACCGCTCCATGGCCCTCTAGGGGGACAAAGGGCCAAGTTTGAGAAACCCTGGTTTATATGTTAAATTTGCTTCATTTTGATAAAATTGAGTAGCCTATTATATGAAAATGGAGTTTCAATTGCTGTTGATAAAACATTCATTTTAAAAATTATTTGAGCATTGGTGTATTCAACAAAAGTATTCAAAGGTGTCACTAGTGCTAATACCTGTGTTATTAAGCATTATAATTTGACTCATCAGCTATCATAGAACTTAATTTCAGTTCATTATTTATTATGACTACCATGACATCACATGCATTGTTATGACTAATCATAAACAATATATTGTAAGTAATATGCGTCTCAGTTATTAGTAATAATATATAGACAGGTTTAATTCTTTACTAGTCTTATTGATTGTAAAATTCGGTGATATTTTTGGTTTTCAAAATTTCAAATTTGTCAATTTTTTAAAATTGAAATAATCTGTTGGAGATTGATAGATAATTTTCTTCTAATCAAAGATACTCTGTGTATCAGTACCCATAACTAAAGATGAAAAAATTTAATGATCATCGGTCTGAAATTGACTAACAATATATCAAAGTATATAGAGCCTACATTTAAAATGATACCTTTGTTGATATATTTGTTTGTGTTATAAATGATGTTATTGTTATAAATAAAACTCTGACTCTTGACTCTTTACGATTTGAAAATATGACACTGGCTCCGATGCCAGTACAACATGCCATTTTCAGACGTTTACTGTGACTTCTTATCCATGCTTATTGTAGTTACATACACCTGGCTTGCCCAGAGCTTTCTTTGGAGTGAAGATATGAAAACCGGCCAATAAAAAGTTATATGAATTCTTAAAATTAACACTTAAAAGGTAGATAAGTACTTAGTTCTGCAGAATTCCAATCCATCAATCAAGAGATATAAAATATTGCGCAATTCTAGCTGTATTGTTATAAGTTTTCATTAGTAGCATTTACTGCATTAATCAATTTAATCAATAAAAAAAACGCAAGGAAATCCAGTTGTAATAGAATATTGGGTAATAAACACAATTTTAGAAAATTTTCCTGTCAATTAAAACTGATTGTTCCTAATAAGTACACTTGTGTAGCTGCCCCAAACGTCAAACCCACTTTTTATACAGCAGCGCAATATGGTCTCTATTGGGAGGTTATTCAAGTAGTGATTTTGGTGACTTGGTATATATCCGATTCTCATTATTACCATCATAAAACTAAATCAAATCGAAATGCATATGAAATAAAACTATAGAAAATTTTCAATATGGATATATCTATATGATTTATTTTGAAAATTTTCTATAGTTTTATTTTTTATGCACAATAGGATTGATATAATTTACTACAATATGTACCATCAATAACAAGACCATTCTTTCATCTAGCAAGCACCTTTGTTCCTATAAATGACCGTGTTGTAAATTATTAATGCCATGTCTGGCATCATCTTGTACTTGCTTTCATAGCAGAAAACGAAATTTATATACAATAGGTGTTGAGATGTCTGATTTGATTTTTTTCTTTAATTGAAGATGGCCAAAAGAATTGTTGTTTTGCTTGTATGGATTAACAAAGTAATCGGTTTTAATTGAATGTATTCCTTCAATGATTTTTTAAAGTAATCGTGGCTTAACTTGAACTCACTAATAACTAAGATTGAGTTCACATGTAAAAACAAGAATACCCAGAGAAAATTCAATGGCCATAAATAGCTTTCATATTTGTTTCTGAATTGAAAGCTGATTGGTCTATGAGATTTGAATTTTTCGTTAACAACAATTTAACGAAAGATTACGAAGGTAATTTCTGATGATGGCTAAATGACTATAAAAACTGTCTCATGTTTTAGATAGAACAATCATTTCATATAATGAAAAATAGCTGTTAAAATACTTAGAAATCCCCACTCCATCATGATGCATCTACATATCAAAATAGTTTGCAAATTTAGAATTATATCGCTGTACCACTATTAATTTCAATTTTATATCTTATAAATTGAATCAATTTCAACAACTGTTGTACTGAAACTAGCGGGAAATTTTATGGGAACCACAGTGTTTTGAATATCAGAATTCTTTTAAAGTAGAAATTTTTATTTTAGTATTAATTTTGAATTCTTTTTATACATAATTTTTTGGGTCAAATCAATCGTAACCATACCATAACAGAAAGAGTACCCGACCCCCTAAAAACGACCCTAAAACGGTGAATTTTTATTTAAATTCGCTTATAAGCCGACCCTACAAATCATAATACGTGGTACGAGTTGTAGCTGTTAGAATTAAGTTAACTGAATGTCATTTCATTTACCAAGTGTTATCAGAGTTCTGCGCATATAAGCCGACCCATTAGTTTGGCAACTTTTTTTTTTAGTTTTAAACTCGACTCATATGCGAGGATATATGATATTTTAATTATAACTTGATTAACTCGATTCGCCAGCATTATTAGAATATTCACAAGAAATGCTTGTATCTAATTGTACTGTAACCTGATTGGTTAATAATTTAGTAAATCCTTCTCATCTTACAAGCACTCTTGACATTGCTTTGATAAAACTCATGTAACATGCAAAATATTGTATTAATATTCTAAAGACAAGACGTTATGTGTACTTTCACTCAAGCACCAGTAGTTGAATACCTTTTTGTCAACTGGGATGTATGACAGCTTAGCTTATTTACATTATAGATTAGAGATTATTATTGTGCTTTTATTTAAGGGGCTTGTCTATATTTAGGGCTCCTCCCATATGAATATATAAATTTGAAGAAAATTCAGTATTGTTATCTATGATACTTCTCGTTTGGATGACCTTGTTTGAAGTAACCTTCAGTTGAATTTCCCCGTAATCCCATATTTCAAAATGATATTTTTTAAATAATTAATAAAATTTCATTTATTTATGTTAATCTATACATCAATGCAATCATGCCATTGATTTACCGATTTTGCATATGTATGATAAGAAAGCATATTCTATTGTCAATTGCTATTTCCTTAGTTCGATGATTATACAAAGTGTATTACAAGAAATATTATGCATCTATTTTAGGTTTCTATCGCGCATATTATATTTTATCAAGTACCCCTCGTTTGTATCTCTCTCAGATTCTTCCCGTGTGTTTCAGATTTCAAATATTATATCTCAATCAACCTTCTTGATCTATTTCCTGTTTGAACACTATATTGCACTGTATTGTGTGATGTAGTCATGATATGTCATGCTTTTTCAATTTAAATCTATGAATCAAACGACATGTTGTAGCATGTTATTATATACCCTAATCATTTTTCTCATCTGACGAATAGAAAATGTTTTAGAAAGGTTTATAGAATTTTATTTTAAAATAAATTCAATATAAATGGTATATAAGAATCTGTTAATAGTATTCTTGAAGACTGTGGTCGCAGTAAAAACATAGCCCAATCAATGAATTTCTTAATTACTGCTATGAAAATGAAAAAAATTCATTCAGCATTCAAACACTTATTAAACTTCTGTTTGTGTAAGATTTTATGCAAAAGTTTTTCTGATCTGGGCGCTTTGCAAAAAAGTTATGTCCGTTCTAGTATGTTCTAAATGAACTGGTATCTGTCTTTTTGGGGATCACCATATATTATATCTATCAAAGATTACCGTAGATGTTTAGTGATTTCTCTGTTTGATCTACTATTTTCTGAAAAGATCTGTAAGTTTTCTATCATGTGCCTAATTGTGTTTAGTATGTAATATAGAATGGAATTTGAATAGTAATTTAGTTTAAATTTCAGTCTAACTGTGATATTAGGAAATCTCCAAACTTTAGTTATTTCAAATTTAGTTCGAACAGATTTCGACGGCTCAGCATTCTTATCATCTTGTGAGACAATAAAATCTCCTTGTACCTGTATTATCCACTTCTGTACAATCAAGAGTATTATTATGATTTCTTTTTTCCAGGTTCCAGTAGCAAAAAACAGAAATCATCTTCAACAATGGATCAAAGAACTACGAGGTGGAAAAAGTCTGAATTACTTGGGAAGGAGAGTTCCCATCTTCAGCAAGAAAGAAGAAGTTTTTCAGGTAAAAAATACTATTTAATTCCAGACGATAGGCCATCTGCTATATCAGGGGTTCCCAACCCTTTTACCAGCGTCCCAAATTTTTTAAAATATAAATTTTGTGATTGATACACAAATACTAAGCAGCAAACTCTTTGGGCCGGAAAAATAATTTATCAAAACAAATCTATCGTTTTTTATAAAATTTATTTTGCCAGAAATTACTTCCAAGTAAGTAAGGCCGCGCTCGTTTGCTATCAGCGAGTTTTTGAATCTGTAGGTTTTACTCGGGCAAAAGAGATTCTTTCAAGTTTTTCCACTGTGATATTTTCCTCATATAAAATTGAACAACAATTCAATAAATGATGAGAATGAAATTTGAAAAATTACTATAAAATGAGATAAACAAATAAAATTTTTGAAAAACAAGCGACCCAAAAAGATTTCCAGGCAACCCAGTTTTGGGTCGCGACCCATAGGTTGGAAACACTGCTTAATATGATTCAGTCGCTTAATCTGCTTTTTTCCTCTACAGGGTATGTGAATCCCAATTAAGGTCTTTTTATAGTTTACAAATCAAAACGAACGTCATAAACGAATTTATTGTACCTGAATTTGATATGTTGGAAATTTTGTACAGTAATTTATTCTGTTAAAATCTTCTGACTACAAACATCTAGAAAATTTTCAAGATTTGGATTTTTTGGTAAACAGAAGAGCTGTTTATTGGGATTACCAAAGTTTTTTCGGCAAAATTGAAAAAATGAAGTAGAATTTGGCATCATCATTATGTGGCATCGCAGATCAGACCACAATATTTGAGAACGATATTAATTTGACGTTATATTTCTTGGATTCCAAATGATTTGAATAAAGATAATGAATCTTATTTATGTTTACAACATCGAGTCGAGCCCTAGTATTTAGCGAAATCATCATTTTCTCTTTGCATAAAATAGAAAGTATGTTTGTGTACTTACGAATTTGGTTTTATTCAATACTTGATTATTTTAAAAATATTTTGGAAAAGTTGTCATTTTGAATTATTATTATTGAAATTCAATAAGTTGATGGAACCTAAAGTTGGAAATTATTGAAATTTCAATATTTTTGTTCTGTTAATGTAAAATTCACCAAATATTTACAGCCTTCTTTTGTTATTTACATTGTCCAATGTGTTCATCAATATTCCAATACATATTTAATATTCATAAATTTTTTTTTAAATAATATCGTACAGTAATAGTGAATTATCTTAAAAACACTCGCCTCTGATTTGTAAATTATGAACAAAAAGTCAAACTGAGCAATTTTACAACGCTTGTCTCATGATGGTTTATTCACACAATTGCTTTTTCTTCATACCCAATTGACAATGTAAATGCAGAGGATGTAAGTTACACTGACGTACCTCTGTAAATTCCCCTGTAGTATCCCTGTGTCGAGAATACAGTGTTGTTTGAATATATAATATTTGAATCAACAAGTAGATTTGTATAGCTGTACGATTATAACACTTTTGTTACTTGATAAGCTAGTGACAGTCAACAAAATGACTTGCTGTGATGCACTTTTATTCTACATTATGAAAAAACAAATTCAATTCCATAATAAAATTTTTAATATTTTGTTCATAAATGATACAACTTTGGATAAACGGACAAGTAATCAGAAATGTTACCTTTGTCCAATTTTGGACCATTTATTTGTTGGCCATGCTTGATTGAACAACATGGCTATGTTGTTTATCATTTACCGGTAGTTTTATTTTATCCTAGAAAACAAAAATAGTGTATTTATGTTATTTTTGATATATAGTGCTACATGGTATATCTGTGTTTCATGGTTTGTTAGTAAACAGTAGACTACATATTCTTTTTTTAAATTACTTGTTATCAAAATCATACCTTAAAATATGTTACATTGGAATTTTTTCCCAAGAACTTCACTACTTTGAAATCTATTATCTCGTTATTATCATTATTTTTCTGAGCATATTACACTTTCATTTTTAAACCAAGAAAATTTGTATAGCTTCCTGAATTTAAGTGCTTGCCCATAATTCTTCTCAGAGGAACTCTTTTTACTCTGATTGAGTGCTTTGAGAATATTTGTGAACTTTTTTGAATTTCAGTACTTTCCAGTAACTTCACTTAAAGATAGATCATCATTTGAGTGAGTGCGCATGGCCTTGCTTCTTATATGCGCAACGAACCTCAATATTGAATTCCCTCTGGTTCATCCTATGTTATCTCCTTTCAGACATTAGCGGAGAATCAGATCACAATTGTGCGTGCAACATGGTACATCAAAATGACTGCACAGTATGGTGTCCTGCAAGCAGAAGCTAAGAATAAGAAAAATCGAAACAATGTCGATCATAATCCTGGTTCGTTGCATTTGTTATCTATTCACTACCACATATCTGTCTTACTGGTCCCATTGACTTGCCCAAATCTCGTTTCAACTGGACTTCAACTTTTTCATGCAATGCACCTCCATAATTTTATATGGTTGGCATTTCAGCTGTGTAAATTAGGCTCAAATATGAGTCTTCTTTATTTTTAATTGATTGCTGAGTGTGCTACTTTTAGTGAATTCAAATTAAGTCGTTTTTTGATTAAAAAAAAAATATATTTTTGTCTTTAACAAATTTAGCTTTGCTCGTTAACAAATGTGTTAAAGGTGAAATGTGCATTTTGGCATAAATTTGTTTGTATATGTCTCAACAGACTTAATAATGGAATGCCAAAAAGGGAGTACCAACTGTAAATGCTTGTTCCTACACTTATTTTCAATTTGTGCACTCTGTACAGATTTTATATATGCTATATACTAAATTTGACTTATGTACCCTGTATCATTTCCTACTTTTCATTTTTTCGAACAAATTTTATTGGTATATTTTCAACATTTGCTCCGAGAGACTCCAGACAAGCACAAGTATACATTGCCAATCGTCTGTTCATATTGTTTATTATTGGTCATTTTGTAGTTCGTCGTAAAACACATTCGTCAAAATATAGTTAATGTATGGAATGGTTTTCTTATTTTTATAAATCTACTGTGAACAAGGCCCTAGGCAAGCAACCACTGATGTGTGAAAAGTTTTGTTTATAATGTTTTTGGCGGGACTGGAATCTTCCTGTTTTGACATTACAGACACTTTTTCAATACTCCTTTATTTCGATGTTAATTATTGGTTTTCAGCTGCAGCCGTAAAGTGTTACTTTCTTCCAGATTTAATGATTTTGATTTCTGTTACAGAATGGACTGCATCGTTATGCAGATTTATGCGAGACCAGTTATCAAGGTTATTGGACGATCCATCTCTCAATAATTCTGGGACTTCAGTGATTCCTGTAAGTTTTTTATGACTTTGTATTGAAAGTAATATAGAACGTCAAGTTTTGTTCAAAGATTTTATCTGTTAGATCAGCTGTTCCCAAACTTTTTGCTGTGCTGGGCCAAATTATCACGGAAAAAACTTTTTTATAATTAATTCTGTTATAAATAAAACTCATTTTTGTGACCATTAATGTGTAATTTATGTATTTTGAAGTTTGTAAATATGTAGGCCTAAAAATAAAGGAAAAATGTCAACTCTTCTTTCTCATCTTTGCCTGGTTTTTCTTTAAAAATAATGAAAAAAAATCACTTCGGATCCTTAAACTAGGTTCAGAGGATAAATAAACTGCAGCTTACGAAATTGCAGCAAGTAGTGTCTTTCTCTATTGTTAGGTAGCAGAGGCAGACATTACGTAACAAAACGAAAAGCACATAAAAAAGAGAAAATGAATTCAAAAATTCATATACACAGCATTTAAAATAAAAAACCATAAAACATTTGTAATAAATACAATATGTAGCTAGATGTATCAACATTATATCATAGTCATAATAATCCTATACCCAAGTACATGATTTTAAGTATTGAACAAATTCACCTAATTTGTGGACGCTTAGTCTGGTGGTTAAATCGTTAGACTATGATGATAATAAAGTCTTCAAAATATTTGTTCTTGTATGATAATAGCCGAGTAGTTACCTTAACATCAAAATATAGAGGTACCTAGGCAATTATCTTTAAATCCATAGTGTAATCACATCTTGAATATTGATAGTACAATGGTTCTAATTCTTTACATTTTCTTTTTGCCTTCCTCTTCATTTCCCCATTGTTATGCAAAAACACTCATTTTCCAGTTGTCCAATATTTAACATGTCATTAGCAAGTGATATTTGCAACTCAAACTCTAGGGCACTAGTTGGAAACTTTTAGCATTGAAAGAGCCATGTGGCGTTCTTTCCATCAACTTCAAACCTTCTCAGAGCCACAACATCTACTCTAATGTCAGTGGCTATTGAAACTCTTGGAAAACGATTTATAATGCAATAAGCTAGATCTTACTAAGAAGCCAAATGAAATATGATTGATGCATAAATTCAGTTCATGAAAAAATAAAAAGAACTTTTGACTTGAATCATCTTTATGCGATCCATTTTTACCGCTCAGGACTTACACTTTGCGAACCGCTATGATGTGTAATTAGGGAGGAGTATTTGGCTTTATGCCTCTGCCTTTCATTGTGTGCCCACTGCTCCTAAAAACACTGCTTTAACCACTTTGGTTCACGGGAGCCAGAGCTTCGAGAACAAAGAGCCTCAGGTTGGCGATCGCTGCCCTAGGGCTTTTAAATAGTTCTAAAATTTTCGTAAAAAATTATTACAATAATACAAAAGAATATTAGAAATACCACACGATACATGCAAATACAAAGTTAAAATTTCTCTCATAAACGATTAAATTTCCCTCTCGAGAAGAACTTCTCACCTGTTTGAAAACCCTGGTTTCTGTCTCCATTTCATTTGCAGGTTGAAACTTTAACATTTTTTTTTATCTTTCTTTTTCAGCAACAAAGCATGGAAGAAACAGAAAAACATTTTGAATATATTTCGAAACTGGCACACCATTTGTACTCAGAGGTAAATTATTTGTTATTTCGTCTTGATGAACAAGACAATATACCAAATTATACTATATTTACTGAATTATTTTTTTAATATCAGATCATAGCAACAGTAAAATATAATTTATGTCTGTATTAAACAACATATTTGAAATAACACACAAAGGTACGAAGTGTTTTTTCTGGTCGCAGTTATAAATTTCACTTTCCCAGGGTTCGTAATATTCAGACTTCTAAATTGAGTATTTTGGGTCGTAAACTGAAACGAATCGTTAATTTTTTTTCATAAAAGAATGATGTTATGCCTGTGACGGCCTCTCACTTCATGACAGAAATTTCACTGTTATATAGTTCCCACTCAATCCACTAGATGGCATATATGAGCTGATTGGTCTATGAGGAGGCTATTGAAGTTGAGAAGCCTAACATTGATATAAAATTCTTTCAAGTGTGATATGAAATTGTTTGTCAGTAATTTATGCCCAGATTTGCTAAACCCCTTGGTAAATACAGTCCCGGTTGTATGAAAGAGGTCTTCAGGTATGTGTGAACAAACTTATCATTTGGGTGAGATTTCATGTTTTTTTCAACAATATCTTCAAGACTTAAAACATGATACTTTTCAGGGTATGTTGGACAGACATGATTTTCTTAACTGGGTTGTTGAAACAATGGAAAAAATCAGATTACTTGGCACGCATGCACTAAGTTATGTAATGCCTATGGTCATGAAATACATACAGGTCAGATCATTAACATTGTTATTTATATTTCAATGTACGGAATATCTTTTTTTAAGTTTTTATTGTTGAAAAAAAGCCGCATTTCTGCTCTTTAACCAACCAACCTGACCAATTTATATTGAAAAATGGAATCATTTATGAAATGCTTTTTTTTATTTCTATTTCTTCTACATTGGAACCATTTCAGTATCATTATGGAGAATTCAATCCAATTTCATGTCATGTTTTGAATATTTCTAACAGTGTGTTAATTGATGATGGGGTGATAATAAACTCTCACTAATTTGATACTTATCTGAATGCATACGGAATAAAAAAAGGTTTTTGAATATGGAAAATCAAATATTTTATATATTGGCCTGACAACACCACAAATTATTGCATGTTATGGATATTGAATTGAATGATAATAATAATAAAAATATTGCATTCGTTTTTCTTTTTTCCACAGATATTGAAACTTGAATAATGCTATATTTAGTCTGACCATCAGATGTCAATAGTAGAAATCAAAAAAATTTGAAATGGAAAATAAACCTAAATTCAGAAACTTATTTTTCGGAATAAAACTAACTAAGAATACATTTAATTATTCTGTTCATTTTGGACATCCCTGTTCAATATTTCTCAATTAGATTTCTTCATTTGTGTTTTTTCCAAATTCAGGACATCATAAAGAATCAACTTTTATCAAGACGACTTGCTTTTGTTACAAGTCGATTGTTAAACTGGATGTTGAATGAATCGACGTGGGGTGGTGGTAATTCATCCTTGTCATCATCTATTAATAATAAATCATCAAATGCAATTGAATCTCCCTCTGCACCTATGTCAGTGTAAGTATTATTGAAATATTATAAGCATTTACTGGTAATTGGGCGCTCCAGATGTGTATGTACCAATATGGGGGTAACTAATTTTGTTTGCCTACTTTACATCAAGTTGTGCAAAGGGACTGAAACTTATGAGCAAGGGCTAACACAGACAGTCACCGAACTCGTAATAGGTCGTAAGGGTCTGAAGCCTATGGACAGGGGGTATTCACTTGGCTAACACAGACAGCCCCTGAACCCATACAGAACTAAAATAAGGAAAATCGGAACAAAATTGTGGCATAACCCTAACCTGGTACATATACTACGGGAGTACCGATAATTGTATAAAATAATTTTGAAAGATGAATCTGATATTTAAGAATTAAGAACAGAAAAATGGTTTGCAGGAATCTTGTTTTAAAACCTGGGTTTTCAAATATTCCATGTGGCAGTGTTGCAACAACCTTCATTATTGTTGTTTTCATTGGTGTTATAAAAAAAAGTGTTACGGTAAATGCTGCAACTAAGAGACCATTCGATTTAAAATATTCAATACTCAAAGATATACGAATATTCTAATACTTAATTTATTTTTCATACTTCTAATTTTTACTATGGAAGGTCTGATATTTTGCCCCAATTTATTTTTTTCCATGAATTCTTGGCCATGGGCACAGCTTCATAGGGCATTTGTTACAATTCCTCTAACATTTCGACTGGAATTTTGCTGTTGTGCCCATATATTTGAATAATGCTTTTATTGTTTTTTCATATCCTGACAATGATGCAGTGGGCCACCATCTGTCTCTGGTCAGCAATCACAGAAGCAGCTTTCTGCTCCTCCGACTCCGAGTCAAGGTGCCAAGCCCTCGTCGCCTCAAAAAAACGGGCAACAAAACTCTATAGCAAAGCCCCGTACTTTGCCAACGAACTTTCCTAAGTCGTTAGAAGACATTGCTCACGGACTTATATGCATTATACAATGTATTACGATGGAGTGCCCCGGCGCGCTTGTTTGGTACCAACCAGATGACCCAAAGACCCCTGGATCACCTTTGGACTATTTACCCGTCGCTCCGTCTCTCTTACCTCTGCCTTCCACAACGAAAATTGAGTCATTAAGGGATAATAATGATAATTTAACGAGGTAAGGTATATTAATTTGAATGAATTATTATCTACCATTTTTGCAAAAGATAAACTGAAGTCTAAATCTGGTATTTTATTATATCCAAATGAATAAAATATGTTTTGTTAATATTTAATAACAATGGTTCACTCACAAAAATCAAATTCAGATACCTTTGCCAATCATTAAACATTCGAACATGAATTACTTTAGTCTCAAATTGTACTTGTTGTCTTGTTTACTTGCACAGAAAAGAAGGAAGTGTAACTTGATAAAATGAGATCATGTGATACATTATGTACTACATATGCTTGTAAGGATCTTATGTGACATATCACTTGATTTTGGGTAGATATTGTGTGCACTAAGTTTTAAAAATCTGAACTTATGTAACTAATATGACAATTAGCATAAAAATAGAATTGAGTAGGGGCTCTTTAATAATGACTTGTTTATGGGCCTGATATCTGAATATTCTTCCATCCCTAATATTTATCATCTAAATCAAGTTTTAGAAAAATGTATGTAATTTTTTTCTAAGGGCGAGGTTACGTGAGATGGAAGCCGATGTAATTCAACGTTCCTACGCTGCTGAAATGAGATGGTCATCCGATAAGTGCCAAGAATCTGCGACCGGTCAAACGATAACGAGAGTTTTGAATACGTTAGAAGCTCTCGATAAACAACAAAATTTTGATCGAACTGAACCCATTGATTTTATTTATAATAAAATTTTTGTTCATAATAACAGCAAAGACGGTGGTGGCAATGACCAGGTATAAAATTGTATATTTTATCAAAGACCATTAACTTGCGACTAGTTTATAGGTTTAAATTGTATAAAACATCAGAGAATTATATATATAACAAAGTCATATTTACCCGGCCCAAAAATTTGGAATTTATTTTGAAAATGTAGACATTCACTTCAACATAGAACAGCACTTTAACTCAAAGGAATTCGAAATCATTTTTCAAAATAATCTAAATGGATTAAATCAGCAATAGATATATTAGTCTCTAGGGCTAATAAAACCCTTTTTTATATTAACTATATTTCCTACGTTTTAGACGTCACAAGCTGGTGAAGAAGCTGTCATTTGGCTATTATGTGAATGGGCCATAACAGCTCAAAGACTCGGCGAACATAGAGCTGGTGTCGTAGCCAAACTTCTTGATAAAAGACAGGTGTATAATAAGAATGGTCATTTGGTAATTAATAAGAATCAATAACAAACAGAAAAATTTAATTTACTTGGTTATTGGACTAACGTTGGACGTAACTACTGGACCAATTGCTTTGAAATTTTCAGTGGTTGAAGATTGTTGTCGCTAGAAGCTGTTACTTTAATTTACTTCAAAAATTCTGTGAGTCCGATGGGTTTTGTTGTTCACCTTTTATGTGATGGTGTCATCAAATTTTAAAATTTTACACCGTAAAAGTTTTTTGATAAGGAAGACTACCGGTACGATAAAAGATTTGATACTATTTCAATTTAACCTTAGTGTTCATATATTTGAGCGTTGCTTTCTTATTTCAGGAAAAAATTGCGCACGAACGGGAGCAAGCCGCCATGATGTCATCCAAACTTTTTAATTCATCTGGTACAGCGACTTCAAGTTCGAATCCCGGTTCAGTCGGCACACCGTTGTTGTCACCTCCTCCTCAACTTCTTGTAGAAGGAATGGAACCTCCTCAAAACGACACTCGAGCCTCTGTACAACCACCTACGCAACAGAATTTAGTCGTCAATAATAATCCACACATGTTTCAAGCTATTTTATTCAATTTTCTTGATACACAAGCCCCACTTTTAGGTAAGTTTTATTACTTATCGATCTTGATCGGTAAGTATGTTGTTAGGTTTTTGTCTGTTTGTTTGTTTGTCTGTTAGATACCGACGATATCTCACGAAAGCGAGGTTGAATCTGCACCAAATTTTGCATGTGCATTCATCATATCTCGGAACAGAAAACCTTTTGATTTTGGATGAATTATGTTGTATAATTAGCGAGTTATTAATTAATTAGTGATGGGACACACGGTGTCGCTATGGAATAATAACTTTCGATCGATAAGTCTTCGGTCTCTGACCGATATTCTCGTTTCTATGTTTTGTTGAGAATTAATGGAATTGATGAATCACTATTTGAATGGCAATTTGAATGCATAGTTAGGAATATGAATGGATGTTAATGGTCCCAGTTACCATTTGAATGCTGGCTGTTAGTACGAATAGGTATGGTTATTTGGTCCCATTTGAATGGTCTCTTGTATGTATAGTTTGGATTATGATGGATGATATATATCAGGGGTGGCCAACACGTCGATCGCGACCGACCGGTAGATCGCCACGTCTCGAGCAGTTGATCGCGTCTGATGTTGAATGAATTTAATAAAATACCCCAAAAATTGCCTTGAACCAGCTGTGTGCTTTAAACCAGGAAGAATACAGTACTGTACATGCGCAAAATCGAATATACACACACAGTATTTGAGTCCGCGCAGGGCCCAATAGAGCATATTATTATGCAACAAATGCAAGTTTTGCCACTGCCAAGGTTTAAAAATGATGTCTTGACTGACAAACGATCCTACAATAACTTCTGCAGTATACGAAAGTTATTGTCTCACTCCAAGAGTAGTGTGGTAAATTGTGTTCGCAATGGTAGCAGTAACATCAGAATGCCCATTTTTACCTTATTCCACGCGAGCGAAGAATCAGACTTGGGGGAAATTGTAAATTAGATACCGAAGTTTGAGCAGTCATGCAACATTCATGGTTTGAGAATAGTTATTTTTCACTGTTCAGATAATACATGAAATACTTGACCAGGTTTCTTGAAGAATTTTCTACACTTACGACTAAAAATTAAGCAGGCCTTATATCTGAATTGTATGATTTGAATATGTCTTAAATGAATGATGAAACATTAACTTCGGGTACGATTAAATAATCAAATCAACAACTTAAATGGAACATAAAAAATGCAAATTTAGTGTCGATATTATAAAGAATGCACTTACAAAGCCTTATTATTGGCGGTTGGATTTTTTTATGAGTGTGTGCAGTTATGTGCATATTCAGTGCCCATTCGTTTTCGTGTAGAACCTTATTACTGATCAGTCGATCGTGAGCTATTTTGAAAATTTTAGTCGATTGCGGTCGAATGCAGGTTGGCCACTCCTGGTATATATAGTTCCAGTTGTCATTTAAATGGGTTCCATCATTTATGTAGGGTTAGCAATAAGAATGAATATATTATAGTACCAATCAGCATTTCAATGGCCTCTTTCGTAGAGACTATTGCGATATCTCATAGTCAGTGGGTTTCAATTTTGAGGGAAGCTGTATGGGAAGCCTAAATATAAAATGTTGGGTCCGAAATTTAGTAAGTTTTTTTATTTGTTATAACTGTAATCTTTGTCTGAAAATTGCAATGCCTGAATTTCAGAAATCTGGGACATAACATAAGACAGATTTTAAAATTTTTAAACCTGATGGCGTTTGATTTCATTCAATTCCCTATTCATGCTAAAATATGTTCTATACAATACATTTCTGAAATCACTCTTTCCAAAATCATTGATTTGTTCGAATTGTAAATCTTGTTTTTTATATTCTCTCCAGATAACCCTTCAGATATGAAAGAACTTCAGTCTTTCAAAAATTTGGTTGTTTTATTTTCCGAGTTAATTCAACATGATGTTTTTTCTCACGATGAGTATGTCAGCGCACTCATATCGAGAGGAGATATCACTCCAGGTAAAATTTTATAATCAATATTCGAGTTATTTCAATTGTTCACAATAGAGATAATTATGTTGGGAATATCGTTTTTTTTGTGCTATGGATACCATTATCTGATTGGCAATTTTGAAAGCCGATATTGCAGAACACTGAAAAAAGTGGGAAATAAGTCTGAATCTTCACTCCCGAGAATTAATTTGATTAGATAAATATACACTCTAGATATCTCATAAGTTTATAGATAAAGTTTGTAATTTTGTTATGAATATATTGAATTGTCATGTTTGAGTTTTGAAAATTATGCACAAGTATTAGTAATTAATAAATGATTTCATATTTCTGGAAAAGAACGGTAAAAACCGTCAACCGATAGTGGGAAATGACATTTTCCAGTATCAGAAATCAGAATTTTTTATAGATGTATTTATATGCCCTTTGCTCTGACAACGCTCTGTATAACCAGGCACTGATTTGATTCCTCGGTTCAGAATCGTTTTCCTAATTTATTACATGTGGGTGGAGTGGTGGGAATGGGACTTGAATCTGAGATTTTACTTGTGCTATCATCCTATTTAAGTCTAACCCTTGCAATTATTACTATAGTAAGCATTGGCATCGACTTATCTATCGACTCTCGAAAAAATGGTATTAGTTACCTGTTAGTAATGGCATTTCTATAGATTCCTTCTATTTCAATTTTATTCCAGGTCAAATTTCTCCTTTGCCTATCTATATACCAACGTCCGGTCCTAGTTCGAACACAACAACAATAGGGTACACAAATCACAGTGTTGGAGTGATGTCCGTTGCTTCTGTTGGTCCAACGTCCGTCGGACCTTCAAGTAACAAGCCTTTGGTAAGTCATAGAGTTAAACTTTGGATGTCTTGAATAATGTCATCTTCTGAAAATTATGAATTGTGATTATTTTAAAAGCCAATTTGATATTTTTAAATTATTGTTTAGGTATTTTGATAAATTAAATTCATTATGCAGTGAAATGATAATACGAGGTCTACTTTTCAAGATGTCATATCCAGCATTATTTAATTGTTTAATTAGTTAATTTAACTGAAATTACTTGGCCAATCTCTTAAACTGAAACTTTTTGACTTATTTATTTCAGCTTTTATTTCAAATTAGAAGCTTTGAATATCACTAGTATGTATTCTATGCAACTATTTTTTGATGAAGCCTCCAAAATTTATATTGCGTATGGATAAAACAGTTTTATATTTCAGGACATGTTGTTGAAAAGTGACGCAGATGATGAACTACCTTCATCAGTAAGAAGTATAGATCCAAAAAATGACAGTGATCTAGTATTATTCTCTCCCGTCAATAACTCTGATATTTTGATGAGTCCCGATGGAAGGAATATGGCTGAAAGGTATGTGTTATTGTGTTCTATTTGGTAAGGAAAAATTTACTTCAGAAGATACAATAGAGAGGTACTTATGGTTGCAATGAGGTTGAAAACGTCATTCTCAAGTCAAGTAGCATCTATCTTTCTCCACATCAATGGGAAATGTGTCAACAATATATAAACACTCTTAATTTTGATTTGGGGAATTCACTTATAAAATATAGAGCTATTGAGGGCTGAGACTATTCGCCAATATTTGCCCATCTAAGTTATTGGACATCTTAAGAGGTATCTCCCCCTATTCGAGCAATTCCCCTAATAAACAAATCTTTGTAAAATGTTCTTCCCTAAAAATGTATGAAAAAATGAAGCTGTCTCTCTGATAAAATAGATTTCATATATTATTAAAAATGTACCGTAATAATTTTTCCCATTTTCCAATATTTTCAGGCACTTCACAGATGTCATCAAAGAGATTCCAGACAATTCCAAAGACAAGAACGGGGGCTTGGGACTCGGAATGCAAATGAAACGACCCACTGGTCCTATTTGGGGTTACAGGCAACCACGACATGTGCAATTCCTCATGCACTTCCCGATTTCATTCGAGGTAGTCAAATACATGCAAAATTTAGTTATTTTGATATATCTTTTTTATGTTGTAAATATATCAATTTGAAAGGCATGGTTTTTATTACCAAGGTCAAATTTTTTACACATGTATCTTACTGTATGTAAACTGTATAGAAACCTTTTCAGGGTAACGTATTTTCATGTTTAATACCGGTATATGACGGCGACGGACGCTGTATGCTCTGAAAAAGGCTCAGCGGCCACTGATATGTAAAGAGCTTCTTTATTTTGAAAGCACAAGCCTTTCGGGTTTGGGGTTGCCCACCCAATTTATAACACTCTTGGTGAGGTGGTGGGCATGGGATTTGAACCCAAGATTTTATTCTGCGATGCCATTATAGGTAAATCTAACGATTTAACCACTAGGACACCATGTTTTGTTCTTGTTAACCATTATTGCCCATTTAGATTTCAAGAGAAGAGTCTAATTTTTTTATTTTAATTCCAGGATGATGAAAGTATTCACGAATCAAATCAACGCCTAATGGTATTATATGGTGCCGGCAGGCAGAGAAACGAAGTAAAGAAAGCTGTGAAAAAGATAACAAAATATGTTTGTAAACTCGTTCAGAAGAGGTCAATCACTTCTCCTGCTGAAAATAGTTTTTGTAAGTTTTCTAGTGTTTCCTGCTTTTCAAAATGTTTGGTTTATTTGCTCATTGCCTTGTCTAGATTGACATTAGGACCTAAAACTTCCCTCTTGTATTAAACCTATTTTAAAGACTTTCAAAAATATTTTCAATCCGTTTCAGAGATGGATATCCACAATATTTATTCTTACTTCTTAATAGCGTGTGTAATGTGTATGTACTACTTCAGTTTGCTCATTACTAAGGAGGTTTATACTTATGTTATGTTGCTTCAAATTAGAATAATTCATTGCAAACTTTTACCGCTGTGTAAAAAATTAAAAACTAGGTTTGACCTAGAAAGTACCGACTTATTCTTCCAAATTATATTTAATTTGATTGTATGTGTATTTAAATATATTTATTATTGCCGTATTCAGGGTATTCAATTTTGACAAATGTTCACTTGTTATTGTCGGAATCCATTATTTTACAATTTTTTTTGTCAGGTATTCCGTCAACTAAAGTGCCAAGTGTCGGGGGTTCGAAGAAGTCGAAAAATCGAACGACAAACGACTTATCATTGTCTTCATCTTCTAATTCTCAGTCTCCCGATATGTTATTGAAACGTTTTCGTTGTTTATCGTACTTTGACCAGCATTATATAACAACACAAGCTTCGAAAGCCATTTTAACATCTTTTAGCGACTATGTATCTGAGAGGTGATGGACCAATTATTTTTTAAATGACATACAAATATAGAGACAAATCAACTAAAACCTTTTGTATAAATTCATTTGAGTTTGGACAAATCTAAATTGAGAATTATGCCAAATTAGGATTTGTGCCAAAATTTTAATTTGGGATTGCGCAATTTTTGATGGATTTTGGGGTATGCTAGTTTGCTAGATAGCCAATTTTTTGGGGAAAATGCTAACTTTATTGAGCGAAATTTTTTAATATCACATTACTTATATATAATGAAATTTTCCTGAAGGCCACGCACAATCACTCAGAAATAAAGGAGACTCACCTCTAAGTGAAGTTACAGGCAATTTGTTTAACCAAGGAATTCCCGTGCATTTTGCACAACCTTTATATCAGTATTCCTCATATCTTTCATCTTATCTTTATTCTCAATTTTTGATCATTTTTTAGGTCTCAGAATCTGCCGCTCATGAACAGTATTACATTGGTGCTTAATTTAATGGAAGAAGCATTAAATTTTGGCGGAATTGTCCAACTCGCCGTTCAAATATCTTCTGTTTTAACATCTCTGGAAACAGAAATATCAAGAAGGCATCCTACATTTGCAGGATGTTACACCAAAGATCTCGCCCTCAATATAGTATCTGTATTGAGGCATTACCAAAGGTATTGACGATTCAAATTTTATTAACACCACCTCACTCACCTAGGGTGTATAAATTATCCAAACCCGAAAGATTGCTTCCCATCTAAAAATTGTTGCCTTTTATATATCAGGACTTCGTAGAGTGAAGGTGGAAAATGTCTAAAAATGGATAATAGAACCCTCTTACACTATATTTTATACCTAATATTGATGAATTCAGTACTTTTGTGATCTAAATCATTATAGATTCAAGTGCCAAAAAGGACTTGAAGACTTGAAAAACCCGTCCTGCATTTGATGCCCCATATTACCAAATATGTGGTTTCAAATAAATAATGCAATTAGGAAATCGCTGTCATGACGTTCATGTTAAAATAATGTGTTTATGATCATAATATATACTATTTTGACCAATGTAGGCGCTTTCAGATTTTTTTTTTTATCGAAGGCAAGGTCTGAACAAGGCAATAATCGATTGAAATTCATTATAGAGTTTTTATTATGATACATAAAGATATGATATGCTCAACTTATGACATTATTGCCTTTGACTAATATTCAACAATATCTCGTTGTATTACTATTGCACTACAAACTGCTGTTTTTGTTTTGTTTAAAAAATATCTATTTTTGTATTTTAGCTACCTCACTCTCGATATCGATTTAACACGGCAAGCGTTTGATGCCATGCATTCTTTCATCAAACAGTCAAATATTACTAATCCTGGCCATTGCACTTCGCCAGACAGGTAAATGATCAGAATATAAATTTTTAGAATTTGTTATATTGATTGGTAAATTGGATAATAATTGTCACCATGGAATAATCCTGCAACTGTCGTACTCTAAAGCAATTCAAATAGAGGTTTGCTTCGGGGTTTCTCAAATGGGCCCTCGGCCCCATAGAGGGCCACAGAACTGTTTTCCGGTCGCTAATATCACTAAGTGCCATTTGCGAATACTACATTAATTCAAATTAAACCGAAGGTGATTGCTTTTGTTTGACTGTAATGATTTTATTCTTTTATTTTCATTTGTTGGATTTTTTTTATTAAATATCTCGAATAAAAATGGAGGAAACGCCATTATAAGCACAAGTATGCAGAGTCTTTGCGAGTAGTAAAAAAATTCTTGTGTTCAAATTGCGCATCTATTACCTATTCAAAACCTTTTTATAATTTGATTTCAAAATATCCATATATTGCAGCTGTTCCCAACCGGGGTTGCGTGGCCAACCAAGGGGGCCACAGAGCAGTTGGATGGGGGCCACCATGCTATGCGTAAAACTGATATCACTTTTCAATATACAAAAAATCTCTGGTTCTTCCTAGTTTCATTGCTTGATAGGGTTATTTCACAGGATATTTTTACTTTGTTGATGTTGAACATGAATTGTTTGAACATAGTTAGATTTGGAATCTACCAATAAAAATAACACTGGAATGATAAGCAGGGAGCCATGAATGCTAAAAGCCTGTGGAAAGAGGTTCACAAGTAATAAAAGATTGGGAACCACTGAACATTGCTTCATGAATTCTATATTTTAATGTCAACTTAATATTTAAACTTCCAATTTTACAGATGTGTTCTAATTTTTCTCTACGATTTATTTACATCGTTTCGTTCTAAATATTTGCTTTTGGAAAGTCAAGTACAAAAGTTTTCAAGTTTTGCATCGGTGATTCGACAAACTCTATGTCAATCTAAAATACCTGCCAAGTCGAATTGCAAGTGAGGCTTTTTATATTTTAAGGAGTGATTTAATATTTTCTGACTTTTGTAAAAATTTCAATATTCACCAATCGGGGTATTCATACAGCTATATGTGTAAGAAAATCTCTTACGACAATCAATTTTTTTTTCAAATGTATTGATTTCTAGTACGAGTAACTAATATTTTACCCATGGACAATATATTTTAAAAAGTGTACTAAAGTAAATACATATAAGTTGTCCTATCAAGTTTTTGTCATCAACATAATATATCATATTCATTGAAATGTATAGTAAGGATGAATCTTTGACTATAAAAGCATATGTACATATCGTGTTTTTTTGTTATTGTAGTGTTGTTACACCAATAAAGTAAATCGCACTGGTAAATCTTATTAGAATTGTAGGCAAACTATAGAGCAGCGTTTCTCGAACTTTTTTTGCTTTGAAACACCTACACTTTTTTTCTCGCTTTGTGGAACACCAAGAAATTAGAAGGTAAAATTGTGATTCCAAAAAATTTAGCCTATGATAAAATGTTTGCTGTAAACTTGACAATTAAAAATAAGGCTGACGGTTGATATGGCCCAAGGCCTGTCCACCTGTTGGGAGACAAATTCACGACCCTAACTTGCAGAAGTATGACCGAGATCGCCTTGGTGACCAATTTTATTTTCAATTTTGATCCCTGATTCGCTGAGCTCTCCGAAAAAGCTCGCGGAACACAGTTTGAGAAACTCTGCCTTATAGACATCATTTGAACCATTAAGCATATTGTGTGAATGTTTTAGTTTTTTATTCCCACATAATGCAGATACATTATGATTTTCGTTGCAGATATGATAACACGTTTCTGATTGAATACATCGAGAATCCAAATTCAATGCATCCTCTGATAGTTGCAAGACAAAATTGTATATTAATGCGAGAAGCAACGTATAAATACAGTTTTGTTTGTAGCGTTATTATAACTATGTGCACAGGACAGAATAACCCTGAAAGGTAGGTTTATTTTATCTTTTTTTTTATTATGATCGAAAAATGCACTGACCATCTGACTGTGTGGTTAAAAGGGCTGTCCAAGCGAACCGAATATTCGAAATCGAATCGAAACGCAAATTATTCGAATCGTTTTTCGACTAATTTTCGAATTGCTAAAATTAGGTACATAAAGCGAAAAGGGCTTGAAACCACCTTTTGCAGGGCCTTTTTCATCAGGCAACGCTTCGAGCTTAGACCAGTTCATGCAATAGTGTGATCTCCTTTTATAAATCTGAAAACATTGTAGCCTATTTCAAAATACCAGCATTATGTCAGATGTTACTGCACATACATTATCATAACATCGAAGGGCAGGCAGGCGTTCATTGTTAATAGAGACAGATTTAGGATTGCACGATAATATTCGATTATTTGGTTCGATTCGGCGAAAATATTCTATTCGAATCAAAAAATTATTCAACTTTGGACAGCCCTAGTGGTTAATATACCCTTTTTGATTTTGACGCTGATTTTACATTTTTACTCTAAAAAAGGCTCTTGGCAAGTATAAATCGGTACTGGACTTTTGGGAGGACCGGATGCTTTTTTACCCAATTTATTATATAGAAACCTGGGTAAGGTAGGGATTGGAATTCGAACTTGAGAAACTTAATCTACATTTTCGACATGGTCAGGTTCAAACTTTCTAACCACTAGGCCAGTGTTTCCTAACCTATGGATCAAGCCCTAAAGTTTGGTCGCCTGAAAATTTTCTTGGGTCGCTTGTGTTCTCAACGAGAACCTAAAAGTTACTGATTGATTGTCTAGTTCATTTTCAAGATATTTGTATTGAAGTGTTGCTCAGTAGAAATTGTATATGTGTGAAGTATCACATCGTAAAAACTTGACAGCTGCTGTTAAGTGAAGCCACTCCATGATTTTAAAAACTTGCTTATGGCAAATAAGCGCAGCTTTCTCACTTTGAGTTAATTTTGAGGAAAATAACTTCTATGTAAAAATGGTTGTTCATATTAATCAGTTAATTTTATGACCTTGTATTGCATAGGCCTAAGTGTTACACACCGCCAAGTATTTGAGCATATCTTTGGGTCGCAAGGTTTTACAAAATTATTCTAAAAAATTTTGGTTGCTCGAAAAAAAGATTGGGAACCACTGCACTAGGCCACACTCGAACACAAATTTATACAAATCTTATTTAAATATTATCATAGAACCTTATTGGCCAAGAATCCTAACAAGAATATGAATAACAAGAGAGCTATGCTCAAATATATGGACACGTAGCGCCACCCAGTGGCAATAATTTTGATGACGTCATAGCGAAAAAAAAGTAATAGCCTTCTGGAGAAAAATTTTATCTTTAACCACTGAAAATATCAAAGCAATTGGTCCAGTATTCGAAGAGAAAAGCGATTTTTTGAAAATGGAGACGGAGACAAATAACAATAACAACAAAATTTTGAAACGATCGTTATGGCCACTAAACGTGTCCAATAACAACCGAATCAGCGAAACGATCCTTGTACCTTCTGACATATTATTTTTCAGCCTCAGTTCAATAGCAACTCTATGTGCTGAAATGAATGCTCAATGCAATGATTTGAGTTCAGAATGGCTCGGAGTATTAAAAGCTTTATGTTGTAGCTCTACGACAGCCAATTCCGCTAATTTTACTGACGTCTTAATACATGTTGAGGTAAGAGTAATTTAATTTTCCTTCAGGATTTTTTTTGCCAGTGCTTTTTCTGGTTTAAGATCTTATGGTAGAGTTCCATATGGTTTGATTGCATTATGATCAACATATCTGACAAAGGTGACCGTACATTTGAACCCACGTACATTTGAACCCATGTGTATATCCGCGGGTTCAATCTATATGCGGGTGCTAAAACCCATGGGTTAGGGTTAGTGTGGGTTCAACTATCCGAGAAACAAAAAAAACTCCATAGGTGCAATAGCATACAGGTGCAATTGCCATGGGTTCAAATGTACGTGGGTTCAAATGTAATGAAACCCTGACAAATAGTATTGCATTAATATGAATAAGCTGGTAGCAACTGCTCGGCATATAGAATAAATTATGTACTTATTTATGAAATGGTTGGTTAGTCCTTTCCCATTTTATACAGTGTATTTATACTGATTTTTCTCTGAACAACCTCTTTCTAAAAACAATTTCTCTAAGAAGCTGCAAATTTTGTTGAAGCATATATTGGTAATTTTTTCTTATACTTTGAAGAATATATATCCAAATAAATCCATTATTTAGAAACCAGTGTGTGTAATTTCCTAATGTTTAAATAAAGATGCTTAATTATTTATCATTTTAATTTATGGAATTTATTGAAGTTAAAATTTTTTCAAATGTTATCGATCCTTATATAATAACATGTTTCATACAATTCACAATTTCTCTCTCAAGCAGGCAGTGGATGACAATATTCATGATCCCCTCGCTTTGTTTACTGCCATTTTAATCGCTCGAAACTGCCTTTCGATGGAAAATTTCATCAAACATGTTGCTATTCCGTCACTGCTTGCCGCTTGTCCAAGTCGACCTGGACTCAACGTGTCGGAAGCTGAAACAGGTAAGGGGATATTTATCAAGTGGTCAATTCAGTGCTGATGACCTATGGTCATTGGTTTAAATCTAGCTTACTAAATGTAATATTCGGGTGATCAATTTATTTGAACTAGTGGAAATTTTTCTTTTGGTCTGCTTTGCATGAAGTTGGTTATTTCAACACATCTATTCAGCTGCTTTATGATTATTTTGTGCACAAAAATGAGCTTGGGTATCAAATTCATCAAATACGCATATTTCATAATAAAACTTGATCTTGATGGTATTTAGTGTTGTTAGAGTTGTGTATTTTTGCCCATGCGTCGTGGTTTGTATTACAGAAAGTTAATACGATATGGTTAGGAAAAGTTTGGGAACTGGTAATATAACCAATGTTTTATTTTTCAGGTGCTCGCCTCACTTGCCATATACTTCTTCAACTTTTCAAAACCCCACTGCATCCTTCGCAAATAAACAATTCTTCCGAAACATCTGGAAACGAACAAAGACCTCCTTTTTATATTCCTGAAGCTTCAGACAGGCATTTATTGGCCGCTTCACAAAGAAATATCGTTGTCGGGGCAGTTTTGGCCGTTCTAAAAGCAATTGTAAAACTTGGTAAGTTCAGGACGATTTATATGTAATTCAAGAAACTGGAGGTAATTTATGCTTTTCGCTCCGAACAAGGCTCTATAAAAGCCGCCACTGATATCTCACGATATTTAAGTCACTACTTTTTCATTTGGACGGATCGAAAACTTTTAGGTTCCGCATTGACTAGCCAATTTATCATACTCTGGGTGAGTTGGTGGGGCATAGAATATGAACCTGATATGTGTAATCTGCGATGTCAACACAGTTGGGTGTAATGAGTTACCCATTGGGACATCGTGTCGCCCTATTGGTTGGCAAACGCTTAAATTATCTATGCAAGGATAGAGGATGTAGTATGCTCAATAAAACGGTTAAAATCCCAATGTGGGCGATTCATACTGTCAGAGTTCCGCCAGAAAATAATTTATCGGATTCGGGACCAAAGGCTATTCCTATATTCAAGAAATTGAGTTATCAAATTATATTAATTTCGAATATATTTGGGTATTTGTTTTCGATATCCCTATATGTAAATCATGATTCCATTTCTGGATACTGTTCATATTCATTTTTCTATAATCGACAACGATAAAATGAGACTAATGTGACATTTTGTTTCAGGTGATGCTAGTTTCGGTGGTGGTCGATCGTCATCTCCTGCGGAGAAAGAAAACAGTGTTTCGTCATTCTTTTTGCCCATAAGACAGACTATGGATGATGATGACTTCGGACTTGGGGGACCCCTAAGGGTGAGTTATGCATACTACTGGAAATTAAACAAGATTTTTATAGACAGAGAGGAAAGTTGATGAGAACGGTTCATGACCACTGCCTCTTGTGCAGTTACCAGTCTATGTCGAATAATGGGAATAGTTAACCAGTTGTGGTCCGTGGTGAGGTGTCCAGAAATTCTCTCTCACAAAATTATTATATGAGTGTGAATATCATAAATGTTCAGCAAATCACCTATCATTTTGCAGTTGATTGAACTATATACCATTTTGCTTCATTATGATCTTCCATGAATTTCCCAGGTGTATTAGTGTTTTTTTTATTTACCTACTACATAAAATTCATTCAACAAATTTTTCAACAGTCAACTATGTCTTCTGGAGATTCCATGGACACTCCGAGCTTAAGCGATTTTGCAAAGAATGCAGTTCGTGTCATCTGCTCCCAGCAATGGGTTAGAGAAAGGTATGTGATATCTTTTGACCAGTTTGGCATATTTTTATCAATGTAAGAATCCTCAATTCTTTGGTGTCACAAGTCTGGCCGCAATTTCATATTTTAAATGGTGAAAATTGTAGTCAAAATTCAAGAGAGGAAGTAGAAAGTTTCTGCTTTCAAAATTTGATTGATGTGGAATCCGAAACAAAATTGTTGTCAACCAGAATTCAGAACGATTATTCATCTCCCTACTTTTTACACTTTTTAAATCATGCTTAATCAAGTATGAATCTTAGTTAACCCATTTGAAATATTAATTTGTAAAATTTTGACACCAAAATTCACAATTTGTTTGAAAATGCTGTCACTCATGTTCTTAACATTAATATATTTTTCCTTTGTTACTCAGGTGTCTAAAAATAATTGAGTGGGATCTACTCATGGATAAAGAACTTACTCAGGGTCAGAGACAAAATTTGATTCAACTCATTTGTTGTCCAGAAGAAGAGTTGCAGGTTTGAATGATTTTTTTTTTATTTGTTAAATTGCTTCTGAGTTTTCCAATTTGATGTGAGAATGTGAAACAAATTTTCTAACGATTCATTTTTCAAATAAATTTTCAAAGTTTTCAGTTTTGGAATATTAATGACCAATAAGGTTTACTCATAAGATGTATACTATTTCTGTTTGTTTCATATTTCAGAATGCTGTTTAAATTTTTCTGCCAATTTATGTTCCCAATGTGGGTTAATTAAATAAATAAATCTAAATTTTAGCGATTGTCCGAAACACCTCACAATCAACGATCGTACGTTTTGCAAGTACTTCATAGGATGTCTCGATGGACGTTACGACAAACTTTACTTGAATTACAAATCATGTTGAAGCAAGCTGGTGAAGATCAGACTTTGTCAGAGGATATTGCAAAGTAAGATGATTTTGTCTGGAATAAACTGGTTTGAACTGGCTCAATCTGGTTCATGTATGTTCTGTTTCAAAATTTCTTAAATCAATAGCTGAATAATATTTGAAATAACATTTACAAAGAAATAGGTGAGATTTGTAAATGTGTGCTTAGAAAGATTTTGAACTGTAATTATACTGTTTTTATCATAATTTTTTCTAATTGCAATAAAAGAAATACTTCTGCCATATTTCAATTTAAATCTTCTCAATGTTCACAGGGCTGTAATAGAAGTATTCAAAGAACAAAATACCGAGCCAACGAAAGATAGAAAATCTCCTATAACTGGAATAGAGCTTGATAGAAGTAACGTCTGGTTGATGCCTCCACTTATCAGTGAATTATCATCTGAGGTATCAGTTTATCTTATCTTTTTTTAGTTTTTAATCTTGGATGTTCTGATTACATCTATAAAATTTTCCATCCAATTTTCAAATTGCACATGATTGCACATCCCTCGTTCAGACACCCACTATTCCTATCTGAGGTGTGTTAAATTGAATAACTTCAACAACTGCAAAAAAAATTCTTGTTTCTTAAATATGCCAGCTTTTTACCCTGAGTGAGTGCTTAACTATATCTTGTTCAGAGCAAAAAAGTCAATCAACTATTAAAAATACCAAACGCTGTGCACTTTATGCTTCAAACTTGTTTTGACTTTTAAATCTAATTTGGGTACCTATAATCAAGATTTATGGATGTAACTATATTTTTTTTGGGGGCTCCCGAAGTATGCGAACCAAGATGGCGGACATCGGAATGTAATATGTGTACTAGGTTAGGGTTAGGCCATAATTTTAGGTATAAATACTACGGGAGGCTCTTGGCTAGTCTTCGAACTGATAATAGGACTAAAATAAGGAAAATTGGAAAAAAATCATCGCCTAACCCTAACCTGTTACCCATGTTACGTTCCGATGTCCGCCATCTTGGTTCGCATACTTCGGGAGCACCTTTTTTTTCAATTGATTAAGAGTTTCGAGAACCATCTGTTGGGAGCAACTTCCAAAAACAATTTTTTAACAAATTGATTTTTTTTAGGTGCAGGCCAAAGTGTTACATGAAGCAAGTGTAATTCTGGAAACATCACAACATTGGTCGAGGACAAAACCGGACAGAGATCGGAATTCTGGTCGAAATCCTGCTTCACTTTTAAGCCAACAACCATTTTTAACTCTCATTCTGACTTGCCTTAAGGTAACTCTCGGGGGATCTGCTACTATCTTTCAAATTTTTATTTTCTTATTTCATCTATTGTGCATAGGATTCCATTCTTTCAATTTGGTTTCACTCATTTTGAAGGAAGTAGGGTTTGGCTGACAGTACTAAAGATAATTGCGAAGTAAATAATTATGGTCAATGTAATCTCAAATCTATATATTTTACAGTGCATTCAGTTTGCGTGGAAGTCAAAATTTAAGTGCAATTTCAACAAAAGAAATTATCAAAATATCTAATTATCTTAAATATTATTTATGCCTAAGAGAATGTTTTATTTGAGAATAAATGTTAGAGATATATGATAAAACTACATTGACTTGTCCAAAGCCTTTCACAGGATAATTTTTTAGGAGTTTTCACTCATTAACTCTGAACAAAGTTTCGTATGAACGGTCACAGATACGTTTTAGACAGACGGAATGTTTTCAGTCAGCAGTGCCTACCAGGGGGTGGAGGGTCGGAACCTCCAGAACCCCCCTCTGAAATTTCCTGGGTACGCCCTGGTCCCTACCCAATTTATTAGGCATGAGATGACGTAGTGGGCATAATGTTTATACCTGAGGTCTTTAGGCTGTGACGCCAACATAGTCAATAGCCACTGTGCCACTTCTCTAACTTTCATGATCCATGGCCCAAAGAACCACTGTATTACCATCTCGTCCTCGAATGTCACATAAATGGTTCATCGTACTTATACGAACTTTTTCTCTACTTCAGGTTCAAGCGGAACAACGAGATTCTCTTCTCGAGTCTTTACAATCTCAGATACTCATGTTTCACTCGGAGTGGCAGAGCGGTAGACAACAACAACAGAGAGATGGTTCCAACTCACAAGATAGTACTATGACACAGTCAATGGTTCAAGAAGCTTTGCAATTGAGACTAAGTCTAGTAAGTAGTGACATATTTTTGAAGATAATTAGGAATAGTGTGTCTGCGTAATTTTTGTGTGAAGTTGTATAATTAGTCGTATAGTTGGATATGCGTAGATGAATCCAAATGGCAATGGTACCATAAAGGATTATATGATCTTAAAAATACTTTCTATTCTTTTTTTTCTTGATTATATTGATTAAATAGATTCAAGGGTTTTATGAAATACGAGGTGCGGCTAAAAAGAAACGGGACTGACGTCACAGATTGCGCAACACGATTAAATATCGGTAATCAACACTTTTGCAGTGTTGCATAATATGTGTTCTTTGTTTAACAGCTGTTTTGACACAATATCGCAATTATTTTTGCTGTTCAGGATCCATAAGTGAATGTGATAAATTTCTTGTTGAAAAAAAATGCTGTGCGAGGTCTGATTGAGTTTTTTGGCGATAGGGGGTTCAATTGAAGAATGACGATTGAGTAAAGAATTAACATTAAATTTGGTGTCAAACTTGGAAAAATGCATGCCAACTCGGCATGCATTCAATCGTTGAGCTTTCTGCTCCTCAGTCAACTCAAGAGCCTTTGGCATCATTTTGGCACACACCTTTCGCATTCCCAAAGTGTCAACCAAAATGGTGCGGACCGTTTCTTTGTCCATCCCAATTTCGTTGGTAATGACGCGAATTGTTAAGCGACGGTCACTGCGAACCAACTGTCAAACCTTTTCGATGTTGGTATCAGTAGTGGAAGTGCAAGGCCTCCCTGACCTCGGATCATCCTCCACATCCTCCCTGCCTTCCACAAATCGCTTGTGCCGTTCAAAAACTCTTGTTCTGGACATGAAAGAATCTCCATAAACATCACGCAACATCTGCAAAGTCTGAGTCGCCGTTTTTCCAAGTTTGACACAAAATTTGATATTAATTCTTTGCTCAGTCGTCATTCTTTAATTGAACCCCCTATCGCCAAAAAACTCCATCAGACCTCGCACAGCATTTTTTTTTCAACAAGAAATTTATCACATTCACTTATGGATCCTGAAAAGCAAAAATAATTGCGATATTGTGTCAAAACAGCTGTTAAACATAGAACACATATTACGCCACACTGCAAAAGTGTTGATTACCGATGGTTAATCGTGTTGCGCAATCTGTGACGTCAGTCCCGTTTCTTTTTAGCCTTACCTCGTAGTATCTACTAATGCATCGGTTCCCAACTACGGGCCAATTAAGGCCCTCATGACTACTCAATATTAGGGCGCCTGACCGATATATCGGCCATGTTTTTCACAAATTTCGAACTATCGGTATCGGCTAATTTTACGATATATATCGGCCAATCACTGCCAAATTGTCCAAATTTCGCCGGGAAAGCAGTTTTATTGCTTGTTTAATTGAGAGCGGTTCTGCCTAATACTTTTTTTCTTGGTTATTTCTATTTCTCTCTTATCAAAAAGCGGCTTTTGACTGTGTCTCTCGTATCCAAAACGGACATATCGCACAGGATTTAACACTTTGTAAGCGAGTTTGCGAGCGCGGTGGCTTGCAAATTGAAGCGAGAGAAACGCGTGAACCTCTTATTTGTGTCAAATAATATATGTTGATTAATAAAGAATTCTTTTGACTAAGTTTCTCTTGTACAAAACGGACGTACGGCGGCACTGGATTTAACACTTCGTAAGCGAGTTTGCGAGCGTGATGGCTTGCAAATTGAAGCGAGAGAAACGTGTGGGCCCTTTTTTTGTGTCAAATAAATTACGTTGGTTAATAAAGAATTCTTTTGTCTGTTTCGCTTATCCAAAACGGACGTATGGCACGGAATTTAACTCTTTGTAAGCGAGCGTGGTGGCCTTGCAAATTGAAACGAGAGAAACATTTGAACGACTTATTTGTGTCAAATAATATACGTTGATTAATAAACAATTCTCGTCGTTTCCACTTCCCACAGCCTTGGATTTCCCTTGCGCTTTGGTCATTCAAGGCGCGATTTAACTTCTTGTATTGATATGCAATAGATGGCTGGTTCTAGCGGTCAGAGCAAAGTATGGCAATACTTCGTGTGCCATGATGATGGCGTAATTTGTAAGATATGCTTATCATTATTAAGTCGAAAGGTTCTGCCGATTCAAAAAAAAAAGATGGGTATAATTTGTAGAGCCATTTCAAAGCAAAACACAAGAGAAAGTATGATTGGAGCCAATGCAGAAAACTCTGCTCAACTACATCTGAGACTGTTGAACTGGAGCTATTGAGATTCATAAGCTTCCTGCCCTTACAATATGTGTTCTTTCTTGCCATGCACACAATTGCATGAGTTCAACATTTCAATTCTTTTGCAAGAAAAGCACAATATTCTCAGAGTATTGCTTGTTACTTGTAGCCATATTTGTAGGTGAGGAAAAATCGGTATCGGCTTATCGGCCTAGTTTTAGAAAACTATCGGTATCGGTTCAAAAAGGCAGTATCTAGGCCCTATTTAATATGGCCCGCCGAACTTTAAGCAAAATAGTTTAACATTGAACACTTTATGTTTTTACGTTCTAGATAACGCCAAGTGCTACGTCATTATCACAGTTTAAGCATGTGTATATTTGTAACAATTCAATTGTACCGATATCTTAATTATATGTACCGGTACAGTATCGACCCCTTGCAGTTGCTCCCCTCTTACGGCCCGCGAATATCATTCCGCTTCTATTTTTGGCCCCTCGGTCCATCAACGTTGGGAACCAATGTACTAATGTTCATAATACACTAATACAGTAAACCTACAGCTGAGTGAGTAGATTTCGGCATTTCACTTTTTTCTCATTCTGGTTTTGAAATTTTGTAAGTATAATTAATTTATAAAATGCCCAATCCTGCACTTAATTAACAAACTTAATTAATTAAATTGACATTCAGATGGGAGGTATGTTCGACACTGTGCAGACAAGCTTACGTTGGATAAATAGTGTTGTTATGTTGCTGACTCAACTTATATCATCTGGAATGGTTGATATCGAAGTACGTTAAAAAATATTATTTATTTTAATTAATATTTAATATCGCACATAGCCTTGTTGGGAGTGTGAGGTGTTTCACAATGTCCTATGAAAATAATATAATGTTAAAATGTTTTTCCTTCCTTTACAGCACTTTTTTGTGTGAGATTGTTTCAGGAGGAGTTGTCTTTGAACGTTCTTTTTGAATTTTTTTCATAATTACTTTGGTTATTTTTGTAACTTGGAATAATTATATTATCATCATCACTTTGTAAATAAAACTTAATATTTTAAACTAGGATATTGTTGTTTAGATGAAATGTTGCATAAAAATCAGTCCTTTCAAATTTGAGAATTATTTTTATCTACATTATCTACAATTCTGGATTTTGGTCGAATCCAATGCTTTAAAAATCTCTTCACTAACATTAATATTCTTTCACATGTTGAAATAATTTGTAAACTTCTACGGGGTTTGTAATGAATGTGTAATGGACTATAAAGCAAAGCATTTCTATATATTTTTGTAATTAGGAATCATATTTTTTGTTCAGGTCAATGCAAAACTATTCAACATTGTGTTCGACATGATAGCTGTGTTATTACATGGAACGTTGGGTGGTGATTCACCCAACAGCGGAGAAGGAAGGAAGAAGAATGAATATTTGTTAATCGTAAAGAGAATCGGGGTAAATTTTCTCAACTTTTTTGTAGAAAATATATATTAGGGTCAAAAACCATATGAATATTTTATAATATGTCGAATTTTGCAAAGAATAAACTACGAAATAAAACGATAACTTTGTTTATCTCTTTGGATTTTGTGAAATATTTTGACTTCTTCTTTAAATAACAGAAAGAAATCAGTGATGGAAAAACCGCGAGTTTGAAAATCCTGCGACGTCTCTTAACTGTGCCTCGTAAAGAAACATTCGTTATTGCTTGCGAAGCTTCGGCGTCTTCAGGAAGTGAAAGACAAGGCTTGCAGGTGAGATGTCGTTACCAAGTACTGATTAAAAGATCGTGTTTTTTTTGGTACACAAAACAATGACATATGTATGCTAAGGTACATTTCATTCAAGGTCTGGTCACTGGGGTTAGATAGTTATATCCAAATTCCAAAATGGTAAAATACTATTTTGTACAAATCATGTTGATTCAAACTTTAAATAATATATCTTACCTAACTTGTGGTTTGTACCAGTAAGAACGAAGAATAATTTTTGGATTACACTTTAATCTTGATTACTTTCCAAGGTTTTTTCAACCTACTTAATTTTCTATTAGATTAAGTTGTATCCAAATTATGTTACTGTAATATGATTCTGAAATGTACAGACAGTTTCTATCGCAAGTAACGAAAATACCTCTAATAAATGTAATCTCCGTTTTTTGCTGTCTCAGGTTGCTTCAAAACAGAAAATTACTCCGTGGGACATTATTGAAGGTTTAAAAATATCTGCTCCACTTAGTCTTCCTTGGTATGGAGCTGCCAAAACTGAACGCAAGGAATTGCCGTACTTAATCCAACAACGCTTAATGATGTTTCACAGTCATGAGGAATGGCAAGTGTAAGTTTTTTTTTACCATCTTCAAGGAATCCTTTACAATATACTATAGGATCTTCTTTCAAATTATCATTAACTTTGCTGCTGATATTATTGTATTTGAATAAGTAACTATAATTGTTTTGTCATAGGACATCACAAAATACATAAAGTTTGTGTTTTGTTTGGGATACATAGGTATACTCATATCCACATGAAATGTAAACAGTTGCAAGACCTTTTACAATGGGGGAATTCCCCTAAATCTCATTCCATTTTTAGGCCTTTAGAGGAGTATTTAAAACCTCCCGAACTGCCGCCAGAAGAGGAAGAAAAGCCTCCAACTCCAAAAGTTAACAAAAGGAAAACTCAACAAAGCACTTCCAAGTAAGTCTCGTGTGATTTTTTTGTTGTCACTTTTAGAATAATATTCCGAGCAATCATGATCAGGCCTCTTTGTGTTTCAGATATTAAGAGATCTTTTGAAATATTTGTAATAAAAATATAACATTATTAAAAAGATGTTTCCTTATTTTGTGGGTTTCATCTTGGATGAGAGCCTTGTTTGCGATTGAATTACATACATATGAATCTTTTTCTCAACAGTCTCAAAAGTCCATCAGCTGCTCCATACGGCCCTAAAGACGCTCTTCATCCTCCCGCTAAAAAACAGAGAGTGAACAGTAAGATCAAGCAAAGACCAAGCAAAAAAGTAAACATTAATCTTTTATCATGCCCAGTAATTGAGAGGCTATTGGACTACTCTTGTTCAATTACTCAGCAGATGTAGATAGTGCAGATACATATGCGATGACCTGATAAATGAAACTCTTTGTCCATTTGGAACATATTCTATACAGAACATAACTTTTGCGGAAGCGTCATAGATTTCTGAAATTTTTGGGTCAATTATACACAAACAGAAGTTCGAGTGTCATATCAATTTTCTTCACTTTCATAGAAATAATGAAGAATTTATTTATTTTTGTGTCATTCTGTATGTATATATGAAGCTTGTAATGTACTTTGTTCATGGAATATTTGTCCAAGGTTTCATAATATGAAGAGTCAATGCAGCCAGTGAAATTGGAATTTTGTTGTAATTAAATTAAACTTATCAAGAGTCGATGTAAAAAACTTAGCGTTATTAATACTTTTTATTCAGAGCCAAGAACTTTCTTCACCGTACCCGTCACGGGCCATGAGTAATATGCCTGGAATATATAACACTAACATGGTGCAAGGTGGTATTGGAATGCAAGCAAGTCAGTCAATACGCTCATCTGTACCAGGGTATGGTACGAACCAACACCAATCTGGTTATAATGTGTTCGCACCACCTCAACCCCCACTCCACCCTGGGGTGAGCTCAAATCAACCATTTAACATCAGTCACCCTGGTATGCAACACAAAGGTAAGGTTTTAGAATTTTTTTAACACATTTTTTATTAAAGTTGTTTGTGTTTATTTTATAAAGAGACACACTGGTACATTCAAAGAAATTGATCATAAATATTTGTTTGAGACCAGTATTGAAAATAAGTGTTTTGTTTATGTGTAGTTGATACAAATCACTTTTAATTTCGCTCAGAGCTCTGGTTTAAATCCTATGCTCAACACCTCATTCGGTGTACAGTAAATCTGGTTAGGTAATGTCAAACTGTGTTCTGGTTCTTAGACTCCTTACACTACTTCTAGCACTTAGATGCGTCCTTCATCGACTTGCAAGCAGAGTGGTCGACTGTCAAGAGTTGTCCTCAACGACTTGTACCAGGCCTTGTTTGGATTAAAAGGCACAATAGGCTGCGTCATTCATTGACTCACGAGCCGAGTGATAGACTGTTGCCCTCAATGACTTGCACCAGGCCTTGTTTGAATCAAAAGACGTGTAAAGCAATCGTTTAAAAAAATGAATATTATGAATTCGCTATCAGTTAGATTTTAAAATTAGGATGACTTCTACATTATTGTGGTCTTGTTATATTTAAAATTATATATTTTTGTTCTCAATATCTCTGTTACATATGATTACCGAATTACACTTCTTACTTTCAGGTAATAGTTCAATCAAGCGAGATTTAGCCAACTTTATTATAAATAAATCTGGACAGCAACAACAACGTTATCCACGACCAACAAATCCAATTCATACACAAAATGTGTACAATATGCATAATGCGCAACAATCGACAGAGAATTCAAGGATCGCTATCAGGTCTATGATAAGAGGGGTAAGCAAAAAAAAAAAATTTTTTTTTTAAATTTTCTCATAGAACAAAATATAACAAAATTTGCCTTTTTTTGCAGCGTACTAATATGACAGGAATGCAGAATGACATTGGCCAACAATTGTCGTATCGAGCGAGACAATCAACACAGATGGGTCCACCCATGTCGACATTACGTTCTATCAACAACCCAGCACAGCAGTCCCAAATTGGTGGATATGGAAATTATGTTAATACTCAAGGTGGCGGTATGAACCAAATGCATATGATGAGAGGAGCTCCAAGTAAGTGATAGGGTTAGAATAAAGTTCCTGATAAATAGATATGTTGGGATAGGATTTTTATATTTTTCTTAGGGGAGAGGAGAGCAGACATGATGGCTCATTTACAGCCTCTTGTCCGGTTACCATTCCATGTTGGGTATGGAAATAGTTTATCAGTTATTTGTTTAGATGCATGGACTTGATGGTGGACCAAGCTGTACCAACTTCTGACGACGAGGAGTACAGCAATCCTTTCGCACATAATTATTCTCCATAGGATTCGAACCTGCAAACTCCTTCAGGGTAATCAGAGGTGTGATTGCCAGCGTATTCCTAATATAAGACATATATTATTTATATGACAAGTATCACAGTTGGCAAAGAAAAAGCAAATAACCTTCTATTGAAAATTTAAATTAAACGACAGACTTGTTTTGTACTAAAAAGGCCGTTTCAGAAAAAAAGTATTGGAAAGAAATGTTTACTAAATGTTACTGGGTTCGTAACAGCCATCAAATAATAATTATAGTTTGGTTAATTTCGAAATAATCATACAGCTGAATGCCCAATATAGCCAATCACATCCCACACTTTTTAATTTTTATCACACTGAACATGATAACGATAGCAATAAGAAGTATATTTTTGGGAAGTGTTTTAATATTTCTCGATGCCCCTGCAATTACCTAATGAATCTATAGGCTCATGTCAAATTTGAAAGTGCCCATCTTTAATGCTCAAGCAAGTCAAGGTTCAGTCGAGTTATTTGTTACTTTCCGGGCTCGGTACAAGAACAGCTAGCTAACACAGGGGTGGGCGAAGTTTTTTTCAAGGGATAGTTCAGCCGTATCGAGAAAAGTACTTAATTTTTTCAAAATAGCTACTGTTAGTTAAAATTTATTATGTGAAATACCCGAAATTAGAGATTTTTTAAAAAAAATTTAAAAATTGAGTTAAAAACATCAATTGACACAAATTTTTTCACAAAGTTTAGAAAGAAATCTAAATATTTGTAGTTATAAGAAACTTTCTTCGAGAGCAGGAGGCCACACTAATTGCTTTGCCTGCAGGTCGTAGTTTGTCGATCTCTAAGCTAATCAATTTAATCACAATTATCAGGTTACAATTCTTATCAAGGAGGTGGTGGATCAACACAACAACAAGGTTACCATCAATCTATGCCAAATCAGTCCTATATCAACCAACAACAAAACACTGGAATGAATCAAGGCTATTCTATGAGTAACATGGGACAAATGCAAGGCGGTGGTGGCATGAACCAACAATCTAGCTATAATATGGGAGGTGGCATGCAGATACAAAACCAGTCTATGATGGGTGGCGGACAACAACCGCCTCAATATGGAGGCATGATGGCACAACAAGGACAAGGACGTACTATGAATCGGTGAGTTTATTCGTCGCCTCGTCGGAATTAATCACATGCTTCGGCAGATATGAAAATTCTGCCAAACATGTGAAAATTTCCACATCCGTTGGAGTTTTTAGCAAACCTCTTTATAACAAATGTAAAGCAAATGGTTATTTTCTCCAATGTGTTCATTTCGATCGAAAACCATAACTGAATAATTTGCTATTCCGAATACATTCTGATATAATATTTTTGATTGAATATTTTTTAAATTGGGTCATATACTGTTAACAAATGATTGTAAATTTCTAGCAACTGATAATGTTGAAGAGATGAACAATGTTTTGATCAATATTATTATTTTTAAATGTAAGAAGTAAAATTAAATTTTTTTTTGAGCAATAGATGTCAAGTATCCGACCGATATCATGGATTCTCTAATGAAAATATCTAAATTATTTCTTAATTTGAGAGTTTATGTCATCGAATATAGCCAGTTTATAACCGGAACATTCGCTTTGTTCTGAATGTCTGTGCGTACAAATGTGAGTTTTCGATTAAAAGATGTAAATTTTCAGTTATGAAAATTTTGGTCGCTCCCGTAGTAGGTACACCGTATTATGTATACCAGGTTAGGGTTGGGCCATAATTTTATTACAATTTTTCCTATTTTACTTTTATTACGAGTTTGGCGTCTAGCCGAATGACTCCTGTAGTAATTGTACCTGACATTTTGGCCTAACCCCAACCTGGTACACATGCTACGTTCCGGTGCCCGCCATCTTGGTGCACAAACTACGGGAGTACCAAATTTTGTCGAAAGAATGAAAATTTCAAGTTTTCCTATGGATTCTATATGTTAATTTGATGGACTTTTTTAGCATGTTTTTTATTTCAATGTATCTTAAATCTAAGAGATATGATTGGGGCATTTCAACTATAAAAAATACTCGATATCACAGATTTTCATGTAATATCCCAATTCTTCAATTAAATAAAAACCTCATTAAAATGATCTTATATTTATCTAAATGTCATCTTCCAAGAATTTCATCCAATATTTCTGTCACTCTTAGTCTCTTATTATTTAATGTTGTTGTTCAGTATAAATCAACACCAAATGAACGCAGGGAGTCAAGGCATGGGTGGAATGCAACAAATCCAAGGTATGGGTGGAGGACAAAATTCTATCAATCAATCAATGGGGAGACCAATGCAAATGGTGAATCAAGGTCTTAATTCAGAGGTAATCTATGTTGAACACAAAGAATAAGTTGAAGTTCCTAAACATAACGTCCCTACTCCATTCTCAAACCTTCGTGAACAGTGGCCTCCCGCCAAAAATTTTTAACACCGTCATCCCCCAAGAAAAAATGGTGTTGTTTTTAACTGTTTCTCATCAATTTTTTTTCACCATGTTCAATAACAAATTACTGTCGATTTGTAAATGTAATCATCGCAAAGGGTACCTAGTTAAATACTTTGCTTTGCTTGTGGCACCAGTCTGACAAACCCTGTTCTTTGCCTTGAAGTTGATGTATTAGGCTCGGTGGTGTGGCACATTGTGCTAAGCGTTAGGAATACGCTTGCCACTGCACCTCTGATTACTCTGTGTGGGTTCACTGGTTCGAATCCTGCATGGTAGAATTATGTACGAGGGTATTAATGGATGTTTTGCCGTCGTAGAGTAGTAAGCGCTGGTCGGATGCAGCTTCCTCCACCATCAAGTCCATGCATATGAAACAATAACTGGCTAACTAATCCCATATCCAACATGAACTGGAAACTGGAGAGGTTGTGGTTCGTCATATGCTATACAGAATGATAGCACAATGTATTTACGAATAGTCAATATTAATGTTTATCGCCATTTGAATCGTGTCTTCTGTATGTGGAAGGATAGGAGAAGTAGTAAGAAATCTCATGCATTAATTTAGTTATAAGAAAAAAAAATTCTTTCTTATAAGCTTACTATTTTTGTAAAAACATAATTAAATAAATGTTAACGCTTATTCATATTTTAGCATGTTCCACAACAACAAGAAACTGCCCAATTGGTAAAGATGCTGAGAGGTAAAAATACCAACAATAGGTGGTATGTATAACACCTGAAATACAGGGATCAAGCACCATACTGCTGTTAAAGTTGAGAGAGCATGAATAACAGTTTGAATGATGTGCGTTATGTTACAGAGATCTAGAGGGTGGTAGCCTGAGTGAGGCAGAGGTTCGATTTGAAAACGCAATGCATTCATAGCATGCCATGACGTTGCAATTTAATAATAGTACATGGAAGGTGTACTGCACAACTTTTTGTTTTTTTTTGCTAAGCTACTTTCAAAAAAATTGGAATAATAATCTAAGCTCGTATTTTTATCGAGTTGTCATCCTCCAATTCTCAATTCTCTTCCACCTCAAAACATTTTTACAGTGAAGTATATATCGTCGTTGCGGAATTATACTCACTCAATCAAAGTTCAATAAGAGGTTTATGCCCATTTGCTCATTGCACCAATTGTCAACAAAGTCTAAATAAGTTTCAGTCTTGTTTTCACAATCTCAATAACCGCGATTTCCAAGTTGATGATACTATTTTGTGAAAATTCATCCCGTTTTGAATAGTTAATATAGGACACCATATTTCTTTTCTCAGTTTATGTTATTGCCGCATTCATGCGATTAATTATTCCTAATTAAAATTTTCGACCGATTTTATCCAACTTAAATATGGATCATTCATAAATCGTAGTTACAAAGCGATTTTTTTATACAGTCCATGCTCTGTCTATAATTCTATTTCCGATTTCGATTGTTGCACTATAAATTCAAAGTTTATCGCCATGTTTTCGTTTGTTCGATTTTTTTCCAAAATTGAAATGATAATATGATATCGTTTTTTGTTTAGTGAACATACTTTTTCTTCCGATTATTGTTGGATTTTGATTTTTGTTCCAAACGTTTAGGGTTCAATAGTTGAAGAAAAAAAATGTAATAGATATTTATGAAATTCATTTAAAGTTGGGTCCTGGCAAAAATCGCATTTCAAAGTTCATGAAATTCAAGTTACTTTTTATGAAATTTCTTCTGCTGTGACAGTCCAATCAAAAGTTTCTATGTTCAAAACTAGTGTTCGTGAGGTACCTTTGACACACAACTCTATAATTTCCTTATGACATACTCAATTATGTTGGAAATACACAGTTCGGATTTTTTTAGCAATAAAGATAATTCTTAACACCTATTTGCTTCATGATTTGAGGTATTTCTTACTTTTTAAAGATTGGTCAATTTTATTCTATAAATACGCAAATCTTATCACAACTTTAAAAAAATGAGTTTAATAGTATTATATCAGTAATTCCAACTTGTGAAAATTTTTTGGTTTGGTGACAAAATTTTTCTGATGAAATAATAAGTATTTTAATACATCATTTTTTCATATAATTATTGAAGTTTTTTTAAATTTTGAAAAATTCAACTTCGGAATAAATGAACAAAAATGACATTCACAATACAAACTTCACGTGGAAGTACATATGAATTTAGTAAGATAAAGTTTTTATGTCAAGAGACTATGTTCCTATGATTTTTGTTGTCCAAAATTATATATTTTGGTATAAAAATGAATTTTACTTTCAAAATAAAAAGTTTAGTTTTAAAATTTGCATCCTAGTTTGGGAAATTTGGAATAAAATGATTTATTGAAGATACTGTATAAAATAATAGATATACATTGAAATAGAATAAAAGGTATAAAACACTTTGAATATAACGCATTTCGGAAATAATGCAGTATTTCATTGTGAATTGTTGTTACAATTAATAATCAAAGCATCCATTTTCAAACGCCTCACGTTTAAAAAATTCTGTACAAAATTTTGGATCTTCTAGTTGAAGTTTTGTTTGTAAGATATCCATACACTATTAAATTAAGTTTAATTTCAGCAAATCCTGATATGAAACAAATTCACTAAATAATGTTCGATAAGTCTCATTCTTGATTCATCCAAAAACACCGAAACTTTTTCTCATTGTACTATTACATTCAAGAGATACATATATTACAAGACCTACTTAACTAAAATGGCAATATTGTATCGAAGAAACAAGTAAACATACAGAACAACAATAAGCCCAGAAATTTATCTCAGTCACAACTCAAATAATAGGGCATCATAGCAATATTAGAGCATTTATTCTAGATGCATTGTATGTTTAAAGTATGAAATATGCGACGAATAGTGATTTTAATGCACACAATGCTAGATTTTTACTCTGCAAATTGTGTTTTTTGACAAATAAAATCTTTGAGAATTTTTTTATGAGTTTTGTAGCTGCGTAAAAACCCTTTCTACGGCGTATTCCATTTTGTTGGTAACAGATAAAATATGAAATACCAATCCATAAATGTCTGTTTTAAGCCCTAGTTTCTTCTTAATATATTGCTACGATGCTATCTTATCTTACTAAAATAAACTAAACTATTTTTTTGACTTTTTAATTATTATAGTTTTTTGTCCAATTTTTTTTCTCTCGCTTTTTTCTATATTTGCTACTATTTATTTGACCAATAAAAGTAAAAATCTCCCTCTTTGTCTTTTGTCAATGTATTTTTCAGCACAGTGCGACAATTTTTTATTCTTCTTATTGTTGTTGTTGATCTTCTATTATTTCTTACTATTCTATGAATATGTATTTGTGGTAGTTGTTCACAGAAAGCAATGGCTATTGATGTATTTACTATTATTACTATTATTATTATTGACTCACTTGTTTAAAAAAGCTATTTGGTAATTTTTTTCTTACAAAAATAAAAAAGACAATTATGGAGAATGATTGTCATGCTTTGAGTGAATTTGGCTTTGATCAGTGGTTCGCAACCGGTGGGAAATTTGGAGGTTGCAGGTGGGAAATTTTATGCTCCTCTAAAAATGTACGCACAACAACACAATTATTAAATATTACACAATGAAAATCACAACATATGCCATGAAGCGGAAAAAGATTCCCATTCAATTAATTAAAACTAGTAAAATATCACGTTGTTGGGCATGATATTCTGATCGTGCTACGCAACTCATTTTGATCTTTGGTTGGCCGATAACAACCTCACAGGCATGTCTCGAACGAGCACCAATGCTTTGAACGTTACGCAAGAAGATTTTCGTTGCAGGGACGCAAAAGAGAACAGTTTTTATTGTCTGTCTCAGAGGGTGACCGTACATTTGAACCCATGTACATTTGAACCCATGCGTATATCCACAGGTTCAATCTATATGCGGGTGCTAAAACCCATGGGTTAGGGTTAGTATGGGTTTAACTAACCGTGAAACAAAAAAAATTCCATAGGTGCAATAGCATACAGGTGCAATTGTCATGGGTTCAAATGTAATGGAACCGTCTCAGAGGTATTGGATAGGCACACGCTCTGATGAACAAATATTTGACCCGTCCCTCCATTCTGCTAAATTTTTAATAAAAGGTAATGGCTTATGCGGAATGAATGTTCTCACAGGGTTTCAACCTCTACACTAATTGCAAGCCTTTATTATAGAAAGTCATACCAATTATTATTGACAGGGAAATTATTCTTTTTAAATAAGTCCATATGTAATGGGAAATAACGACTCAGTCTAATCGGAAGTGGGAAATTGAGATAAAAAGGTTGGGAACCCCTGGCTTAGATCTTAGACTAGGATTTTCATATTTATCCTGGTGGAAAGGAAAGTTGAGATAACTCAACCATACGACGTACCACGGCCTTTCGCCCGGTTTCCAGACGGTGGTATGGGATTAGTTAACCAGTTAATGACGGAAGGATGAGTAATTGAACATCAGTTACCTGAACCCCACCTACGGCAGTGAGGTTGAACATGTTAAATAGGTGTATGTCAACATAGACACATAACCACAAAAGCGATAAACCGGATTTGTATAAAGACGCATTCATTTGACTTCGGTTCTCTCACATAAAGTTATGAACGTACAAGTACGTGCCCAGCCACCAAAAAATATAGATAAAACAATCACACAAAGGAGTAAGCGCGACTCGGAATCGAGCAATACTTTCAACACAATTTAAAATGAGCAAACACATACTTACCAAATATAAAAACGGGAAATGAACTTTTGTAAGACTATATTATTCGTTAAGGAGACATCGCTTGGGAGAAATATTTCCCAGATTAGAATGATTTTCGCTCTACTTTTATTAGCGCAATACTATATAATTCGAGAGTGAAAAATTTAATCAACTTGGGGTGTAGCAAATTTACTGCACAGCATTTTTCGAAAATTTCAGAACTATATATACTGTCGACCATTAGACACCCCTCTATATTATATGCGGTATATGGAACAACTATTATGTAGGATATTTTAACTATTTGGGTAAACTATGCAGAGAGACACTACGAAAATCAAGCAAGCAGTGCTTCAATGGCATGTTGGTCGTCTGTTTATCAATAGGCCAAGAATCGTAGTCTGGATCTCCTGTTTCAGTATTTAAATACTAAGTAATGATAGAGCAGTGAATATTAATGCCAAACTAATTAATTATTGTTAAACGAGACCTAAATTTCAGAACTATATATACTGTCGACCATTAGACACCCCTCTATATTATATGCGGTATATGGAACAACTATTATGTAGGATATTTTAACTATTTGGGTAAACTATGCAGAGAGACACTAAAAAAATCAAGCAAGCAGTGCTTCAATGGTATGTTGGTCGTCTGTTTATCAATAGGCCAAGAATCGTAGTCTGGATCTCCTGTTTCAGTATTTAAATACTAAGTAATGATAGAGCAGTGAATATTAATGCCAAACTAATTAATTATTGTTAAACGAGACCTGCAAATTGACGCAATTTATCTTCATCGGAAGAATAGTCCGTAAGTTCGGAAGGCTGATTGTTCAAGCCTTGCTTTTAGGAACAGTTGTTGGACACGAAATTTCCACATCGGTGGTCTTATAAATCATAGCTGTTGCTGTACGTCTTGTTATTGTTGGGACAACTTTTTGGCGCGTAAAATCGCTTTTCTTCATATCTTGTAGACAAATCAATTTTCAGTACTTGAAGATGGAAGAAATCGCCAGAAGGCTATTACTTTTTTTTTCAAATTTTTTAAAAGAATCGATACTTTCCTCAAAGCAAAGCGGCTGTTGTATGAGTAATCCCTCCTGATTGATGAACACTATTTCAAAACAATTCAGTGATTGAATTCAACATAGAATGATTTGATTCCGAATTGATTGCTGCTGTGACGGTGGGACCTGATTTGGACTGATAATCGGGCGACGGTGCATGGTACGTTATTTAATTGAGTCACTGAGAACTCTCCGTCTGAGTTTTTAATTCAAAATATTTAGCCTTTTAGCAATTCAAAAATGTCACGGAAATCGGAATCAAACCGTTGAATACGGCGCCCTATCACTTTATTATTTTCTAACTTTTTGATTGTTTAAACACTTTAAAGTAATATTCCACAGATCGCTTCAAATACGGATGTAATTTTGCAATTAAATAGGCGTAGATGTTATGAACATGTAATCGTTCACCGAGTATGAGCGAAAAATAAAAACCCTTAACATATGTACATATACATATAAACATACATTTATGTGGGTGTGAATCTATCTATTTAGAAGAAATATATGTTTACGAACAAACTATGTTTCTATCAACCTTGAACAAATATATGGGTATTTCACCAAGCATCAATTTCTTAGGTTACTTTCATACCATAAACTAATTGACTTAATAACAGTTGAGATTTCAGCATACGCTCGAACGGTGTATATATAGGTGAACGACTGAGTATGGCATTTATTTTTTACTGTGTCAGCAGTACACACGTGGAATGTTGTATACAGAATTTGCTTGTTACGGATCGAATTGTACGATAAAATATTAGACTAATGCTTAATTCTCAAGTTAACGTGAAATCAATTTTAGTCTATCAATGTGCGTGTAGAATCAAATACAACGTCGCCTCTTACATCACAAAATATGATGTGTACTTTGGTCAGAGAATACTGATATTAAATTCTATCAAACATGTATCTTTAATGCATATCTAATGTGGCTGTCGAACAGGCGTGAACGCAAATTGTAACGTCGCCAAATTCGTGTGTTAGAGTCGTCTGTTCTGAAAGTCATTTGTGGGAGATAGTCTGATAGTCACTAATAAAAAATAGTAAAGAGTGTCGATCTGAAATGCCTTCTGTGCCTGTAACAGGTTGATATTCACCAGGTTGCTCTCATCGAGTTTGAAGTATTTATTAGCAAATTAAAAGTTGAAACCATCCAAGATAATAAACAGTTTTGTTTAGAACTCAGCCGCGGCACAAAATGCAACACACGAGACAAACACACAGAACGACATTTTAGTAAGGTTGTCAAAACGTCAAATGATGTGGTATAAAATGCGACATGTCGGTGACTACTTACCAGGCCTACTATTCGACATTACGTGGTTGTTCTGTGAGGTAGTAAAAACGGGTAAAGAAAAATTCTAGTTTGTTCGAAGGATTGTTGACCTTGTCGCAGATAGTTTTAGAAGTTTTTCCTTCAATTTATATAACATTTAAATACTTCCTGACATTACGGGGTAACGTACGAGATAATTATTGTACCGTATCTAAGATTTTATGTGTAATAGGACAACGCAAATGCACTGATGCATTTGCATTTCACTATACAATTTCTGTATTACTATATAAAGCGGGTACTATTGAACTACTGTATTCCTATATACTACGGGTGATAGCCTATTAACCGAACAAGAAGGCATCTTTTCACTAGCAAAACTTGCGAACGCAATGCTTCACAAAATATAGTCCCACATTGTAAATTGTATACTGAGATAGCAGTGATGCTCAGAACTTATCAATCATAAACAGTAACATAGAGGTTTTAGTCGCAAAGGTTGCATTGGAAGGTTCCATTACATTCGAACCCATGTACATTCGAACTCAATGACAATTGCACCTGCATACTATTGCACCTATGAAATTGTTTCTTGTTTTACGGAGATTTGAACCCATACTAACCCTAACCCATGGGTTTTAGCACCCACATATAGATTGAACCCGCGGATATACGCATGGGTTCAAATGTACGGTCACCCATTGGAAGATTGTAGTGTGTTGCACAAGATTATAAATTGTAGGTACCTTCTGAATTATGATTTAAAATACGAAGTCATTTTAATGTTATGATTATTTCATGTTCAAAACTGAATAGAAGGTACTCAGTGGGCTACAAGTAATATTATATTGAACCCTATAGTCAAATCCGATGATTTTTTCGCGATACATTAGCAATATTTGAATACTACAAAAAGGAGACATTAATATAAACAAATGCACGAAAAAGGGTGCTCCCATAGTATGTGTACCAGGTAAGGGTTAGGCCATAATTTTATTCTGACTTTCCTCATTTTAGTTCTATTACGAGTTCAGTGATTCGGTGCGTATTCAGTGATGCGTTCGTAAATTATTATACAATTTGTGTATTACTATATAAAGTGAAATGTGACAGCACATTTGAACCCACGTACATTTGAACCCATACATTTGCAACCGTATATCCGCGGGTTAAATCTATATGCGGATGCTAAAATCCATGGGTTAGGGTTAGTATGGGTTCAAATACCCGTAGGTGCAAATTTCCATAGGTGCAATAGAATGAAGGTGCAATTGTCGTGGGTTCAAATGTACATGAAATCATAGGTACATTCTGAATTATGATTTAAAAGTTGAAGTCATTTTATTGTTATGATCAAAGCTATATACAAGTGGTCACATTACTGTAAGAGCTTCGGGGTTCTGAGAGACCTGTACCTGATTTGAACGGGCTCTACCGCATTTAATTACACTCTGATAAAGCTGACGGGCTTGAACGTACGGGCCAACGCGCTGATAATTCTGATACATATATATGTCTACAGATTCGTCTTCATATGAGTAAGCATTTATTCTGTTTGACGACATTGTATATTCCTAACTTGGTATTGCAATATCGCATTAGCCAAATTCACATTCTTCGCGATTTTCTTTCTCAGCTGATTTGCTGAAAAACTAGTTCATGTTCAAAACTGTCAAAAAAGCACCCATGGACGAAAAGACTATTTGTTGTGTTTTGTGAATAATTGTGCATTGCTTGTCATGTATATTCGAGCCAGGAAGTACTCAGTACAGGTAATACAATATTAAATTTATAGTCAAATCCGATGCAAAATCATTTACTGTTTTCGCGATACAATAGCAATATTTGAATACTACCAAAAGGAGATATTAAAATAAACAAATGCGCGAAAATGAAACTAACGTCAAATTCTGAAAATTTTCTATTTGCAATGTAGGCATTTTATATTGTATGGCAGAACACGAAGCGACTGCTTCTAATCGGGTATTGCCAACGCGTCTGGAATAGTTTACTTTTTCTCGATACAGCCATTTGTATTGAAGATACTGTTTCCGTGAAACGCAGGAAGTTCTTTATTATAATAAAGATTAGATTTCACAGTCTGAAGCAGTGAACGTGGTTGAACTAGTAAACTATAAGTTGAACAGCAGGTAACAACATTGAGAGGGGTTTCTTGGCTTCACTTCTATTCCGCGTTTCTAATATAATATTGCTTCTGTAGTTGTGCTTCGTGTTTGTTACAAGATTAATACTCCTAATTACTCAAGAAATGTGCAGTAATTAGACATCAAGTGGCTATTTTAAAATTTTGATACAGTGTCAAGGGGAGCAAATTAAAAACAGAAATGTTTGAATAATAAATATTTGAGCAATATTAGATAAGTTAGAATTACTCCATGATACGGGTACTAGTAAGTTACCATACCTGTTTCACAGTTCCAGCTTCGTTCAGGATATGATTTTTGGGGTAATTGTGGCTAATGAAAATCGTTTTGGCCGTTGTAACCGTATATTTAAGCATTGCTCTCCTGGATTATAATGGAAGGCCGAAGGAACAATTTTCATGTGAGCCCACAACGTCCTGTCATTTGGAAATGCGACAATCAGAATAGACTGAATAGTTAATAAGATATTTGCATCAAATAGATAAACTTTTTTATGGATATAACTCGCCATATACTGTTTGCTAAATTGCGTGTGAAAAGGAAGTTATTATCTACTTTTGTACGAGACAGTATAATTTTATGAATAATTTACCGATTCCATAGCATGACTAGCTTCACAGCCAGATTTTATTACACACCTGATTTTTAAATAGCAAACATGTTATTCTTTCACGGGGAAAATGTTTTATTAAAGTTATGCTATGCTTTCATTAAAAATATCTCTGATAGTATAAACGTATTACTAACGAAAGTTTTATTCCCTCAGTCCTGTTTTAGCGCCGGGGGTGTCACTAGAAACGTGAAGCAATTTTATGCAATATAAGTTGCAGAAGATTTTATATTGCGGAAGTGCTTCAGGAACCTTTTGAGCGATAACTGCCTATAATTTATAACAATGGTTCCACCCGTGAAATGTATTTTTTGAAAATGTGTTTTGAAATATAACATGTTTTATAATATATTTATGGAAGACACTTATTTACGCTTTCCCTTGATATACTTTCATTTTGCACGAATATCATCTATTTTTGAAGGGGACCAAATTCAGCGAGAATCGAGGGCAGAGGATAAAGAGTAACATTTATGAATCTTATGGTGTTACTTTGGCTTTTCAAAGCTGTATATAACTTGTTACAATATGTTTTACGTTTGAAACTAGCCATCAAAGATTACTACAGTCCTTGTTTTACATATTCTATTTCGACAACTTGTGGAATAGATGGTCACACTCCGTGAAATACGATGATCGACGGAATATTTTGGACTCAATATCTTTAAACCTTAACCTCAGTTGCCTTAGTGTAGTAGGAAGCACAGCAATATAATCACTGAACTGGAAAACACAATCACTGAACTGGAAATGTGTATAGCTCTGTGGATGCGATACCAGCGAGTAGTGAATATGCGAGGGCGGGAAGTCCAAGATGATGTGGTAGAATGTAGATAATCAGTCGCGTTCTTGAGACGGAAGTGCTGATCATCAACAGCGCAATATGTAAACATATACTACTTATGAATGCACAGGCCAATACTCAATATATGATATTTGTTTAGACTTTGCTATCGTGAAGCCAATTTAAAGACGACGAAGGTAGAAAGAATATGATCGATGTGAAATTTATAATTTCCAAATATTGGCCCTTTTTTAATTACAGTATGCATATTCTCCTATATCGCATTCCTGTTCCAGCACATATCCTTTTGTCGCATGGGAAATAAATGAGCGCTTCCTCTGCGTCAGTCCTCATTAATGACTAATTGTCGTTGTCCTGTTTTGGGGGATGCATCCATTCTACTAAAAATCATCCTGCTAGATCAGCAATGTAATCATTTCTCTGCTTTACAGGGTAGTATAATCAATAAAATATGAGGTTTTCAGCGGTGGAAAAACGACTTTTTTGCACTACGGTATTATTGCTTGCCCTGGTACTGGCCGGCATTCATCTGTTGTCAGACTCCAACGTGTCTGAGGATAGGAGTGGAAACATTATTCGAGTGTTGCCAGAAATGAACATGGAACTAGATCAGGAGAGTACACTTGAAAAACTTCAATTAAATTCAAAATTGAGGACAACAGAAAAAATTCGACGGGAAGTAAAACCAACACAAGTTAACAACAGGAGAAACATTTCTAATTCACACAATAAGGATTTTATTGTTGTTGGAATTCCTACGATAGAAAGACCAAAGGGTACGAACTACTTGGAGCAAACATTAGACTCTTTGTTGACAAATAGGGTAAACTTTGATAGAGTCATTTTTGTGGTATACATTGGAGATACTGACAAGAATCGAGTAGAGAAAGTCAAAGAGTCTATCTTGGAAAAACACTCGAAAGAAGTTGAAAAAGGATTGATTCATGTATGTATATCCAACATTATGTATTTTAGAAGTTTGTCTGAAAACTTTCCTTTTTGATAATTAACAAAAAAGTCAAACCAACTAAAATTAATTATGGTTTCAGTGAATTTTGATTTTTTAGGCGTTCAAGAATAATTATGTGAAAAACAACTTATAATGAAAATCAATAATTCCGACTAGGAGGATAATTTTTTCTGGCAGAAAGTTCGCTCTGCTCTGCAAATTTGTCTTTCCGATCGCTAGTCAATAGATAGAAAAGAACGTTATCAAAACATCATTTAGTTCTAAATGACCAATATCTTCTTCAGCTTCAATGCACAACTGGAAAGATTGTTTCAGCAAAGCAATGTACGCAATTTTACAAAAAGAAACCTATACACAACATTCGATTGGGCCTTGAGGTGGCCAATCTGTTACTGTTGGTAGATAGGTATTGTTAGTTAATGGATCCCTTCTCTCCAAAAAGGCCCTGAAAAGGGATAAGCGATGCGTATAGAGTATATGTGATTACAAGCGCTGATATTTCTAGTCAACTCAATCGGCAAGCGATAGCTAAGGAAATGAATGAAGATTGTCTAACAGACTAATCCAGACGATAACCGCCAAACCACGATTTTGCATAATTTTATATTTATAGATCAAATTAGTATGTTAAATCTTACAGTGATTGGGTGATATTAAAGAAACGAATATACCGGATTAAAGAAACGTATTAATATTTGCGGTGGATGAATGATGATCAAGTGCATTGTTCAAGAGCAGCACAATCAAACGAGACTGTCACCTAACAAAATTTCATTGAATTCTGCTACTTTGATAAGAGTGGCATCCACAGGATTTCCTTTACGTTCATCGCGCAAATGTATTGTCTTTATATGCGGTTGTGTGTATGAAATTCGCTTAAGTTGTTTGCTTATTGTGAAGAATATGTTTTCATAAGCTTCCGCGTTTTTTTTGAATGGCTTGTATTCTGATAGTTTTTATCAAGGACAAAAACAAATTATGTAGAAAGTCGAAACACTGTATAATTAATTTTCAATTCATTTTAACGGGGTTGGTTGGTTATCCTACCCCAGACGAAAATGAGATCAATGGGCAAATGGGGCAGTTTATGCGGAATCAAGAATATCACATTTCTTTTTTGACAAATTTTACCTTATTTATTTCGAGTCCAATCATAGTGTTTTTATAGAAATTTTTTTATTTACCACAGATCATACATCCGGCAGCAGATATTTATCCAGATTGGGAAAAGGACATGAAAATTACTTTAGGCGATCCTCGCCGTCAGGTAACAGACGAATTCGATAGGCATGTACTGTTTCTTTAGTGTGTGAAATGAGCATAAAAGCTCATTAAAACCACAAAGCAATTCAAATAAATTTAATTGCTGTTATAAACTGTTCGTTTTGTTCTTGCTCGACATTCTTGTCTTCGACCAAATAACATATTTTATCGCGACTAAATAAAAGAATGATGTCTCGTGCTTTATGTTTATCCTTTATTGTTTGCCATGAATATCCGGGAAACGCTTTTTATGGTACTTACCTAAGAGACGCCACCGGGGGTATCTTCTTTTAATTTATTCTCTGTTTTAAAACACATTTTTCAGGATAATATTACAAATGGCTATTTCAGACTACGGATTACTCAGCAAAAAATTAGGACTATCTTGTTTAATTAAATACATTCTTTTTTCGCTATGACAGGTCAAATGGAGATCAAAACAAAACTTGGATCAGGCGTATTTAATGAATTATGCGTATAATCTGCAACCCAAGTATTATCTAAGTCTTGAAGATGATGTTTTAGCGGTTGAAAATTATTTAGAGACAATTTACAAGGTATGTTGCTATAATTAAATAAGACCTTTTTCCTACAATAGATCAAATATATTATTTTCGAAAGGTTCAGAAATTTAGGTTATATGTAAGTTTATTCAGGTAAAATAAATTCATAATACATAAGTTGAAACCATGTATTATTTGTCTAGAAAGCCTATTAATTTTATGTGTTATTCTCTCCGTTTGATAAGAAAATGAGTCTTGTTTGTCTCCCGTATTACGAGTTACGACCAGATTGGCATTTTTTATTCACTTGCTACAATAAATCAAGCGCGCACCAGAATAATTTCATCCTAGCAAACTAATATCATACAAGAATGGATATGTATAGTGAACGTCGGTTCACAGACATTGTGGGCATTTTATTGGCAAAAATCAGAGCTATTGAATTTTTGATTTTGCCAAAAAGTTCCTAATTCTACGATTCACTCAAAATAATACCATAGTGGGTATTTATTAATTATGGGAATTTTTGAAAAAATTATGGCATATAACAAATTCAAGCGAAAATTTTGAAATGACCAATTTAAAGTTTGCTCTTTTAGAATGATTCCGATTATTTTATAACATTTAAGTAAAATATAAATTTAATAAAAACAACTTTGTAATATATATACTGCAATTTTGTGGTGTAAAATGCGACAGAATTACCCTGCAATTGTCATTTCTTTGTTTTAACAGTATGCAGAATCAGAAATGAAGGATGATATTATAATTATATCCTATTGTAAATGGGGAGCAATAGGAAAATTATTTTCTGCCAAGTTTTTGCCGACATTAGTTCAATATCTAAGAACATTTTGGAATTACAAACCATTAGATTGGTTATTTTCTGATTTACTTCATATTCTTGCATGTCGATATCCACCAACAAATTGCGAAAAGGATATTAATTCGAAAAAACTAGATTATCCTAAAGAGTTATTCGAACATAAAGGAATGTGAGTAATAGTTTTTTGTTTTAGTGCGTATACAAAACAGTATGTGAAGTCAGGGCTACTCAAATATACTCATGCACTTCCATGTTGTAGCGTTTAATCTCCAAATTTTTTTTTTCATACTGGACGAACTAATATGACGCTCATGTTCAACAAGGCTAATAAGTATGAAGCTACTGCGCTTTTTGAAATTACCAGCACCTTTCAGGTTCTACATATTCGCATAACTTACCAAAATTATTACTCCTGGAATGGGGTGGTACTAGACTTGCACGTAATTGACAAAAATCAATTCCGTAACTACGGCCAAATCGATTACGTGACCCCGTAATTGCGATATTTTTTCACACATTTAAACCTATCATAAAAACCTATTGAATCCACTTCTTTTCCGAATGGGACATTGAAGTTTGGTTTTCATAATCCTGGCAGTATTACACGCCGGCGACAGATGTTAAAGACAACTATCAGGGAGTGAATTCAAATTAATTTTACTCTGATTTTTATCTTTAGTGTTAGCTTTGATTTTCCTTTGTCACCTACGCAAATTAACCGTCCCAATTGTATGCGATCAATTTTATCATTACCGACACTGGTATACGGATATTTATGAAACGATAGTTGACTTTTTTTAAATGGAAGTTTGTATTAAATAAAAGTTTCGGGATTCCAATTTATTAATCAACGACGAGCGTATTCTCGCGTTTGATTATACTTGCGCTTGCCTCGAGACGAAGACTTGTTATTGCACCGTTTTTTACATTATTCGACTTTACTACCTAGTTAGCATTTTATAATAATTATTGATGTCGACTTATTGACGATATCCATTATATGAAGGATTACCATCCTTCATTTGACATTGAATCATTTCGCGGCCTAAATGCATAATTTAAATGCCGTACTTTAGGTACTTATATGACATTCCTTCTCCGAAAATACAAAGTTATATCGCAAAACAATGCATTTTGTGACATTTATTTTGCACTCACGAAAAAAGTAACTTATTTTTCTAACCAAAGTCGACGATCCTATCAGCCAAGATTCACACAAGTTTGGTCGAGTGCCTGTGGTATTCGAGTCGACGATAAAATAAAAAAAAGGTTGCCGCGTTTGGTAAAGACAGTTGGCCAAAATTTTGCGAGGCATTGTGAAAAACATATTGAGCAAGGCCAGGTCCGGACATATAACGATATAACCAGTGTAACAGAAAGATTTCGTAATAGAAAATGGATCACGCACAGAATAAACACACTTGCTCATACTTGGTTATATTTGATAGTAGTTAAATTGTCAATATTGAACTGCTAAAGACAAAAAGATGAACGTGAAATTCTTAAATCTCGTTCTCTTGGTGAAATGTAATTTCCAATTAAATACTTTACAAAGATAGCTATACATTTAGGCTACAATTTAGCTTTTTTTTAATTTTAACCATGCATTGTGGAGGGGAATTTCCACTATTGAAATACGTGAAACTATAAAAATAAAATAGGATTCTAGATTCGATTTATATAAGTATTCTAGAACGATGGTTCCTAACCACCGGTCCGCGGAATTTTCACCGGTCCGCGGGAAAACTCGGCGATTTGTTGTTTCTCTGCCGTCTTAATCGCTTTACCGATGCCAAAAAGACGAAGTTGCGTTGGTGCAGTACGCAATTTCTTTCCCTTCGTCATATTGCTGTTTGATAAGCGCGACATTAATTATCACGGCGTCGTCTTGGCAAGAAAGAAAAAACGGCTGCGAATACCGAAACTCTAACTTCTTCTACTTATTTCATTTTTTACAATCAATGGAATTGACTGCTTTGAAAAGAGCTTGTTTCATCACGAAAGCGCTCGACCAATAATTACGACTTTACGTAAATCGTAACTTCCCATCCGTAACTCGAAATAATTACGTAATTCCGTAAATCCGTAAATTACGTACAAGCCTAGGTGGTACATAAACTTTAACTGCGTGGCAGCTTTCGTTCCGAACCTTTGAGTTGACTCACAGAAGGACAACTGCGCCAACTTGTGGATTGTGCCTTTTAAAAAACATCTTCCATACTAATATGGCTCTAAGATTTGAACCCTGATTTGATAACAAGTCAATCATACTGCTATTATCGCCATAAATTTGAGCCATATCTATAAATTTGAAGTTTTTAGTTTATTATTACGCACAGCAAGTTGTATTATGTATTAACATCTTATCAAGTCACTTGTGAAATCCATTTTCAAGATGGAGTTCTTTATTGACTTAAGCTTTAAAAAGATAAGACAAATACTTTTTTTCTAGGGTGTCGTCTCTCGTGAAAAACACAACTTGAACAACGCAAGTACCGACATCACAAAGCAATGATCATTGCACGTATAATATGAATACCGAAGATATCAGCCAAAATTTTCCGCTAAACCACTACGTTACAATAAAACAGTTCATCGTTCAGTAAAACAGTTCATCAGTAATGGCGGTGAAGCGCTGAATAGTGAGTGAGGACGATTATTGGACACGAAAACAGTTATTTTTATGTATTTCAAAAATTTTTGTTGTCTTCATGGGATTTGTTTTTCACGTCGAAGTTTTGTATGATGACTCCACCAAAATTAAAAATTGCGCACTGTGTCGTGGTCCCGTCATCACATCTCAGTGATTTGAAGGTAAGGCCACAATGGACTAGGACTACCGGAACTGTAAGAGATTTGATACTACTTTGTTTTGGCTTTCGCGTCCGCATATTTGAGCATATCGCTCTCTTGTTTATTTATATATTCATATTCTTATCTGAAACTTTCAATGAAAATATTGGATCCGGCTTCAAAATTGAAAATCCCGGTTTAAACTTACATTTCTGGAAACACATACCCTCTTTTGCGTTAGTAGTCTTAACGCACAGTTTGACAACTTTTTTTTTATCTATTTTTGTGCTATTTTTATCTTTCAAATCAGTAAATAAAATAAACTCTCTCTCTACGGAGTAGAATTAGACGTAACCGCAGTCGGAAATCCGTACGTTGAGAGCTAATCAGCGAGAGATGTAGAGAAGGCGACCCCACCAGGAAAAGGTGAATAGGAGGTATCTCTGGACATGGGAACTGTAATAGAGAGAGAAGACGGTTAAAGGAGGTAGCCGCGCCATGCAGGTAGTAAGCAGTTCTAAAATGAGACATTCATTCTGCGTTGAGGCGGTCATTAATATGAGAAGAGCAAGATCCGGCGAGACTACGCTACCTACTTATACCCAGAGACAGCCCAAAGATTTATATGGAGAGGTAAAAAATGCTAGCCAGACAATTTTTTCTGATTATCGAACATATTCGTTTAACCAATCATCCCGATAAGAAATTTTGCGTCACTTGCACAATACACATTTATTTACATAAATATACACGGCGGTGTATGTTTTCGGAAAACTCCCAACTGCATTTTTCCTTGAAATCGTGAATAGTCTGTCTGATATTAACATCATGAAATTTCGCAATTATAAAGGCATATTCAAATTTGGTAAGAAATTGCCTCACTCGCACATTGCAAAATACACATTTATTTTTGATTCTATAATTTAGATCAGTGTTTCTCAAACCGTGTGCTGCGGCACACTATTGTGCCGTGAGAGATGAGCAAGGGTGCCGTGAAGCTTTTTGGAAATTTAAAAAACGAGCTGTTCGTATTGCACATAGGCATACATGCAGCTGGCAAGCTTGTGAGACTTGAGTATCCATATTTAATTGCACTGATAATATTATATATAGCATTTACCTTGTCTTACCTTGTCGTTGCAGTAAGGAAGATTGTTTCGGCATAAATGTATTGTGATGTCATAATGTTTTTGTAAACATGACGTCCACCTTCCACCGTGTCGACCTATCACGTTCAGTTAGGTAACAGGAAAGCAGGTTTGAACAAGTTTTGGCTATCTGCTTACAAATTATGTTTATTCATCGGTGCAAAGGCCATCAAAATATTCTAGCCATTCGCATCCCCATGACTCTGTTAACACGTATTTTATGTTCTGACTGAAATTAAAAGCAAAAACGGGAGAGACGGAACCTCGTTTATATTGTTTCTCAAAACAGGCCCACACATCGCATTAGCATGTCCAGCTTTATTTTTTCACGAGTGTGCCGCAAGATTTTTATTTATTTGCTTAGTGCGCCACGAGCAAAAAAAGTTTGAGAACCACTGATTTAGATAGACACGGCGTTTTATTTCACCAATGCGCGGAAAAACGATCAACGACATTTCGCGTTAAAATCGTGGTCCCAGATATCGACTGACTATTTTTAATTCTGCAAAAAAAATATTTTTGTGTATTTTTCTAATTGATTAGTCTATGTGTGTTCTTGTTCGAATTCTTCTGATTCCCAAACTTAAATTTTGGTACTCCCGGAGTATGTGAACCAAGATGTCGGACACCGGAACGTAGTATGTGTAGTGTACCAGGTTAGGGTTAGGTCATAATTTCGGGTACAAATACTACGGGAGTCACTTGGCTAGTCCCCGAACTCGTAATAGGGACCTCCTGAAGTATCAAGATGGCGCACAACCTGAACTTAGGTTGCGGACCAGGTTAGGGTTCAGGGGTGCGCATACTTTGGGAGTATCCGTAATAGAACTAAAATAAGGACCATGGACTTTTCCCCGAGCATCGACTTCCTTGTTTACGTCGTGACATTGGCCAATCAGCAAGACGCAAAAGTGACGTAACAATTTCCCCTTTTCGCTTCCGCTCAGGCACTTTTCCACTCAGACAGATTTTCAAGCGTGATCGTAAACATTACCTTATTTTCGCGTTTTTGAACTCTATTCGTTAGTTTTCTGTTGTGTTTCGGAAACTTAAATTTAAATCAGATAATTCAATAATCACTCTGTCTTCCTAGGAGTTTTAATTTAATTGCAGTAATAAAAAAATTAGTTTAGAAATAGCTGTGATAGACTAGGCTAAAATTATTTACCGGTCCTTTTAAAAAACATATTGTTGTATGCGATAAATCATAATGATGGTTTGAAACACATACCCCATTTCACAGGCGCCGACTCGCTAAAGGGCTATCGGGGTATGGATGTTTCCCCGAGCATAAAATTATGTGTTTATTCACGTAACAATTATAAATCAGCAATAAGTTAACAATGACATAAAAAATGGAATTTATGTCGCCGCGCAGACACTTTTTTCGCCCCGACAGATATTCAAGCGTGGTTGTAAACCGTGCCTTCTTTTTGGTAGTTCTAAGTGATATCCGTCAGTTTTTAGTTGTGTTTCCAAAAAAAAAAAAAAACGTTTTAAATCAAATAATTTAATTGTCATTAAGTCTTCTGAAGACCTTTAGTTTAGTTACAATAATCCAAAACTGATAACGCAAACGATGCGAGAGACTAGCATAAAATTAGCTATTAGTACTAATACGGGGCACGTGGTTTATTATTTGAATGAAAATGATAGTTTTGAACATGTGAACCAGCGCCAACCAAATGGCGCCAACTCGCTAAAACACTTTCAAAATCAACGTTGAAAATTTTGATGTGATAACATAAGTATAAGGAGAATCTTTCAGGGTCAAGGGTCAGGAAAACTTATATGGATGCCATTGCCATTGTTGTGTATGACGCCACCATATACATTTGACGCCATAGTATGAATCTACCATTTACGTTCCGCATAGTTCTGTTTTCCTTGAAACCGCTCAGGATTAATTTGGAAAAAAAGACACAACGCAGGTTGACCATAGTAAAAAATATTTTCTATCACATTAATGCGGTAATGAAAAGAAGTTGCAGGTTCGTTTATGTACTAAGAATAGGAAATGCTGAACCATTGCCAGTTTGCCACCAAATTAGGAAATTAGCTACCGGTACCGGTACGTTCTGAGGTTACGGTACTACCGTAGTCATTCGTTTAGTTACTTAGAATTTTCAATGATTTTCTCTTGGTACCGGTACTTATGATATCAATGTTATAATTGGGTCCAGGATAAAATTAATAAAACCTTAAATCTGTAAATTCAATTCAAAAAGTTGTAAAATGACCTAACAAAACAAATTTACTGGTATTCAGGTATTATATTACCGGATAGCCTAATTAGCCTACTTATTATTATGAATACCGGTACAGTCTTCGATAATGAGCCATCGATACCTACGTCTGTACCGGTATGGTACCAGTACGGTACCTCTGTACTGCTGTACCTGGCCTTTATTTCGACTTTCGTCTACCGGGCTTAGTCCGGTCTGAAAATTTTTTAAAACTGTATAGAAAAATAAGTTTAGATGAAACTTGAAACTGAATCAAATATTAGGGTCAGGTATAGTTTAGTACCACATGCACTTCTAGTTGGCATGGCTCAACAATTTTTGCATATGCCAATCCTAACCCCCACCTGACTACGTCACCGAAAAATTACGTCATTTCGACGTCACATTGGCGTAATAAGGCCCACCAAAGTATGCGGATGATCGTCCAAAACGCGCAGATGATCGCCCGAAATCGAGCAAGCTATTTCTCTCGTTTTCCAGTCATAATGATCACGATAGGAGAGAGATTGCCGGCGTTAGCGACTCCTAGCGAGTTCGTTATCGGCGGTGCAGATGCCATTTTGGGCGATCGTAATTATACCTTGGCAAGCCCTACGACATGTTTGTGACGTCGTATTGACGTAATTTTTAGATGGTATAGTCAGGGGGAGGCGGACAACTCGACTACACGGACAACTCACCAGAGACAACTCGACTACCTGGAGACCTGGTGAGTTGTCCGTCTTTTCGCATTTTCTACGGTGGTGTTTTAGGTCTATAGAAATGCGTTTTTGATATTTTTAGTGCTCAAATGTTGAGAAAAATACATAAATATTCTCTAGAAAGCATTTTTATTTGTATAAGTGGCTTATTTTAATCATGTTGTATGAATATAAATACAGTCTACAGACGAAATTGAAGTAACGTTAGCGAAGTTAGACTGTTGACTTATAGGACTGTGTTCGTTTAATTTTATGAACTTTATTGGTATTAAATGTTTTGAATGAGCACATTTGAATATATTAAAACCTTTATACTTCACAGTAACACTTAAATATTTATGAATGTGAGCTCAGTAGTCTAAACTCGCCTACGGCAGTCGCCCGTCAACTCACCAGTCGAGCAAACGCTCTGCGACGTGACGTCATCGATGCTCGAGGTAAAGACAACTCGACTACCGAGCAACGAGAGTCAGACAACTCACTAGTCGAGCAATCGCTCTGCGATATAGATGCTCGAGGTAAAGACAACTCGACTACCGAGCAACCTCACTAGTCGAGCAATCGCTCTGCGATATCGATGCTCGAGGAGAAGACATTGCTTTGCAAAACGCAGACTCAATAGTTGCATAGCATTTACTTAGTGCCGACTGATATTAGTTGTAAGCCAACTTACCACGGCAAGGTTTCAGTCATAGAGTTGAAAATTCTTTTTGCAGAAGAAAACCAGGAAACAGATAGGCACTGTCGCTGCGCCTGGCAGAGAAACTGGGCCGAAGAATGGATAAAAGATGTTTACTTTTTGTTACGATTAATGAATTTATTATGATATTTAAATACTAAACGTTATGGGGAAATTTAATGGATGGAAGGTTTTGTTTTCTTTTTCGTTACGAATATTTAATTTTATTTGAATACTGAACGTTATGGGAAATTTGCTGCGTTACATACTTACTCTTTGCAATACTGCGGCCCGTAGATCCTTGAACACCTCCGAAGAAGAGAGTCCACAGATAACTCTCCTTCCTTAAACTGTTCCCAAACATGTTGCACCCTCTCGTTGGCTTCCGCATGCCTGCCGTTGACACACCCCACAACATTCTCTTCCAAAATATCCACAACGTCCGCCTATATCCCTATACTTACCTCGTACATTGTTGAGAATATTCGGCGAAGTTCTTGAGATCTTGAGTATGCATCTTTTCATTCAGTGATTTGAACCTGGGCGTGATAAACATAGGAGGTATATAGCACAGCGCCATGGCATGCTTAATCAGGTCTCTTGTTCCAGCGTCCCTAAAACAAAAATAAAACATGTTGAAACAAAAAAAAAACTGTGATGGAAACGACCTCGGCTAATGAGTATTTACGTTTGTAAGGTGTCAGGCCGGCGATAATGAGGCTGTAAACTCGGCGATAACCGAGCAGTAATCTCGGCGCGCGGCATCATCATCACCGATCTGGCACCTTATCTAATCTCATATCACCAATCTGGCACTGATATCCATGCACATTCCGGCGCAGGAAAATTGACTACGTCCACATCTTCAATGTAATTAACAACCTACTCACCCTTTAGTTTTCCGGTGCACGTGTGAAGAGATTCGTACTGGACTTCGAAGCCGCAACATGGCAAGCACTTTCTTCAGTATGGCCGGACGTCGAAAAGCAAGGATGCTCTTTCCACTTCACTCAGGCCATCATGAAGAATGTGCGCCCCAATAATTACAACTAATATCAGTCGGCACTAAGTAAATGCTATGCAACTATTGAGTCTGCGTTTTGCAAAGCAATGTCTTCTCCTCGAGCATCGATATCGCAGAGCGATTGCTCGACTAGTGAGGTTGCTCGGTAGTCGAGTTGTCTTTACCTCGAGCATCTATATCGCAGAGCGATTGCTCGACTAGTGAGTTGTCTGACTCTCGTTGCTCGGTAGTCGAGTTGTCTTTACCTCGAGCATCGATGACGTCACGTCGCAGAGCGTTTGCTCGACGGTGAGTTGACGGCGACTGCCGTAGGCGAGTTTAGACTACTGCAACCACAGACTACTGAGCTCACATTCATAAATATTTAAGTGTTACTGTGAAGTATAAAGGTTTTAATATATTCAAATGTGCTCATTCAAAACATTTAATACCAATAAAGTTCATAAAATTAAACGAACACAGTCCTATAGGTCAACAGTCTAACTTCGCTAACGTTACTCCAATTTCGTCTGTAGACTGTATTTGTATTCATACAACATGATTAAAATAAGTCACTTATACAAATAAAAATGCTTTCTAGAGAATATTTATGTATTTTTCTCAACATTTGAGCACTAAAAATATTAAAAACGCATTTCTATAGACCTAAAACACCACCGTAGAAAATGCGAAAAGACGGACAACTCACCAGGTCTCCAGGTAGTCGAGTTGTCTCTGGTGAGTTGTCCGTGTAGTCGAGTTGTCCGTCAGCCTAGTCAGGTGGGGGTTAGGAATAACATATGCAAAATTCATTTTGATACGCCAACTGGAAGTACTTGTGGTACTAAACTATACTAGACCCAAATATTATATAGATATATAGATCTATAGCCACTTGTACACTCGAGTTTTCGATGTTGAAAAATCATTCCCCCTTTGCTGTATTTGTTTAATAACTGCACTTGGTTAGTCTACGTAGGTTTGATACTTAAATCAAACTTAAGTTATAAACCGGAAGCATCAATGCTATGAATGCTCTCTATCACTTATTGTTTGTCCAGTTGAAATTTAAGGTTGTCAGGTTGTTGATATATGTATGAATACCAAGATTCACACATCCATTCAACATTCGTTGTGATTCATCTACCTAATTTCCTTAGACTTACAATTATATTTCAACCACTTCAACTTTTTTCATAACAATCAGATTTATAGCCTAATCATTAATTCAGTCAAAAGATTAATTTAATCAAGCCAATAGAAAAACTAATAAATTTCAAATTTATAAAATGATGTTCGTGATAGTATATCATAATATAGACATTTTTAATTGGCAATAATTTCGGTTTTTGATTCAACTAAAGATTTTTTTTCATCCCTGATTAAATATCTGTTGATTTGTGTGTAACTATTTCTGAATACCCATCAAATTTTAGCTGATTATGTCTAATCATGGCTTGCGGAAATATCTGGGAATAACACTAATTTTCAAGCATTTGAGCATCGTGATGAAATATTAAAAACAACCCATTCATTTTTGGCTCTGCTAATTAACAAAATTTGGTGAAACTTTCAAAATCCTGAAATTTAGGAGAATATTTGACCAGCATGAGATAATCAGGAAACATATTGTCAGCTGTATTGAGGATTTGATGTATGGTTTCAATTTTGGTCGCCTTTAATAGCTTTAATTCATCCCAAACTGATCATATTTTTTATATACTCTGCGCTTAGATGTGGCCAAAATATTTGACTGATCGCTCCACTATCCAAGATTGTGTGATGTCACAATCACAATTATGATATTTGTCACTTGATTTTTGTATAGAAAATACAACATAAAAACAATGGATGTCGGTTTTTATATAATAATTATTAAAAAATCTTGTGATTTTCTACAATGTAACTTTATTTTTGATAAATGAACACAAAAGACTTTCCAAAAAATAAAACCATAGTGTCATTCTTCAAAAGAAAATAAATCTAAATCCTATCTAAATTTCAGGGAAACACAGCAAGAAGTGCACAAAACTGCTATGCATAGAAAAGCCACATGGTCATTCTTTGTGTAGCAAATTTTTGTTCCTTTGAGATGATCCTAAAAGGAAACTTTCACAGATCAGAATTTAAATTCAATTTAATTTCTTATGTTTTTTTGAAGATTTCCGTATTCGAGTCGCCACCGATCTTAATAACCAGTATAATTAATTCAAAGGTTCCTACATCTTTTCACGACCCACTCAAATTCTTTATGCGAACCCACCAGTGGGTCGCGACACATAGTTTGAGAACTGCTGTCGTAGACCATGTTCTTAGATGGTTCAATATATATAATATATATTATATGCATGGTTATTGTTTTTCTATATTACATAAAAAAATAAAATAAACATTTATTTGTTTTTAATCTTCAACAAACCAGTTTTTATCATGAACTATGAACCCTAGTAAGAGTAAGGTCAATTTCAGGCCACCACCAGGAAATTCTGAAATATGGTTTGCACGTGCATTATTCGAGTTTTCACCCAGTGTTTCTGATGAGTTGAATTTGGAAGTTGGGGATGTGGTTCAAGTTCACAATAAAATTGATGATTTCTGGATGAAAGGATTAACTCTTAATAATGGAAAGATTGGTATGTATCATTTTTTATTTATAGCTATTACTATTATGCAATTTACTTCCAATTTAGATTCATTTATGAACATTGACAAGTAGCCAAGTAATTATCTAGACTTGCGTCTTTTTGCAAAGATGGGCATATAGTTAGAGTATCTAGCTCAGTGGTTGTCAAACTTTCATGATCTGTGGCCCCGTTCCAAAGATTCAACACTACGAAGGCCCCCTGCTCTTCAATAACAAAGTATAATTTTGTTTTTAATGATGGGTTTTTATCAGTTGGTGTATTCACAATATTTTATATTACGAAGCCAACAAAGGAGATTAAAATAATATATAGATTGCGGTCAAATGACTAAACTATTTATGTTTAATTCACTTTGAAATGTACTCTTTGCGAATGGTTTCAGTCGAAGCCTTGGCTTATAGCCGCAGAGAACTTTTTGGCCCCAAGGTGGGTTGAGAGTCCAGTTTGAGAAACTCTGATCTAGCTCTTTTGATTATATATTTTGTGATCTGACAATATGATAACCTGAATGCCATATTAATTATTGTGACCTCATATACACAGATTGTACCAATAGAATTTTCTTGCTTTACTATTATTGAGGCCCTAGTCTATTTTATGAGATGCTTTACAACTTCATTAAACAAGGGTCTGTATAGGCAGCATTGATTAAGTAAGGATGGAAAAGCTGAAATCTGTCTGTTACAGCTTTGTTCATCCAATTTATTACATTTTAGGCGAGCTGCGAATCCAACTTAGTTTTTCAACCGTGGTTCAGCCTGTCCTGTCCAGGGTTTTTTACTAGTTCACATTCAATCCCGAGAGTCTTTATTATCATATGTGTAGTTTTTAATTATAATCAAATACCTTTTAGGTTTTACTTAGCATCTAATATTAAACTTGCAACATTTTGAAGACCATTTTATTTTGCTTTTATATACATTTATAGTTTGTACAATTCTTCGTACAAGTATTGCACAAGGGTTCCTCAAGCCACTGGAATGTTACATTGGGTTCCGCTTCACTAAAATGGTTAAAATTGTTCTAAACACTTGAATAAAAGTACAATGAATCAGTGAGATGAATGATTTTGGAAAACTTCGCATAATATTCCTTTTCGCACTTTCCGTTTTTGGCTCAATTTTGCTATCTTGTTATCAATCTACTACCAAGAAAGTAATTACGGTATATCACAATCACAAATAACAAAACTTTCCTGACTTAATGTAGACAAATACCGAATTCGAGAACATACTTCCTTATAAGTGCACTTGAAAGAGTCAAGTGTATAATGCTTATATCATTAGCTCCATTGTTCACTCTTGAAAAAAGTTCCACTTATGTTTGGTTCGACTGCTTTTGATAACTTTCACCTGTTAATTATTGTTCATTTGGTATGTCGTACTGGTAGACATTGGTAGTGTAGTGTGCTGGTATTTTGAGTCAAATCTACGATTATTGGTGTTATTTATTATAAATGTATAATATATTTATTCAATATAAATGGCATATCGAGGGTTTCAAGAAAAAGAACGAATGTATTTTATTAATAAGTTAGAGTTATTTTATTAATAAGTTAGGAGTTATTTTATTAATAAGTTAAAAAAAGTTTTTTCAAGTTTTGTTTTTTTGGTTAAGCCCTCGATATTTTAATCGGTGAGATCCATAAAGACAAGGCATTCTCCATCATTCAAAAAATATTATCTGAATAGTTTTTCTTTAATATTTTCTATGCAAACCATCGCAGGTCAGTTTCCAGTTGATTTTGTTGTGGACATTGCCATACCGAAACATTCAAAAGATGAAGTATTGTTGTATGCACTTGATGCTTTCTACCCTGAGGTGAATGGTGATCTTTCCTTTAACAAAGGTAACAAAGCTTCTTTGACAGCTTTTAATGACAAGCATTGTTCAATTTTAGATATTATCTTTATCTAATTTTTGTTATGATGCTACCATAAGCTGGAATAGCAATACATAAGATTTAATTTCTAAGCCAATATTGGAATTTTTATCTGACTGTATTTTTAAAAATAATGCTGTGGTTACTGTAGTAATTTACATTGTTTACAAGTGACAACAAGGTTAATTATAGTTCATTTTAAAACTAAGAAATGCAAGAGATGCCTCATTTTATTGTTTGGTGAGTTATGTGTAATTTATGAATTATTTGGAAATTGGATTATCGTAATGATACTTTTGAAAAATTCATTTTGAAAATTCTGTTTATTAATGTGATATAAATTGAAAATTGACTCGTTAAATACATATTTTCATTCATAGAACTTCAATTTTCATAAATATATTGTTGTTATTATGTTTACGGTAGTAGGAAATTCACTATATTTGCCCTTAAAAGAACCAGAAAAAAGACATTTACGGTACATTTAAAAAAATTCTAATGCTGATTGAGTTCATTGGAATTATGTGAGTGTATGCAGAAACGCATAATCTTACATTAGCAATAAATAAAATAATAAAATTGAATAATATCTTACAGGTGACATAATTGTACTTGAAAATAAAGTCAATAATGAATGGGGTACGGGTCGTTCCGGAAACTCAAACAGGGGTATATTCCCACTTAATTATACAGCGAAACTGCCATCACCAAAGATAGATTCTTTCAATAAAAGTTCAGTGCGAAGGAAAGCTCCGGTCGTCCCACTGGCAAACAAGATCAAATCTACCAAGGGAATGGCTGATAAATCTGAAGGTGATTATTTTATCCTTGAAAAATTGATTTGAGGCATGTGGCCTTTGTTATTGCCCCTAAGTACTACTAAGTAGTCTACCATAAATAGGAATACCATTCTGGGAATAGTTTAATATATATATATTTTTTAATAAATTATAATTTTAAGCAATTGATGCTTCACAGTATGATCAGTAAGGTGTTTATATAATTTTTTGCGAACTGTATCAAATTAAATGTTTATTACTGTATACTTCAACTTTCCTGTATTAAACTCATTGAATATACATTATCATTAACTTCTACTGCACATGATCAAATTTAGAAGATATTGTGCATTCAAAAATATTACTGTAGAATTTATTTGGAATCGTTAATTATTAAATTTTGTCATGTAAATTATAATAGACATTTTTTTTACAGTTCTGGGAAAAGCTAAAGCCATTATGAACTTGACGGCACAGCTAGATGAAGAATTGAGCTTTCAAGTTGGAGATGAAATCCTTATCACTGGAGTATCAGATGATGGACTGTGGTTCGACGGCAAGACTGGGTCAGAGTCCGGCTCATTCCCTGCATCTTTTGTCAAACTTGAAGCACCTTTGAAAACTTCGTCTACTGAACAGCATCATTTTTCTGTCGACGTCTCTCATGATCATAATGAAAATAAAGGATGGAAAGAAGGGGATGTTGATGTCGTTGCTGATAGTGTAGTAAACGTAGGAAATTATTCTGCTGCTGAGTTTTCTAAAAAACAAACCAAATTAACAAGAAATCATAAAGAATCGGAATATTTTCACACTCATGAAGATTCATCAAAAACTCAATCAGGTAACTAAAAAATATAAATATTTTCCTGGCAAATCCTTGATCCAATTTATGTATTGTCTTTGCAAGGTTTTATATGTCTTTCTCTCTTTGAGCAAGGTTCTACACAAGCTGCCACTGGGTTAGGTTGTGGACATGGGAATTGTAGTTGAAGGTTTTTACCTGCAATGCTAACACATTTAAAACAAGCGTTTTGTTTGAAACTGTTAGAGAAGTGAATGTCTATGAATATAATCAGGCACAAGGCTGTGATTTGCCATATAATAGTGTAACAGCTTTCTCTTGTGGCATAAATTTTAAACTTCTATACTCCGATGCACACATCATCAATGATTGACGGGTTGTGTGTGCTTTTATGTTTTTGATATCTACTCTTAGAAGATATAATATTTGCATTGCATGTGTATCTATCTATGGAAATACATATTAAATACTAATTTTATATCCATATTTCATAGATATTGACTGTATAAATATTATTTTAACAGTTCACAAGGACAATATAATTAGTCAATATTGTTCTGTGTTGTATACCTGCATGCAACATTTCACTTCATAGCCTATATCAGCTGTGCTGTAACAATTTCACCCTTTTGCTAGTTGATACAATGCCAGCCTAATTATATCAAGTGAACAATGGTGTATGTGATACTCTATTGTAACAATATTTGGAATTTCAATTGGGAGTTACAATAATAACAATATACTGTATACGACGTGTCTGTCGTCATTCTGAAATTCTGTGTGGATCAGCTATGGCCATAACTGGCTATATTTACTATTCCGAATACATTTTGAAATGACCAAAATTTTTCAAATATGAATTATTGAATATATTCTTGATTGGTTTATGCCAAACAAATAACACATATAAGTCAAAATTTGGAAAATACAGGAAAATTGATATAAACAAAAACAATTATTACCGGTATTAAGTGATTGACTGATTCCCTATATTTTACAGTTATAGAAATTAAGTGAAGACATTTTTAGTCATACTGTGACATTTCAATTGCTTTAAAAAAAGTAAAAACTGTCCGAATAACTCATCCTGAAATATTTCCAAAATAAAGAATTTAAAATATCAAATAATAAATTTCGAATCAATTCATTTTGTCATCCATGTTCGCAGCCATTCTGTACGTAGTATGGATGTTAAATGATATTCATGCTTTATGAATAGCACTCCCGTTTTGTCAATTATTCTTCCATATTTTATTAGTGACTATTAATTTAAATTTCAGATAATGTTGCTGAAGACGCCACTGAAAAATCAACTGTAAAGAATATTTTATACACTGTAGAAGCATTGCATAATTTCAGTGGATCATCTGAGCAAGAATTATCATTTCACAAAGGAACTATTATTCCTATTTATGAAGAAGTTGATGAACATTGGTTCATGGGTAAAGTAGGAGACGCGGAAGGGTATGTGGCAAGAGCCTATGTATCACAGACCATTGAAGCAAAAGATTCTCATTCTGATATGCAGTCAAATGATAAGAAAAATTTTTCATCTGCCAACTCACCTGTTTGTGATAATAATAAAACAATTGTTAATAACAATGAGAATTTTAATAATATGAAGCCTCAAACCCAACATGCCAGACAGACTGTGACGAATATCCTAAGAAAACATGTTGATAATTCTGAGTCACATGACCCCACTGAAAATATCGAAGAGGGTCATCAAAAATCTTTGGATTGTGGAAAGAGAAAAGCTCTGGTTATGTATGACTATGATAGCAGAAATCAACATGACCTGTCAGTAACGAAAGGTGACATAATTTGGATTATTCGAGAAGTGAACTCAGAGTGGTGTAAAGTTGAAAATGAATCAAAGAAAAATGGAATTATTCCTATTAGTTATGTGGAAATCATAGCCGAAGAAAACTCAAAATCAAAATTGTTACTGAAAAATAATACTGAAAAACGTAATGTAAATACTGTAAAAGACGTTGCTGATTCAACAAAAAAATATAGTTCCCAATCATCTGAAATGCAACAATCTTGCCATGAAAGCACTGTTTTGTCATCTGTACCTGAACATTGTAATGTAGCGGACTCGAGTTCAACACGATCATTAGCATTTTTAAGTCCAAAACCTTTTGTGTTTCAAAAACCTAATATTTCACGAAATTATGACAGACGAAATGTTCGTCCTAGAACATTACAGAAATCAACATCTGTAGATATACAAAAACAGCCGCTTTCGCCATCTAATAGTCATAGAATTCGCAGAAGCAATTCAAATCCTATGTCACGGAATGATACGAGCCCTAAAGATGCAATGGTTCATTTAAAAGCCTGGCAGCGAGCGCGGAAAGTCAGCGATGTGACTACTCAAAATATTCGACAAGAAAGTGCAATTCAGGAAGTGTGTAGTGAAAATAAAGCTGCTGACAGCACTAGAACGTCCAGTCAAGCGGTTAATAGAAGCAGTAGTATGCGAGAACGAAATTCAATGAAGCGAAGTGTGGATCGAGTTCCATCTGATCCTAATTTTAGGAGAATTAGGTCCAATACAAACATTTTTACTGATAAAATTACTGAAAATGGACGCCCTAGAAGCACTTCACCTAGAAAAAGGCCAACAAATGTTGTAAATTCATCTGGAAATACAACTGAAACTTCTGAAGATTTTTCGTCAACTGTGAGCACGACATCATCATCTTCTATGGATGATCCAAGGTTAGAATATAAGTTTATGTTATTGCCTTGTATAATTCTTGCTTGAACTGTGTGCAATTACTTACTATGTTTTGGAATAATCAGACTGATTTATTTTAGGCATAATCATAATAGACATCATTTATATGAAAAATGAAATTATTGATTTTTTTATTTCTAATTAGGTCAAGGTTATCGGATGCCTCTTCTGCATCCAATAAATCTATCAAAACAAACAGAACAATTCAAAGGTCAGCTCCACCAATTCCTCCCCACTCTAATGATAGAGCACCAACGCCAGAACAAACCAAATCAATATGGAGTCCTCCCGTACCTCAAAGGTATGGCAAGCATTCTTATTGTTGAACAGTATTTCGTTCGCCATTGCTATATATACATGATGGGTCAAAAAATTGTTACCATTTTTTTACATTCAGAATGTAAAAATTGGTAACCTTTTTTGGGCTGTATATATAATCTTTCAACATGAAATCATTCTCTGATAAATTCTACTCAATTATTTGGATTTGAATGAATGAGTATTCTGGTGGTATACTAAGCATTATATATTATCAAATTCAAGATCATTCCAGATTGTTACGGTAGTTCAGGAGTATTCTGGCCGGCTGTACTGAAATAGAACTTCTCCAATGACCCTATTGTAAAACTTAATTTTCAAACAAATATTCAGCTTCACCTAAAAGTTTATTTTTACTGTACATATTGTATATAAAATATTTACTATTTACAAGCCATGGAAGCTTTTTAAACATTTAAATATAACTAAAGGTTCAGTTATTAGCTCATGAGAGTTTTCAACCTGATCCATGTATTCTGTATTGTAATGCAATCTAGATATACAATTGTGTTAACCTGGTGGTTACTGGCTTACTGCATCACAATAGTGCGTCTGCATCATGAAATATCAAGTTTGCAGTGATCAAATTTGCGGAAACTTAATGTTGGGAAATAAGTGCAACTAGCTATGTTTGACTTTCAGCTATCATGATCGTTTATGGGCACTAAATCAAAGCACAGATATCGCATAAATTTATATAAATTTTAAAACTTCACCTTGTCTTAGTTTAATTAATGTTAATGAAATGAAATTGCCATTCAAATGCATTCATGATTTGCATTCCTGAAAGTAAATTTGTCTTGAATTTGAAAAGTTTGGGCCCCCTTCTGTTGACTGTGTTCTCAGCCATATGGTCTCTTTCTCTCTCTATTTTTTCACTAATTTTCTCTTTGATAAATTTTAGGAAGCAATCACTTCAACATTTTAGCAAGAATAAACAAGAAGACTACTGGTCAGCATCACCAGTTCAAAATGAAGTCAATCCAGGTAGTCTGACCCCTTCACGACCTGCTCCACAACTTCCACTTCCTGTTAGACCACCAATGCCTATCCAAAAAAAAGTTGCACCACAAAGACCTGCTAATCCACCAAAAGCTGGTTCAATTTCTGTTCATAGCAATAGAACAGTAAATGGTGGAACACAAGAAAGAGTTCAATTGATTACTACAAAAGAAATAAAAGGGAAAATGGAGAAGGTAGTTTTGCTTTAACAGCAATTTAATAATTTTCTGATTCAATCATGATTGATAGCTGGCCCATGTTTTTAGTATCACTAAAAACAGAAAATATTTTAAAATTAGTCTAAAGCATTATTATTGAAAATGAAATATAAATCCTTGTGTTGGTTGACTAGCAAATTTTGCCATTTAGAAAATAAATTTTACATATCATTATAACTAATAAATTATATATATTGTATGCATAATGTATTATTGAATTCATGATTTGTCTTTGAAACTGATTAACATTTTAGATGTGAAGCATTTCTGCAAAATTTCTTGTTGAATATCTAAAATTATTGCTTAATATTGAAATTCTTCTCTGCAATTATACACAATGCATATTAGGTCATTTAGGAATATTTGACTTCGCTTTTTGACAAACTAATCAAAACGGACGTCATTCATTGTACTGAAATCGTGCTGTTTCCGTGATAAATGATAGGCTGGGCTTTTTTTCTTTATAGTGTGTTTAGAAAGAGCAGTTCTATATAATTTTGAAAAGCTCACCCATTCTTACTGTTTAAATCTGGATTAATAATTTTAGACTGACCAATGCTCCAGTTTAAGTCGCCCCAATCAAATTATTGCCCTTACAGTTGAGCAATTGAATGTTTTATTTTCTAGTTACGATCTGACATTGAAGAATACACTAGGATGAAGAGAGATTTAGAATCATTGTATCAAGCAACTCTGGATGGGAAGGAGCGAAGAGAAATATCAGAAAATCTTGAATTTGTTAAATCAAATCTTCGTAGACTACAAAACGAGTTTCATAACGTAATTGGTAAGTTAGTAATGTTATTTTATATAGTTGATGCTAATGAATGTAAGGTATCTAAGCAGCAGTTAATTCAGGGGTGAAGTTGTTTTGAAACATGCTTGATGAAAAGCATTAAACACAAATCAAATTATGACTGTGAAATAACATTGACATACTTTTATCATATATTTTTTGGCAATCAACTTGCCAGTTTTCCTGTGGTTTGAAAAAGGTTTCTGAAAAATAGTGAAATTTATATAAAACAACCGTTTGCAACCATTTTAATTTTCAGACGACAGGCATTATAAAGCTTTAACTATATATTCAAGAATCTATCAAGTATCAATATTGAAAAATATGATATATTAGGGTATCTATCTACTTTGTATTCAATTATGTGTGATTATGTATGATAGCAGCTGCCACTTTCCAATACTCATTCTCATTCCATTCTCTAAATAAATTTGACAGTCTTTTGGCTCCACTAATGTTGTTTTCATGTTGAACTGTAATTTGTGACACCTGGTCATTTATTTGATAAAATTCCTGGCAAGAGCTTGAATTTACAACCAGTTTTAGGCAGTGTTGATATAGATTCAAAGTATTTGCACCAAAATTAGGTTTAAAAATAGTTTCTACATCCGCTGCTGAAGAATTCTTTCCCATAGGCCACCATTATGGAAGGACTTTTGTACTATTGTGGACAGAGAACATAATAACATTCCTTTCCTCACTGTTGAGGTTGACAAAACACTAATTACAGCATCATAAAGCTCATAATTATGTCCTTCAGTATTTTCTCTCTGAATAATAGAAATGCAAGACTTGCGCTCAAGTATACTCACGATTTTGCTGTTTCATGACTATTGAAAATAAGGTACAATATGGCAAAAGAGTAGGGTTTATATAATGCAGGTTATAACTCTATAAAAATCATGTAAAGGAAGAACACAAGTTTGTATTAATCCACCAGCTGTGCAAATTTTGTGGTTCAACTCTTCTGAATACAGGGAGAGCATTGCCTGGTCCTTGAGCAAGCCAGAGATTGTAACTATGATGCAAATGTAGGTAAGCCACAAAGTTGAGTCCAATCGGTGAATCAAATATCTAATGGCAATGAACTTTTAAGTTCATATCCCTTTGACATAGACTGGTATTCTGACAAAAATCTTCGACGCATCATTATTATGGTTGATCAATTTCATTTTGTCCAGCAGTCTTATTGGGATTCTTTTTTGGGGAAATAAAAATTGTATCATATGCTACTGAATGGAAAAGTTATTCATCAATACCTAAATAAACCTGATAACTAAGGCTTCGTGATAAAAAGTTATCACTGCCATTGTGATTCAACAATGAAATCATGCTTGATGAATTTTCCCATCTTTTGTTTTCTTCAAACATGATTGCACTACAAAAGCTATGGTATTTATTATTTATAACTCCAGGCTGATTGAAAATACAATTCATGGCTTGGTATATTTCGTCTATTCCACCTTGCTGTAACCATAGCAAACAGTAAATTCAGAAATTTCCCATGTTATGCCTGCGGAATGCATCAAAAAGCATTTTTTGGAATAGGATTAGTTTTTGCTTATACAAAATTATGCTTGTTATCAAGTGAACATTGAAAATGCTAAATTCTATTGGTCTCTGTTATTGTGAGAATGACTATAAAAGTCATACTATGTCATTTCCGAAAAGCAGTGTTCATAGATCGACAGCATAGTAAAGTTTTGAAATGTTGAAATGTTTCACTCGATTCGGTAATACTGGCTTGTTTGGTTATACACACAATGCCAGGACGATACATGCTGGCCAATTAGGAAGAAAAAACACTTTAAATGACATATCATAACTTGAGGAACAGAAGCATTTATATGTTGAATCAATCAATATTTGGGATAGGTTTTCTCTGGTATATTATCTACATATACATTGACTGCTGCCTGCTGGACATCAAGCAAGATTTAACATGTTGGATTGTCAGTAGATCAATGTTGAAATTCACTATTTTGGTCTGCAATGAATGTAGCTGACACAAGATATTATGCATGTCATCGATTTTCAATAAATGGTGCTCCCGAAGTATTCGTACCAAGATGGCGCACAGCCTGAACATAGTATGTGTACCAGGTTAGGGTTGTTCAGGTTGTGCGTCATCTTGATACAAATACCTTCGAGCGCCCAATAAATAGCCAAGTGAAGTTGCATGTATTTGTAAGTGAATTTTAGACCAATCTGCATTTGAAATGAGTTTCACACATGGTTAAGGAGCTTCATAGCGGTCTCGGGAGTCTTATTGGGATTAAACCATACTGTTTATTGGTTAGCATTTTTAGTAAGTCCAGACTCATTGTGATAGGTCCCATATTCGGTTAAATAATTATACTTACCGGTAATTAAGGGACTTGTTTGTAAATGTGATATTTCTTCATCAAGTTTTCTATTTTTCTCATAATGCTTTCCATTTTTTGTCTTGTCTCTAAATATCGATGTATTATTTTTATACATATATAGTAGGCTAATATATTCTGTTTTCAAATTCCCTCCTGAGTGCGATGAGATATTATTTCACCCAACATTTTGCTGTTTTAGTTTTAAAAATCTCTTGGGAGAACTTCTTTCCGTCGTGTTTGACGGGCGCTGCGTCGCGTTTGTCCGCCCGATGTTTTCAGCAAACTCTATGTTCACCGCTTTCTTGAGGTTTTGCGGTATCCATGCGCGACCTTTATGTCCATATACCGTGTTTGTGGCATTGCTCTGCTGTTGCGTTATGCTATCTCCTTAATTAGGGGAGATTTTTTAAATGGAATTCTGGGAATCGCGTTTGGTAGTTATGAAATCGATGTTATCCATGCGTTTGTTTTATGTGGGAAATGTCCGTATTTTAAATTTATATGTAAGAAAAAAAAAACGAATCTTGAGCGGGCAGTTGAAAAAGTAGTACACAGTGAAATGAATTAATATTCGTCGAAAATAATAATTTTTATGGATAGACAATTTAAATATGCGTTCTCCCCGTAAATAATCGTCTTCCCGGTAACATATTGATATGTTTGCATTTGCGTCCTAAGATTTAATTCAAGCACAGTGTAATTGTATGCATTACTAGAGATGTACCGATGTATCGGTATCGGCAATATCGGCCATATCGGCCATTTGTTCGGTATCGGCCATGTATCGGTATCGGCAATATCGGCCATTTGTTCGGTATCGGCCATGTATCGGTATCGGTTAGATTAAGGCCGGAAATTGGAATACTACTTTTTTATTTATTTTTTGTCTGGAGAGATCGTGAGCTATGAGCCATACATGTCCCCAACTTCGCGAGAGAATATGATTCACGTGTTTTTAGCTATTTATCAGCCAAACTAGCTAAACTAATTTGGCTATTTTTGCTGTCAAATTTTTATATTGACATATTTAATATTACATAGTAATTATGAAGAACTATATCAACACAGCATTTAACAAAAAGCAACTAGGCGCCCATAGTTTTAAATCACACCGTGGAATCGGGGTCCTTATTAACGGCACATGGACTTTTGGCACGGGTATAAATTCTGACTGTCTGTCATCAAGTACGAGTGTCATTTAGTCCGTCGACATCGATAAACTAAATTCCGAAATTATTATCCCTCTACGCAGGTACCGGTATTAATTTTAATTTTGTTTAACTACAACTTTATAGATATATTGACATGACCGTCCAGCCCTAGACTGTCTCAAAATATATGATAGCAATTGTAAAGTATTATAAAATAGTAAAGTAAAAAAACATTCTCGACGGTTATAGGTAGGCCTTCTTTTTGTCGGTGCTGATTGATATTCTTTCATGTTGGCTTTGACTTATTGCGTCGACGATTACGATTAGCCGCGAAATAAAATATTTGTAAAATGCTTTTAATTTGAACGTAGGACGGCGGCGCTAGAATGTGTGGGTGATATTCGATATTCTTTTAAACACGAATAACGATATTCGAATGTCGCGATATTAACATTAAATTCAAATTAAAAATCCCGGCTTATGAGTTTTCTAATTGAACACCGAGAGGATATGGATACCAAACATCTATTTCATATTATGTGATATATCTTTTTTCGATCTGAAATAATGTGTACTATGAACAACGCTCATAGACTATTGTTTTAACCCGTCTGCCCTACACAGCACACCTAATTAGGTAATAATTACATAGTATCGGTATCGGAATATCGGTGATATCGGCATTTTTGTAGTATCGGTGTATCGGTATCGGCGTTTTTAGCTGGTATCGGATCGGTATCGGTATCGGCGACAAAAGTGGTATCGATACATCTCTATGCATTACACATAAATTTATATGGTAAGGACAAAACGCTCTGAATAAACAAAGCCCGCGCACCGTTACGAACGCCCCGTGTAGGGCAGTTCCTTTCTCAATACCGACGAAAAATTGTCATCGCCACGTGACACCTGTGGTTGTCTCGTGATTATGATAACCATCAGTTACATATATTACGAAACCCCCAAATCGCATACAAGATAAGAGTTAAATACCGGCACATATCGTCATAGCATTCGGTCAGTAGCCATTTTCGTTAGTTTCACGCGCAGACGATATCGCAACTGGCCTCGAGATGGCAGACAGATATCACGCGAATTGTCTTGTGTCGTTTATCGCTTCTGGTGACTGTGGGATTTCTCACACTCGTCTTTTTTTGCGAAGGCGTTTCGGTAGTTTGTCGTTTGTAACGAAATGCCGCAAGTATACTCTCTGTAAATGGCCTGGTTTAACTATCGAAGACGATTGAATACGCCCGTAGTACCGAGCGACTGTTGTTATCTTCAAATTTACGCTTGGTTGATCAGGTACCTTGTGCCCTAGGCGCACGTACTATTCTGACTGTTATTATATGGTTGGGCTCATGAAAGAGAATAAGTGAGTGCGGTACCAACAGTTACAGATGTAGGTACCTTACTCAATATGTCATTCAACAGTAGGAAAGTGATATTATAACTGTAGGTGTAAGTAATGGGAATTTTAACGTGGTATTGTTGCAGTAGTTGATAAGGCTATATTAAGGAGGCAAACCTAAATGTGCAATGAGCATATTTCTGTATTAGTGATTTTCCAAAGTATCTGCAATATCTCTTCATCCAATATACTGGATTAGTTTTTGAGTCAATATAATTATGATGGCAGAAAAATAGCAGTGAGGCGTAATGCAATGATATGGTGTCTTTAAATCTGTCTAGTTTTTCTGCGGCCACCTAAAATATGTCTGTATGTTATCAGTGGACACCATAAAATGTTAGTAATGGAGATGTCTCATACACTCTGCAAAAGTATTTGTTGCAGCTTTCTTTGAAATCAATATTGCAATAATGGTATCTGCATTAAGTTTTCTGTGTTGTGTGAATTTGCTGAATTGTGTTCATTGAAAACTACATTTTGGCAAATACACCCTTTGTATAAAAAGGGTTGTATTCATGTCTGACAGTCATTATCTTTGTGTGGCAATAATTTTAATTTCTGCAATTATGCACTGAAGTCATAATGAAATTGAGCAGAGTTTAAAATTCTTATTTTGACATTTGGTAATGCTATACAGTTTGATTTATTTGCATTAATGTGTTGTTATTGTAGCCTTTGTTAAATAAAGATGTAAATTAGCAGCATATGGTCTTGAATTCCATTTATTAACAATCTGCAAAGCATTAGATTTGGGCTTTTTAATGAATTGATCAACAATCTGTAAGTTTGCAACAATCTTCATAAATTTTCTTGAGTAATAAAAATGTTAAATCAACTTTATCCAGTGAATGTTTGACTTACGCAATAAAATGACCTTCGTTCCTGTCTTTAAATTTTTATTTACTGAAACCCTAAGGTTACAATTTTTATAGCTTTATTGCCAGTGTTTGAATATTGGGCGTGACATTCATGATGTTGAATGCAAGATTTTACTATTTGTAAAATAACCAGCTATTTCAGGTAGAATTCATTTTATACAAAGCTACGCTTTGAATATTTTTTAATTTGGTTGTCAAGTTGAATAAATTTATAACAATTTGGGATATGTATATGCTATAAAAACGGGAATGCTACTATAAAATGATGTTGGAAAATAATTTCATTAGAATTATAGGGTCTTATATAAAGGAGGACTGAGATAACTAATGGCTAATCAGCAAATTTATTTTATATTGAATATTTGAGGTCAAACAGTCGATATAGATATTACAATATAGTTGATATAATACAGTCGATATAAAAGTAATGATTTTTTGTGAGAAATTAGATAAGAAAACAACAGCTAAAATCTATCTCATTGTGTTGTTCAAACTCATGATTTGACTTCCATTTAAATGTCACCACTTCTGAGTTTTTCACCTTCGATTACTTGGAGCTTCTCTGCTTTAGAGTTTTTTCTCCCTGTTTTGAATTTCATCTTGGCAGTCTCACATTGACACTTTGTCATTGTAACAGTGTTAATACATTATCAGTATTAAACTATACAATTAGTGAATAACTACACTATCAAATGGAGGAGGGAATTTATAATGAAGGTCCTTCCAGTATCGGAAGCGATGCAGTTGATGTAACCAATGCAGCCAACAAAGAATATGATTCTGGAGTTTATGGAATGGTTGGTGAAGCTGAACCATCCAAATTTGCATGGATGCGTCGCAACAATCAGAGCAAAAAAGTGACCGACCATATTTCTAATCCAATTTATGATATGGAAATAAGTATGACGAATGTACAACCATCTTTACCTGACTATAGTGTTGCTGAAGATGTTCTTCCTGATGATATCAAAGCAAAGTCACCAACGTCTGTTATTCCAACTGTGAAAGTTACAGATACAGAGTCGAGCTTACACGACACAAGTCTGTATGAACAAGAGACTGAATATGATCCACTTTATCAAAATACCAGTAGTTTGTATTCACCAGAAACAGCTTATGGTGATGTAGCGTCCTCAGATAATTCACAGTATTCTGATGAAGGTAGTTAATCCTAAAATATTTGTCAGTACAGTAATCAAGATTAATGCTATTTTTTCCTGAATTCCTAAAAAGAATTTATCATTTCCAGTTTGTGTGAATGTAATGGTCTGTTGGTTAGTGCTGTAGTCCTATGTTGACGTCACAGGTTACAAATCTCAGATTTCAACCTTGTGCCAACCAATACACCGAGAGTGATTAAAGTGCTTAGACAATAACAAACCAGAGGTTATACAGGGTGTACAAAAACTTTCGCCCGATTTTATAGTAATAACAATTGTAAGTTTAAATAAATTCTATTGCATAATAAATGAGAACTATACGCACAATAGCAACTATTAATGAACTAAGACAAAAAATTTTTTAATTGTTTCCACTACAAAATCAGGCGACCTTGGACACCCTGTTGTTGTTGTTTTAAAATTATGAGGTCCTTACTTTATTAATGACTGATTGTATGAGGAGTCTTGTTTAGAGCGAAGGTAGGAAAACATCCCAGTGAATATACTAACATTGTCGGCGAATTCAACATGAAACATATTACCATTTGAACTGAAACAAATGTTTAAATATAATTTTGGTCATTCTTGTTAAAGTACTATATGTTTTGTTATTTTTTGATTTAGCAGGGACTCACCAGGGAGCATTCAGAAAATGTTGGGAACTCAAATCAGTCAATATTAAGTTGTATCCCAGCAACATATATTCCACAATGTTTGCTTCGTACACACCTAGTATCGTTTTATTGGCATGAACTTATCATTGGTGTACGTGTTCTATTACAGAGGGACAGCAAGATCACATATATGAAAGTATCGAAGTACACATGCGACCCAAGACTAATACAGTTGAAGATGGACATGAAACTAATTATGGAAGGTATGTTTTACTGCTTTTTTTGGTAATTTTTAGGACTAATTTTATGAAGCATTGACCCATGTTCATTTGTTTGTGTTATTTTTATATAGATCGCAGCGGTGTGGAGTAATAAACAAATTGAATTGAATAAAATAAGGCTTTATGCTGTGCTTTTTTGTTGTGCATAATTCTATTGCATATTCAAACTTTAAATGCTCCTTAGTAAAATATATATAATAATATATTTAATGAAAGCTGATAAATATACTTGCTATTTTGTGAGAAGAGATTATGTTATTCTTATGTATTAATAAAATATAATTAGTTGATATCATTGTATTACCAGTATGTCATAGTCTTGAAAGAAATAACAATATATTTGGGTATATTTAATATTACTAAAGGTCGAAAACGGATTTCATCATTGTGTACTGCTTATTTCAGAACCTAATATATCTGTTTATGCTTGTTATATGTAACTGAGTTTTGTAGAACATGAGTCATATATATGTCAAACAAGATGTCAAGAATGTTATTCATTCATATAGTAACCTAAATTTTATTTCTTTCATAGTTTATCTGCACCACCTCTTCCACCAGCTATGGAGTCTCCAGGTTCGATTAGGAAAAAGAGAAAAGAAAGACGGCTTTTGGTGGCTACAGAATTATATAACACAGAAAAAGATTTTCTAACTGATGTTACGGTTACTGTAGAAGATATAATGAACGAATTAATTGATAGACAGGTGTGTTTTTTTTGTATGCTTAGCAAATATCTTCATTATTTTTGAGTGACATTAAATTATTATTAATATGCTAGCTACGTAGTAAGTGAGTTAAATATTACACTTTTGAAATGTCATATTGTTGAGCGCTCATGCTAAGCTAAAGTGACACACAAATGTGGGTGTATACGTTTTATATTTACACTTTCCATTTAAATGTACTTAATGAGACTATTAAGTAAATACCAAAATAAACATTGGTGCTTTTGCTATTCAAATAATTTAAATAAATTGCTATATAAATGATAAATGATAGAAGATTCCTAAGCTAACAAATATTGAGAAATTTAAATTAAAGTATAATATATTACAATATATATATTATATATAAATACATATATATTACAATATACCTGATCCGTGATACATCAGAATTTGTGCATATTTATATGTTGCTTAGCTGCCAAAGAAACACTTATAGGCAGAACTTGTTTGATTTCAAGTACTCAACATATAAATTATACGCTGTGTTGGTCAAGTACCCCTTAATGCATTTATTTGTTTTGTTAGCATGCGGATACGAATGTTGAATTCATGCGTACATATTTCTTCTTCCCTCAGCATGTATATTAATAAGAATTCATTTAATGCAGAATTTGAAATTTTTCCTGACAATGATTTTAACTTATTATGTTTCACAGTCGATATTTAACTTTAAAAACAATTCTAACAAAATAGAAACATTTTTACACCAGCGCTAATCAGAGATGAATGCATATCAAGCCCACATGCTGTAAGAAATTTCTGCATAGAAATTATATATTACCAGTATATTTTGTATCCCTCCTGCTAAATTTTCTTGTAGAAATCTTCAAGTTGTTGTAAATATACAACAGTTCAATATAATTTGGTCAGATAATGTTCTAGACACAATACTGATATGATGAGTATAGGTTTTATTCTCTCGATAATCGTTGACCGTTTCTGGATTATTGCGCGATTTGCTATTCCACAATGTAAATATCAGTCCTTTCCATAAACAGATACCGCAACATATAATAACAACCTTGTTTGGAAATATTGTTCAAATAAAAGAATTCTCAGAAAGATTTTTGAGTGATTTGGATCGAGCATTGAAACACGAGTCATCGCCATCATCTGAGGTAAGTTGTGAACAGATTGAGTATGTTCGACATTAATTATTAGCGCTCTGCTTTTATAGTAAATTTTTTGAAAGAGAAAACTGAAATAATTTCGTATTCATACTACTGAGATTGGAGCCCTTCAGTTGCTCATTAATAAGTAATATTATGAGTAACAGGAAATATTAATGTGGTGTACTAGATTTTTTATTATTATTTTTTGCAAAACTATGATAAATACCCTGAAAATATCAAACATACTTTTTTCTGTATTTTTTTTTGTTCCATAAATGGAAATTTTGGTATAGTCAGAATAACTGTCAGATCAATGGATAACGGATTATTTCATATGATGTAATACTGTTAGAGAAATACATAATATTTTGTTTGTAACAGTCATATATTGTACTGCTGCTTTTAAAGTAAGAATGAAAAACTACGTAAAGAGATAATCATCCTAACCTAAAAATGTAACAATAGTAATTGCATTCATGCCAGGGCTTAAAAATACATATTTTAAACATAAGAAATTTTGGAAAGATGATAAATTAACCATACTCATTGTGAATGTGATGGAACAGGTTGGTGACAAGCTGTATTATTTCCTGCATTCTTATTGTTTGCACGGTTGAGCAAATTTGCTCTACATTTGATAATAGTAGTGGAAATAATAACATGGTATGAATATGACGTTTCGTGGCTTTCAAAAATTCATAAAATTTCATTTGGATGAATATTGAATCTTGTATCATGTTGACTTGGGTAAATTCAACTATCGATGAATTTTAGATTATAAATTATTAATAGGCCTACTGTATTTGTGGTAGTAAATATATTATAAATAATATGTTAAATGGATTTTGGATTGTACGCAAATTTAATTACTGAAAATGACATGAATGATTTCAAGCCTCACATTTGTCTTTGCTTGGCTGCTTGCATTGAAATATTGCCTCCATAGTTAGGACCTAGCCTTTGTCTTACATCTCACAGATGTACTTTGGAATTTTGAAGTGTATAACAATAATATTATTCACTTACTACCTATTTAATGTGATAATAGAATTGATTCATTACATCTACTCTAACGAAATAAACATTGCCTTATTAATGTGAGTGGTGTTAGAAAACATGGATGAAAACTAACAAAAAGCAATGAGCCTCTTGAATAAACGCACATTGTAAGCATGTTGCAGAAACAGCAGGCTTATACATGATGACTACAAATGTCATGGCATTTTCTCACAAAGATTCAATGTTTTGAAAGTTCTGTTCATATATCCTTTGTGGGTTAGTATAGCATGATAGCGCTTGTCATGTTATCTTTGTGTATAGCAACATAACTGGTCAATTTAAAGTAATATTTGAAATACAATAACTTACAAATGAATTAATATTTGCAGAAAAATTCTGAAGATCTGACAATTGGCCAAGTATTTATCGATAATATCCCAAATATGAAAGATGTGTACATGCCGTATTGCAGAAATCACGATGACTCTATCGCTATGGTTGAAAAATTAGAAAATGACGCTGAATTTATGCAAGCTGTCGGATACTGCCTTGAAACTGTGAAGTGAGTACACAAGAGAAATTACCACACTTATATTTTTCAATTAATACTGTTAGAGGTCTTTCGGTTCTATTTGGATTATTAAAGTATAAAGATACAATTTTTTCAGATTTCAGAATGGATATATGCAGTGATGGCTTGCAATATCTTTTCTTATCTTATTTTGTAATATCCTGATCAATAATATAGTGAGCAAAAATGCACGCCCACGCTATCAATATCATTCTTAAGCTTGTGCATCGTTTGGCAGAGATTAAATTATGATATTCATACATAGGAAAATTTCATTACTCAACAACTCTCTCAATACATTTTGATTTAATTCTCTTGACTGAATCCTCAAAAATAAGTAACTAAAAATGTATGCCAACGTGGGAACTGTGGAAGCGAGATGATGATAAATTCGCTATCGAAAGATTATTAAGCACATCATTGTGTACGACGATTAACATCTGCCTTTATTTACAGTAAAAAGTTGGTACATAGCGAATTTACATTAATTATTTACTTATTTACCTATTTAAAAATTCCATAGGTAAATGCATTTATATTAAATTCATATGCCTTTACAGACTCGTCAGAAATTTTTTCATTGAGCTTTGACAACTTTAAAACTAATATCACGTTTTGTATTTTCATTTTAGGAACAAAGTCAATGTTTTCGATCTTGGTTCTTTTCTCATCAAACCTGTACAGAGGTTTTTAAAATATCCTCTTCTTATATCGGAATTAATCAAGTTGACTGATCCTCCATCTCCGAACGATAATGATTCCTCTGATTATGATAACCTGATAAAAGCGGGAAAAATGATGCAATCTGTCGCTAATGATATCAATGAAGATAAGAGGACGAAAGATTTAGGTATTTATATTTGTATATTTTTTTCTGAACATAGATTTTATATGTCTCTGTCATTTTATTTTTGTAATTGAAGTTCTTGAAATAGTTTGTTTGGAATAAATTTGTTATATTTTGAATGTGTATTTCCAAATTTTTTTACTCAAATGCATTTTTGATAGCTGTTGTTGAAATACACACAGATGACACAATTTTAGGTTTTCTTTAGTAATATTAGTTTGAGAGTAACAAATTAAAATTTTTTACAACACTGTACGAATTAGATATATTAGCAATAGAATAGGCCTATAATATTAATCCGAATTTGGAAAATATTTTCATATCTTTTAAAATCAAATATCTTTATTGAGAAACTTTAAAGATTTGTAGAGAAATTGTTAGATATTTATTGAAATGCCGTATATATTTGAAATATCCAAATCAGGGAAACTCATATGAGTGAATATAAGCTCCAGAATTTTAAAAATATTGTTAAGATTATCGAATAGTTACATTAACTCACACATTCACATTGAGTATATATTCTATTCAGTTCGGAAATACAAAAATGCTGCAAATGAAGGTCTTTCAGAAAAACTCGGGAAAATAAGCATGAAATCTCTGAAGAAAAAATCCACTAGATTGTCTCGTAAACTCGGTCAAGCTACTGGTATTACAACATTAGAAACAAGAGATGCTCAATTTGAAGAAGTTGAAAAAAAGTAAGTTTGAATGTGTCATACTTTGAAAGTTTTCTTTTGCCTATCTGAGGATATTACTGCAATGTGGCATTAGTTTTGAATGACAATGATTTATTTGAGTATGTGTAAATTTTACTTTTTACACAGTTTTGTTTTTCTCATTTTCAATTCCTTTTTAAAGTTAATTATAATATCTGGAATATTAATAAGGATAATGCTAAACATCGTAATAGTCGAACAATTTGGTCTCATGACACAAATTACAGCATCTCACATAGTGTGTTGTAAACCACAATTGTTGATTATTTTCTAACTACATGTTGTTACAAAATTTCTCTCCCTTAGGGCATACGAGTTTTTAGTTCTTGAGAATGAATTCTTCAAATGTCGAGACAAAAATTACAAGACATTTTAATGTCAATAACATTGTTCCCAATTTAAACTCGCAACCTTGAATTGGGAACAAAAGTTTTCCTAATTAGCCTTGAATTACAACAAAAAAGGTTTTGTAATATAAGCGCATTTAGTCAATGCGATATAAGAACTCGTTTTTGTGTGAATAAATGATCATAATTCAGCTGAATGTCTGATAATGGAAGTTATTCTTTTTTCTCAGTGTTGATATAAGTTATAAAAATGGGCAGATAAAAATTACTGTTCTATAAAATGGATTGATGTTTAGTGACACACAGTTGGGAACCACTTATATAGGTTATGTGGTAATATATTTTCGAGAAACTAAAAAGACTGAATTCGAATTCTATCTTGAAATATGGTTTCATCTTTCAGATTTAAAATGATGGAACGTATGACAAAAATGTTTCTTGCCAATGTGACATCATATTGTGACAAATGTCGTGATGTCTTATGCACAGAACTAGTGGTTGCAAAAGCCATTGTTGATATGGTTGTCGATCCAGAAAGTAGTCATCCTGTTGTCCAGTATCAAAAAACTGCAATTCAGATGTCTGGACCTTTATATCGTCAGTTTGTAAGTGATTTTATTTAACCCTGTAAAAGTCTGGATGTCCGGAATAAAATTTGAATTCAATGCTATTTAAAAAAGATTTCAGATATTCAAAATTATTACTTTTCATGTATGATTTTTATTTTACACTTGAAGTATGACATATGTTGAATTTGACAAAGAAAAATACTTTACAGCACGATCAAGTTCAACTTCAAGTACTATCACCTATTGCTTCATTAATAACAAGTTTCAAAGCTCCACAAACCATCATAACAAAAAGATCTGATAAATTAATTGATTATGAACAATTATTGAAGAATTCGGACTCAAAAGAAAAAACTCAGGTAAGAATACAATATTTACTCAACATTCATCACCCTATAATAAGCAGAAGCGAATTTAAATTGTCCCAACATTGGCAAAAATAATAGATTTGTCATTTGTCAGCTTTCAGTTAAGAATTTAATCGACTGCAAAATAATTTAACAAAATGCATTTCTACGAAATATCCATCTTGTTTAACATGCCGAGCGATCACATCTCCGGTTCATACCTCATTGATCGTATCCATCATTTCACTAAAGTTGTGATAACTAGTTTTCTGTAGGCCAACATGGAAAGATCTGTTCCTTCTAAAAACTTTTTCAACATTTGTTGGATAAGCGCAAGTAAGAATCAAGTAAAAAATAGCCGGGTTCATATAAATTATAACAGATAATGTTGATAAATCACTGTATAGATGAGATTAATACCAATTTAGCCATTTTCTTTTGTCATTACAACAATTCAACTAATGAAATTGGCAACCCGGGCGTTCTTTATCTAGAAGTCCACCTGGTTGATTTTACTTTCTTCATAAATGTTATTTTATCCTATTCTTCAGGCTGCCAAACATGATTATGAAGCGTTAAACAAATCACTTCTTGACGAATTACCTAAACTCTGTGAACTTGGATCGAAATTACTGTCATCTTCTATCGCTATATTTGCCAGAGTAACAAGAGATTTTGAAGCAAAGTTATTGAACGTGAGTATTGCTTTTGGACTTATAGACATATCTTAACCGAGCTCACCCATCTACGATCTTTCCTTGGTTGAGTATTTTGTGCAAAGTTTTGGTTATTTTTGGAAATTTTTGGATGATTTTTGTGATGTCATCTGACCATGTGACTCTTTAAGTTTAATAGTTAAGAATAGAAAATCGTGTTGCTCTTGAGTTATTTTTAGAAATTGTCAGGTGATATGAATCCCTACTTGAGATCTCTAAAAATGTAGTTAGTTCAAATGTGGTTTGTAAAATGTTTTATAATAAGCTACAATTTAAGATCACAGATAATCAAAATATTATTTTTAGGCAAAGATATTTTTCTGCAACCGGTATAATAATTATTTTTATGTTATTTATTGAAATTTATATTATAGTTTGGGGTGTTAAATGAAATAGATATATTTGTTCAAAATTCAAGTGAATTGCAAGTTTAGAATATCCAACTGTTGATATTTCTCAATGTTTACCAATACATTTATACTGTATTTCAATATTTCCCTCATCTTTTAGGCATTGAAGCCCCTTGTTGCTATGATTCAACAGTCTTCTACTGGCAATCCAAAAATAATTAGTAACTTGGAAACTTATGATCGTTTTATTCCTTATCATATAGAAGTAAGTATATTATGGCAATTCTATCTTTCTTCGTAGATTGGTAACCATGATTCTTCTTGTTACTTGGACATTTTTAAAATTTGGTTCATAGTCATTCATACAAAGGAAGAGCCAAAACCGAATATTTCACTATTCTGAATACATTCTAAATTGGGGGCGAGTTCATGTGGAAAATTATATGAATCACTATATATTCATGTTAATCATATTTAAAATGAAATAAGTACAAAGGTTATTGTATCTCTGTCTTGTTTGTTACCAGTTGATATATTGTATATTTTGATCTACTTGTCTGACGGCTCAAAAGACCTAATTTTTGAATAAAAATGTTCCAAATTATTTCAAATGATTTTGAATAATCGATTCGTTTTGAACATTGCCGGTCATACACAGGAATTTGAAAACAAGTTTATTAACTAGTTGTGTTATGGTACCGGTTACTGATTGACATTATCAGAAATGAATATTCCTTAATACTGATACTAAGAGAATTGCAAGGGGTGATGCTTGCTACTTACAGCTCATGCTTATCTTACACTTTCATTAATGATTGATTTTAATGCTCTGATATCTTCTTTACATTATTTGTAAGTAAATATTATATTGCATTACAGTGAAGATGTCTGAGCAATTTAGTTCTCAAGAAAATTCAATCAAAGACATTTCAATTTGATTCCAAAAGATTTATTTCTTTTCTGCTCAAATTTATAACTAGTCGTAAAGTTGGTAACAATAATATTTGGAGAAGTATATTTTGGGGATATTGGATATTCAGTCGCTTTATGATCATGCATGTGCACAAACAATCCACATGTTGCATTGCTTGAATTTTCATACATTATAACATCTTTTCCTTATCATAATTTAATGTTAATAAGGAAGTGTTTTCTTCCCATTGTGTCATGCTGTGCATTACAAAAAGTGATACGCTGTGAGATTGAAAAGTTTGAGAACCTCACCATAGGTCGTTTTAATACTTCATATAAAAAATTTCTTTTTATACACCGTACTTACTAACTAAATAACTAAACTTTAACTTTAACACTAAATTTAGGATAATCGTACTTGAAACTAAATTTTGCAAACAAAACGACCACATTATTGTGTTGCCTGTTGGTTGCAGTATAATTTTTAGAAATTTATTCTCAAATTACAAACTCTTTAAATATGGTCATCACAAGGCTAATACTGTTGTGTAATGTTGGAAATTTTTGATCACAGGCTGTACAGACGATTTCGAGATTACAAATTGTTCCTGATACATTTGGTGCTTTGTATGGTGCTGTTAGTAAAACATCAAATAATGATGACAGTAGAAGAACAAGTCGAACTTCTCTGACGAATGTCAAACCACAAGATAGTCCAACCACTTGCAAGGTGTGTGTCATTTTTGTAATAGAAATAAGGAAGTAGTACTTTTTGCAATAAAATTTGATTAAAGCAAGGTGAAGCCTTTTTACACAAAAATAAAGTAGACTAATCTCTGCGTGAAAATACCACTGAAATGACGAGAGCTATCGAAACTATATAGTTTTATGGTGGACTGGTGGTGCACTATACAATCAATAATCACGAATTGACAGGGCACTTGGAATAATTTATTTTAATGTGATAATGATAAGTGAGGTTATGAATTTTAGAAAAAAACAGTTTCTTGCAAAATATCATTGTTAGCGAGTGCTCATAATAAATATACAAAGTTTTACATTGTTACTTGAGATAGCCTGCTGTTTGCATTCGCTGTCTTTTTTGTGCAAGTATGGCCATACTTTATATTCTAAACTGTATTGAATGACACTGGTAGAATATATCGCTAGATGAATTTATGGTCTTTTTTTGAGCCTTATCAGAAAAAAGATGAAGGTTAAGTTTTTAATAAAATAGGAAAGTTAAGACTTGATAATTTTATAAGTTGGTTCTATATCCCAAATCAGTATGCTCGATTTAGCAGTCAATACTTTTTATTTTTAATTAATGACTTGTTTTTACTTTAGCGACAATCTGTGGAAGACCGAAAAGAGTTGATGCAAAAACATCCGAAACAATTGTACGTTGCTGAGAAAAATTATACTGCATCGCAATTGATGGATATAGAATGTTGTGATGGAGATTTACTAGCTGTTCTTAAAAAACAAGATCCAATGGGAAATAAAAATAGATGGTTTGTCGAAAGAGGTGGAGGAGGTAGGAATAATTGTTAGTGGATGAAAACTTCAAGTCCTTATTATATCTGTTCCTATTCCTTATCACGAATATCTATACTTTTTAATTTTGCAAAAATTAAAAATTTACCACTTGCCATATGCAACTATGTAAATGTTCGGGGTGGTAAAAATAATTGTGTTCTGGTTTTATGTTTGGTTTTCAGCTTGTTTTCTCCATGTAATTAAAACATAATTTATAATTTTCTCTGTCGTAAGTAAAAACTTCAGAAAAGCTTGTTGGTATTTTTAATTCTAACATCTTAAGATTTCAAAATTTATATTGTACCCAATATTTATTTCTGTTGCAGCTAACGCAACTGGATTTTTACCTTCTACCATTCTGAGACCGTTCGATCCAATTCATGATGACTCGATGAGACTTGGCAGCCTCGGCAGCCCTACGTCACCATCTCTCGGGGCCAAAGCAACCCCTGTTCCTGCCCCCAGGACAAAGAGCCCCACTCCTTCATCAGGATCTGTTAGCTCAGGTCATTCCAGTTCAACATCAGGCGGAACTAAACCTCCTTTATCACCATATCTTATTAGAGATACTTTGAAGCGAGGAACTAATCAGAAAAGCATGTTTTCCCAGTTGACAGATTCTGATATAATCGAAGCTTTTGCGGAAGAAGATGAAATATTTGATGATACTGAATATGGGGAGGTACCAGCGACTGGCACTAGCCCAACGTAAGTATTTACAAGCTTTCTCGATTTGTCAGTCCTATTAGTTTAGCATAATTTGCTGTTATTGAAAGCAGATTTGTTTATGATCATACTGAGTTTTGTTATATTTATTATAATATAGTAATCATGAACTAAGCTCAAGTTTTGAAAATTGATTGATCTCTAATAGCTCTAGTCCTTTTATAATGATGGCTTCTTGTTAGTGGCTGCTTATGTTTGAAATGAATTGTGAAAACGATTTGTGTTAAAGTCTCTAAATTGTTGTCCCAATACCAGCAGTTGGATCAACTAGCTAGCTAACTATCAATTTTTTTCTTCTGAGAAGTAAACACCTCAGCTATGTAATGGGTGACCACTAAAATGGCAAAAGCCGTTAAAAACATCACAATTTTAGTGGACATAATTACACCAGTAAATACCAGTTTGCGATCAATCTGGCTCTTGGCAAAGAAGTAAATGGTAGTGCATTCCGCTTAGCTGAAGTGATGTCAAGTCGATTTGTAGAGTTTACAACACATCTTCTTATCCATCATCCATCAAAATAATTAATTATTAATCATTGTTATTCATCCTCTCTCAGGCCTGCAAAACAACATTTCCGTGCTCAGTTTGATTTCACAGCAAGATCAGATTTAGAATTGACCGTTCATACAGGAGATATTGTTAAACTCATTGTCGCTCATGATACTGACGGAAACCCTGAATGGTGGCTTGTATCAAACTCTGATGGAAAGCAAGGCTATGTTCCTTCAAATTATTTAACGAAAGCAGAGTATTTGTGATGAATAACTGTATTTTATTTATGCTTTTGGTTTTCTTTTTAAATTTTGGGAAATAGATATTTTTTATTAAAAATTTTTTTATGAATATGATAATTTGAAATTAATGTTTTATAAGTAAAATGGGTTTGAAAGAATGATTCATGTTCAATTTTATCTGATAAAATCATGATTTGACATTTATCGGCGGAGTTTGAAATGTTTAAAGTTGAACCAAATATTTAAAAAAACACTATTTCTGAAATATTAACGTCTGTCATTCAAAAAATGAGAAGATAACGTAAATTTATCATACAACATTAAAATCTGTGGTAATGCAACTTCAATATTCGATAAATTTTTGTTTAATTTACCATTTTTAAGTGATATTCGGGCTTGTCTTAATAATCTACCTATCTATTTTCTTTCGTGATTGATGGTATACATTGTACTAATTATTCATAATACCATTGTTATTTTTTATATCTGGGGCATTGTGTGCTATATCATTTTGCAGTATTTTTATGATTATTCGTTTCTGTAAATTGTGAAATTTCTTGATAGGATTATGAATGTTGCTCAAATAACGTAAATTCTGAACGAAATTCAAATTGTTACATATCAATTTATATTTGAACTAAATATGTTTTAATAAAGGTGCATTTTCTGTAATTTTTTGTAATGACAATCTAATAAACAAAGCTGTATGCGTTTACTTGTTTTTAAATTATATATTTTTTTCTCTGTTATGTTTGATTGTTATTCAGGGCTGAAAGCCCTTATTTAAATATTTTTCGATTTAAACATTTAGCCTTTCCATAAACAGGTATAGGAAAAAAACTTGCCAGTAAAAAGGAGATTGGTTGAATTCTTAACCATGGCTTTTAGACATCTACTTGAAAGGTTAATATCACTAAATTGTGTATTACCATCAAGTTCATGAAAATATATTAAACATAGTATACTTTACCTTAAATGGATAATTTGAACCATTCAATTAACTCATCTCAAAGTAGTAAATACTTTTAAAAGTTTGTTCACATTATGTAATTGTTCAGAAGAAACAGGTATCACTTTAACACCTTGGTCTGGTATTTTTTATGAATCTGGTAATAATTGGATATTACTTTACAATTAACCATGGTAATCTCTTTCCTTTTGAAATGATCATTTTAGCGTGAAAACACACCGAAAAGAGTATTTATTCATTGGGAAGTTTCATATGATCCTCTGATTCGTTATACCCATATTGAACTTATAAAATGATTCGGACCTCCTGAAGTATGCGCAACAAGATGGACTCGGGTTGTGTACTAGGTTGGGGTTCAGGTTGTGCGACATCTTGGTGCGCATACTTCATGAGTACCCTAATTCCTTGGTAAATACAATGCTTTTTCTTTGATTAATAATATAAGACAGGCAAATGGATATTTAGTTTTTATCACTTACAAATCTCTTATGATTGTTAGTGCATTCTCGCAGTACTACAATTAGTTATAAGGTATATCGTTATCGAGTATGGGCCACGAATAGATCGCGCCGATGAGGCTTGGTCAATCCGTTGCCCATGCTCGACAAAGGATAATTCTCCCTAACCAATTGGTTATTTACAGAGAACATGAAAGTGGAAATATATCTACATCCTTATCTTAAAACTTGATTCTATATTTTTATCTCATCAATACAGATTAGATTTTTATATGATTTTGTATTGTAAATTCCACAAGTATTAATAATTCATATTATTATTCTAATTATTACAATGATTCATATTAAATAATGCATTTCTACCTTTGATTTTGTTTATTGTGGGATTTGTGATGTATTTCAGTTGAATACTTGACGAGTATAAAATATATAATACTTTAGAGCAGGGGTTCCCTAGCTTTTTTCAAGACGGCCCCAAAAACAACTTCCAAGTGTCCAGTGCGACCCCAGGTCAATATATATATATATTTCATTAAACTTTAGAGCTTCTTTCACTGGCCTCTTGAGTTTGGTCATGTGATGGTACTACTATTAAGTAAAAAAATAAGAAAAATAATACAAAACCAAACAGTGATGTCACAATAAGCACCTTACATTTTCTATAGCACAAGCAAAGAGCGATGCTTATGGGTCTGTTTACAGTAGGCCATGGTACAAACTGCTAAATTTAACATGGTTTGTCAAATCTTAGTCGATCTGTACATCTATCCTCTACCATACCTCAGCGATCCCATGACCTGTTTGCGACCCTGCCTACTTGTCACTATCACTCCGACCCACTTTGGGGTCGCGACCCATGGTTTGGGAACCCCTGCTTTAGAGTGTAAGGCAGGGGAGTGCAACAATGGGCCACTCAGATTCCCCCATCAAACATAAAATCCTAATCGGACAGTTCATGTTCAAAAAGGCGCTCACATGGGTGAAAACTTTTTTTTTCACTTGTCACTGCGTTTCGCCGTTTTGTCGGGTGCCTGTATTACTGTAAGACTAAGCGACAGCAGCATTCTTTCCACTTGCCTTTCCCGCAACGCTCTGGTTGTTGCTAATGTATTTCATTAGTTAAGGGTTGTTACAACTTCTGTTAACGAACAATGCAGGAACTCGAAATTTTAAAGTGTTCCACTAAAATTCATTGTACATGAAATCAGTTGTGAAGGCGTGAACACGCTGCCCGCTTGCGCATGGAAAAACTTATCGTGACCGTTCGTGGTGGTGAATTGACCTTCAAGAACAAAACGAGACCGGAGCTTTTCGTTTGGAATTCTATGTAAGAATTAGATTTGTGTGACCCTTTATGGTTTCAAAACCATGTTTGGTTACCTAGCTAAGCCTATATCCAGACATTTTGGTTATTCACGCGCTGGGACATGGCTGATACAAATGTTCTGCTGCGACAGCCAAGATATGACTGTGCGTGTTGACTCTGGTCTCTAGTGCATTTTTTTTTATTGTCACTGACAACACCGAGATGAAATAAGGGATTGCCAGTGTTGTATAGACAGAGTTATTTTATAAAAAAAAATGGGCTGAGCAATTAAATTGGTTTAAAAGTTGGCCCCTGATTTTGGGTTGTAAATATATAAATAACCTAAAGACTCCGATTACAAGTTCATCACATAGCCCGAAAAATTTAGGGAGTATTTATAATTAATCGTGATTTTTCAAAATAATTTCACTTTAGACGAAAGTTTTGGTTATTAGTTAGCAAAAAGGTTTTTATACGACTTCGAATTGGCTCAAAAACGAAATGAAGATCAGCAACCTGGACTCTAGTGCTAGAATGGAATCATACGACACGTAACAGAAAACAAGAGTGTGAATGGGTTAGTCAGGTCTATGGAGTGGCACGACAAAAACGACGCTGGGTGTAATTTTTGTTCGATTACCAGATTCATTCTCGATTCCGGGTTTGAAAACTTAGCCCTCAGATCCGTAATCTTAAATTCGAAAAATTTCTAGGAGTTTTTAAACCCACTTTGAGTTTCCGTTGAAAATTCAGAATGCGATACCCGATTTCCAAAAGTCAGAAGTTTCGACTTCGATTTTGGCATCTAGATTTCGACCTCTGACTCCCCGGGTAATTAGAATAATTATTCCACATCCGCTTTGCAACATTGCGTGATCTATTTATTAAATGAGTTGGAATACAAAGTTGCGTTTCTATATTTATCAATATATTATAGCGAATGTGAGGCCAGACTCTAACATGTGGCGAGGGTTTCAGCTACCAATCAACCCAGCATCAAGAATATTTATATTACAACCACTAGTAGGCTGCCTCATATAATATATCCAATTTAGAAATGATTTCAACCTTTGCTGTGTTAAAATGTGGCTCATGTTGCTGTTTCACTGGCAAAATAATTTGATGCTGACTAACATCTTCTTCGCGACGGTGGCTCAAATAGGTGCCCTTAGAAATCGTTGGTACCTAACAGCTCTAATACTTAGAGATCGTACTTGTCCAGTCCATGACTCGCGGTGTGCATTTAGCTAACTTACATAGGAAATTATTGTCTAATCTAATTTGTATATAATACATTTGTCGAATCAGAGTATCTTTTAAATTATCTTTGTTTTAGAACAACCTGTAAAATTTTGTTTGTTCAGACCATCCTTGAATAATTTTCAACTCTTTTGCGTTTTTAATGGTTCGGAGTCTAAATTAGAAAAGTTTGGAGTTGAAATCCAATTTTTTGTTAGTTTCAATCCAGGAGTAAAATTTGTGAACTCATGTAGGCTACGTGTAATGCTTGAGTGTGAAAACAAGCGAGCAATGCAAAAGTGTATGGGCACCAAGGTTCCATGTCTAACCACAATATCGCTAACCTATAAGACCTGAAATTCATTTTCTGATCATTCAAAAGCTTCAAATCCGAATACAATCAAGTCCCATGGCCGCAGCAATTCACAACTGTACACCGATGGTTAAGTTAAGATCGTAGCGAAGCAGTGAGCACTGGCTGTGGAGCCAAGAAAATATGTAATCGCCCTCCGAAACCGGGTTGAGAATACACTTCATTGAAATAATGAAATTCGACGCTCACTTCAGTAAAAACATGCGCAACTTCAAATCCGCAGTCGAAGGGATGATGGTGACTGGCAGGTCTGACGGTACGTCACGGCACTACCACGTGGTGGCACAATGTTCACAGAATTAGCCAAATTTTGAGTAAAATAACGAAAATTCATACGACTCAGGGGGAAATTTGAAATCAATAAAAGTAATAGCCTAGCGGATTCAGCCATCTTCAGGCAACAAAATCCGAGAACGATTGGTCTATTAGTCACGAAGAAACGCGATTTTACCAATTATAAAAATTAGCAAAATGATCCATATTATGTATGTACATTCCGTGCCTAATATAGATGACCTTTCTTTAGATTTTCGGAGTCTTGTTTCGCACCAGCACAAATGAATTATTATGACGTTTCATCTGACCGAGGTCAGATTTTCCATACAAGCAAAACATCATGTGCTATGATAAGTTTCATCTACATCAATCATCACAATCAAAAAATATCTTTACAGGACCAGGAGTGTCCATAGCGTGAAAAATTGACATTAAGTTCATTCCATGATATTTTTATGTAAAAACATGATCACGTATTGGACTAAGAATTCAAAAAAAACCAAACATTTTGACTGCCGATAGTGTTTGCATATTCAATATAATTTGCCAATTTTGAAATAGCTAATTACTATATCGATACATATCCCCTGTAAACAACCAGATAAATATACCAATAGCGGTGAAAAAAAGATCAAGAAAAAAGTTTATGCCACTACTCGCTATATTTACAGCCAAAAATGTTAATGCAAGTTTGTATAATTAAACTTCGGTACTCCTGAAGTATGCGCACCATGCGCAGGATGTCGCACAACGTGAACCCTAACCGGGTACACAACCTGAGTTTAGGTTGTGCGCCATCTTGGTGCGCATACCTCAGGAGGTCCTAAACTTTTTTTAAAAACTCATACCATTCCAGAAAAATGAGTTTTTGTAAAGAGCAGTAACGAATTTAAATTGTTAAAATCAAGAAATTGGAGTCGCAAATTAGTTAACCTTCGCTAATACCGCAGCATTACCATTAAAACTATACGAGGAGTGAAGAACATTAATTGATAATTTTTCAACTCCCAGTGGATATCGGCCATAATTTCAGAGTGAATATTTAATTTGTTTATTTTCCTCTACGGGGAAGCAGCTTGGTGGTGTGAGAAATCGACAATATGCCACTATTTAAAAGGTAATTAAAATATGGTTCTTTGAGTGCTCTTGTATCTCCTATTTATAACGTTTTAGTGAATGTATTAAATAATTATACTAATAAATCAAATTATCAATATATTGTTGGTTCTGGTAGGGCCGTACTTGACTTCAAGAATAGTTAAAAAAACGTAAAATTCACTTGGGCTTGTGTGAAACGATTTAATAGAGTGATTAACGGAGCTCCCGAAGTATGTGCACCAAGATGGCGCACAACCTGAACATAGTATGTGTACCAGGTTAGGGTTCAGGTTGTGCGCCATCCTGGTGCACATACTTCGGGAGTGCCATTAACAATTGATTGGTTTTACATTGACATTGGAGGTTTGAACTTACCGGGTTCACATTCCGACTAAGATCATGTCAAGCTTGTCTACTGTAGCATAATAAATCAAACGATCCATGTTGAGCGAAAAGTAGAATTCGTTTTTCGTCCACACAAATCTATATGGCAAATAAACAATAAAATAGTCAGAAAAAACTTTTTGTCTCAAAACATTACTTTTTGATCGCTCCGAACTGCGCTATGACATAGGCTGGTATTCATTATCATTACGTTAGGAAAAAATGCTAAGAATTAAATTTTGAGTGAATTTAAAATTAATAATACTTAATTACGTATTCTGGAACGGAATTAAAACTTTTTTGAAACATAATAAAATTGATGTGTTTGGGTTTTTTGAAGCCGAAATTTATTGTTAAACACAAGTATAAAATTAAGAAAGTTATATAGAAGTTTCAAACATTTTCACGCTATTCGTGTTTTCAAGAAATTTCGTTTCACCATCCTTTGTCGGTTTTTGTATTTTAGTATGGAATCTGAGCGAGGCTTATAGACGCTTGGCCATGCATAGATAGAGCTCTGTTTAATTACATGGACGGTTGTCCTGTGCGTCACATAAAACGAGAAATAAGTTGAAATTATTATATTATACTTACTCAACATACCTTGTCGAATTTAGTCGATTACCATGCACCATATGTCTTGGATAATTGTCTCCTAATTGACCGCGACCCATTGTGACGTATCGGAATCCTAAACTAGTATACACTCTTTGCAGTGGCAAATGTTTGATGTGGATCAACCCTGTGGTTACCGATGAGAATTGATTTGTTGTAATCTGACAAAGGTTTTAATTGTCTTGACAAGAAAGGGTTAATTAATTCAGTGCTCCTTAAATGCCTTATTTATAAAACATTGTATCAACGAGGGAAAAGATAATGGACACGCATTTTCCTGATTTGTTGAAGCCCCGTAAAATCATTAACATGAATATTAAATCAAGGGAAAGAAATTTTTCGACGATGCGATTACAACAAGAATCAATACTGGGCATTATTGTCGAAATCGGAGATTTTTAGCGATGTTACAGGAAAAAACATTTTGGCATTTTTGAAGCGCGAGTGTAATTTCTAGCATTGTTTTTAATTTTGATTTTCACACTTCATATTTTGTATATTGTCTCATTATAACTATAACTGGGAAAATTTCTTTGAGATATAATGCTATTTAAAAACCGCGCGTTGCTTTTTTTCACTATATTCAATAAATTAAAAAAGATAAATATACATGAAATGATTGTCCACAATCTCAAACGCAAAATAAATATGTTTGACGCAAAAAATACAAAAATTCAGAAACTTTCCATTGTTACATATTTATATAAAAATCCGTTATTATTCAAATAAAAATGGTCTATTTTCAACCATTACCGTTTTATAACAAATCGAAGGCTAAAAGTTGAATTATAAATACACTTAATCTTTTCTTATTGTGTATCTAGATTTCATACATTTATTTTACAATAGTCTCCAATATATTGTTTAAATGAATTTAAAATTTTCATTTATTAAAGATATTTGCATATTATCTAATCATAAATCACCGTTCATGATTAATTGACTTTGATAGTGTTATAATAGCCCTTCATATTAGATTATAGATTAGTTGCTGATAATAATAGAATTGAGCACATCAACCCACATGTGCATGAGTATATAGCATACATGACGCAACAAAAGAGATTTTTTGCCATGCTAAAATACGAAGATCGCTTACCTAACAGATCTGCCACATCGCCAATATAAACGAATATTTTGGATAGATTGAACTTGTTTAAAATTTATAATATTTTTAGTTGTGGAAATTTCAGAAAAGCGCCACGGATATACAGAATTTAAAACAATTTAAAACAACAAAGAGAATTATCAAATAATGATGTCTCAAACTTAACACAGGGAAAAGCAAAATACGTATTGAAATATGTGTTGAACAATCCATTTTTTAATTCCTCTCCTTTTCAGAAGAATGACTGGATTGCGTAATTCCCAAAATGCTTTCACTATACGAGCAGCAAATTCTTAGAAATTCTCACGCTTCTGTCCTAACTCAATTTATCAATTCAAAAATAATATGGGAAATTTGCATCCTTCACTTTATTTTATTGCATTTTACTTTAGTTAATTGCCATTCCAAATATTGAATGGGTACCATATTGTATATATCACATTTACGACTTTCAAATTTTCCCGGTAATCTGCCGCGAAGTTCCGATGTCGATTTTTTTCAATTTTCCGCAAGTAGAGAAGCAACACCACCGACACGCGTAGCAGATGCGATTACACCATTTACGAAGTATTTGTACCGAAAGGAGTATGTTGATATATTGTTATTATTCCACATTCGATCTAGTATGGGACAAATATGGCCCATACTTAAAATACTCAATCTAGCTTTGATTTACGTTTGATTCGTGTTAAGTTGTTTAATTAGTCTATATACTGTTTTGGTTGATCTTTAGTAATATGGTATGAATAACAGGTCTTTAGGTAATTGAAATATACTAAAATGGCGATAATGAGAAAATCGAATTCGATATAATATTAAAAAGGCAGATATTGATTGGTTTTTGAAAAAAGAGACGGTAGATGGAAGATTCGTGAAAGGAAAAAATATTTTGTGTATACATAACCTTTTGTATTATAAGATTTTCATTTGAAAAGTCGATTTCGTCATACGCTCAACTTCTCTCCCCCAAAGCTGGGTGATTCTGTCAGTGGGCAATACTTCTATATGATTTTGAGAATTTAGTTTTTCAAGGGTAAAAGTAATCGTCATTATCACTAAAAGATTTGAACAGATATATATATTATTTTATACATAAGTTTTTTTGAAAAGAGTCCAATGGAAATTGAAAAAAAGTGTTGGAATCGAGTTTGAGTTAGTTTATGACACAGTCTGAAGAAACCAGCAGATAGATAAATTTTATTTTCATGAAAATGTTTTATGTTTCCAGTTGTAAATTTGATTTGATTATTTAATCATAGACGAGTTATAGCGACATTACCCTGCAATTAATGTATTTTTGATGTAATAATTGTATCCATTTTAACTTGATTATATTTTGAATTACTAAATTCCAACTGGATCTAGTAATATATAAAATATTTCATACAAATTATATTATTTTATTATATCAAAACTAAAGTTTAAACTAGGTATTTCTGTCATTTTTGTATTTTCTGAAAATACAATTACTTTTTCCGATATATATGATAAAATAAAACAAAGTATTAAAGTTGTACATATTCCATTTATGAAATTACGTTAATTAAATTCGTAAAAAAAAATAAGTTTCTCTATTGGCTACCCCTCGGTCAACTATATTCATTGAATATTTCCAACTAATTATTTGCGGTTTCATCGTATTGAAGATTATACCGGTCAACAAAAGTCGATCAAAGCTACTAAATATCCATCTATCATATCGATATAAATCAAAAATCATCCTTACTAAAAATGAGTTTTTTTCGGCGAACGTAGCATACTTCATGAGACTATCAGGAGAATATTAATCAATACAATATTGCAAAATATAAAGTATATGAGTATTTACAACCGGGGGTAAGAAAGTGGTATATATGTAATGAGAAGAGGTTCGTATGTAGGTTTTTGTCAAATTTTAGTTGATTTCTACCATAAGTTTTGTTAATAATCAAAGAGTGTCTTTGTATTATGAATAATTATTGTTTCAATAATTAATTACAGTTGTTAACTTCGGGTGTGACTAGTATGAAGTCGTGTGTTTCTTTAGATAATTCATTATTATTGTATCAATCGTTTGAAAAATTTTCTGAAACAATCCAAATATATATAATTTGTTCCGTTGTTGCCAATTTTTATGAGAAATTTAGCTTGAAATATCAACTTCGTTTAAAGTCGTGATGCGCAGAAATATATCAAATTTTCTAATCCGGGTCATCTTTTAAATTTGATACTTTATCCAAAATTAATGCATATTAGTTCAACAAAGTAAAACCTTTTTGTGCAAGACATAACTTCTCAATGAAATTTAAAATAGAGTAAAGAAAATAAAACGTTTCATGTAAAGAGAGTATTTTGTTGAAAACATAACTTATTAAAACTGTTACTAAAATGCATGTTTTTTCAGGGATTGATATTCTTAATTAAATGAAAATCCAGTAATCATTATCACATGAGTTTTGTCATCTTGAAAACAGACACCAAGCAATTTGCTTTAAATTAGAAAGTTTATTCGGAACCAATTTCCGAATAACCGAACTTTATGTATTTTTTTTGGTATACAAATTTAAAAAGGCCAAAGCTCAACATTTCGTTCCATTTACGACGACGCTGACATGAAATTTAGCGGGTTCAAATAGTTTTTTAAGCGGCCATCAAGAATTGAAATCTCGGATATGCCGGGCCGGCCATTTTCTTTTTGGTTGCTCGAGTGCCTTATCATATCTATATTTGTAACACGGGCGAATAAATATTTATTAATGTGACTTTATAAAATGAATTTGTTAATATTTCTTAGGTTGGGTATAAGATTTTACTAGATATATCAACCAGAATTCAAGACCTCTGCCAACCATGACTTTTTTCAATCATTTGCCCGTTTTCACGAAAATAAAAATGAAAACAATTTGAAAAAAAATTTCTTATTAATGAGCTCACATCAATTACTTCTATCGTATTAGAATTATTTTTGTTGACTTTTGGATAAATCAAATGGAGTTTGATTCTAAATTGAAAATTATATACTGGAACCTCTAAACTAGGAATGGATCCTGATTGACTCGATCAATTAAATTGCGAATGTTATATTTGTAAAAGTATGTGATGTATTACACAAAATAGATCATGTTTTGTCAATTTGCAACTCTGATATATGTAATGAATAACTTAAAAATGTACAGAATTGAAATAGCTAAAATAATTTTTAGTTTCTTCACACCACATCATTAAAATGAAAAACCTAGCATCGAACATATAGTTAAGTTGCAGGGATCTTATTATAATATTTCTTTTTAGCATATTAGTAAATCTATGTGATTATAAAACTAAATTTTAAAGATAATTTTACACGTGCTTTTCCTTGCGCCTGTGAGCAATTGTCAAAATTCAATATTGTAATTGGGAAGGAAAATCGAATGGAGTCGCAAATGATACAAAAAGAAATACGTGAAGACGAAAAAACTAACAATTTTTGTCGTAAAAATAGTGTCATTGAATTTGAAGACCCTTCACCGGGGCAAATGTCAGACACCAACTCCGAGGACAGAGGTTCCCAAGGGGGGAATGCATCTCACACCACAACTGACGAGCCGGGTGAAAGTGACGATAAAGATGACGTCAATGGATTTCCAAATCACGTGATGATGAAAGGGAAATTCTCTATAGCTTCGATTTTGGGAATGCAGAAACAAGAATTACAAAAATTAAACAAAGATCAATACAAAAAGTATATTTCATCTCCTACGACGGAAGAAGAGCAAAACGTAAAAAACATTTTGGACAAAACTGTACCCAACAATGAAAATGAGGACGAAATTGCAAGAAAAATCGCAAAAGTCAAATGTTTTGCAGGCATGCTAGGACAACAAATGTCAGAGTACAATCTTACTAAGATCAACTATCTCAATTCTCTTTCTCCATCTCTCAAAGATGGGAGTCATGAGTATAAGAAGCATGAAAATACTCTAATTCCACCAAAATCATTAGTAGAAATGCGCGACGCCGAAAACGACAAATACGCCAAAGCATTATACCTCTCAAAACTTAATGGAGGATTGGAAGTTCCAGGCCAAGAACATGTGAACAATTGGGCCAGTGCTTTATATGGGTATTATGGAGAAGCAGCGTTGGCTGCTGGTTCAGTAAGATCGGATGAAGCAAACCTGCGAATGTGGCAAGAACTGTTGCTCAATCACAGACCCGGAGTTGCTTCTGGATTGACTCATCCATATCCGTATCGAGCCAGAAATTTGTATCTTCAAAGTAGATGTCGAAATCCATTGCAAGCTTTTTATTTACAACAACAACAGCAACAACAACAAAGAAATTTTCAGCAAAGAAAATTAGCGAATTCAACCGCATTGTTGCAGCAAATTTGGGCGAAAGATGCTCGCCCAAACTTTGGAGGACTGAGTCTATTAGGTTCTGCACAACCAAAACTCTCAGGTGAAGAAGCAGCAGAAAATCACCAGTTTTCAGAATCTTTAGAAAGTAGAAGAACGTCTCAAACACATGAAGATAGAAATTCTATGGAAAACATTCAGCGTAAACCAGGTATGTAACTTAAATCGACTGTTTTCCAGTAATATGTTTTCCCTAGAATTCAATAAATTTTTCGCTTAGATATATACATAGATATATTTATAAAATTGCTCTATTTTTTTTAATATATAATATTTTTTTCTACGAAAGTACTGGCATGAAAGTTTTTTTTATCAAAATTTCAACTGATATCCTAAAATTTATTCATTCAATTTTATATAAAATTTTCAAAATTCTAAGTTGACAAATTCAGCTTGCTCAGAAAAAAGCAATAAGAAGAAATTCTTTTTAAATTTTATTCCTTTAGTCACCTTCTAAAACGACTCTGCTGAAAGAGTAATTTGAAAAATTCAGTGTCAATAGTCCATTGCAGCATCTTCAATTAAAAAGTCAGATCAAATTAATTTTGATGAATACAAATTGTAATTTTGATGAATACAAATTGGATGCAAAGTCGATTTCACTTTAAAAATAAATCTAAATGTTAGAAGATTTTTTTCCGCGGTATTTTTTTCTAATAACCCTATACTTGCTGCTTCAGAAGAAAAATACAAAGACTAGTGATTTTGTGAGTTAGGTTTGACATAAAATTAACCTTTTGAGCATGTCATTGAATCAATAAAACAAAACAAAATGGAGTAGACCAACATATGACCTAAACGATTCACACTTTGACGATTTTGTAAAAATCAATGATACGCTAAAAAAACTGTTTATTAGTCATATCTTTTTTACAAATTGGCATTTATCGGAAAAAGAGAAATTGGAAATGTGAAATTAGCGCGGGGCGAACAAAATTCTAATATTTATCAATGAATGTCTTTTATCATATTCTGACATTCCGCACAGTCGAACATGAGGAATGAATCACACTCGACTGTTGATCAAACGATTTTGTCCATTCCTACAAACGCAAAGATATTTGACTTACTCTCAAACAAGTGTATGTTGCTGTCATATTTTATCATTTGATCAAAAATTCAAATAATTAAAAACTTAAATTTGTATTCATGGGTTTTCAATTTTAAGTTATGTATTTAAATTTTGTTTTAAAATTGTTCTATGTGTTGTATATAAACAAAACATTATATATTGATGTAAAATTTGTTTCATTACCAACGTCTACAACAAACAAAACTTTTAGAAGACTTAAACTTTTATGATCACAAGTAATCTTGAAACTTTATATATAAGTATTACAGCACAAAAAATCACTTCTGTAATGTGTTCTTTCTCTACTAAGAATAGATAATAACAATGGGAATCACTAAGCTTGTATTCAGTTTAAGTGCATTTGTATAACCACAAGCTGCTTTCGAGTTTATTCTCTCATATGCAATATTTTTCTCCAAAATATTTTTTATTCTATATATATTTGAAATCTGAATTCAAAAACTTGAGAAATGAATGGGAATTAGGTAAAATAAAAGAAGAGTAAATTTAAATAGAGATTTTGAAATGGTTAAAATTAGTTTTTGCATGTAAAATATTGAAGCGGGTTTATGAAATATTTGCCGAGAATAATCAATTTTGCAATTTAATTTTATTCAGGTCCAAAATATCTAAGAAAATGATTGCGCACTTAAAATTTTTTTGAGCGGTTTGCCAAATAAATGGGTTACTTTAATTTTATAAGGGCATTCAAACCTCAAAGGACGAGACAACTAAACCCGCTCATTTTCGGGGATTAATTCGCATTAGAGGTCGCCTTTGAAGCTTTGAGTCAATATATCTCTAATAGACACGGAAACAGTTAAACTATGATTGAATGTCATCAACCCAAACTAAAAATCAGTTTACTTTGTGTATGCTTCAAAAAAATGAATAAATATATCAAACTTCGTCGTTTCGTCGTAGTAACTTAGATCAATTGTCTTCTGTCGAACTTCCACTGTCGATTGTCCGCATTAGATTGCTCGACAGACCAACATCTTATACTTCATACAGAGGCTATATTGCGACTTCAAAGAGGGAAAGATTTCGGTTAAATGCTGGTTAAATTTTTCACCATTTTTAATGCTTGCTTCAATTGCTTGATGACATGCAAAATTAAGCGCGGGTGGCGGTCCGGGTCGAGTTTTTACCAAAACAAAGCGGCTTGAAACCTTTTAGAGTAAAATATTCACTCAAACATGATAATATCGACTAATCTCAAGAAGGGTAAAGTGGGGCAATTGTTTCTCATTAGGCGACCACGCACGCGCTAACCCCCATCAATCGAAATTATAATTGACCGGTCGTCCGGCTCGATCTCGGGCCTTAAATTGGGTGAAATTGCCGTAAAATCGCTCCATTTTGGGTACGGATGGGAGAAACTATTACAGAAATCACTACAAAAGACTTGCTCAGATGATGTAAAGAGTCAGCCCAACCCTTTTACCTGGATTTAACGCTCTAGTATGCATGAACATGAAAACTTCTAATTGATTTTTGGACGAAATTAGAAGAAAAAATAATAACAAAATTTTATGACTAAATGAAAATGTATTTTAAATATATGGAACAAAATGGTTTCTATATTAATGTATGGTATAAAACCTATCAAATTAAAAGCATAATTTTTAACTAACTTTATACAGACATCTGTAAGCAATATGTTTATTTATCTTTTTAAGAGGTGACTTTCGTCTAAATAGCATTGTTTTAAATTAGAATTTTAATCAAATTGGATTTGTGTAGGTTTATTATATAAAGTAACCATATAGTTGTGCTCAAAATATTTGGAAATTAGTTGTGCTCATTTATTTTATTTTTTTTTCAATTGACAAACTTTGGTTACTAACGGTCGCTGAATTGTGGGTGAGACTGTCTTTTATATAATACTTCCATTTCTCATGTTTAACCGTTCAACTTGGTTTGTGCATGCTTTTCCTATACTTCTCACATAAATATCATTGCAACTTAAATCAAATGTTATGAACTGCATTTTGAAAGGCGAAACCAGGGACTGACTATATACAACTCTACATTATTATATACAAAGATAATGAATCACATCAGTTAAACAGTTCATTACAGTAAAAATGATATTCTTTGAAAATATCAAAAATTACATACTTTGACGAACTTCAGTCCAGTCAAGTTGGAATACATTCAAATCTCACTAAAGATGAAACAAAATGGTGGTGTTGGAAAAAAAGAGTAAATAACATATTTGTGGTTAATGAATAATATGCGTAGTTGTCAAAAGCAATTTACTTATCTGGTGTTTCCAGAAGTGAAGTTGTTTGAACTCTAAAAAAGGGGTTTTATAAAAAAGGTTAGAAAATTGTGTTAGCGTAAACATATAGAAGAGTTTGTCGACAGAACATGTCGGAGACCACTTATGATTTGAACATCGTCTGGATCTGAATGATGACGAGACCTGATTAGGAATTTATACGTGTGTGTTAAATTTGGGTAGCAATTCAAATTTTTTACAGTTTTTGAATAGATGTTGCTATCATTCTCGCAGGATAAAAAAGGGCTATAAAAGTATGCTTGCACAAATTACTATTATCATCATTAATTAGAACATAGTATATTTATAGAGACTGTTTAAATCATGTTCTGCTAAATGAAATTTTTCTTCTTCTGTAATTTGGTCAGAGATGTTGCAAAACTTGTGATAGCGCTAATATGTTTCACGATACCAAATGGCATTTCTAGAAAATAAGGAAAGAACGCCTTACTTATATTGTAAAGTTTTCATTCAAAATCATAAACACAGAGTCCACATGAACAGACAATTTGTTGGCGGCTTCACAAACTCATTTTGAAAACTCACGTTTTCGCTAGAACTATCTTCAAAGCAGTTTTGAACTGAAATTGACTTTCTTAGATAAAACAATCAACCAGTGAAGTAATTACGGTTAATGACCTAGAGTTGGTGTAAATTAAACTGTTAAATAAAGAGTAAAATTCAGTATTTTTCCAAGTTGTTTTTGAGTAAGTACAAGAGCTTCGACCGAAACAGATTGACAGTTTCTAAACGCTCCATAATGAAGAAATTTATTGCAATCAACAATAGCATGCAGGATGTTATTTTTACCAGTTTACTATAACTAATTTACGAATCCTAATTAAAAAGATGGATAATTTTTTGTTTTCCCTTACCTTCCCAGGCGTGTTTTTGTAGCTGATGTAAGAAAATATTCAGCTTCCAAGTTCGTTTTACAATTTTTTATGATTGAATATTGTAAGCGAGAAGCATATTTTATTTTAAATTTTTTTTTATTCTTTTTTGTATTGGGAATGAGACCTTGCACGTACGTACAAGGTAGTGCAAAAAAAATTTAACGTGAGACATGCAATGTTTGTACATATTCAAGATCATTCATGCACGAATATTGAGTGACACGTACACACGCCAAAGTTGTACCGCGCCACAACCCCTTTTGATACTTATCCCAAAATAAATTTTTCCGCACAAAAAAAACGACCAATTTAGCTCTTTGATTGTCAGACATATTTATCCATATATATCGTATTACGACTCAATATATCATTTGAAAAACTCATGGACTTTATTTCCCTTTGAAGTTTTATTGAAATTTTCCGACTTAAGCTCAAATAAAAATCGAGTAAAACGGTCCAACGATTTCTGAGGCGAGTTCAATCGACTGTGGCTATTTCGCGAATAAATTGCCCATTAATCCCGATTTGGGCAACTAATGAACCGATAGCGTAATTTTTTCCGGTTTTGTGTTTGGTAAATAGCATTTAATGAAAATATGAGTAATGGCCCACTTGACAACTTTTTTGATCGAATAATTTTAAACAAATACGGCAAAAGTGAAATTTTTTAACAAAATCCGTACTGTTACTAAGAATAAAATTTAGAAGTCATTGATGCATCAGCCCTGATAAAATTGAGCAATAAACGCTTGAAGTACATTCATCATACTACACATGTTTAACACAGTTTTGGAATATTTTTGGGCATGAAAGTGATATAAATACTGAGTAATGCAATAAAAAGTGAAACAGCATGTGTTACAAACATATAAGTGTATTTTATCGCCATGCATCTCTAAAATGATGAATTTCTTAGTACGTCAAGTTACCGCTTGTACACAACCCTTTCAAGACGGGAATGTCAGGGACTTTATTCCAGACATTTGACCCAAATACATATGGTTGCGGTTCCATGAGTTTCAAGGCCTAAACTCTAAAAATATTATTGTTTTATTTCTGTGTTTGATGTACTCTTTTTGTTCCAATTATTTATAAAAATAATCAAGTTTGATTTGAAATATTTCTGTTTTAGTGTGGGACATACCAACGACTTCAAAATATCAATTCCCATCAAGAAACTTAGCGACAAGACGGACATCGGACGGCGAAATAGAAAGAAAAATCTTCACAACTTCATCTTCCGAAATTTCAACCTGTTCGTCAGCTTTCAGTACGGTGAATTCAACAAAAAGCAATGGAGAAACGAATGTAATAAATTCTGCTGGAATAAGTCGTGAAAGATTTTCAAAAAGTCCTCCAAACCCTGGACTTGAAGGTATAACTTCAGAGGAAATTTGCAACAAGTTTTCACCTCGACGACCAAATCCTATTAATGGAGACGCAGACTATCTAAAGAAATCTTTCACAAAATTTAATTCTCGTGCGAGTGGATTTATGACTGATAATCACAGTGAGTATTCAAAAACCTCTCGCGTTTCCAGCACATATTCGTATCAAAATGGTCGACAAAACACTTCATTTTTAAGTCAGAATCAAAAACTTTCTGACATGGAAGAAAAAACATCCGATTCATTCGACGAGGCGGACAATAAGACGGAGAAATCTTTAGGAAGTCCAACTACATCGCCTCCTATGACATCTTCGATGTCTTCGTCGTGTGAACCTCGAAAGAAGAAAACCAGAACTGTGTTTTCTCGTACGCAAATATACCAACTTGAATCAACGTTTGACATGAAACGATATCTCAGCAGTTCGGAAAGAGCCAGCTTAGCTAGGAATCTCAATCTGACAGAAACTCAGGTAAACTTAATCGATAATATTTTCCAATAATTTTGTGGTATTCTAGAAAACCGATGTCTATATATAGTGACATAGATTTTGTTTTCTTATCCATAACCCCTTGAAATCTAGGCTTACAAAGCTTACTCTATATATATACATTTGAAATTGGAACACTTGAAAATATCTTCTTTGTGTGGAAATATCTATATACTTTCACTTCTGAACCTTTAGCATTTCATTTCCATCAGCATATTTGTAAATGCCTATAACTTTCAGGTCAAAATATGGTTTCAAAATAGAAGAAACAAATGGAAAAGGCAAATCGCCACCGATGTTGACGGTCTTGGAATTGGGATGTCCGCTGCGGCTGCAGTAGCCGGAGTCATGTCTGGTGGATCAATGTTCGGATCCTTATCTAGTCACTTTCATCCGTACTCTCATCCTCTTCAACAACAGCCCCATTTACAGCCTCATCACCCCAACCCCACGGCAGCATCGTTTTCTCACCCACATCCCCAACATATGCCGATCCATCCAAGAATGCGATCTGTCATACATCCCGGTGCACCCTTCCCACCACAACTTCACTTTGTTGGAAAACCAAGCGGCCTCCCTTGGCCGATGGCACATTCAGCTGTTCCGGGTCCCAACCATGCGCCGGATAATGCTATGTTATATAACGTTACGAACGATCGAAAAGTTTCACCCTTGAACATACAGCTTCCCATTGTTAAAATGTCGGATTCTTATAACCGGGAAAGTAAAAAATCAATTGACGAAAGCAGACATGATAACACAGAAGAAGACGTAGCCGCGTCCGATTCTGATGTCCCAAGAAAATTTTACAAAACGGAATGCAAGACTTCAGACGGTGAAAATTAGAGATACATGAAATGGATAAACACGCGTTTTCTCATCAACATTGTTTGTACTATACATTGTTTTTCTATATATGTTGTATTCAGGGGTGTTTTGTGAAATTATAAGTTCCAAACGTCGACTGCCGTCGTATTTTAGCAATCATTTTACATAAAGAGAAGCAAGACTAGGAACGATATACAACTTCGACGAATTATAGTTACGATTCAAATCGTATATTTTTGTAGAGAGCAAATAGGTTCAGTAGTTAACATTTACAAAAGAACTGCAACCAGACAGCACAACAGACAACTACTGTTTATGATTTTTTCATCACTTCTCGGAAACAAGAAAAGTCAGAATTAATACATAATACAGCATATTAACAGTTATAAATTATTACCAGTAGTAGTTATGAATTATTGGGCTGTTCATTTTCCAACAGACGGTTTCCTAGTAGAATATATAAGTTATTACCGTGATGAACAGTGATTACCACCGCGGTTACCTGGATCAGGGTGATTTAATAAAACATAAAGAATAAATGTCTTCAACACCAGTGTGTGGTTCTGAGCAAAATTAATCGAAAATAATAAATTGCAAAAATACCTGCTTTCCAAAATATTATATATATATTGTCAATGTAAACAAGTGGTATATTCTTGATACATTACCATACATTGATTTATTTGTTTTAATGGAGTTTAGAATCTCCTACACGATTTTTTGTGGTTTCACAAGCTTCGCTTAACTACTCGTGAAACGATTTTGTCAACTCATTAAATCATCTCGCAGAAAACAAGAAATAAAAAAACAAAGATTGAGTAACGCAATGAAAAAAAAACATAAATATTTTCAATCCCCAAAATTAAAAAATCTAATTTGATTGGTTGAGATATTTAAATGTATCCTTAAAATTATTACACAATTGATCTAATATATTTTTGTCATGATATCGAACAAGGAGCCAAAGCCCAGAATGTTGCAAAACTTATGATGCGGTGAAATGTAAAATGAAAACCGGTTCGTTATTTAACTTCTCTGATAATATAACTATGATTTTTTTACATTAAACAAATAGGTCAGTATTTCAATATAAATATATGTAAATAAAAGAAACCATATTGATTTTTTCTGCATATTTTTATATGTCTCAAATACTTGAGGAAAGGTTGTAATAGTTGATCAAGCACAGGTCGCAACAACCCGTTTGGAATTGACCGGAACTCATGAAAATCACAAATAATTATTCACAGCCGTTCTCATCATTAATGCTATTGAGTGAATTTGTTATGAATGAAAAGTGAAGAAAAAGTCTGAAAATTTAGATATTTATAAGAAGAAATAATAACAATAAAAAAAGAAATATTTTAAAGACATAAAATCAAAATTGTATTTTCATCTATTAGCCATTACTTTAACAATCAATGTTACAGGTGACCGTACATTTGAACCCATGTCTATATCCGCGGGTTCAATCAATATGCGGGTGCTGAAACCCATGGGTTAGGGTTAGTATGGGTTCAACTATCCGTACAACAAAAAAATTTCCATAGGTGCAATAGTATGCAGGTGCAATTGTCATGGGTTCAAATGTACGTGGGTTCAAATGTAATGGAACCAATGTTACATTATATTATAGATTCACGTATACATTTGTGTAATTAAATTATCGAATACTGCTTCCTGCTTATGTTAATTACATCTTTGGAAAGGACAACGTTTACTCATTTATCAACGTTAAATTATACATTTTTCCAACCATCTTTGATGATATTCATATAAAGTTAGTGACAGAAAATTAGGTAACAAAATTGGTTTATACAAAAAACCAGGATGTTAGAAAATATAATATAAATAACCAAGATGTTAAAAATTGATTTATTGTAAATTGTTTGAATTTTCGTTACAACTGTTGATCATATTCAAGCCTGGAAGACAGATGAAGTTCATCGATGTTGATATTAGAATAACGAGGAAAATCAAATGGTCATGTTATAATCATATGGTATGACTTTTCTTTTTCAACCTAAATCACGAATGAATCAGGGTGAACACTATAAATTGTGTATTTTTGAGATATTATTAACGACGATCTTATCAAAACATTTATGACAAAATTCATAAACAAATGTCTGAATTTTCATCTAGGTTCACTACGCAGTCTTCATTTGGGTAGACATTTCATTATTCCGATATCGAATGTTCTGTTGATTCAAATTATTTTACGCCATTTTAATTCTGGTTGTTATTAAAAATTCCCAAAAATTAAGCAAACCTATGAAGAAGTTTGTATATGATCTGCATCTAAATCACTAAACGTTATGATTAGTTTGTATATTCAGAAAGTAAACTTCTCACTAGTTTTGTGCTTTTGAACAATCACGCTAAACCTCGAAAAGCGTGCAATGCCCGCCCGCTTATTTAACTTGAGAAGTAAATAAATATAATCATTTTGACAAATTATTTCAGCTCCAATTCACAATATTCGTTCAAAATTGATTTTTATTGCCGTTAAAAGCAACATAAAGATTCACATAAGAGGCAAACGTCCTAATCGTCTCATTAGTAATTTGAACAGCAGGCATAAATCAGGGGGCAAAATTCCATTAATAATTCAGGTGAATTATTGAGTTTTTATCCTCGTAGACAAATATATTTACAAGCGTATTTATTTTTCTTGAATAATGAAATTTAAACGAATGGTATAGCCTGTTTAAAATATATTTGTAAAAAGTTTTATCGTATAAAGCTTAAGCATCATTCATTTTTAATAATCATTTTAAAAGTTTCGATTAATTTGAAAGTTACAGGATATTGGTTTCCTGGTGAGTTCAGAGGTCACTCAATGTACACATCGTCTATTGGCTCCTCACATTTAACTTGAATCTTTCCGGAAGTGAAAGTATGAAATAGTTCATACAAAACCGCGCTGCTTTATATTTTGCTTAGTATCGTTATGATTCTCGGTTGTAAAAGAAAAGTATAGAAAACTAAAAACAAATAGAAAACCTATTTTTCGTATTTCGTGTGAAATATAAATGTAGTTATGAAAATTAGTTACAAAAACTAAAATAAAAAGTGAAAAGGTAACATATGATTTGCATATTCTGGCAAATACTCATTCGATGATATTTTAAACGTCGAGGGGTAAAGTAATGGATTGAGAAATAATGTTGAATTGAGTCATTCGTAAAATCTAAAAATTAATTAGGAAATAATTATGCAGAAAAATATGTAAATTTTGATGTCACCCGAGGATAAAACATTTCCTTTGCTCTCATTTTAATTTTAAAATTTTTCATGAAACATTAACGCTCAACGTCAATACTTACATATAAACCGTAAAGTTATTATTATTATAATGATGAAAATATTGAATATAAAATTTTCAATTTCATCGAAGCAAATTAAAATCTCCTTTAATATTCAGCAATCTTCTAAAAAGCCTCCATAAAATTATTAAATAACATAGCATTATTGTAAGATTAACGGCGTAGAAAGACGAAGTGAAATGAATAATTCAAAACGTAGATCAACTTAATAAAGCGAGAGAAATTATATAAAATCTCAAACCTGAAACGGGAGAGATCGAACACGATTTGATTCATCCATTAGGTCGAAGTCGGAAGACATTTACAGCAGTCATCTTTGAGTTAATTAACGATATTTTATAATTACTTATAAAGTTTGGCGCATACTTTTAATAATTTAATAAAATATTATATATGAGTTATTATTGCGTGATAAATTTTTATGGAATGTTTATCATTCTATCCAGACAAGATTTTGCCTAAGAGTCACACATCCATGTTTTGCGGGGACAGTGTCTAAACAATTTATTCATTACCCCTACGCGAGGTCGTGAGCACGTGACTCAAATCACATTCAATGGAAATTGAAATGCCCAATGCTTTAGCAATATTACGGACCAAATCGTGTCAGACGTTTGTTGAGAATGTAGTGAGAAAGATACACCAAGCAATTTGTTGTTGATGTGTATGCCCATCGGTAGCGATTCCGCGTAAAAATTTGAATCTTGCATTCTCATATATAGTTGAATATAGGTAGGGAAGGAACAACATGATCAAATCAAGTGAGTGAAGTTGAAGCATGCGATAAGGTCGTCGGTATCATGATGGTTAGAATTCAACAGAGAAAGAATCAATCTTTTTCAATTAGAAAAGCAGGAAGTAGAGGAATGTATAATTAATTATATGTAATAAAAAGATATGTTAAAATAACATAATGATTTTCCTTTGACATACAAACATGCTTACGAAAAACCTTATTCTGTGATTTCAGTGTTTTTTGAAATTTTCTTATTCAAACATCCTGGTGTTGCAGACTTGGTTACGGAAAACATCCTTTTCACGCAGTGACAGTATTTGTTATTCAAACTCTGAAATCTAAGTTTGTTATACCGAATAAATAAATATATGGAACTGTATGTGAGTGAACCTGCACACCGCGTCGGTTCTTATTTTATGATCTGGCAACAAGTTGAAAGGTGATATTCTGTGAGAAGCTTTTTCTTTAAAAAAAAATTTATAAAATTTTGATGTGAAATTTAACCATTTTCAAAACATAAAGTACTGAAAATATTTTATTATGAAAATAAAGATCATCTCATGATTTCTTGGAATAGCCCAGGTCGTCTTCCAACACTTCAAGTAAAATGTTCTCCGAAATCTCCGTTGCTCGAAAGATATCGCAAGGTCGCATAATATTTTAATCTTTCGAAAAATGAGTGAATATGTGAATAAATTTGAACGCAAATTTTAATAAATCACCTCGTGTCACGGCTTAACGCAAATTAAGAAAATGTTTAATCTTGGAATCATGTTCCTGTTTGGCAGAAAATCTATGGTGTTTTCATAACAAGTCTTGTCTTCACATTGTTTCAACTTACATCACTAAGCCATTAAATCTATCCTGCAAACTCATTTAAGCTAATTGGTGTTTTCCCATGCGACAATGGTATATCATCTAAACGATGACTTTAAAAAAGAAACAGTAAAATTGAGAAATTCTAGAGTTAAACTACAAAACAGAAATAGGTTTACTAACATTATATATATCAGTATGCTATTCACTGACTATGGACTCTCGATATAAATAATTTCGAAATCAAGTTTCATGCACGTTTGGGCTACGAAAACTTTAATTATGTGTTAAATACTATATGTTTTATGTGATTTTTCGTAATTTTATTTAAATCCAAATTTTGTTTTTAATATAAAAATGTCATTTCCTTTCTACAAAATAATCTCTTGTTTGAAAATTTTCTGAAAATATTCAATGTATTGTTTCTATCCAAACAAAGTCTTCCGACCATTCTTGAAACACTTTCCAAAGTTTAATTATTCTCTTGAGTTAATGAAATCCGACT